CAGAGATTGACGATGCTAAAGCGCAACAACGGCGAGAACAATTGAGAAACATTGTGAGTGAGGACATGATATGGGTCCAAATAAATCTGAAGGATTAGTACCACTAGGATGACACCTTGCTTTTATAGTGTTCTTCGTGGCTATGGGTATGCATTTTGGAAGAACCTAGCTATCGTTTGATCCATCGAAAACCCTAAAGTATACAATGTAAGCGAGTTTTAAACATTTTGAGTCCCGACCTGCATGCTTCTTGCTGGCACGACGTAACGTTAGCAAAAAACTAATTGGCCTGGTCACAAATATATGCACTGCGTAGCTAAGACACCCGCTTACATCTTTCACTCGACGTACCCAATGTAGCCGAAACGATGCGTATGCTGTGATGTTGAAGGTTTGAACATTTTTTCCGAGTGTGTCGATCAAGAGATGACACCGTCACGCAGATTACGTTGTTCCGAGATCAGAGAATGTGCGTTATACTTCGTCTGCATGCCCCATAACTTATTGGGAGGACTATCACAGCAAAGACCTTGAGTGGGTGAATTTCAGAATTGATTGGATTGATTGTCTGTCACGGTCTATCTGGCCGCCAATACCATCTTACCTCACTAGGGAGTGCTAGTCAACAGTCGGTTTCGTGCTTTATCAAACTCAAACCATCTGTGTTATCACACCGAGCCTAAATTATATCTCCACGAGTCTTGGACCGTCTTGGATGTCCTGGAGTTCCAGGTTCTGCCACCCCCTTCGAGATAGACCTTGCTCCGCAAGCCTGTAACTGGAGGAACACTGCTCGTTCGACAAACTCATCTCCCTTCATGCAGTCCAAATTCTAACATTGGTTATGTCACCTTGTGCATACAATGAACGTCTTCGATGCCGGTTAGTCATGTGGTTAAATTCAGGACGACGAACCACTGAAACTCATGCATTTGTAGTAAACGCAGGTTTCACATTCACTAGATTTGTGGCAATATATGGGACAGTACCCGATGCTAGTGTCAGTGGGCATGGCAGATATCGATGATGCAAAACCAGCAACGAGGGCGAGGACAGTTGTAAAGGAGAAATGCATCGTGTGTGGGAATGCGATGAGATCAAATAAATCTGAAGGGTTAGTAAGAAGACACCTTGCTTTTATATGCTGAATAACTTATATTTTTCGTGGTTATTGATATGAATTTTAGGAAGAGCCTATCCGTCGTTTGATCCATCGGAATTCTGAAACTATACAATACGTTGAACTTTCTCGAGTCTCAACCTGTATGCGGCATGCTATCTTTTAAATTAGGCTAAACAATCTCAAGACTTGAACTTGCTGGCATGACATATGTCATACTTTTGTCATGATCAACTGGCCACATCCGCCACCGAAGGTCTGGCAGGCGAGACCGTGTTATGACTTGTGGCGGCCACAAGTCCACAACTTTATTCATAAACACCTGAAATGATCTGGAATTATGTACATTTGCCTTGGGAGGGTTTTCCTGACGTAGGTGGTCCGTCCTTGCACTTCACGGATCCCTCGTATACTTTCGCATCCTTACCTTGTTTCTATAGGCACTGATTTGGACGCTTTGTGATGCGCTGAATCTCTGAGCCTCTCGCATTGAACGCCAGTTGTCCGTCCTGGGTTGCCATGATGTTGAAACATAAGGAGGCACCGTTATCCCCGTGGGGAGCGCCAGCATCAGCCCCTTCATGAAATTTTCATTATCCAACCCTGCCTTCTGTGTTTGCAGTACAGGGGGTGTACTGGGGGGATTGCAAGGGAAAACTCAAAGCCAAACCTCCATAGCGGGAGGGTGCGGTTCTATCTATCGAGGGCTGACTACAACGCACTAGACTAGTACCGCGGTACTACGAGTCAGGACTCCTGCCACTGTTCTAGGACTCTTGGCACTCGTGATGACCTGCGCCAGGCCACCCTGGTACAGGGGTACTCATACGTGGATCTTGAAGGAGCTTCAAAGACTGGTCGACTCGTCTGTTGATGTGTTTTTGTCAAGTCAGCTCGGTTCCTACCTGGTAGTACAGCAGCTGCAACAATGAGTGCAGATTCTTCTCCGTCAGTTGCTTCCATCTCCATCTCGTTTTTCTGCGCTTGATACTGATATTTAATAAACATCCATGGTATTCTGTTGACTTTTGGTGTGGTTTCTCGTATAGAACATCTTATTGGGTAATCTGGATTTTTTTTTTCGAAAATGTTATTTTGTCTACGGGAAGTCTTTCATTTGAGTTGCAATCTACATATATCTAACAGGGGCCAGGTCGTGATTTTACATGAAAACATTACAGCTGTTTTGATATGACAACCAAGAATTCGTCACACTTGCATGCTTTTTTCCTCAGTGGGACTCGAAACAACAGTTGTGTCGCCACCCCGTTCAGCCTCGAGAATCTTGCGAGAGACCTTACTGCGAGAGCGAATTTTTGAACCATGGAAGAAAAAGATCTGTGTGAAAAACGAAGTGGAACCTGTGAGCACTAATCGCCATGTAGGCAAATTTACCCACCCATGGAATTGGTGCCATCACTACCGATAGCAGTGCCCAGAGTGTCAGTCCCCACTTATATGTCATACCAGCGAACATCTGCTGTGTGAAGAGTGGGAACATCAATGCCATTATGTTTCCTTTGGTTCCTTAGTTCAATAAAATGAATGAGGAAGTGCGGACTCACGAGCCAGGCTCTGTCCCGCCTGAGCCGAGGAGGTATATGGACCATAGCTAGGTTTTTACATCAAACACTTGCAGGATAGATGCGTCTAGATACATACCAGTCTGCGAGATACAAACATGAAACTTGAAATATTACGAGGACGCCAGACATAAATGCCTGTGAATACGAATTAGGAACATTGTGAGAAACGACATGTCTGCGACGCACAGTCAACCCGATCAGAGGCGCAATCCAAGGAATGTTGGGTGATGCCGTCCATGCGTAGATGAGCATCGAAACGGGAAGGACAACAGCGGCGACGCATGGCATGTATAACCGTGCTTCTTGACCCTTTGTCGGAAAGTATTTTCTGCATAGCATGAGCCACGGCGGATGACATCTGTCGAGTTTCTTACCGGTACAAGGTTTCCTGATACATGTTCGCCAAAAAACCTATGATAGCTCCGACACTGTTGAGGTAAAAGATCAGATGCGCAGCATGTGTGCAATATAATGACTTTCCTTTGACACAGGAGTACAAATCCTGTCTCGCCGACACTGAAGTTATAGACGGACTGAAATTCTGTAGTGACGGATCTTTCGCGTCACTCACTTTAGCATCCGATTTTTACCTAAAAATTAATTGCACTTACTCGAACAAGCAATACACAACCCCCCAAACGAAGCCGATCCAAAGCTGCCATGAAATAACGTTAACTGTCATTGGTAGCACACAATGATCACAGTCACTAACGCTAAAGCATTGCACAACAGGTTCTGTGAAAAGAAGATCTGGAGTCGTGTTAGGAAAAACTCTGCAAAAGATTATTTTGCATACACAATGGCCGCGTGCACGACGTCTTAATGAGAGATGACATGCTTGGTTGGCCAATTTCAGCGCTGGACCGATACCTGGGGTCACCAGTTGTCTTTCTGGTGTCCTTCGCAATCTGGGCTAGAATAATTGAAGAACGAGTTTCGCTCATCACTAAGATGACGCTAAGCACAAATGCCCCAGTGAATCTGATAAGAAAATTTAACGAGAGTCTAAAACATGTAGTTTTGTGGACACACATGGCATGTACCCATTGCACCCACCGCCATCCGAGGTGCGGACTGGCAGAAATGAGCCCTCCAAACGCTGACCCGAGGCCGAAAGAGAATAGTGATGAGAATGCAAACAGAGACATTGGCAGTCCGCGCCTGGAACAGTGTCAATAATGGAGCTATCACGGGTATTTTGTCTTACTCGTGTGGCTGCCATATATCGGCAATGCTACCTCCAATCAACGATGCACCACATGCAGCAAACACCCCTTGTAGTGCACGCGACACAACTACAGTTTGTATGTTTGGTGCCCTGTCAGTGATAAGCACCTATTTGTCGCAACAATTATACGACAACTTACAATGCATTCATAACTTCAGCGAGAAAAAACAAAGCAGACGACATGATGTAAACAGGTCGTCTGCCGCACTCCTGAGATGCAGATGCGGTTATGTCCGACGACACCAAAATCAGGGCCAGTTCTCACCTCACTGAATGACGAAGAGATCAAAGGGACAATCCCGAAACCTATCGCGTACAAGCTCAGTCCCAAAGTCGCCTGAAGTCGAGTACAATTTAGGTCCTTCATCATTGACTCATAACTGATCGAATATGATGACGATGCAGCTGCTGTTGGAGTTTTTGGAATCTTTAGATAGAAGGGCATCAACACTGAAAACCGAGCTAACCTGTGATTCCACCGAATGCACAACATAACAGAGTGATGGCCCACTTCTGCGGATAAGAGAAATTTATTGGGTCCCGTGGGTCCCCTTCGTGAAATTGAATCTGCTCAATGTCAACATTTCTGGACGTAGAAAAGAATTGCAACAATAACTTACAAGTATCAACTCTTGCTCCTGTGGAACATGAGCTATACGCGAAGCCGAGCTGATGTGTTTACCGGTATCACCCATTATCATTAGAACTTGGTCTTTCGAACGGAAGTTGGATGGGCTTTTAACTGTCGACGGGACAGGATCTATAATAGTAGCGAACGTTAGGGTATCAGGGTCTTTCCATGTTGTGGACCGCGATGCCTCACCTATTACACCATAAAGCCCATACATGAGTAATACCAGTATCCTTCTCTACCTATAACGAGAATTTATTTGGCCCTTGTCTTGAGAGGTGAGATCGAGTCTTGACTTTCGGCCGACACTGTCAATCGGAATAGGAGCAATGTAACCGAGAATGACGATGGTGCAGAAGTCCCTTTTCGAAGCGTGAGCTAGATACTACTAATTCATGACACCGTTAATCTCTACATGTTTGCTGTATATTTCTGCCCTCTAGTCGTCTCACAAGCAGGAGGCATTCTGGCCCAGAGATGTCATGCGTGGCGGGGATAGCAAAAGTGGGACAGGATGCCGTCAGGTGCAGTCATACGTATGAATAGTGGCACCCGCAATTCTATCCTGCCGATTGTGCGGAGGAGTGCGATGAATGGGGCAAATATGACAGAACCTAGAACAATGGATAATCTTGTTAGTTATACCAATTGAATTGCAGTAATTGGGGTGGATATGATTGACCCTGGTAAAACCCTGGCACAGATCGATCAATTTGTCAAGATTATCATTACAGACGCCTATCAGTCGCCTATCCCTATTTTTACTAGATAATGAAAAGGAGTCATAGGGTCATTGTAAGGAAAGATTCCTCATAAGGAAAGTGTGCTTACGCTTAAAAGTATGTAACTAGAAAATTTTGAATCATGTAAGTCCAGAAAAGCCGATTCAGGAGTTTTCAGGCCCGCTGAGTCCATGTAGGCTTCATGTCCGTATCACCATACACGTACGGCGAACAACGGGCCGATAACTAAAAGTTCTGTTGTGTAGAGTCGCAGCAGCAGGACGACAAATACTTGACGGCATGATAACAACTGTCTTGTTAGGGACTTTGAAAGTTTGAGAGTCAACTATTCGGCCCGTATCGTTGACAGCACGCTCGAAATAAAGATAAAAATCACAATCCACCCTGTTACGAATATAATCAGTTCCACTGGCGATGCATAGAGAATGATTGATCGCACTCGGGGCAAATACTGATAACTTACCTAAGGAACAGAACGCGACAAGTGAATCCAGGAAACCAACTGACTACACACTGCAAGAGTATACAGGGACATCCAGTACACGCCCGCCTCAGTTCTTATTGTAAGATATGCCGCAGTTCATGCATGAGTGTACAAAGGCACCTATCAACCGCAGCTTGGGAAGTCGAGGCGGTCTGCGAGTGGATGTCAAAAAAATTATTAAGCCGAGTTTAGAGGGTTGGTCGTCGTCTGCATCAAGGCAGAACAAGGTTACACACACCAGTGATGGAAATCCAGCAGTGAACTGCTAGTCTACGAACTGTCCGCCACTACTACTTGCGGAGACGTGAAGGCGGTCGCGAGAAACCCCACCATAGTAATCATATTGCCCCGGCAAAAGTCTAGAAGAGACAGAACGGTACTGTATGCTTTACGCTCGTTGGCAAGCGTTATCATCATGATGGCAATACGTGTGTGTCGTGATCCGTGAAGCAGGCCTGTCACTTGCCTGTCGCGGTCGCGTAAATCGCAAGCTCGCCGTTCGAGAATCAACATTACATAATCAATGATGGTGACATAACTCGGAGAAAGGCCCGGTTGATATTATTAAGCTGATTGTCTGACCTTGATGATTACTTGATTGATGGAAAAGCCCTTTGTTTACAGACTGTTGGCGCGATCCTGGACAACCAATGAAATGACAAGTATGTGTAGGCCAGCTGATCATGGGTCACCATATGGAATTAAAGACCGGCACTGATTTGTTATCGTGGCCGGCAGAGAGCTCGGAAATCACGAGGTGCAGGTCCATGACACGACGCAAATGAGTCACTATCGCTCGGCGTTCTACTATTATCATTGCTGGTAGCAGTGATCCTCGCCAGCTGATTGAATCAATTTGGTCCGAGTAGTAAGTACGTATGACATGCAGCGTGGAATCATCTTTTGGATCGGCGCCGAGACAAACTTGAAGATCTACCGATCCAAGTGCGGTGTGTGATATTCTGTTTCGCTGTTTGCCGTTTGCTCTAGTACCTCTTGACCCATCTAATTAACAATACCTCGTGCAGATACTATCCCAGGAGTATGGAGCTCAGGTGTAGTGATGGACTCTGTAGTGTCTCACCTGCCAGATTCCGGGTGCATCATAGTCAAGAAATCTATGCGTCTGTAATTATATATGGATTGCTGGGTATTCATTGACTTTTGGAAAGATCAAGACTTATGATTTCGATGTGTATGCTGCATTACTGATCGCGGACGTCATAGCCATCAAGGTACTTAGGTACCTGAGCTTACATGAGCGTAGATGCCCATTCATATTCATAGTCATGGCCGTAGTCACCTTCGGAGGGCGCGTGCATTCACCTATACTACATAAATCTATCGGAGATCAAATCATGAGTTGACGTTCACATGAAGGGTCATTACAGTCGTTGTGATATGCCAAGTATTCGTTACACTTGCATACTTCTTTCCTCGGTTGGGCTGGAAACAATAGTTTTCTCGCCGTCCAATTGCTGTTGTTCAGCTTCGAGAATTTTGCGAGAGACTTTACTGTGCGAGCGGATCTTTGAACCAAAGAAGAGAAGGACCTGCATGAAAAACGTGGAAAGCTCTAAGATTTCGCCACCAATCACAATGTATGCAAATTCACACACCCATGGAATCGGTGCCATCGCCACCGATATCAATGCCCAGAGTGTCAGTCCCCACTTATATGTCATACCAGTGAACATCTGCTGCGTGAAGAGTGGGAAGATCAATGCCATAAAATTTCCTTTTGTAGTTTAGTTCAGCTGAAGAAATAAATATATAGTGCAGACTCACGAGACAAGCTCTGCCCCGCTTGGGCCGATGAGGTATATGGACCGTAGCTAGGTTTATTTGTCAAACATTGGCAGGATAGATGCGGCGAGACACATACCAGTCTGCAAGATACAAAAATGAAACTTGGAATATTACGAAGACGCCAGACATAAATGCCTGTGAATCCGTCAAAACGATCAACTTCGAACACTGTTGAGAAGTCGACGTACAGTTAATGCAATCAGAGGTACTATCCAAGGAATGTTAGGTGATGCTGTCCATGCGTAGATAAACATTGAGACGGGCAGGACAATAGCAGCGGCACACGCCATGTATAGTCGTGCTTCTTGGCCCTTTATCGAAAAGTATTTTCTGAATAGCATGAGCCATGTCGAATGTTTGGTACAGACTTTCTTACTTGTACAAGGTCTCCTGGTACGTATTCGCAATGAATCCAATGATGGCTCCAACACTGTTGAGACGAGAGATCAAGTACGGTGCACACGTGCAGTGAAATAACTTTCCTCTGACAAAGGAATATGAATCCTGTTTCGCTGACGCTGAAGTTGTAGACAGACTGGAACTCCGTGGTGATGGATCTTTTGTTTAACTCATTTGAGCCACCGACTTCTATTCAGGAGTCAATAAGCACTCACTCAAGCAAACAGTACACGACCCCCCAAGTGAAGCCACACCAGACCTGTCATCAAATATCGTCAACCGCTATTGACGGTACACATCAATGGTCACTGACACTGAAGCTCTGCACAATAGGTTCAGTCAAGAGTAGATCTATGGTTATGAGGTTAGGAAAAATTTGGTAAAAAATTGTTTTGCGCACACAAGGGCCGTGTACACGACGTCTTTATCAGAGATTTTATGCTTGGTCTGCCAATTTCAGTGCTGGACCGATACCTAGAGTCGCCGGTCGTCTTTCTGGTAGCCTTGGCGATGTGGGTTAGAACAATGGACGAACGGGTTTCGCTCATCACCAGGACGACGTCAAGAACATATGCCCCAGAAAACCTGAGAGAAAAATATTCAAAGAGAGACCAGCACATAGTTTTTTTCGACACACATGACATGCACCCATTGCACCCACCGCCAACCGAGGTGTGGACTGGTAACGATAAGCCCCCCAAACACTGACCCGAGGCCAAAAGAGAATATCGATGAGAATGCAAACAAAGACATCGGCAATCCACGTCTGAGACGTTTGTCAGCAAGGGAGTTTCGTTAGCGCAAGTATCCTGTCTTACTCATGTGGCTGCCATATATCAGCGATGCTACCTCCGACTAAGGATGAACCAGTTGAACCAAAAACTCCTTGTAGTGTACGCGACACAATCACAACTTGTATATTTGGTGCCCTGCCAGTGATGAACGCCCGTTTGTCGCAACAATTATACGACAACTTACAATGCATTCATAACTTCAGCGAGCATAAATAATACAGACGACACGATGTAAAGGGGCCGTCTGCCACACTCCTAAAATATAGATGTCAGTTAACGATCAACGATAGAAAACTGGTCAGTTCTTACCTCACTGAATGACGAAGTAATCAAAGGGACAATCCCGAAACCTATCACGTACAAGCTCAGTCCAACGGTCGCCTGAAGTTGAGTACAATTTAGGTCATGCATCATCGATTCATAACTGATCGAATAAGATGACGCTGATGCTGCTGTTGCAAATATCAGATAGAATGACATCAACACCGAAAACCGAAGTTACCCGTGATTCCAGCAAACACACAACATGTCAGCGTGATGGCCCACTTCCGCGCATAAGAGAAGTTTTGTGGATCGCGTGGGTCCCCTTCGTCAAATTTAATCTGACCAGCGTAAGCCTTCTTATATGCGAAATGAAATATGACAATGACTTACGAGTATCAACTCTTGTTCAGGTTCCTGTGGAACATGAGTTGTACACGAGGGTGAGCTGATGCGTTTACTGGCGTCGTCCATTATCATCGGAACCGGGTCGTTCGCTACCAAAAAATGGATGTGCTTTTAAATGCTAATGGGGGACAAATCCGAGGATCAACGAAGTTGACGAGTAGTCAGGGTATCAGGATTTTTCCCTGCAATGGACCGGGATGTCTCGCCCATTAAACCATAAAGCCCATGGATGAGTAATACCAATATAATTTCTCACCTATTACAAGAATGTCACAAGAGACGTTTCATCTTCGTTTCGGGGAGGCGAGGTCAGGAATAGAATTCGGCCGACACTGGCAATAGGAGTAGTTTCAGTGCAACCGAGGACAGTACAAGTGCGGGAATCCCTTCGGAAAGCGTGAGCACCTGAAACCACACATTACATGACATCATCAACCCCTACATCATTGCTATCCGCTTTTCCCTCTGGACGTCTCACAAGTAGGAGGAATTCCGGGTCAGTGATGATGACAGGGTAGGGTGGGGTGATTGTACACAGTGGCGTGGTCAAGTGGGTCTAGACGCTTGGCACGTTCCGTAGCACGATGAATGGGGGAATATGATCATGATGAACCCTGCTTCAAGATAACAAGATTTCGTTAGTGAAACTTGACAACTCGATCGTCGACATGTATCATGTTCAAATCTATCGAAAGGATCACAACTCCTGCTAGCTGATATATAAAAAGAGTCATGTGGTCATTGCAAGGGAAGATGCTGATAGGAAAAGGTATTCATACTTACGCTTGAAAATGCACCCTCATGCGACTAGACCAAAACGAATCATGTCAAGTCTCCTGAACGGCCTACTTGGGGCTCAAGGGTTTACGGACCGCTGTGTACGTGTAAGGTTCATGTCCATACCACTATAAACGTAAACCGAATGACGGCCCGATAACCAAGGCATGAGGATCGAATTCTATTATGTAGAAGCTGGCCGCCGATCTGCTTGAATGCCGGTGGCTCAGTAATCCCATTGGAGGAGAGATTCACAGCGTGGACGAGAAAACACGGCCTGGAAAGTCCACTTGATATGTGTCAGATAGAGTATTGATAGCATTGACGGAAAACCTGTAGTTGCGATGTTACAGAGCAGAGTTGAGCAGAAATAAAGACGTACGACTAGATTAGATCTGAGACCAAGGCCAATACAGCAATCATTCAGCTGAAATTCGACGGACTTGAACTCGGAGAAGCTCTATCACTCTGCAGTGGATTTTGTGACTCTCTGAAGTTTAGAAAGTTACGGTGAAACTATTTAACTGGAAGTTATGGTCGTGTTATCTAAACCAGCTGCATGGCAGGATTCAGTAGCGTCATGTCTTCACCAAATCTATTGGTATCCGAAATGACTTACATAGAATATAAAGAAAGTTGACTCCTTCAACATGTTATTTCATATTGAGTCGCTAGCAAAGAGGGCAACGGTGAAAGTTTCGGACCAAATAGACTTGAAATAGACACGTCGCGTCCCCGCGTTTCTCACGTACCGCTTGTGTCTGTTTTCACTGCCTTGACATCACCACTCCAAGCCTCCGACTGTGCCTTGTCTATTAGTTGTAATTTATCTAGTCAAGGATAAGTACGGAGTAGTGCACGACGGTACATGATTCGCAATAAGTTGAACTACCTTTCAGATCATGTTGGATCAGATGACGTGAGTACCAGGATCCAATTTCAGGTGGTCTTCATTGACGCCTACACTCGCAGATGGAAGAGATTCTTGAGATGACGCTCGTGGACCAACGTCCCGGTGCACCTGTTAATGTTGCAGGTCCATCCAAATCTGCGAAGATGCCGTCGTATCTTCAGAAACATGACGTCAACACCCGGTTGTCTTCTCTAGAGGTCGAAATACAAGGGATAGACGAGCAGATCAAAAAGTTGACTGCTTTACGGGGGGCCTTAATTGCTGAAAAAGATGACCTCACTCGAGAACGCAGCCGTATCAACCTGGTGCAACCGTCAAGGGGGCTCAGTGACGCTGTCCAGACTAAGGGCAAGGGCAAAGCAGCTACAGTTGACTATACTGTTAGCTTCGACTGGTCAACGCAGCTGCAGTTGACAATGAAGAAGGTCTTCAATATCGCCGACTTTCGACTGTGCCAGAAAGGGTCAGTGTGCTCCTCGACTTGCTTCCTGAATCTTAAAGGACCAATAACAGAGTCTGCAATGCTAATATGGATGGCCGAGATATTGTGTGTGTCATGCCCACCGGTAGGATGGTAGATGGCACCTTTTACCTGTCGCTAACGTGCTGTTGCAGGAGGTGGCAAGTCGTTAACCTATCAACTTCCTGCCCTCCTGACGCCAGGGTGTACACTGGTGATATCCCCCCTCATTTCCCTGATGACGGATCAGATCCTACATCTGAGGGAGTCAGGAGGTATATGCGCTTTTATCTGAAATTTCCTATCTTCATTACTGATGTTCTTTTAGTGGAAGCTGTTATGTTGACAGGGGGAACTCCACGTCCCCTACTCAACGAGATTCAGCAAAGACTGACATCCATGGCATCATCTCAGGTGCATAGACATCAAGGTCGGGACATTAAATTATGCTATGTCACGGTAATATAGCAATCCTACAATGGTCTCATGCTGATTTATGTCTCAGCCAGAGAAAATAGCTAAAAGCAAGACGTTTATGTCTCTTCTGCGCAAGCTTGTGGAAGGTGGAAAGCTTGGTAGGTTCTAAGCCCATAACCTGGAAATTTTATGATTAGTTTGCACAAGCTCGGATCGTTATCGATGAAGCCCACTGCGCTTCTCAAATGGGTCACGATTTTCGGTACAATTTCATCTCTATGGACATACGAGCATCTCACTAACCGCGCATCAGCCCAGACTACAGAAAATTGAGCATCCTTCGCCAGTTCTTTCCTCACGTGCCCATTCTTGCGTTGTCCGCAACCTGCCCCCCAAGAGTCCTCCAAGATATTCTCAAGATTCTCAAAATGAAACCGGTGGTAGATGGGAAAGGTGTGCATGTTTTTGAATGTGCGGACAACTAAAACAACGTGCTACTGCGCACAGCTGCCCCACCAGATGGGACGGTGTATTTTTCTGCGCCTCTGTACCGCAAAAATCTCCATTACACTGTCTTGCCAAAACCATCTTCAGCAAAAGAACTCATCATGACAATGTCGGACTACATTCTGCAAAATCACAGAAATGATAGTGGCATTATATATTGCCTCGCAAAGAAGGTATTTTAATCCAAGACATCGCGGTCATTGAGTTCACATTTTTGAAGGATGCTGAATCGGTTGCTGAAAGCATTCAAATGGTGAGCAATGGTCGCATCAAAACGGGCGTCTACCACGCGAATGTCGAGGATGGGCAAAAAGAAAGGCTACACATGCAATGGAGGGAAGGGAAAGTTCAGGTAGTCTGCGCTACAATAGGTCCGCCTCATGTGTCACATCACATGGACTTCCGGTCCTGATGACCTCCGGGGTAGCTTTCGGCTTAGGGATTGACAAGGGTGACGTTCGATTCGTACTCCACCATACAGTGCGTCTTTCATTTCAGGTGTTTCCTGCAGTTACGTTATTAAAACGGCATTCAAGATATCGGTTCGTGGAGCCTCAAAGTAGTGTTCTGCGCACTCACTGAGTGCTTGCCACACAGAAGTCTCTTGATGGGTACTATCAAGAGTCTGGACGTGCTGGGCGAGACGGCCAAGACGCAGACTGCGTATTGTACTATCGTCCACAAGATGCTACTCGCCAAGCTTCCATTACGTGCAGTGACCAGGATGGCGTGATGAAATGTGAGCCATCTCCACATTTGAATATGAACCGTCACACAAGACTTCCCCGTGTCCCCCGTAGTGCATGACATCTTACGTTTTGCACAAGATATGCAAGAATGCCGCAAGATCTTATTTGCAAAGTAAGCCTAATTCGTGCTAGTGTCTACCTCCTCACAAGTACGTTCGGTGATCATTATAGATACTTTTCGGCATCATCCGATCTCTCTATGGCCTCATGGACCACGAACGAATCAGATGCAATGGACCGATGTGGCCATTGCGATAACTGCACGAGGCCTCCTGCCAACGTGGAACACAAGGATGTGACAGTTGAAGCGTGGCAGATTCTAAAGATACTTGAAGCTGTGGAAGGTAATGGCGGGCGCCTGACCATTGCTGGCCTCAGTGACCTGGCGCGTGGTCTGGGTGGCGGTTCATTCGAAACTGGTGGCAACGGAAAGCGCCGAAATGCTAAAGAGAAGATACAGATTGATTATGATTCTGTGGCTGGCGGCAAAGTGAGGCTTTCAAAGGACGTGAGTTCTTCTTTCCCATGTCGAGTTTGATCCGATCCGAGATATTGTGAAAGGACATGGAGTCGCTAATTGTGCAAATGCTTGTGTTGCGGTACCTCGAGGAGGCCTTTTCGTCGACGGCGTACACTGTGAATGTTTACGTCGCACCCGGTAATCAAGCGCTCCGGCTCACCCGTTTCATTCGTGAAGATATCGTCAATGGAGGCGGGCCTAGAATCCAGTGCTCCTTCAGGAGACATGGGCGCAAAGTAAAGAGCAAGAAGACTACTATTGACAGGCAATCTCCTGATATATTGGATCTTCAAGAAGACCCCACTTCTGGCCCGTCACGAATTCGGAAACCTGCCCCACCAAGAAAGAAAAGGCTATATGAAGATGTATCGGACCCGGACGAAGTTGATGGAGAAGATTTTACGAGCCAGATAAAGATGATTGATGCCGAGGAGTCGGATGTTGACGATGATGATGATGTGGACTGGGCTTACTCACTTAGACCACCTCGGTCAACCAAGAAACGGCGAAGGAGTGAAGAAAAGGCGAAGGGAATTCCCGCCAGCTTAAATAGAAGGACGAGCGGGGATGAATATGAGGTCATATCTCTCTCGTCAGACTAATGTACAAACATGCAAAGATGTAACTTATCACCATCATAATGCTAGAGACAGTATACCAGCTCCGATAAAATGTGGCGGAGAACACCTGAACGAATAAAACATCGAAAACGAAAAGTTGATCGGAGAGAGCTTTGCATAGCGTCCGTGTTAGATAATGATGAAACGGGGCAGCGGACTCATGATGCATCCGATTGTCACTCGTCGTCAGAGGTCGGCGAGGAGGGGGCAGCGGTGAGGTAACCAGCGATAATACCATCCTGACACTTATAATTCGTTGGCTTCAATACAGAGCGCAGGGGAGGTTTGGGTATCAGACGATGACTGATGTCAATGCGAGTTCCTTCCTCATTCTGCCACCCACATCCAGGCTCTGGGTAGCCCTCAAGATCAGGAGGGTACGCGTCTTCTGGTGCTGGTGTCCGGTAGTAACCATCGTTTCGCCAGAGCTGGTCTCTAAAGAACTACGGGTTAGCCTTCATACACATCAACAAAGTGCCACAAACCCTCTGCGATTGAACCAACCCTTCCTTCTCTGGTTCGGGAATATAGGCGATGGACATATCAAGTCATCACACCACCGCACAGACCGTGCAACTGCAGCGGGGCACATCGCCCGCTGCGGCAAGGCCTGTGTATGGTCGCCATCAAAATTCCGGCGATGTGATACGTTATGTGGTGGAAAGATTGGTTCTGTGTCCAGCACGGGTCCCTGAACAGGAGGGTACTCGTAATGACCACCGGGGACCAAATCCAAGCCCTGGAGGTGGTGGAATAGTAATGGAGAGGTTCCCCTTGAGGGACGATGAGCGCGATGGGTGGATTCCCATGCTGTTTCTCCCTTGCTCGTCTACCGGTGGAGCCGGGAACGGCACGCGTTCACCATGCTTTAGGGATGTTGAGTGCTGGCGGGTGTCATATGACATAATAGAGCGTTCGCTCGCCAGAAGAATGCTGTCCTTACGTACTCTGGCGCTCACTGGGGGCGTAGGGAGTGGACGTGAAGGATAATGGATGTAGTTCCCCTTATTAGTAGTCATGGATGATGTTCTGGGCGGAGAACTCGCCTCACCACATGAAGGGCACGAATGCCCTAGTGGGAAAGTTGACATGCCCCTGGGGTGGTAAGAAGGGGGTGAACGCGAACGTAGTTGTTCAGAGCTTGGCGATGCAGCTCTGATCTGAAGCATCCGTGTATTTTGGGGGCTATCCGTGACGCTGCTGCTCGACGAGCCGGAGGAGATCTGTGTGTTGACTGAGAATATAGAGTCGCATTCGCTCGTTACGTCAGAAGGCGAGTAGGGGTATCCAGCCTTGGACGATATCGAGCGCTCATAAATGTATGTGTCGGGCACAGGTCCGGCGTGAATAGCGTATCTCCCGGAGCTAGGCTTGTGCTCGTACGATCGCTTAGTGAAGCCTGGCTCCTCGGGCGGAGGAGCCTTTAATAGCTTCCTCGTGGGTTCCTGCTGGCGAGGAACGTGTCCGGACTGTTGTCTGGACTGAGAGTTTGCCCGTGTCATAGGACGGTAGTCTAAGTCCACTTTCGCTGCATATGGACGTGTAGACATCGTCGGAGCCTTGAAGACCTGGAGAGAGAAGCCCGACGGGACCGGGAGGAAATAATTCTGCACAGCCCAGCGCTATCAGCGTGAGGCATACAGGTAATAAACGCATTTCGTACCTTGGCTGCTCCACCACGGGAGGGAGGTCGGACAGCGGGATTGAAAGAGGAAGCAAACATTGTGAGCGGGTGAGGCTCCTACATGGGTGATTTGTGAACGCAGCTTTTAAACTGGAGGAACACATCAGAGGACCATTGGCGAGGGTGTCCATGAGGCACTGTACACGAGACAAACAGGTTGTAAAACACGCGGTCTGATGCGTACGCGAGAAATGAGATCCAGTTTACCTGTGGACGATGGGTACAATACATAGTGTGAGTGTAAGCATATAGTTGGCAAATACAGACTGGCTAGTGATTGAGCGGCAGTCCGGCCAAAAGCAAAAGCAGGGTCAACTATTCTTGACGCTCGTATAAGCGTGGAAACATAGACGTGCGCTGCACTTAGAGTCATATCCTCTCATGCCTTTGCCTTGCTTCGGAGCTTGAGAGCACGCAAACCTTATTATTATGATTCCAGTGCCAGGGTTGAGGCCAGCGTTTCGGGGAGTTGATCGTCATTTTCAGTAAAGCGTGTCTTTGAAGTAAGACGTCAAATCAATAATGATTGATCAAATATGACTGGAGAAATGACCTTATTAGGGAAACGAAGCGAAGGAGGAGACAAACATGAACCTGCGGAGGGACTTCGGAACTGCAAGTGTTGATCAAGCGAATGCCCCCGAGCTTCTCCATGGTTCTCACCGTCTTCACTATGAATCACCAGTGAAACAGGGCAGAACCTGGCAGAACCACCACAGGGTCAAAGGGCGACGTTTCCGACGAATCAGAGCGACATCACACAGCATCTTAGTCAATCTCCTCGCGATCGAACAGATGAGCCAGCATCGCAGAGTGCCGATCAAGATGGGTTAGAATGCAAGCTAGCGCGATAGAAGACCAACATAATGAAATTATCAATAGAAAGCCTCTGAAAACTGCCTACAACTCATGTCCCACAGCTCGTATTGGGCAAGCCGCAAACATGGCAGATGAAGGCGTTCCGAAAGCCTTAGGCATGTTCGATGCACAGCGAAGTGGTTATCCGTTGACTACGGAGTGCAAGGGTGACGCGAGGCAGTACAAATTCCGTGAATGATAACACAGTGATTTTCAGGAGAGTGGCCTTATCCCAACTACACCAATAGGTGTACATATTTGACAAGCCAAAGTCCCGAGGAAAGCATGTTGTATGAAGTCACAAGTACAGCATCCTCCTCCACGAGTTGAAAGTTTTCTCGGAAGTATGCAAGCCGGGAAGTAGTGTCCGTGCTCGTGAATGTAATTCTGAATCCTCCGAGGCACGGGTCAGGTCGAAGAGTGCAGACACTAAGTGGCAGAATAACAGGAAGTCCTAGTGGTAGCCATAAGGGTGACAAATTTAGTATGAACTGTTTTATACATATATGGTAGATAAAGGACCACGTTTAGCAGACTTTGTACGAAAACTACGGACAAGTTTTGGTAGACATTGACACGTCTTGAAGGGCTTAACCCAAACATCCGTCATGAAGCTTAAAGAAATCTACAGGACGTCCACTTTTGCGTGGTCACCGACCGCATCGCTCCCCCTCATTGCGACGGGCTCGGTTGCTGGCGCACTCGATGAGTCTTTCTCGAACGAATCTCAGCTCGAAATATGGCAACCGGATTTCATGGACAAGAACGAATATGATCTCGGAGGAGATGGTTTGCCTGCCCCAAAGGGCGCGGTCACCGACAGCTCAAGGTGAGCATGCTAGTCGCGTGCCAAAATAGAAGTCCGTGAAATGATCGTCATAGGTTCAACCGTCTTGCATGGGGTCAAGTGCATGGAGACCGCTCACGCGGTGTCATTGCAGCTGGTATGGAAAACGGCGAACTTGCTCTGTGGGACCCAGCAAAAATTATTGTTAATGCCGAGTATGTACATTTTTTACGAGGTTTCATCAGCTGACTAGCGCACCCAGCGTCTCCGACTCTCTGATCCTTCGCAACACCAGCCATACTGGTCCCGTCCGTGGCCTTGATTTCAACCCCATACAAACAAACCTTCTGGCTTCTGGTGCCATCAACGGCGAGGTGTGCAGATTGTCTTCTGCAAATCGCAAATCATTCTCCTCCTAACATGTTTGTTGCGATATAGGTTTATATCTGGGATCTCAATGACCCGTCGAAGCCGTACTCGCCTACGCCAGGCACGCGGAGCACAAAGCTTGATGAGATCACTTCCGTTGCTTGGAATCAACAGGTACAATACGTGCTTGCAGGCGCTAGTAGTACGGGGTATACTGTAGTATGGGATCTGCGAGGGAAACGCGAGGTGGTCGCCCTCGCTTACGGTGGTGGTGCGGGCACGCTTGCAGGCCAAAGTGGTGTTGGTAGTGGAATGGCCGTTGGCGGCAGACGCGGCATGAGTGCGATTGCGTGGCACCCTGACAATGTAGGCGCTCACAATTCTAATAGTGATGCCACGGAGCTAATTGGGGTTTCAATGCAGGCAACTCGCCTTGTTACCGCTTCCGAGGATGACCTGTCTCCCGTAATCATGGTTTGGGATCTTCGAAATGCACGTGCACCGGAAAAAGTATGCTTTTAATATATCCATTCATCCATTGCTAATGCGCCCCATGTTCTCGTTCCTAGATCCTTACGGGGCACGAGAAGGGTGTTCTGTCGCTCTCGTGGTGCAAGCATGATGCAGACCTCTTGCTTTCGTGCGGAAAGGACAATCGCGCTCTCTGTTGGAACCCGCAGACATCTGAGATCATTGGCGAGGTATGGCTTGATTTATTGAAGTCTAATGTTCTAACTTTGTCTTTAAACAGCTTCCTTCTGCGGGTAATTGGGCTTTCCAAGTGGAATGGTGCCCACGAAATCCTGATCTCCTGGCTACTGCTTTCTTCGATGGCACGGTTGGGATTCACTCTATCCAGTCTACGAATGATGCTTCAGTCCCCCCGGTGACCCCAAAACCCGATGGCGCAGATGTGTTTGACGTGCCAGGTTACTCCCGTACCACAGCTCCGACGCTCAGTCTTAAACAACCACCCAAGTGGCTCCGCTGTCCATCTTCCTGTTCGTTTGGGTTCGGTGGGCAGCTTGTCAGCGTCGGTAATTTACCTGCAGCTTCGGGGAAAAACCAGAGCAGCGTTGTGCACATCCGAAAAGTTATTGCAGAGACAGATATTGTTGACCGGGCTCAAAAGTTGCAACAAGCTGTGGATACCAATACCTTGAGCACATTCGCAGAAGAGCGGGTAAGCTCGGAGAAAGCTGGTGAGGATGGCTGGAAGGCCCTTCTGAGTTTGTTTCGTGCGAATTCGAGGGACGAACTTGTCACGCTGTTAGGCTACTCTAAAGAGGAGGTCAAGGGGCGTGTGGAGGAAGCGGTTGCGAAGCTGAAGGAGATTGTATCAGTCAACACGTCCAGCTATAGCGTGGATGAATCTGGTGCGGACCCTGCGAAACCTCACGAACCAGTGGTGTCCTTTGCGGAACCAGAAGCACAATACGATGGCAGTGAAGAGGATTTGTCGACAATGGGTGCTGAAAAGACGCCTTCAGAGGTGAGCGCCAGCGTTGCATCCGACGCCGTCCAGGTCACAGACGGTGAATCCACGACTACTGCTCCAAGTCTCTTTGGTGATGAAGGTGCCCTTGGTACACCCCAAATGGATGCGGGTGCTGACTTCTTCAGCACAATTGGCGCTGCGCCCGAACTCGAGGTGCCTCATCATAACTACGGTCTCGATTCAAGTGTTGCTGCCACAATTGGTTCTGGTCCCTCGAGTGTAGCAAGCGAGAACCTGAAGAACAACACGTTCAGAATCTACCCCTCAGACGAGAGTGAGACAGATGGACTGGTGACGAAAGCACTAGTGCTTGGCGACTTCGAGTCCGCTGTTTCGTTGTGTCTTTCTGCCGAACGCTATGCGGACGCTGTCTTGCTCGCGATCAAGGGTGGCGAAGATCTTCTTCAACGCACCCAGAAGGCTTACTTCGAACGGCGCACCACCTCGTATCCCTATCTTCGTTTATTCCAGAGCATTGTCACTAATGATCTCTCGGACATCGTGCAGAACGCCGATCTTCAAGAATGGCAGGAGATATTTGTGGTGCTAGTGTACTTTCGCGAGTCAGGAGGAGTTCTCGAGCCTTGCGGAGCAACTCGGGAGCAGGCTGGAATTCCAGAGCAGTCTGATGCGTGAGGGCGGTGCAGAGAACGAGGACGATGCCTTTGAATTGAGGAAGACGGCGACTTTGACATATCTGGCCGCAGGAAGGCTGGAGAGACTCTTGAACATCTGGATCGAGGAACTCGCCGAAGAAGAGATTTTGTTATTGGACGATCAAGATCAGCTGAGCAGTTCGCGATATGCAGCCCATGCCCACGCTTTGCACACCTTCATAGAGAAGGTGACCGTCTTCCGCGATGCCACCAAGTATGTGGACGGCGATTTGGCACAGGTACCAGGTGAAGACGCCGGTGCCAAGACGTACAAACTCGGCGCGTTGTATGATCGATACTTTGAGTATGCGGACGTACTCAGTGCTCAGGGTTTGGTGAAGGAGGCTGTTGCCTTTTTGAAGTTAACGCCGGCAGATTACATAGGGTCTGCATTGGACTGCGCAGGAATCAGGGAGCGTCTACTGATGGCTTCTGGAGAGCGCGAGGTGACCCTAGCTGTTCCCTTGGCAGGTACCAGTCATGCTGCTATTCAACCCGTCCCTGCGCATACTATTCCCTCCACGCTATCTGGCTACGCCAGCTACACGCGATCTGTTCCAGTTGTCCCTGCTCAGATGTATGCGCCTGTTCAAACCATCTCTCAGCCATCACATAATCTACATGCTGTACCCTCTGCTGCCAGGCCAATTCACCCCACTTCAGTTCCGCAGCCAGCCCAACACCAACATCTGCCACCGTCCCGTGGTCCCATGCCTCCCTCTACCCCGCTGAACCGCATGCCAAACGGTGGCTGGAACGATGCTCCTGTTATGACCAATGATCGTCGCACCCCATCTTCATTGAATCTTCAGAAGCCTCTGGCTATAGTGTCTCCCTTCCCCAATGCTCCTTCTCCCAGAATTGCGTCACCTCCTGCTCCTGGCCCGCCACACACGAGTGGGCATGGTCAGAACCCTCCTCCCCCTCCGCCACGGGCGGCACAGTGGTCGATGCACCCACCGCCTCCCTCTCAGGCTCGACCTCCTTCTGGGCCTCCTGCTCATTCACAGGGCATGCAACCACCATCAAACCGGTTAATGTCTCCTGCCCAACAGCATGCTCCTCTTCCTTCTGTCCCTGGTCCATACTCGCCGTCCATGCAGCCCGCTCAATTGCAGCCTCCTGGGCCGTATGCCCGTGCCACTCCTCCACCTGGTCCTCTTCGTAGTCCTGGGCAGCCACTCGGCCCACCTAGGCCGTATGCAACGCCTCCGCCAGGGCAGGCCGGTCCTCCGCTGCCGCCAGGTCCCTATGCACCTCCTTCCGGCCAAGCTCAGCAACCACCAGGTCCATACGCACTTCCTCCTAGCCAAGTTCAACAGCAGCAACCCCGTGGAATTCCACAGGGTCCACCGCGAGTGGCTCCCGCACCACATCCCCTTGCCGGTCTGCCTAAGCAAGGACCTCCTGGAGCTGCATCAGCCGGAGGTGTCAGCAACACGCAGCCTCCACGTTCTCGACAAGGCCCACCGCCACCAAAATATCGTACGTCTTCTCGATGGCGCAGTAGGCACGTGGCTGATTATTGATTCTAGCCCCGGGAGACCGGGCTCATATCCCCGAGTCTGCGTTGCCCATCTTCAATATCATCAACGAGCAACTCACACGGATGAAGCAGACGACACAAGTATGTGATTGTGTTCTGTGATCGAAGCTTTTGTGTGACCATCTTCCATAGCCCCAACAACGACGAATGGCTGATGACCTTGAGCGCCGAATCAACTCTCTATTTGATGCTTTAAATTGTGAAACATTGTCCAAGCCTGTGGTTGACCAGTTGCTTGTTTTGGCAAGAGGTATGTGGCTCCCATCAATATGCTTGGGCAATCCTGGTTCAAGCGTTGTTCGACAGCCATGGAGGCGCATGACCGAGATGCTGCGTTGTCTATCCACGTCGACCTTCTCACTCGTGGCTCGCAGACAGATGACATTGGCTTGTGGATGTCGGCGATCAAGCAGCTCATTATTCGCATGTAAAAGTTTGTTACAAGTCGGCTTGAAATGCGTTGTTGTTCGCTTTTTACTATCCACAAGACTATTTAGATTCACGGTATCGGAAATGTAATGTTGAGTTTTCTGAGTGATAACGGTGATTAGTGGTGTAGGCATCTCCGAGCTGGATCCTTTTGCGCTGAAACTTAAAAACATTGCCCTTGGAACTAAACCATCCTCATTGTTGCGATTGTCTGGTGTAAGAAGGCTTCAGACGATGTGGTACGTCGGATGGCCCTGTACGATTACCTTGGTCTTGACTCTTGTAATCGGATGACTGTACGGATAACCGGGTATTATTGGCTGCGCGTCCTCTGAACCTCTGACTGGTACGACAAGCATTGGTCCATCGCCGTCACAGATATCCAGAAATCCGCAATCCAATCATCGCATAGATATCTGATTCGAACAATTGAAACAAGTGGTGGTAACAACGTACTGCAGATCGGAGTCTGGCAATTCGGATCTCAGCTGATAAACTCCCCAGATGTCTTTCGTTCCTCCTGAACTTGTCTTATGTATCTTAGAACATGGGTACTACACCTCGCTACGTACCCCGAACTATACCTTCCTCAAAGCTGCTGCACTGGTGTGCAAGACCTGGTCAGGACCTGCACAAACCCTGCTCTTTCGCTGCGCCACAAAACTTGAGCAACACAACATCCTCATATTTCGTGCAGCACTACTCTCTTCGGCGGGGCGGGGGAAAGCCTTAGGTGAATGCATACGAATCCTCGAAATATCGATCGGAGGAGCCTCGAATGGGGGACCCGGATGCAGCCCAGACGACCTTGTAATCCTTCTGCAAGCTTGCCCTCAGTTGTACGAGCTCGCGCTGAGTATCACCGGAGTACACGAATTTGAGGAGGAGATACTGAAGAAGCTGGGAGATGTAGGAAGGAAACTGAAAGCGCTCACACTGTTGCAGTGTGGACTCCAATCGCCTATCCTTTTTCAACTGCTCAAGATATGGAATAACATCCAATTTCTCAAAATTGAAAAGGAGATCGCTGCGTGGCCATGGCGCACTGCTGCCACGCCGGTGTTGCGGAGGAATACTGACGCTGAAGAGTTGGCACAACGACCTGGTGCAGAGGTCTGCTTGTATGAGCTTGCCCTGTCGAGGTTTCCAACATTAGATGTTTTAACCTGGTTGCTTAAATCATCCGCCGACTCCCTCCGCATCCTAGAACTGCGAGATATACCGGGACCCACGCATCGAACTATTCTTTCTCTCCATGCTCCGCGACTTCGCTCCCTCCGTCTTGCGTACTACAATATGTATTCTGCTGCTCTGCTCCGTATGTGCACTGCACTCGAAGAACTGGTAATTTACCACGTGCCCACACATTTTCCACTAGCCCGCGATCTCCCGCCCACTATCGAACACCTTTCTTTCAGAAATCCCAATCACATATACCGCAACACGCTCCAGCCTATCATCAAAGCAGTGGACGCGCTTCCAAGCCTTAAAACCTGACGTGTGACAAGAACGCGGAGCAGTTGGTTGGAGATTATGAGATATTGAAGGCGAAGTGCAGAGTGAAGGGTGCAGAGATTATCGTATTGGATATGCCGTTCTGGGTGGTGGGTGTCAAATTTCATAACAATGCTCCTGTTCTGCGCTCATGTCAAAACAGTACGAGGACCCTGTCAAGGTACACCGATTTCCTCGGACTCGTTCTGTATCGAACTTCGACGCGATGTTTTAGATACGAGAAAATAACTGGGGAGACTGCTGGCGCTGATTTTTGTGTGTACGTCACGAGCTTGAATCATTACACTATGGGCAACATACAGTCAGAACCCTGGACGAATCTGATCAGTTCTCCCGTTCATAGGAAGCGCTTTAGTGAACTCACTAGGTCCCGCGTGACTCCGGCTCGGACCCCTTGGTCTAAGTTTGAGTTAAATATTTACCTCCACTCCCATGAATAAATCCTACACCTTCGCACACCTTCCAAGCAGCTTTCACATGACGAGGCAACTTCAACAGGCATTACCTCGTCTGCATCTGGTGCTTCTTTGGCGCAGTCGTAGCACAGGCTCACGCGATGACACTCCTTGCAACGATCGATGTAGGAGCAAGTGATGCAGAATGGCCGGTCGCAGCGCGGACATCGGATGAAAACGTCTGCCCACTGCGCACAGAGGTCGCAAGCCCACACTCTTTCGCACAGACACATCACGCCACTGCTCGCACACTTAGGACAGATCCGAGAAGACCAACAGAATGGTCTATTGGAGCAAGACCGCCAGCCGGGTATCTCGCATTCCAGACAGGACTCTGGCTTGTGAGGATGAGCCCTTCCGTGAGTGAAATAGGCAATCAAGCGCGTGACATTGAAGTGTCCCCATAAGACAGGATGGGACTCAATGCCCACGGGACGCCCAGTACATAAGGACTTATCCTTCGCACAGCACCAAAAATTGCACACTGGACACTGTTCCAGCCGCTTAGAATTCTGATGCTCGAGGCATGGGAGACATAGCACTTCCTTTGGATGCGTGATGCACCGCGCCAGCGGGGGTTCAGAAGATCCACGACAATCACGCGACTCGCACGACGCAACCTGGCAGCTGTTGCAATGGATGAGATCGGAGCCACATATAGAGCACTTCCAGAAGGCTGGTGGTAATCTGGTGTCTGTGCCACCGGGAACCTGTTGCTGTGAAACACGTTGATGATATCTCTACCGCAGTCAATTCACGTCATGATAGTGTAAGAACACAAATCAATACTTACCTCCACTTGCAGCTGCTTCCATATCCTACGCGCAAAGTAATTCTCCGTCTCTGTCCCACTGACGAGAGCATATATCAGATCTCGCGAGGGCAAACTCATATATGTCCATGATGACCGGCGTGAGCTCGCTGGGGACGGCAGCGCAAACGTCATGCGTATGGCTTTGGATCTGCATATCACGGAATCGGACAAAAATGCATGAATCCATCCATGAGGCAGCGAAAGAGAGGGAAAGGCCTGATAGGTCTGGGGGTTCCTGTGAGAATGTGTATCCGAGAACTGCGGTGTATCCTCCCAAATCGTCAATTGTGGAGAGCTCCTCTAAAGCTGATGGGTACAACATGCCAACAACAGTCTTCATGACCCGGAATACGTTCATCTGCATTGGATGGACATATTGTGTCTCGCACGGAGATATAATTTTCCAGTTAGGCATACAGGGCAGAGGTCAAGACTCCTCGACGTAGACTGGTGGCCAAGTCGGCCTACTTAGGAGGCAAGTGGATCAACTGACTCATCTGACGGGTAACGTGATCTTTAGCCATTGGAAAGACCTCGCTGGTCCTTGGATAGGGGCATTGAAGTAGTTCACAAGTGAAAATGGCACGTGACACTAAGATCAGTGTGACTTCCAGAGTCTAACAGTCCCCGACTCCCAACGTTAGTCACGGCTAATGGCCAGAGGAGGGCTCTTGTCGAAGTGATCGGCTGTCCGGATCTCCCAAAACCTTTGCCGGCTACACCCGTGTTCGGACCTTTTCGGTTACTGCGCTTTAAGCCGTTATGCATACGTCGGCGGACTACTCCTGCATGGCGTCTTGAGCTTTCTGTTATGGGGAATTCTAGAGTTTCGTGTTGAATTCTGAGCTACTGCTATCTCTGTCCGGTGCCCGGGGCAATCGAAAGTAGATAATTTTTATTCCGCCTCGGCATCAACATAAAACGGGAGCGCAGACAAACTACACATCAGGATGACGGTCTGCCACTTCAATCTAGCTTTCAAGTCATCCTCGATTGCATTAGAAGAGCCAACGATCGAAGGAGTATCTACCGATGAGGCTTCAGCGAGGCTGGCCGCCGGGAGGTCACATCATTTTCCTGACTGTCAGACTCACTCTGTCCTTGGCTTGTGTGCATTCTTCGCCGCTGACCTCCGGCTCCATTAATGTCATTTTCGTTTGGTGGTGAATCCCGACAGTTCTGGTCAGTCTGTCGAGAATATAGATTGGTACGTACGCAACTCAGATCTGGAGATATATCTTGTGTTTCTAAGACGAGCCTCGCGAGGCGTGAAGGTGAATTCCTTTTCGTGGACACTACTATCACATAAAAAGGATGTTTCGGCACAATGACTGGACCTAGTTAATTTAAGATAGACCTCCAAGGATCTATACGGAGGTTTCGAGCCAACTCCAAGGGAAACAGATTTTGACTCAGGCTGTGGTAACCACTCGGCTAGGAGCAGTTACATCATGAACCTCCGAGGAAACTATCCATGAGTCAATGTTAGGGTGTTCCGATAAAAAAAGCTTGTCGTTCGGCAGGTTTTGAACCTGCGCAGTCCAAGAGAAACAGATTTTAACTCTGTTGTGGCAGCCACTTGGCTAAGACCAGTTAAGCCTCTGAAGAAACCATTCATGAGTGAGTCTCGGAGTATATTCTCATAGAAAAAAGAAACGGCGGGTTTCGAACCTGCACATTCCAAGAGCAACGGATTTTGATTCTTTTGTGGTAACAACTCGGTTAAGACAAGTTAGAAAGCCCTTTGAGGAAACCATCCATGAGTGAATGTCGAAGTGTGTTCCGATAAGGAAAAAAACCCTGTCGTCGGCAGGCTTGACAAATTTTGATTATGTTCGCGTGGAAACCACATGGCTACAAGGCCAGTTAAGATGCACCTCATCCATGAATGAATCTTCAAGGCTGGTTTCGAACCTGCACTGGCACAGTCCAAGAGACAGATTTAAATTCTGTTGCGATAACCACTTTGGCCAGGACGAAGCTGAGATCAACGCCCGAGGAAACCATCCATGAGCAAATCTTCAAAGGCATGTGCCGATAGAAAAAAAAACTTGTCGATCAGCATCGCGAGTACCTGACTCCTGATCTGCAGCGGCTTGGTGGCAGACGGTAGAAGAGGGAGTGCATGCCCTTCAGTAGGTGCCTCAGGAGGATGTGCTGGGGATTGGATGTCGCTTCAGCACCAGAGGTAGAGTTTGGAATGTAGGGAGTGGCCTGAGAGAGTGAGGGAGTAGGCATGAGGGAGGGGGTCGCTGCTGGAGATGTGGTGAAGAAAGACCCCTCATCAAGGGCTTCCAAGAAGTCACTGGAATAAGTAAGCGGGGCGCATAGCGGAGTGACTATAAAATGACATACGTAGTAAGGACTGAAATTCGTTGCCTAAAGTTTCGGGCTGATACAGAAACGCACCCAAAGGAACGATTCCGACTCGGATGCACACAATTCTGGGACTCCCACGGTGATTCAACAGAGAAATATTTGTTTCTCATGACACAGCAGAGAGCTTTTTTAACTTCCGAGTGGTGGATGAATGGGCCGACAAGGTTGGATAAGTCGAGCTTAGATTTCCCTCGTAAGTCCGTCACCCTTCGAAGCAATCTCGGACTTTTCAGTCTCTGACTAGGAAAAATCTGATTCGTCCTCTTTGTCAGTGCTGGGGTTCGACTTCGACTTATCTCCACCTCCTGGAGCTTCTTTTTCGTATTCCGAATTTTTCCTTCTAGTAGTATCGACAACTTCCGTTTCAAAGGTGTGAAGCATGCGGTGATAAGGGACGACGAGCTGGGCAGCATCATGCCCTGCGAAGTCGCATGATTCCACCTGAGATGCTATCGATGGGTTGATAAAGAGCATGTGTTTAACTTTTCCTTTCCAATATTTCCTACAAAGCCTACTAAGACAATCAGAGGAGAAAGTGGTTTTTGTTCGAGAGGGGTTAACGTTGCTGCTGGAGTCTGGCAGTCAATGAACTACGCCGCTCCGCTTCCATAAAGGCAGCGATAGGGGTACCCAAGCGAAGAGAGACAAGCGGCATTGTTTACAAGGGCCGCTCAAACAAATGAGAATATGAAATTCATAAATACCTCGATTCAATCATTGGTACGTATACGCCTCTGCGGCGGATCACGGTCAACGCCCTCCCTTCCATCTGAGATCTCCTTTCAAGCGCCAATCATATACATACGACATCACAGGAAACCGCGTTCCCTCCAGATTTCAAAAAATCGGACAGTTGTTTTGACGTCAACCAATATCTATTATCTATCGAAAAATTAAAAATTGGACATGGCAAGGGTATCCGCCGACTCCCGAGCCTGCGGCTCAGCGAGACTTTCCAGTGTCAACTTCCCAGAAAGAGGTGCTTTCCTGAGAATAGAATAACGAGGGAATAGAGCGAATAGACAGAGCAGTCTATTCTAGATGTTCGTACGACAGGTAGAGGTACGGGATAGAGAGAGAATAATCCATCGTTAAGTGAGCAAGATGGTATAGATGAATATAAATATTTATACAAGGTAAACAAAATAATCACATGAAGCGTCCAGACTGCAAGATGTTTCGTAAAGCAAGAAAACATAACAGGAAGGTAAGCATCAAGCTCCCACTTCATATGACTTCGAGTTCACCATGCCAGCCACGCAATGAAAGACTGCAGAAAAGCGTGAATTCAAGTTCCAGTACGGTCGTGTAACTCAAAATATACCTTCGGGTAATTCCTCACAATAGCTTTGCGAGTTTCGTCCATGAGCAAGATCCCCAAAGCAAAGGTAAATGGAAGACCCCAGAACATCCCAGGGATAGGCATCGTGCCAAACACCCGCTGGAAGCCAGCTCCATAGAGGTTCACGATGCAGATCAATATCGTGCCCATTATGCCGACAAGTACCAGAAGGTTGCAACGCGGGCCCCATAGAGGATTCGAATGCAGTATCGATACTCGGCGGTTACAAACTGATAGAAGGGTCCCACATTGTCCGATGGCCACTGTCACATAGCTAGTGACTCTTAGAATCAGTACTGCGAGAGGAAAGAATGACGACACACTAAATGCCTTGACCAACATCGACGAAATGGGTTAGCTGACTGAGGGTGTAACCTTGCCAGCCATCTTCCCATTGGTTGAAAGTCAAGATAACTTTATAGAAACTGAGGCCCTGCTGGTTCATGTACAAGAACCACATCGCCATCGCGCAGGGCCACAGCATCAGTCCATAGAACTGGGCAAGTATACATGAGCGCGTTTGGGTCACCCACGTCATGAAACGTACTAAGAAGAGATGGAAGAAAAAGCGCCAATCCGCAAGCCTATCGGTCCCGGCGTTGCGTGGTTTGCGCTGCATCAAGTCTACAACAGGAATTGAGCACTGGAAAGCTCATTGAATACGTGAGCACCCACCCCACTCTGGCTTCTCATACATCAACGAGATAGACATGATAACATCGTTGGTGATGGAATAGCAGGTTTGTTGATACGAGTTCAAGGGTAACTGCATGCCTAGTAATACGTTTGCGAGGATCGCCATGAATTGCGCATAACTTCCACCCTGCGGTACCATAAGTATCAAACCCGCCAAGATTATGCTGCTTCCGCAAATGCGACTCACAAGCATAAGATACAATGTGACTTTCTTCAGGTTATCAAAGACTAGTCGGCCCAACTCTATCGCGACAGGAATGGAAGCAAAGTCATTATTTAACAAGATCAAGGCAGCTTGAGAGTGATGGTATTAGTGTCATCGAAAAGACCACCAGGAAATCTATACCAGCTTCCTTGGCCACATCACTGCCACTACCCATCGCAACACCAATATCAGCGGCTTTGAGTGCTGGTGCATCATTGACACCATCTCCAGTGACTGCGACTGTATTGTCTCCGCGAGCTTTGATCTCCTCTACAATTCGCATTTTCTGGTCAGGGGTAGTGCGCACAAATACGATCTCTGTGTAGGCCCCAACGATGACATTCCAATCAAATGAGGTGAGAGATGCGACGTCTTCCCCCGTAAGTACCAGGGAGCGGATAGGATCATCATCAGATGGCTTGGTAAGATAATAATCTTTTGACGAGACCTTCTCAGATGCAGCGGCTCGGACATCCTGGATGGTATTGACAACATGTTGGGTGATGATACCGGCCTGCAAAGGGGGGTTAATAGGGATTTTATGGCGGCAGAAAATAAAGAAGACCTACCTGGCGAGCAATAGTTAGAGCAGTGAGCTTGAAATCACCAGTGACCATAAAGACTCGAACTCCAGCTCGTCGAATGATAGAAATCGACGCCGATACATCTGGGCGAGGAGGATCACAAATTCCAATTAGACCAACCAATGTTAAATCGCACATCTCCATGTACATGAGATCTTCCACGTCGTTTGGTGTAAGTCCAGTCTTGATTTCTTCTATGAGTTTCCTACATCTATTACCTCGGCAACGATATCAGACGTTAAGATGCCAAGTCAAAAGTGCTCATACCCACAGCACGAGTACTCGTTGGCCACGGCTTGACCAATCCTCTTGAAGCATGGCAAACCTCTGCCTCGCCGTACTTCTCAACTTGACGACCGTCCCATCACTCTGTAGCACACTGCCGCAGGAAGGGAACAAAACATCAGGAGCTCCCTTGACGAACATCCATGTCGATTCTACGTTCTTTTCAGCAGTGTTGACCCTGGAGACCACAGAAAGCATCCATTTGTTGCTGGAATTGAAAGGGATCTCAAACTTCTTATGATGATCTTGCTGAAGAGTACTGGCATTCACACCAAGCTCCGGTATTGAAAGGGCTTCGGAGAAACGCAAAAGAGCAGTATCAGTCGGATCGCCCTTGATCGTACGATCCTGCACAGGAAGGTGGTTAGTCGTTGCGTCGAATCTCGCGCCGTTGCAAAGCCTCGCGATATGATGGAGCGCCTTGAACGCAGAAAATACGGCAGGGTCTGATGCCTTCGTAACCCTCTCGTTAATTTCCTCGACACCAAATACGTGATCGAGAAAGGCAATATTCTCTACCATCTGTGGGTCCATCAGCAAGCTGGTAACAAGAGCAGATGCATCGTTCATCTTACCATCTTTCCCGCGGTCAACGTGCCAGTCTTGTCAGAACATAGCACGGACATGCATCCTAACGTCTCGATGGTCGCCAGATTTTTGACCAACACCTGACGTTTAGCCATGCGACGGGCAACAACAGTTAACGAAAGTGCCACGCAAATCGGGAGGCCCTGCAAGACGTCAACTAAGAAGGGGATGCAAACTTCCACTGCTGGCCACCTACTTGGGGAACGAAAGCAGTCAAGCAGCCAATTGAATTTACGATGGCAGAAGACGGGGTGTCATATCCAGGATACGATGTCCGTAACCAAACGGCGTATAGAAGAATCGATAAACAGAAGAAAAAGAATGCGATACATGAAACGATTTTGGTGAAAAACCACATTTCTCTTTGAATAGTGGTAAGCTTGAACTTTGTTTCTCCCGACATCTTGACAAGGCGTCCCATAACGGTCCTATCTCCTGTGGCGAACACGACACCATGGCAAGTCCCTTGTACAACAAAAGTGGAAGTCAGTGCGAGATTACGAGTCTCCAGAGCATTGTCGGATGTTGCATCAAGAGCTCCCGGTACCATTTCGCTGCAATTAGACTTCAGCCAAATTCGAGCACGTAAGATAAGGAACAGACCTTTCACCCGTCAGGAGAGAGCGATCAAAGCGAAGGTCGGACGATGCCTGCACGACACGCATGTCGGCCGGGACACGGTCGCCAGCATTGAGCACGGCAACATCACCGACTACAATGTCAGTAGCTTTGATTATTTGCTGGTTTCCGTCCCTAATGACCGCAGCCTCATGTGCAATTAGAGATTTTATTGACTTCATGATTCTGTTTGCATTCCAATCGACCAAAGCATAGAATGTAGCAGAAACGACGATGACGATGATCTGTAGTTGATGAGAAGGGGGAAATTGAGCACTAGAGTTGAAAGTCACGAACCAATAGCACAGCAATACCAAGAGTGAAAGGTACAGGAGGCCCGAGTGGTTCATAGGAGAGCTAACGTGTATATTAGAGAAGTCACAATGGCAAGTGAACAACGGCACTCACGATGGTCAAGATGAGCGAGATCCACATGAGAAAATTGAAGCCACCAAAAATATAATTAAGCGTTTTCTTCCAGTAGATAGTAGGTGGAGGACTAATAACATTCTTGCCATCACGCTCTCTGCGACGAACAGCGGCAAGCTCCAAACCGACTGTGGGATGACTGGAATACCGGGTATACACTTCGTCGACAGTCAGTAGATGGGCATCAATGTTTTCAGTTGCATCCGCTAGGTCTGGCGAGGATCTGGAGGACGTCTGTTTCTCTTCGACGCGACCTGATAATGTACGGTATCTGTTCGTTGTTAGGTCAGTGATATACCGCGTGGGAGATAAAGATGTAAGTAGAATACAAACGAGATTTGAATGCCATCACCTTTGCCAGACCCGGACTCAGGAGCTGTGTCTGACATCAAAGCGACGTGCTTGAGGATCTTTGCTTCCTCTTGTTATTTATCACATACTATCCTCAAGGCAATCCATCGAATTTGCATTGCCAGACCTCAGAATTTTTAGATCTTACTAAAGTGTTTTTGCCATTCTGAGTAATGCACCGGGCAAAACCTATCACGCGGGCGTTGTTAGTGAGCTAACGTCGAAGATCTAAATCGTTAGCAGCCGCCAAGCCGCCGATCCCCGACTCTGCTGGAACTTTCACCTACCGCCTGCCGGCTGTTGTCAACCATCGTCAGTTCAGAACGTCTAGCGTCCTCCATTTTTTTTCGTTAGAAATTGTTAGAGTGGTTCAGGCCCGACCCACAAGGGGGAAAAAACGATAACCTGCGTTCTCCAGACGAGACAACGAGAGTGAGACAGACACGTCATCCAATATAATCACGATAGCAAACCCATCAAATGAAATACATCCCGTAAACAAAAGATAACACGAGAAGCAGGAGCAATGATAAAACCCAAGAAGCAGAAGCGATGATGGGACTCACCAGTGCAGATGACAGTGGGGATGATAAAGTGCGCCATGATAATCAGGGTAATCGCATATATTGTGAACAGTACAGGGCAAGCACGAGGCCTCGTCCAACACTCGAGGGACGGGGGAAGGCGTCTTCACTAAGAGCATCCTGGACAACTTGCAATAGATGAGAAGCATGTAATCAAAAGCGACGAGAGAGTCAAAGGAACGGTGAGACAAGTGAATTCAAGAGGAGAAGACATCGAACACAGAGTCTTACCAAGGTGTCGGAAAATGGAACATGAGGAAGTTTCCGGTACCACGCGTCCAGCTGAGCGAAAGCGGCGTGAACTGTCAATTTGCAAGTGTGACCCCTTCTTCGTAGTAGGGCCAACTCATCACAGAAATTTCAAAAATTGAGCATGTGTTGTTGTTAGCTTGCTGGCCCGGTCCGTATGCCAGATTTGATTGCCAGCAATGGTTTGTTGCTCAAGTACAGTCAACTCGGTTCGAAGTTTCATCTCCAAGATCAGCGGCCATGGGCTAAATGCACCCTAGTGACCTAGCACTACTAGTACTGTCCATTAATTGGGCACACAGTGTCATGCCACTCAGACTGGCCGAGTTATTGATGCTGGTGGGAAAACACAAGTGAAGTGGGTATCCTATTAGCAAAACGACTAATAGCTGATCATCTGAGTGTCATGTCGTGGCGTCACGTATCGTGCGGTGTAAGTTGGAGAATTCTCTTTTTCGTTCAGTGTTTAAGGAGCATCTGGTTTACACACTTGGCGCGTAGGCTATATTCAACGTTCACTATCTACCGGTGTACAGACATGGCTTCAGAGGACCTTCACGCAATCTCCGCTGACTGGCTCAAAAGCCTAGAGGTCGCGTCGTCCACTGGAGACGTTATTTCATTTATGAGTCATTTCCTTTCGGACGGGTGGCTCAGAGGTCAGTGCTTGTCCAAGCAAGTGAGGCGCACTGACAAATACTCTCAGATCTTTTATGTTTTTCTTGGGATCACAGAACACTATCGAGTCTGGAAAAAATACGCGGATTTCTCTCGGAGGTTGTTGATGGGAAGTCGCGACTTGAGCGTTCTAGTCTTCGTGACTTCAAGATAGACGATCACACTATCAATGCGCCTTCACCATTCAAGTTACCAGGTTCACAAGGCATTGAAGGAGTACAAAGCGCTTTCACCTTTAGCATTACGAACCCAGCTGCACTCGGACGAGGTTTCTTCCGTCTGACGCAAGATGTCGATGGGAAGTGGAAGGCTTTAACTCTTTTCACAAACATGCAGGACCTCGTCGGGTACGAGGAGTCTTTCACAGACCAACATGGCCTATACGAGGGTCGAACAATAACTTGGGAGGAGGATGTCGATACAAAATTCCGTGCTATCGAGGCCGACCCCACTGTTCTGATCGGTGTGCCGTTTCTTTTATGAATCATAGTGTCTTGATGAGTCATAAAAGTTGGTGGTGGACAATCTGGCCTTATGTGTGCAGCGCGGCTGCGTAGGTTGGGGATCCGTGCACTTATAATCGAGAAAAATGTGCGTGTCGGAGACTGCTGGCGACAACGGTATGCACAAACAATAATATGTTTTCTTTATTATTAAATAATGCGAAACACAGGTACCCAAACCTTACGCTGCATACTCCCGCGTACCAAAGCTCCAGTATGTCTTATTATCTTTCCACGGGCTTGGTACTAATGAATACACAGTCCTTTACAATCCCTATCCGTATGTGCCTTCTACAGTCCAAAGGTATTGCATATCTCAATAATGTTAGGACAAACTTCCCGAAGTACATTCCTAAGGGAAAACTTGCCAATTTCCTGGAATCATACGCTGTTAATCAGGAATTGTGTATCTGGCTCTCCAGTACGATGACCTCAATTCCAATGTACGACTCATTATCCGCAAGATGGACTGTAGAAGTACAGCATGGAGATCAGAAAGTAATCCTCAATCCAAAGTATCTGGTCCTTGCCACAGGAAGCGGGAGCCCTCACATTCCTACCTGGAATGGAATGGATGGATTCCAAGGAACCTGGTATCATTCCGACTTCCATAAAGATGCAGAGCAGTTCCGAGGCAAACGTGTCGTCGTTGTAGGTGCGGTAAGTCATATATGTGCACTTTATATTTACGAGCGTACTTACGAGATCGTTAGGGCAATGCTAGTGGGGATATATGTCAAGATTTTGTAGCACATGGTGCCGCTGAGGTGCGTGTATAGATTGAAATAAAATGAAGTCATAGTTTCATAAGAAGAAGAAAAGGTAACATTGGTCCAAAGAAGCGCTACATGCGTTGTATCCTCTGCTGCCATGGAGAAAACTCGTTTTAAGCAGTCTTACCCCATCAACACCCCTATCGAGGAACTGGATCTCCGCAGCAATTCAATGCCTCTAGCCTTCTCCCTACAACTGACAAAATCAGGTGGGATCCAACCCATGAAGATGTTAGACAAGGAACTCCACGACGGTTTGCGCAAGGCTGGATTCAACTTGACTTGGGAACTTTCGCCTGGTAGTGGCGAGGTTGGGCTGGATGGATTTGTGTTCAGCCGTATGGGATCAGGAACTAGTGCGTTCGGATTTGTTCCTGAGACGGGTGATACTCAAACATCATACAGTGCTTGACATTGGCTGTGGTGAGCTAATTGTCGAAGGCAGAGTCAAGGTATGACTTGTATATATTATCAGAGGGCTGTAGCTGACGGTTGCGATATGTGCTTAGGTAAAGCAAGGCCAAGACATCAGTCACTTCGATAAAGACGGGATCACATTTAAAGACGGCTCTAAACTTTCAGCGGATGTCATCGTCCTAGCGTATGGTCTAAATGGTAGCTCATCGATCTTTCTCACGCGTGTTGCAGTACAGGGAATGAACCCATCATGAAGACCACGAGAGCTCTTCTTGGCAATGAGATTACCGATCGACTTCTTCCGCCTCAGGTTTGGGGCATTGACTCGGAGGGAGAACTTAATCAGGCATACCGACCCTCTGGACATCCGGGACTTTGGTTCGCCGTGGGTCCATTTGGAGCTGCACGTTTCTTCAGTAAACACTTGGTAAGGTACCTTTCTCTGCTGATCGATATATCTTTTGACAAATGCTATGATACAGGGTCTCCAGATCTTGGCACGAGAGCTTGGTATAGCATGACAAAGGGAGAATTACCGTTATACATGATATATTGCAGGTCAGAATAACAGATACTGGAATTCTCACTACCACGGAACAATGAGAGAAGACCAGTCATGCAAAACAAGTGCTCTCTCTGTACCAATCTGTCGCGTGATTTCATTCTGGCGACTGATCCCCAATACTTGAAATTCGCTAAGGAGTTGGCCATCAAGGACACTCTTCGATAAAGGCTTGGACACGGCCTCATTTCGCACAATTCTAACAGGGTTGTCAATGAAGAGCCCAGTGCAAACACAAATAACTCACCGATGGGCTTTCGGATTCAATCCAGCAGTGTGCTGCACATTCCGTGCCAACTGCCCTTGCAAAAGTTGTAGTCGTTTGAAAACAGCTTCATCTACGGGTGTGAGGGTTGATAGGGATCCGTCCGTAAATCCTGTCGATCGAATAAGACACGTCATCGATGCAGATAGAATACGAGCCTCACCAGACACCAGTTTTGCTTGAGGAATGAGTTGTTCGTCTTTCGTGCGCCGAGCAATCATGATGGTTGAGCGGCACTCTTTATGACTGTGGAACTCTGTGTGGCACAATAAATGCTGTCCCCCTCGAGACTCGGGATCTTCAATCAAAAACCGGAATTCTCAAATGTCAGTTTCATCGTGCCATGACCGTAACTCACCTGAAGGATCATATGCAAATAGCCTTAGGACCCCCTCTTCGTCTTCGCTAGCAATGGCTAAATCTCCCCCAGCAAAGAAAAAGTCCACAGTTGTGGCACACCTCCTTCGTACGTCCTTGGCCAGTGTGACGAGTTTATACGGATCTTCCTATAAAACGCTTGTTCATAAGAGAAACACAGAATAAACGCAAACGTCGCACTTGGAAAGCCACCAGCCAGACACTTTTCACGGCATCCCCGATCAAGAGAAGATTCTTCATTGAGCGCAGTGATGTAACGTAGACGCCGACATCTAGGAAGGCAACACCAACCAGGCGTTCGTCCAGATCAAGAGCGCGAATAAAAATCTGTAGTGATTATCAACGCAATGTTGCATACAGAGCATTCCGTTTACCTTCTGGCCCATAGATGACACAAGATAACCATTTATGCCGCACACAGCTGTTACGGGGCCTTTCGTATCATCCTTCACTCGCAGCTTCAATTTGTACCATCTTTTCGGTGTCCAATTAGGATCGGAAATAACCTCAACGGCTTCGAAAACGTATGTCTGGTATCATGAGTAAATTGGCCGAAGAGCATGATGGCGGCAAAACATACCGCTCCCTTCACAGCCAAATCTTCTCCTCGGTTGATTGTTGTTCCCACAGCAATGAAATTCTTGGTCCCACTTTCCGTGCTTGTTGTTTCAAGCAAAACACAAGTCAGGGCGTTGACAGTTTCATTAGACGCAAATTCGTAACTGGCAGATATATCAATACCGCTGCCGGTTGCGATCAAGAGCAAACGCACCCATCCATTGTAACCCAATGTTCCGGCGAAATCAGCTCGAGCGTCGAGCAGTCGGTATAAGGGAAGGAAACACCATTCCCTGAATGATTGTCAGATAAAGATACCTCAGGCATGAGACCGAGATACAAACCATCAGGCTCCCAAATGATGTTACCGTCTTCGTCATAGGAAGCAAAACGGGCCTGTAATGAGGAAGTAGCCACTATCAACGAGGCCGATGGTTCGAACACAATGTTAGAGTATGCGCGTGATCGAGGAATGCTGCGGTACGGTAGACAACTGTCAAGTTGGACTTCCGGTGCCCATTCAAGGAGAGTGGGACCCTAAGTGCATGAACGAATGAGTGTCTTGACTTTTCAGTGTACAGCACACAAACCTCGTCAGAATACAGGAGAAAATCTCCCTTGGACTCCCAAAGAGAACACGCAGTGAATGCGTGAACGACGGTATGTCCCGAGGGTACCACCCTTAATCCACCCTTATCGGTTGCTATGATCCAGCATGGCCTATCACCCGTGAAGAAAACACCGGCAAGGGTACACTCCACGTTTGGGGAAGTCGCAAATGGAACAAATGTCCGCGAGATTTTCTTATGCTCTGCAAGTACAGTTTTCTCCGTTTCCTCAACTCTCTGGATTTCAAAGGTTTTGGACACGACTTTGTGGAACTTGACCTTCAAAAATGAAGTCCGTGGGTTAGGTAGAGGAGGATCTGCCTGTTCGGTGGAAGCAGGCGCCGGCAAGGCTTCATAAATGGCCATGTTTCCCGAACGCGTGAAAACCTGTTGCAAATTCTAGTAGACAAACCACAGGACTGTTAAATTACTTACAAACAGATGAGGAATCAAAGATGTTTCGCCTAAGGGTGCAACGAGAATTTGATCGATATCAAGATCCTGAGGCTTTCTGGGGGGATCTTGTGGTAAAGACAAAGCAGCAGGAGTCCGGGAGTCTACTAATATATTCTCCAGCGTAGAGATCGCAGTAGTTGAGAACACAAGAGTCAACTTCGGTAGTGACCAGATCTATAGAACTCGATATTAGCTAGCGTCGCCCCAAACGGTCAATGTGAGGCCAACCTCCATGACGCCCTGCGGTCGTACGAGCATGAGCCATTGACTTCTGTTGCCAGCTGCTACAGCCGTCCTGCAGTGTAGATGTATTCTTATCTGCGTGTGCTGCTGCAGGGGTAGTTTCGGTCGCCTCTATGTCGAAAAGACCAATAGTATCCGTGAAGAAACAGCCCGCAATATAACGAGACGACTACATTAAAGTTATAAGTAATTTGGAATAGGGTAAATGAAATCAGAAATACCTTGTCACCCATTGGAGACATATCTTTGCGTCGAATCTTCCCTCGCTCCGTTTCACCAATGAAAAGACCGATAGACTCATCTTCTCGCAGGATAAGCACAAAAGGATCACAGATACTGCATGATTTAATTTTTGCCCGAGGCAAACTACCGTCCATATCTTTGATAACCTGTCTTTCATTACCGTCTTGATTCCGTCACATTAGTCACCAACACAAAAAGTCTATGGGAATATCGTACCGGGCTCCAGCACGCGGATAGCGTTTGTCATGACATGCAATATGGTGGTACGCTGGAAGAACGGGGCTGCGCTTATAGTTGTCCCAGGTATGCGAGTCGGAATAGCGATGTCGGTTTTTGCAGTTCGGGTTGCTATCTGCGAAGGGTTAGCGAACAAAACGTACCAAAAAAATATTATCTACCCGCGAAACACCTGGCGTAGGATTAGCGTCTGTGCTAATTATTATCGTGTCAATTTCGGCTGAAAATGGGCTTGTAGCCTTCTCATAAGAGAGACCATTAACACGTTGGGACTGGCGAACGGAAAGAGACCAGATTCCTCGTGCCCCTCCAAGTACATGCAGTTTCCGTTTCGTACGCGTCGGAAGGTCGCGCTGTGCTCGATTATGAGTTGAATTGACAGTCTGTAATATTACATCAACTCACCTGGAAAAGGGTGAATCCGCCTAGATGACCTGCTCCTGTAGCAGCAACAAGTTCCGGGACAAAACGTTCCTGGAAGAATTGAGCAGAGTTCAACCTATCAAATGTCATATACTTACTCCATTCTTAGCAAGAGAAAATGTCATATCAGCGATTGGGCCATATGCGGGTAACGAGTCGCACAATGAAAGGTGAATGATGGAACGAGTCTTTGTCGCAGCACTGGTTCCCGACGTTGCTCCAACAGTCGCCCGTGTGGCGGTTTGTGAATCGCCATATAGATCTGTGACCTATTAGCGGAGTTTCGAAGTAGTGTAATGATGCAACCAACCATCGTCATCGTCTAAATCCATACTATCAGAAAAATTGATAGCGGTGGCAGCACCAGTTTGTTGCGCAGGAAGTTCGAGAGGTACCTCTTCCCTAGCCGCCTTCATTAATACCGACGGTCCAACCATGCTTCCCACAAAAAGCAGGTCGTCATTCAGTAATTTGGCGACAGCTGGTATGGTCGTCTGAGCAATAACAGGTAATAGCACTAATTTGGATACAGTCCTCCCATCTAGGATAATCTCAATGGGGTGTATCATGCCATCTTTTCGAATGACAAAGAAAGTCTTTTCATCGACAAACACGAGCCGACTACCCTCGATGCATAGGCCAAGGTCTTTGTCTGCTGGAGGCATTGGCATATCGCTGACACGTGCGGCCCAGCCATTCACAGAAGGGCCACGCGGCGAGCTGCTTGATCGACATATATGATGGAATTACTTGTAAGGACGATGACACCTCCAAGTGAAGTTGCGCAGGGAAGGAGAGACACGCTGTCGTAAGGGAGACCGTCGACAGCAGTGATAATGGGGTAATTGCGACTCATGAGGTCCAAGGTAAAGATGTAGAGGCGAGCCGTGTCACGGTACTCCTTGAGACGACTATAGGGAACATTTTATGATGTGAAATCTAAAGCAAATCACGCCACATACCCAGCCCACGTCTGCTCAGATTGGCAAAGCACTGCGACTGTCGGGTTGTTGTATCCAGGAAGGAAAACAAAGTCTATGACGTTCCGAATGCGCTCATCAACATCGTTGACGAGGTCTAGCACGAAACTTGGAGAGTACGGTACGTCCCTGTTGGTTGGTCATATTTATATCGAACCGGAAATAGGAAATTCAGAAGAATGCACACCTTGTATGGTTTTGTTCCTGCTCCATTATTTCGAGTTCTGCTTGGGTCTGAAAGAACGGAAGAATAGCAAATGCATCCTTTGGAAGAGACAGTGCTGCACATCGTGACAAGGGGTCTGCACGCAATTCCGTTTTGAAAAGGGGACTGTCCAATGAAACCTGCAAAACTGGTTACATTTACGCGCATCGATGAAGACAAGTACTGACCATCTGGGGCGCGCGCTCATACGTATGTATCGAAACGGTGACAAGATCGTGTGCAGCGTCTGACCACTCAAGGAGAGCTATCTATAATCACGATCAAGAACCACCATGAAACGCAGAATATATGTCATCATACCTTGGCATCCTTGAAGGACACTAATAGACGATCTAGTTGGTCCTCATAAGTTGACATAATGCGCACGCTTTCCATGCCAGTGACAGTGCCATGCAGAGTGTGCTCTCGCACAAAGTGGAAGCGTGACACCGTTGAAGGATCTTTCTTTGCAGTAGCCTGTAATGCAACTAAGCTACCCTCCCTAAACTCGAGCTAGGAATTCACCTTTACGGACCCCATATTAACCCACCCTTCTCCACCCTCGTCCATCTCTACTTCGCCCTCTACAGCCTCAGTGCCCTTTCGCACATGAGCCCTCCGCTCTCGCTCATCTTCAATATAAGTTGAGATTTGTGGAGATTGCTCCCACACTTCGAAAATGCGCAAAAGGTTAGATCTTGAGACGACGACGTTGGTAAGAACGCGAGGCAACTTTTCTTGTCTGGAAGATCCAGTGATAGTTGAGGGCGTGAGTTTCAGTGTCGTTGCAAACTCAACACCACTAGGCGGAAGTATGTCATGTCTCAAGGCATGCATTTCTCCCTCAGCGACAGGTGCACCTGGTCTCCCACTGAAATTCTCGGTTTGAGTGCATTTGTTTGTTTCTAAAGGTCTTGCCAAACAACGTCTGGTTATGTAATAAGATCCCCATGCATTGAAGAAGTTTGTTCTCAATCGACGGTTGTTCGAGTCTCAAGTCTGCGTCCAGGAGCGAGGGCTCCATTTTGATCAAGCTTACACATCTGTCTTCATCCATGTCGCATGTTGAATCCCAAATTGTATAACATTTTAGATCACATAACAATAAATATTGTGCGAAATGCGCACGACACTCAAACAGGTCCTATTCTGACCCAGGTGTGGTCAAAACCTTGAAATCAACTGATCAGTGGTAAACTCATGGATCTTGCAAAAATCGGTGCACGTCTATTTCCGCTCCCTGATTCCACTCTTCCCCCTCCGTTCACCTTGCGTTGATTTCTCCCTTTCCCTCGCTTCCCTGATCATCTCCCCTTCCTGCCTCCACTCTTTGCGTTCAAATGCATCCCATTGTTCACGAGCATCGATCCAACGTTCTTGCACATCCCCTACGCTACCTGCCATCTGGCCCGCAGCAGATGAGAACAGTGAAAAGGTGTTGGGCCTCGTCGATGCAGGAACGGACGCAGTTTCAAGTGTCCCCTCTGGTGCCGGGGCGTCGTGTGGTGGCACGAAAATGTATCCTGTGGCTCGATCGATAGCGCGTGTCAGGTGGAGCATCGAGGCTTTATCCTGCACAAACGAGTAATTCAATATTCGGATCACATAAGAAATCCCATCGCTATACCTCAACTGCTAGTGTTTCGAATCCCACAAGACTGTAGTCCTCGATTACAGAGCATAATGCCATATTGAGAGCATTGTACCGCGGTGATGAAGTATTCAGTGCGTTCTCCAAATAGGAAAGATCCTGAACCTCCGTGTAAAAATCGAGATTGAAGTCTACGAGAAAGATGAGTGACTCCGATGTGTTGCATGGTCACCAACACGCACCCAGGTCTCCATATTGAACTATCAGATCAACCTTTGACAAAACATTGACGTGCGGCAGTTCCAACTGTAGCATAGTCCGGAGGGACAGGAGAAGTACGGAAACATATTTCGCGGCATCGGTCACATAGTGCGCATCACAGAGATGAACGGCAGCTAACTAGCGTTGTTCAGAGAATCCCAACGACAGAACCAACATCATAGAACGTACCCTGAACCCAATCTTTGTCAATCGTTGCACTATGTGTTTTAATGCCTCGTGATTAGTGCTAAGCTCAACCTGACCAGGTATGTCGAACAACACATATGCGTTGGATCCCAGCTCTTTCAGCCGTGCCTCAAGCCAATCGAAGTTGGCATTTAGGTACTCCATGCAGTAAAGCATGCCTCCATTTGGGCCAAGACCGTGTTCGTCCATGACATCCTGGAGGGTGATTAAAGAAGCAATGTCAATCGCACATGGATAAGGGATGTTGTCATTAGCTGGGTCGAGGTTTACAATGGAAATCGGGCGATTCAAAGCAGTGAATAGCTGATGCTTGCCATAGCAGTACGTCGATTTACCACTTCCTGGCGCACCACACACCACTTCACCAAATGGCATAGCAGGAAAGATGAAAGCGAAGCTGGAAAGGGACCACGTGATGCGATTGGCTTAAGGGGCCGTCTGGCATTATTAATGCTAAAACTTGTCTTCAATTCTAAAATTTTGAATGGTAACGCTCATGAAGGTGCTGAAGCGCCCGGCTCTATGTTTTAAGCCCATCTGACTCATCGAAACTCCGATCAGTGTAGGTTCCAAAGTTCAAGCTACTATGTGGAGTAGTTTGCTTCAAAAATGCTCACTTGCGACATTCTTGACTGTCATAATGCGCCAGTCAGATGCAGCATTGCTATGGGTTGCTGTCACCGTCGGCTTTGTTCAAAACACCAAAGTCCTCCTTTTCACGATTGCCCCAAAAGCGAAGATGTTGGTCCAAGCCACTCTTTCATTTACCTGCTCAATTAATGAATCTTAGGACTGGGACGCGTTTTGCAAAGCCTTCGTGAAGACAGAAACTGGTGAACTCGTGGCGCTTCAACAGCGCATCAGACACATTCAGCTAGCAAACGTTGCATCATCTCTTCGCAATAATATTCCGTGCACCATTCCAGCTCTCGTCGCAGCCACAGCCAACCGCTGTAAGCTTTCGAAGATGATGGGGGGGATGAATGTTCATCTTGACATCTTATTTGACGATCATGTCGTCTGGCTTGCTCGTATTCAACGAACAACCGCAGTCACGCCTCCCCCAGTTGTGCAAAACCACATTTTGCTCAGTGAATTTGCGACATTGAAGTATCTTAACTGCATTGGAGTGCCAACTCCTGCCGTTCACGGATATGGCCTAACAGTCGATTCAAACGGCGTCGACGTCAACTATATCCTGATGGATAAGTTGCAAGCTTTCCCACTTGAGTGGTACGATTTAGGTCCCGACCAACGTCGTCGGGTACTCCATCAACTAGCCAATATCTTCATCACACTCGATCGTCATTCGTTCCGACAAACCGGTTCTATTATTCAGCCGCATGCGTCTATTGGTGCTTTCGCGGATCGCGTGATATTTGAACCGAATTATTACCAGAAACTTAACCTACTGGGCCCGTTTACCAGCCTTCGTCAACATCTAGATCACACGATTAACTGTAACCTTCGCCTCATCGAATATTCTGAGTGGGCTGTCGATGATCCTGTAACATCCTACCTCATATATCGCACTCTGCTGGATGCCTATCCCCGCATCCTTCCGGCCGAATCAATGGACAATGAAATCTTTTGTCTGCGCCATCAAGATGATAAGGGCGACCACATACTCGTCAATGACCAACTTGATATCATTGGCATCATCGATTGGGAATGGTCCAAAGTTGTTGCGAAGTCATTCGCGTTTGCTGCGCCTCTAATGCTATTGCCACTCGCATTTGATGAAGGCAGCAACCTGCTGTCCCAGGATGAAGAGGAACTCGCAAGGATATTCGACTCACTTGGTAGGCCAGATATGGCGTTGTGTGTCCGTCATGGACGTGCCTATCACCGAATTTCATTCATCCTTGACAATGGCGATCGTCCCGAGGCGTGCAAGCCACATATGAAGGGACTTTTTCAGTTGTTGGGAAACGATTGTTGGGAATGGGAGACATGGCGTTCTGATGCTCTGCGGATGTATCAATCTGAGCATACTCTTCAGGTTTTACTGGACAACGAAGTCATGCACTAGCTCTTCCACCCGATCCCGTCTTACGTTGTAATCCTACCCGCTATGTCACGGTGTTGTAACGGACTTTATCGTGAAGTGGCACTTAATAACTACCAGTCGGTACTGTGATTGGCGTAAGTTCACCTTCTATTTGATCTTTCCACTTGCAATGATCGTTTCACTGGGTCTGTTTGATAGACGGGCCCCCTGTGGCGCCGCATAACCCTCAGATTTGCAAGATATGGAATCGCCTGTCTCATTCCAGCTTCACCAGCTTCGGGAAACTCGTCAGGTTAGCCGGCTCTCGGGCGCTTACATCTAGTACACCAAATTTCATCGAGTGAAAACGTACCAGGGGAAATACTATTGGTGCATCTCCTTCGCCGCAACCAATCCTTGGGAATGCCTACCAACCACTGGCGGTTTTGAATACATGACATTGAGTGGATTATTTCAGAATCGAATACGTCATACATCCGCCGGCACTTCTAACACTCCCATGTCCTTTAAAGTGTTGTATATCGTGTGCAAGCGGTCTCTAGAACGCGGGACATCAACGCGAAGAACATTGTTCCAACTCAGCTTCTGGTCAGGGCGTCGTTCACTGGGCGCTAGATAACTTGGGTCCTTTTCTGACAGACGGTGCATAGTCTGATTGACGTCGCCACGACGTATCGTAGTACCACTCCAATACGGACCTGCAGCATGACGGTTATGGTATGTAGTCCAGATATATAGATGTACTAATTACCTGTGGCTGCGATGGCCAAGACGGAATTCATGTCTGTGTCTTGCAAGAAGAGGTATCCAGCTTGTTCAATCAAATCGTTCTTGGCTTCGGCAAGCGGCCCAAAAATCCGCGATTCCTGTTCCTCCCCTGTCAGACTCCTGCTCGGAAATCTTTTCACTTCTACGAGAAGGCCGACGCTCGCCGCAGTAATCCTCCATCCTCCATAACGATCCCTCTGCAGTGGCTGAGCCACTGCGGTCAGATTGAGGATCGCGAAATCCACAAGGACACCGGCATTTTTTTCCGGGACGGTTGATGCGAAAGAGATATCGCCCACTCCAATCTCGAGGTCTCCGTCGTCCTCGTCCTCGTCCTTGATAATACGACTTCCTCGGGCTTCCTGCTCTCCCTCAGGTACTACTACTATCTCTTCCGGATCATCGCCATCATTTTCATCCTCACGATCGTCATCTCTAGGCACAAACCAAAGAGGGAATTGAGGTGCAACAATTAAGTTTGGGATGTTTACCACCAGATCTGAGAGCGTCTGGTCCCACAATGGGTACTAGAAAAATTCGATGTTGCGGGGGTTATGTGTGCGAGAGAACGCAAGCGAAGTCTCCAAGATTGCTTTGTATCGCATCACCATATTATTGCGACGCCCAGGGAGAATCCAGGGGGGCATAGCGAATCAGTAGTGCGTGGCTCGAGTTCGGAATGACTTGGACGTCGACTGGCAATATGTTATATATATATGTAGTACAGACTTCGATTTCTTGTGGAGAAAAATGAGGGTGTGTCTCTTCGACTTGCGGCGGTGTTATTGTACATCGTTTTCAGCGATGAATAATAACTAAAATGGTTATGATCCTTCGCTCCGAGTCGCGGTTGCTCAAATATTTTCGTACGGTCATGAGTCACGACAAATCATGATGTGGTGATTGATTCCAAGGGCCAAGTGAGAGGGAAAAAAGATCGGTCTTTGATTTGATGGGCAAATGAGGATGACAAAAATGGGGGTGATCGTGGAAGTGTTGTAATACCATTGTTCACCACTTGCCACAGCCCACCGCGAGGTTACAGCACGTGCCTTGTCACATGACGTCCTATATATATACAAGGTAAGTCTTGTTCGATGTTCAGCATCATCGCTGCTAATCATCGCAAAATCAAAGTAAGTGCATACAGTGTGTCAGAACCATCTCTGTGTTCTAATGTTATACTTCTTCAAACTTCAAAGCATCGTAATCATGGTCAAATACTATGGATATCTGGTGGCAGATGAGTGGTTGTACCAGCGAGCCGTTGAGTTGGGTCATCCGCGCCCCAAGACGTACGATGACTCAATAGACACCATTATCCTGGCTTCGAGGGATGTTAGGACAGAAACGGGCGTTTACACCTACACCAAATTCCGTCAAGTGAAAACTCTCAAGGGGAAAATCTTCTGGTGCATTGCCTTCGCTGCGAGCGATCCTTGGGACGGCTTACCAACCAGCGCGCCCCCCGAGGAAAGATACAAACCTTTGAAGGAGGCTCTGCAGAAGAAGGGACCGCCTCGCTGGTTCCGAGCTTCTTGAATCAAATCGTCGGTGACCTATGCAAATCGTCGGTAGAAACGTTGGTGCTTATTTTGCCTGTCGAAACCATACAGTTGTCTCGTTACATGAATTGCCCCACATACCCGTCCGTGCGTTCGAATCCCGAGTTGTGGTAGCGTACCTTCTCGCCGCTATTCATGTATTGGTTTGAGGAAAGGAGATCCCTGGGTCCTCCATTACTAGTAGCTCCCCCTCCCCCTCTTGTTGCACTAGATTAATCATTTGGTCGGTGACCCTATGTTGGATATACGTCGTTGTTATGTCAATTAAGGAGCATTGCAAATGAGTACTGTACTGAATAGTCACATTGTACGTATTATTCAATGAGTAGGAACGTTTAAACTTCTCAGTAGTGTTTTCAGGTTGGTCTCAAGGTTGTTTTCATTGAAGACGGTCCACCGTGCGCGATGCGCGTGACCGGTTGACCTACAGCATTTCTAGCGATGGATAACAAGGGTAAATTTTTATCCTTTGCGTTGCTCGTTCATAGAACAACAGATGATATTTGATCCGAAGAGAGGAAACAAAAGAACAGTTGGATCAAGTTGACTCGATTGACAAAAGAAGAGAACAGCATGTGGGTGGATGCCACGCGGTGATAGTCGCAGTACTTGTTGTATCAAAGTATTGTTCACCAGTTGCGGTGACCGCGACCGCGTTGTCTTTGTACACACCTGGAAGCACGTGCCTTGTCACATGACGTCCTATGTACACAGCCTTGACGCGATTTGCAGGCTCGTTCAAACCCCAACATTTTCGACACCACCGTTAAACATCGCGAATTCGAGGTAAGCGCACGCAGTTATTATCTTAACCGTCTCTGTATTCTAATACTTCTTCAAGTATTGTCATGGGAAAATCCACTTGGAGGGGAATGGTCATTCCAACGATGCGTTGATCCGAATTCCGCGCCCCAAGACGTACGACGACGCAATGCAGATCACTTTACTGGCTTCGAGGCATGTCAGGACAGAGACGGGTGTTTACACCTACACCAAACTCCGTTGAGTGAAAACGCTTCAGGAGAAGCGCTATTGGTGTATTGCTTTCGCTGCGACTGATCCTTGGGAACGCTTGCCAACCAGTGCACCGCTGGAGGAAAAATATAAAGCTTTGAAGGAGGCTCTGCAAACGGACGGACCGCCACGCTAGTTCCGAGGTACTCGAAACAAACGTCAGTTACATGCACTCTGTTAATGGAAGCAACTAGCGTTTATTTCTCATCTGGAAACTTTACATTTCGTCGTGTCGCATGGACTGCCACATATTGTCCAAGCCCTGGAATAATGGGACTCGGTGGCACATTGGCACATGCAATTTCGTTCGGAGGGAGATCCCATAATGCCGACGATCCTCTATTCCTCTCCATTTTTTGCACCAGATCAATCCTTTGGTCGGTGACCGTATGTCGGATAGATCTCATTCTGATGAGAAACGTTGAGGAGCATTGCAAATGGTGAGAGTGATACATCCGAGTTGGTATATCTTGTACTGTAACATTGAGACTCTACCCACCGCTTGCATTGACTCAAATCTGATACCATATTCAAGTTATCATATGCGATCGGGGATGAACTACCTAAAGTTGTGCTTCGAACTGATCCAGATTACCTGCCAAGATCACGGCTATACCCTAGGACTGATACCACGACGGTTTCAGTTCGCAGTCCCTTGTGATTGCTGAGATCTGACCATTGGGGGTTGACCTAGATAAGAGTCCTAGCGCTGCACACAATGTGTGATTAGAACAAAAGAAACCTCAATCCATTCGTACTTCTATTCATCTCTAATCATGGCTCCGGTTCACCAGCAATAGAGCAGCATTAAACATCCAATCACTGGATATCGCTTAAAAATCTGAAATAATTATAATCACGTTGGCCTAGCGCATTACGACGGTTCTTCATCGCCAGGCATCCCGGGCATGAAAACCACGAGGCTTTAATTGGCGCGCAGCGATCGCATACCCTGACCCCACAGCTTTCGCATGTCCCGGTGAGTTTGGCAAACGTTTCTACTGCCCCGTCATCTGCGTCATCTGCATCCTCAAAGTCATCCGCATCCGACGCTTCTTCAACGCAGTCATAGCAGAGGGTAACACGTAAGCACCGTTTGCATTGGTCGATATAGGTGCAAGAGGTGCAAAACGGCCTGTCACAGCGCGGGCAGCGGATAAAGATGCGACTGTCGTGCTCCGCGCAGATATCGCATGCCCATACTTTCTGACACATACACGTGGTACCACCACTGGTACATTCTGGGCAGATCACATTGCCATTTGACCAACATCCGTTTCCTCGGCATTTCCGCCATCCCGGCTGCTTGCATTGACTGCAGGAACCGCCCTTGGGAGGGTGGACGCTAGTTGATTGGGAGCAGGTAGTCATCGCACGCAGAAACTGTTCAATGGAGGATGCGCGAGAAACTGAGGGTGTGGTAGCGGGATGCCCAATACACGAGTTTATATCCGTGGCACAGCACCAAGATTTGCACCCAGGACATTTTTCTAGCTCCCTCTTGGACCCCTGCTCTTCAAGGCACGGAAAACATAGTGTATTGTCTTTATGCTTAATGCACTGTGCGAGTGGGGGTTCGGAAGATCCATGGCAACCGAGCGATCGGCAGGATGCAACCTGACAGCTTTTGCATTGGTCAAGACCGGAGAAGCATAAAGGGCATCCACTAAGTTGTTTAACACCAACAACCTCCTGCTGTGAAACACGTCGACGGTATTTCTAAAGCACTCAATTTGCATCATGATAATGGATGAACAATCAACACTTGCCTCCGCTTGCATCTGTTGCCATATCCTACCGCCAAAACTGCAGTCCGAAGCTGGTTTCCACTTGATAGCGGACCTTCTGAGGACGAACTCACGGACGAACTCAGAGATATCCATCAGAACCGGCGTAAGCTCTCCAGGGAGCGAAACGCACACGTTCTCTACCTTGTCTTCGATCTGCATGTCACGTAACACAACATCAAAGCGTGTATCAGTCTGTGTGCAAAGGCGCAGATGTATGACGAGGTTTGATATGTCAGGAGGACCCGCATTTTCTTGCGAGACTGTGTATTCGAGGGTTGCGATGTGTTTTACTTCATCAGTTGCGGAACTCGGTTCGTTTGATGGATCCAACATATGATAGACACCTTTCATAATCCAGTATATGTTCATGCGCATTGGATGATTGTGAACATTCTTGTCTCGCGAATTGGTTGCCGGGTCGTTCGGCGAAAATATTGTCCAGGCAGGCATGCAGAGCAGATATCGATGGATAAGAGTTGGATAAGATCAAGTGGACGTGCCAGTGAAATGGACATGAACATGCCACGTTGAGGGTGCATTTTGTCCTTTCCCGGGCCCGGAAATGAGGGTGCGTCTTACTTCACCGTGGCTGCCGAGAAATGCATAAATCCGTCTCTGACTAGTACGACTCGTGAGGCAGACGTCTCAGATCTGAGAACACAACTACTTCCAACGCCGTATCAAGTCAATCAAAGGTCTCGGATGCATAGATATCGACGAACGCTGGGGCGCTTGTTATCATCTCTTCGGGCAGCTCTATTCAAACTCGAAGGAATCTTGATTCTCAGTGCTCACCGAACTTGGGCCACCACTCAACAAATATTGCCGCAGGGTGGTGATGCCAATGTCTAATCTAGGCTTCGAGCCGTATCCTTGAAACAACACGAGCTCCACAAGTGGATGTCACCTGAAGCTTTATCAAGCGCAGACAGGTAACTGGCCTCTAGACTCTCACAGATCAGTCAGCGCTGATAAAGCAACTGCGATTGCGTCAGATTTCTCACATATTTCGCACGTATAGATATCCCGGTCAGTCCGACTCGAGATCATTTAGTCATGCGCTTGTTCGACCCAAGTATAAGTATCTCAGCTGTACATCCAAACTCCCACCTGGACGACTAGCGCATAACATCCATCACATGGCTCAAGAACAGATCACCCTTTACACTGCGAAGGTACTGCATAACTGCAGCATGCTATGAGGCCGTATACTGACATTTACCCATGCACATAGGTATGCCCCTACGCTCAAAGGGTATGTCCTCATCAGCCTTGATAACTGTGCTTGTTGTGATGATTCAACCAATCCAGACTGAAATTGCCCTCGCCGAGGCTGGTGCCCCATTCAAAAGATACGAGATCGATCTGGGGAATAAGCCAGAGTGGTACGCCCCAAAGGTGAACCGTGCCAGCAAGGTGTGTGCCCCACTCTCCATTGCAATATGACCGCATGTTGAAGTGGATTCATGGCAGGTGCCGGCTATCGCTTATGGTGGTCCCGACGTTGCCCCAGAAAATCCTTCTCCCGAGTCTACCAAATTGGCGGAGTCGCTGATCCTTGTTGAATTCATCGGCGATTTGTACCCGTCTTCCAATATCCTGCCTGCGGACCCTGTGCTACGTGCCAAGGCCCGTTTCTTCGTTGAGATCGTGTCCACTAAATTCAGTCCCAATTTCATGAAGTTTGCATCCGGCAACCCGGAAGGCACACATGCCGCTCTCCTTACTGGCGTGGATGCCATTCAGGACATTTTACCCGACGGGGCGAAATACGCTGTTGGCGACCAGTACACCATTGCAGACATTGCATTCGCGCCGTTCTGGGCAAGGTTGAACTTGTTGGTGCAGAAGGGAATTGGTGCCTACAAAGATGAGGAGGGGAAGAGCTTCTTGAAGGCTCTGGAGGACCCCAAGTATGCGAAATTTAACGGTTATGTGCAAAGAATCCTAGCAAGGCAGAGCTTCAAATCCACATTCCACGAGGTGCGTCCGCTACTCTGCCGATAATTGCTGCTATCATAACAACTGGTCAATAGGACGTCGTGCAAGAGATTTTCACGAGAAGGTTCGGCTTGGCTAAATAAACATAAGAGGATATTAACATATGCAACATCACGGTTTTGTACCATTAACCATCATTTAACTGTTTAAGATTGTTGTTCTACAGAGTGGCCGATAGGTCAAAATGATGTCGTGTGGGTCCTTCAGTCACGATAAACAAAACGGCTGAGTGTTCTTTTGCTGCAGGAATCTTTGTAGAGTTGTCGTGCCTCCGAGTTGTACATCATTGAACCCAACTGACTAAGTGAGCACCCGGCCTAGGCCTGAACTAAGCAGGGAATTCGTTTCACTGGTCACTGTCATGCGTGCATGTCTATCTCTTATGGATAGATCCTACTGGACATATTCACAGCTATCCATGAAGACCGTGGACGAGTCACCAAATATTGCTGCTCTTGCGAGAACCTGCGGGACATTTAAGGAGCCTGTGCTTGATACGCTTTGGAAACGCATTGATATTTCTACACCGCGCCTTACCTAAAGGCGCTGGGAAGAGAAACATTTGGACCACATGATATGGAACGCTCCAAATTTTGCATGTAAACGCTTCACAATTCGTGGAAGATTGTTGGTCAATATTCACAACATATGCACTCCTTGTTCATTTCCTCTGAGCTAGACGTCGTGCAAAGTGCTCACTTTGGCACCGAAGTTCGCTCACACTATTATTTTCGATCCGTCATAGTGTGGAACACTGGGGCACCACCTATGGATGCTCATTCCGTATTGGTGGTATTTCGTCGTTCCTGTCGCATGCAATTGCTGTAAAGCTAGAGTAAGTAGTGGGGCCCGTGAGGCCCGTAATGAAACGTACTTGCGAGGATGGTCATTGTACAAGTCCTGAAGGAGCCGATCTCGACACCAAATGCTTGATGATTCTTTGTCGAGCTCATCTTCCAGCAGAGTTCGTGTAAGCAGGACTAGTTTTTGTGAAAAAAAGAGAAAAAGAGCGTCTTGACTGTTGACATTGATACTCTTGATTTTTGAGACTCAGACGGCAATAGTTACTGGTCGACACAGCCACTTGGTCACGTGATCAGCTGCTTACTCAACACAAACTGGAAATTTAGGTCTGCTCGTCTTCAGCGTCAACGGCGACGATAGTCGATTGTTGTTCGTGATTTTCTCAACCTCTTCCAACCCTGACCAAATTCATCTAATGTCTGGGAGACCAGGAGGCAAACCAGATCTTTCTGGCTACAACTATGGTGCTATTTCATCCCTTGTCTTGACCGCTGACAGGTCTGCTCTTCCCAGGAGAGACAGAGAGCCCGATGGCGCCCCTACTTCTCTCGCGGGGCGGATTGACCCTCGTGAGATGGGCTCACGCGTTCAGCGTCAAGCCCCAAAAGATGTGGAGAAGAAGAAGAAAAAAGCAGGAGACGCGGGCAAGCAGGAAGCTCCAGAAAAGGTCGTGAAACGACGTGCAGAAGCTGGTTTCGGGTACACGGATATTATTGATGCGACACAAGACGTCGAAGGACTTTCATACCGCCCCCGTACTGCCGAAACCCGTGAGGTTTATGAAGTCATGCTATCCACGGTACACCAGGTGCTAGGCGACCAAGCACAGGACATTGTTCGCAGCGCAACCGACGCCGTCCTTGAAACACTCAAGAACGAGTCCATGAAGGACTTTGACAAGAAAAAAGAGATTCAGGAGGTGCTGGGCCCCGTTTCCAACGACGTGTTTTCTCAGCTCGTGGCCCGAGCGCAAAAAATTACCGACTATGGTGCCGAGGATGAGACGATGGCGGACCCAGATATGGAGCGCAAGGACGCCGAAATTGACGACGAAGTTGGAGTTGCAGTCGTATTCGATGACGAAGAACAGGAAGAAGAAGACGAGGAAGGCTATGAAATTCGGGACGGTTCAGACGAGGAGGGTGACGAAGAGGAGGACGAAGTAGATGAAACCACACCAGGGGCTGAGGAAGCAGGTGACGAGGAACTTGTCATCGGTGGTTCGTCAACCCGTGGAGCTGGAAAGGCTAAAACAGATAAAGACATCGTCTCGCCGCACGCAATCGATGGCTTCTGGGTGCAACGTCAAATATCGGAAGTTTACCCGGATCCAGTCACTGCAGCGGACAAGGCAGCGTCTGTCCTCTCTATCCTCGGCTCGGAATCAGGTCTGCGCGATTGCGAGAACCAGCTGATGGAGCTGTTCGAGTTCCAGAGCTTCCACGTGATCACCAAGTTCCTCAAAAACCGGGATGTGGTAGTATGGTGCACGAAGCTCATGCGGAGCGACGCAGACGAGCGGATCAATATCGAAGTTGCTATGCGAGAGAAGGGTGTTGGTTGGATCTTGCGAGAGCTTGCTGGAGACCGCCAGGCCAAGAAGGTGCAGGATGATGCCATGGATGTGGACGAGAAAAAGTTAGCGGTGCCAAAGACAGCAACTCTTGCACCAGGCTCGACAGTGCAACCAAAGCGCACGGTCGACCTAGAGAGCATGGCATTCAGTCAGGGGGGCATCTGATGTCCAACAAGAAGTGCAAGCTTCCTGAAGGCTCATTCAAGCGGGCACGCAAGGGATATGAGGAGATTCATGTCCCTGCACCCCAGAAAAAGCAAGGCGGCGAGGAAGAGCTTGTACCTGTTACTGCACTGCCGGAGTGGGCAAGAAAGGCATTCACTGTGCCCAAGCTCAATCGAGTTCAGAGCAAGCTTTACCCAATTGCCTTCGGGACGGATGAGCCCCTCTTACTCTGTGCGCCTACTGGCGCTGGTAAGGTAAGCGGTAATCTGTTACATTTTTCATCTTTCAGACACTAAGTCGACCTTGCAGACCAACGTCGCCATGCTCACTATCCTCAACGAGCTGTCAAAATATCGTGACGAGGCTACAGGTGAATTTGCCCTCGACGATTTCAAAATTGTCTATATCGCGCCCATGAAGGCTCTTGTCCAAGAAATGGTTGGAAACTTCAACGCGCGGCTGAACGTTTTCGGAATCAAGGTTGGCGAGCTCACGGGAGACTCTCAAATGACGAAACAGCAAATCTCGGAGACCCAGATAATTGTCACCACACCTGAGAAGTGGGACGTCATCACGCGCAAGAGTACCGACACGAGTTATACAAACCTCGTTCGGCTCATGATTATTGATGAAATTCACCTGCTACATGACGAGCGTGGACCCGTGCTTGAGAGTGTTGTGGCACGCACGATACGGAGGATGGAGCAAACAGGAGAGTACGTTCGTCTGGTCGGTCTCTCAGCTACGCTTCCAAACTACCAAGATGTTGCGACATTCCTTCGCGTGGACGAATCGAGAGGCCTATTCTATTTCGATGCCTCGTACCGTCCATGTGCGCTTCAGCAGCAGTTCATTGGTGTCACAGAGAAGAAGGCTATCAAGCGTTTCCAGGTCATGAATGAGGTTTGTTACGAGAAGGTGCTTGACCAAGCGGGCAAGAATCAGACCCTTGTCTTCGTGCACTCCCGCAAGGAGACCGCCAAGACCGCCAAGTTCATCCGCGACATGGCCATGGAGAAGGAGACGATCACGCAGTTTGTTCGTCCCGACTCAGCGACGCGTGAGATCCTCACGGAGGAAGCAGGCAATGTCAAAGATGGCAATCTGCGCGATCTCTTGCCGTTTGGGTTCGCTATTCACCACGCCGGTATGACTAGAGAGGACAGGAATCTTGTCGAGGAGCTTTTCGCAGATGGTGCAGTCCAGGTGCTTGTCTGCACAGCAACGCTCGCATGGGGTGTCAACCTCCCGGCACACACCGTCATCATTAAGGGCACGCAGATTTATAACCCCGAGAAAGGCCGCTGGGTTGAACTCTCCTCCCAGGATGTGTTGCAGATGCTTGGTCGTGCTGGTCGCCCGCAATATGATACGTACGGCGAGGGCGTCATTATTACGAACCACTCCGAGCTGCAGTACTACCTCAGCTTGCTGAACCAGCAGCTGCCAATCGAATCTCAGTTCGTGTCGAAGCTTGCAGACAACTTGAACGCAGAAATTGTTCTTGGAACTGTTCGCAACCGTGACGAGGCTGTCCAGTGGTTGGGGTACACTTATCTGTAAGCTCACTTGTTCACACAGCAGTAAAAGCACTGACGTTTCCTACAGCTATGTTCGCATGTTGAAGTCCCCAGGACTGTATGGTGTTGGCATTGATTACCAGGAGGACGACAATGGTCTTATCCAGAAACGCGCCTGACATTGCCCATTCTGCCGCCGTTCTGCTGGAAAAATGTCATCTTATCAAGTACGAACGCGCATCTGGTCGTTTCCAGAGCACCGAGCTTGGTCGTATTGCGTCTCACTACTATGTTACATACAATTCGATGGCTACATACAACCAGCATCTGAGACCAACCATGTCGACATTGGAACTATTCCGGGTGTTTGCGCTCTCAAACGAGTTCAAACTTCTGCCGGTATGTCGCTTTTTTGTCTGTAATGCGAGGCTCAACATTCATATTCATTTTGGTAGGTACGTCAAGAAGAGAAGCTTGAACTTGGTAAATTGTTAGAACGTGTGCCTATTCCAGTGAAGGAAGGTGTCGATGAACCCGCAGCAAAGATCAACGTCCTTCTACAAGCATATATATCGCAGCTTAAACTTGACGGTAGGTGACGACTCGGCCGTCTATCATATTGTGCTGACCGGATAATTAGGTTTTGCTCTTGTGGCCGATATGGTCTTTGTTCAGCAATCTGCCGGCCGGTATGTGCTGTTTTAAGTTAGTTTACCTAAGCTCACTGATCTTACAGTATTCTTCGTGCTATGTTTGAAATTTGCTTGAAGCGAGGGTGGGCAGTACCAGCGCGTGCATGTCTCGACCTATGTAAGATGGTTGAGCGACGAATGTTGGTGGTTTTTGATAAAGTCGTTAATTATCAACTGATTGTTTGGTCTTCAGGTGGGGCTCCATGACACCGCTTCGCCAATTCAAGGGTGTCCCACAGGAGGTCATCCGAAAAGCGGAGGGCAAACAATTCGTAAGTTTACATCAATTCAAGTGAGGCACGTGCTAAGATATTCTTCATCAGCCATGGTATCGCTACTTCGATCTCGATCCTCCTGAAATTGGTGAGCTTATTGGCATCCCAAACGCCGGAAGGCTCGTGCATCGTTTGGTGCACAGCTTCCCCAAGCTGCAGCTGCAAGCGCAAGTGCAGCCCATCACCCGCTCCCTTCTTCGTATCGACTTGTCCATTGTCCCTGACTTCCGATGGGACGAGAAGACCCACGGAACAGCTGAGACATTCCTCATCATGGTTGAAGACGTCGATGGAGAGATTGTTCTTTTTCACGACTCATTTGTCTTACGCCAACGTTATGCAGAGGATGAACACAACGTCACCATCACGGTTCCGATGTTTGAGCCCGTCCCCCCGAACTACTACATATCTGTTGTCTCCGACCGATGGTTGCACGCCGAGACCCGACTACCCATATCCTTCAAACACTTGATTCTCCCAGAGAAGTTCCCACCTCCCACTCCTCTTCTCGAACTTCAGCCACTCCCGCTGTCCGCTCTACACAACAAGGAATTCGAGAGCATCTACTCGTCCACCATTCAAACATTCAACAAGATCCAGACGCAGGTCTTCCAAGCTCTCTACACATCTGATGAGAATGTCTTTATTGGCGCGCCTACTGGAAGCGGCAAGACTATATGTGCCGAATTTGCTCTGCTCCGCCTTTGGAGCAAACGCGAGCAGCCCAGGGCGGTCTGTATTGAGCCCTACCAGGAGATGGTCGACCAACGTGTTGCAGAGTGGCGTCGGAAGTTCAGCAGCCTGCAGGGCGGCAAAGAGATAGTCAGCCTCACAGGAGACACCAGCGCTGATCTCCGACTTCTTGAGAAGGGGGATGTTATTGTTTGCACCCCATCCCAGGTTAGTTTCTTCAATCATGTTGTAAATCTCTCACTAAACCGATATATCTAGTGGGATATCCTGTCTCGAAGATGGCGACAGCGCAAGAATGTGCAGAACATCGGTCTATTGATTGCTGATGAAATCCAACTTGTAGGTGGAGAAGTCGGTCCGACGTACGAAGTGGTGATATCTAGGACCCGCTATGTTTCTGCGCAAACGGAGGTTAAGACTCGCATCGTCGCCTGTGGTGTCTCGCTCGCTAATGCTAGAGATCTCGGTGAATGGATGGGTGCACCATCGCACGCGATTTTCAACTTCTCACCTAGGTATATTTTGCAGTTCGTAATTAACATTCAGTCGACTAAATGATATTTTGTAGCTCGAGGCCACTGGACATGGATATACATCTCCAAAGCTTTACTATCCCTCATTTCCCTTCGCTGATGATTGCCATGTCTAAGCCTGCCTATCTTGCTATCGTTGAACACTCACCTACCAAACCTGTCATCATATTCGTTCCATCAAGACGCCAGTGCCGGCTGACGGTTGACGACTTGTTGATCCACTGCGGAGCAGATAGCAACCCCGATCGCTTCTTGAATATCGAAGAAGCTGACTTGCAGCCCCATCTCGACCACATCAGCGACAAAGGTCTTGTCGAATGCTTGAAACATGGCATTGGGTATTATCACGAGGCGCTTGATAAGCAAGACAAGCGCATTATTGAACGCTTATTCCAGTCTGGAGCAATCCAGGTTTTGGTGGCATCTAAGGTGTGTAATCCACGACCCTTCTACTGATCAACAACTGAGCGCGTGTAGGACACTGCATGGAGTCTACCCGTCGCAAGCTACATGGTGATCATAATGGGCGTGCAATACTACGAGGGCAAAGAGCATCGATATGTCGACTACCCAGTCATGGACGTCCTACAAATGATAGGTCGTGCTTGTAGGCCAGTGGAAGACGATCGCAGCCGATGTGTTCTCATGTGCCAGCAGACGCGCAAGGACTTCTACAAGAAGTTCCTTGCAGAGGGTCTGCCCATCGAGTCTCACCTGCCTACCCATCTGCTACACGACTATTTCCTCGCCGAGATCGCTGTCAAGACGATTGAAAACAAGCAAGATGCAATGGATATCCTGACATGGACATACTTCTACCGCCGAATGACCCAAAACCCCAACTACTACAATCTTCACAATGTCAGCCATCAGCATTTGTCAGATCACCTTTCGGAACTCGTGGAGAACACCTTGCAAGAACTGGTTAACTCAAAGTGCATTTCGATAGAAGATGAAATGGACGTTTCGGCACTGAACCTCGGAATGATAGCGGCGTACTATAATATCTCATACGTCACTGTGGAAGTGTACACCCTGTCGCTGAAAGAGCGGACGAAACTCAAAGGTCTTCTGGAAGTTGTTGCCTCTTCTGCAGAGTTCGAGTCAATTCCTATCAGGCGTCACGAAGACATCATTCTCCGCCGCATCTACGATCGTGTTCCTGTCAAGCTCGACCGTGCAGACTTCGAAGCTCCCCACTTCAAGACATTCCTTCTACTCCAGGCTCATTTCTCTCGTATCCAGCTGCCACCAGACTTGGCGGCAGACCAAGTTTTAGTTCTGGAGAAGGTTTTGAACCTGTTATCAGCATGTGTGGATGTCATGTCCTCGAACGCATGGCTGAATGCACTAGGAGCGATGGATTTGTCACAGATGTGTGTACAGGCGATGTGGGAGACCGATTCGCCTCTCAAGCAAATCCCCCACTTTGAACCAGAGGCATGTCTATCAATGTTCTTGGCACTCTTCGCTACTGATTAAATTTCAAAAACAGACTATCAAACGTTGCAAGGATGCCGGCATTGAGTCTGTCTACGACGTTATGGAGATGGAAGATGACAAACGCAACGAGCTTTTGCAAATGGATGGGCGTCAAATGTAAGTTCCATTGTATATATACATTTCAACTGTATCTAATAACACGTTTAGGCGCGATGTAGCGACATTTGTCAATTCATACCCGACCCTCGACGTGTCCTTCAAGCTTGAAAAGGGAGAATATACTGCTGGTGCACCCATCACCATGCAGGTTACTCTTGCCCGTGATACAGATGAAGAAGATCCTGATGACCAGACTGTTGTCGCACCTTTCTATCCCACGGAAAAGATAGCAAACTGGTGGCTTGTGGTTGGGGAGCCGAGCACAAAACAGCTGCTATCAATCAAGCGCGTCACCGTCACCAAGAATCTCTCGGTGAAATTGGAGTTCACGCTACCGAAAGGCAACCACGCCTTGAAACTCTATGTCATTTGCGATGCATACATTGGCGCAGATCATGACCTAAGTTTGGATCCCATTGATGTTGCGGAGGGTGAGGACAGCGACAGCGACGATGAGAGTGGAGATGAGATGGAGGAGTAGTTTGTATGCTCATGTATGATTTCGCTGTATCTTTATCGTCATTGTCGCACGGCTTTTTTCCGAATTGTTAATTGTATGATGTGTCTACTATCTCTGGCTCAGAGTTGCAAAATGTGCCGACCAGTTTTTCATAACACAACTACACGACGTTATGTAAAATAAGGAAACACTGGGGGACTCCAGATTTGGCTTTTCACAACTCCGAACATAAGCTCACTACGCTTTGCATCTCGATAGTACAACATTTATAGCTCTCAACATAACACATTTTTCATGTCAGAAAAATTTAGAGCAGTGTTAGAAGGCAATGTGAAATCACTGGTGAAATTCCTGAATTTTTCGGTGCATATAATGGTTTCCCTCTGATGGATTAGCATGGAAAGTGCATGTTCTATGCAGTATTTCGCTGCCGCAACTATTTCCAGCCCGTTTTTCATGAAATCAAAAACACATACAGCAAGCTATGTTCTGATAATCTAGAATTATTGTGCAAAGGAAATGAGTAGAAGACGAGTGTGCTACATTGTGATTTGCAACCCTGGGTTAAAGTCAGTGTCATTTGTTTGAATGTACTGCAAATTTTTAACAGCGAGTAAACTTTGTCGTACGAAGCTAACTATGTTTCATCAGGTATATGTTCACTGTGCGCGCACGAGAGAGGTCTTGAAGTATGCGATCAGGGCCCCCTAAGAAGTGTAGCAATAAGTCATTTTGACCTACCACCAAGGTAGCGGAAAAATACGCACTTCATCATAGGTTTGCTTCAAGCTTGAACGCTCCAGTATTTGGTCGGCGTATTTCGTGAATTTAGCGAATTTAGATCCCTTTAGCTCCTCACCCAGCTTGAACCCCAAACCGACAGGGAATTTGCCTGATTCCATTAATCAGGGTCAACTTCTTCGGAACAAGTGTAATGCGGGTACTCTACCTAGGTCAGTCTCGGTGATGGTCTTCAGCCTTACGAGCTGCGGAGAGATGCAAGCATCCGCAATGGTGTAATGGTCTCCAACTGCGAAATCTCCGTCCTCGAGAAGTCCCTGAACAAATTCAATACCCTTCAAGAGATCTTCGTATGACCCGAGCCCTCGGATAAAGTCGTAAAGCGGGCCCTCGACTTGTTTAGTACTCGCATCAACGAATGAACGGACTTTGGCACGTGAAACAGGATCCTTTGGCAAGAGGCCAGAGTCTGGGTAGACGTCCGCCAAGAACTCGAGGATGACGTTTGATTCCGTGATTTTAGAGGACAAGGACGATGGATCCTCGGGGTCGACTCTGGGTCCCCCATATGTTAGAGTGGGCACCTATGGGATGTTACAATCGTCCGTTATAGTCTAATACAGGTCATCATCGCATACCTTGCCGACGGGGTTCACTTTGCTAGTAAACCACTCTGGTTTATCGGATAGATTTACGTGGTAGCCCCTGTAGGGTGCATTAGCTTCGATGAGAGCTAGTTCGACCTGTCGATTCCCGTCAGAGACTCGTGAAATGGTGTCAGCGGTCATTTTACCTTTTGGCTAAAAGGCGAGAGCTATAGAGTCATGAGTTAGACAAGTCTTCCTATTCAATCTCCATCGTTCCTCACCTTGTGAAGATATAGAGTCACCTGTTCGGACATGATGATGATTATGATGATTGAATGGGACTTTGGGTGATGCAAGTCCAAGGTGAAAGAATGCTCATATTTATGTATGAGACAAGTAGAGCTTTGTGACCTCGTTATAGTACAAAATTCAGTAGCTCGGCAAATGACTTAGTCAGTTGCTGACTGAGATCTGCCTGGTTCACGTTATGTGGATCAACTTCATCAGCAGTTGCTTACCATTCATGAGAATAAGTCACCTTGCAAGGGTACTCGAAAGGTACCCGCTAGAAGCGACTAGAACTTACGCTAAGCTAGGAGGCTCCAACGTTGTCAACGTCTCAACTCCTGGCCCATCTGAGATGGTGCTTGGTCGATCCTGGTCGCCCCTCGGCCTCAGTCATAAGGAGCAGGCCATACGATTAAGAAGGAACTCTATCAAGGCTTGACTAATTAACATTGCTTGGAGACGCCGGTAGTGTTTGATCCCGCGGAAGCAATTCGCGTCGATGTGAGTTCAGAGTCCCTTTAGTACTAGCTAGTGCTTTATAATCAGCTTGGCTGACGCGTTCTCGAACAATCCGGAACGCTTGGCGCTGTGGTTGGTGGATACGGGCCTAGGTAGAAACAGTTTTTGTACTACCAGGTCCCAAGGGCAGGAGCTACGCCCGTCACAGCTTAGTCAGCACCTAGACTAGGTTTCACCATGTTCGTGGCATCACAGTTTGTCTGCTTGCTAGTGGGCCGCTGGCCCTGCTCCAACGACAAATATTGTTGGAATTCAGAATGCATCTCCCTTGATTTCTGGAAAATCGACTGATTTGTGCCTGGCTTGCAAGATCCCACTCTCCAACGTGCAGCAGTGCTGTACTTGACCATCGATCTACGACTCCGGTCAGTGGCGAGGGGATATGTCAATCTAGTGATCAGCTCAGAGCGCTCTCCCTTTCCTGCTCCCAATCTTCGGGACCGTCTCTGAATCCCATTGTCTAAAGCGTTGGGAGAGTGATGATACTAGTCTTCTTGAAGGGAGCAGGTGACTCAGCCAGGTACTTGTAAGCTTGCAGGTAGGTTGCTTCGTTCATATTGAGTCCAAGTTATTCAGGTACACGCTTTACTCATGCACTGTCATATCCCATGTGGTACGTAAGCATGCAGCTTTGTCAACATAAACTCCTGATCATATGCCGAAGGACTCGGTGATTCAGCGCAACTGGGATTACTGGCAGCACTTCGAAACGAACGACCTGGCAAAAGATATATAAACTGATGACATTCAGGGTGTAAAATCCAAAATTCAGTAACACAGCATGTCTGAAGCACTTTTCAAGTCCTTTGCTATTGTCGGCGCAGGCCCTCACATCGGGATTCCTATCGTGAAGGTGAAAATCTAATACAATATTATCTTCGAGTGTTGTCCTCAGCCGGTGATCTCTGCCAGGCATTCCTGGCCATTGGCGCTCCAATTCTCGTCGTCGCCCGACCGACCTCCACAAACACCTCCGCACTCCCTGAGGATGATCCCAACCTGAAGGTTGTGCGCGCAGACTATACATCTGCATCTGAGGTCTCGGCAATCCTTCGTGAAAATAAAGTGGACGTCCTTATTTCTACCGTTTCATTTATTTCCGGAGGTGTAGATGTCCAGGACGTTCTCGCGGACGCTGCAAAGGAGGCAGGTGTGAAGCTCTTTGTACCCAGCGAGTTCGGCATATCACCGCCAGCAGTCGGTCTGACTCATGAAAAGCATGCATTTGCAGGTGAATCATTACAGCCAATGGTAGTACTTTATGGTGTAGACTCATCCTCCGTTCACAGTCTACGCAAAATCGATTGGATTGCCCACTCTTCGCGTCTATGTAAGCCTTTATTTGCCGGTTTTGCTCCAAGTATGACGCGCTGAACACGATACGTCCATTAGAATGGATTGTTTCATGACTTCGTGCCCTGGCTCACTGCACTCACTGATACTGGTATGCTTTATATCGTGGGCAAAGGAGATATGCCAGGATCCTTCACTGCGATATCCGACGTTGCAGGATACGTAGCTCATATTCTTACTACTCAACCACCATCTCGTCTACTTGATGTCGAAGTTCGCATCGAAGGACAACGCGCAACGCTCTCGGAGATTAGTGCCTTATATAAAGGCAGTGTACCTGTGGTACACTGTGATGCCCTTCCTACGGAGGGTGTGCCCGCCGCGGACTTCCGTACGAAATTCCAGCAGGGCTTTGACGTCGGAAGAGCAAGTAGCGGGTGGAACCCCGATACGGAGATGGATGACGCGGAGTCGGCGAGCAAGGATAATTCACTGTGGGAGGGGCACCGCTGGTTGACTATTGGGGAAGTTCTTGGGTTGTAATGATATGGACGTGCACGAGACCTTGTAGGGACTAGGTACTCTTCAAGATTTATAGGAGGAGCTTTTTAAATCGTGATGTAGGACTGTTAGTAGGAGCTTTCTGGTGTGCGATAATGCCAGATGTATTTAGTTCATGCAGAGATGAAGGCAATATTTGGTTGGACTGCTTATCGGCCACAATGATCCTATCACTTGATGTCGTGTGTTCTAGTTTGCATAGCAGAATTTCCATGCCCAAAACGAGACAACTATATATTCCTATATCGTCGGAATAAATCAAAATCAGATCATACCGCTGTAGGGGGCAACCGGAGCCGGTGTGTAGGTATTTCAGACAGCAGGCTCAGCCACAATGGAATGCCAAGACCAAGGCATCTTGCAGCATACCGTGCAGTCTGCCATCATGCATAGCATGTTCATTGCTGTTCTCCGGGCTGCGAGTCTGTTCAGTGCAATACATACATATTAACTAGTAATTAGCTTAATGTACTTTGTATCTACATGGCAGGAGTATGTACGTTTTCGTATACAGCAACGGGACCTAATACCGGCCGAACAATGGCGAGATCTAGGCAACCGCAGACTGTACACTGATCTCGGTGGTAAGGACCGACAGGCAGTGCACGTCGTCATGGACAGGGACAGAGAAAATGCCAGAGTCGATAGATTTGTGCAGGTTAAGTATAAGCCGAGAGATGAGAGTGGCGGATATGCTGGGAGCATAGTTCAAACCCAATTTCTGTTTATCGCACCAATCACTCACCAGCCAGTGAGTGTAGCTAGGCCTAGACTGCCTCTGACGATCTCCTAGCAAACCATCAGAAAGTATTTAACGAACACACATGCATGTTGTGCGCTTACTGATCCAAACTGGTTCAAGTTGTGAGCGCTTTGTAATTTCATCAGGATGTCGACTCACGTAGTACGACAAGATGTTGGGTACATTACAAAGTGTCATGGCTCTGAAAGATATTTGTCAATCAGACCTACTCGGATCACGAGTTCACTACCACCCTCACCCAAAATACATCGCACCTGTGTTCGATCGAGTCAGTGTTTTTAATATGAATGCAACAAACAATTTACCATCATGAAACATGACGTCAAGAAGATTTCTCTTGCTGACTAGGCGTAACCGCAGCAAACCTCTACTTCTACAAGTCCTGCAAACTGTGAGGACAAAGATGAGTAATTCGAAGGCAAGTATGGCTAGCCATGCTATCCCACAACCTGCAGATTGATAAAGTCGTGACTTCAAGTTATGTGACTTGGAATTCACTGACGGGTAGATCTGCGATGACTTTGGAGTAGACTCGCAGAACGGCGAGGATGATGACGTACTCATTCACTGTATATGTTTCGAAGCAGCCAACTCCTGGAAAGGGTGTCAAATTCCCTGCATACTGTCCAATGGTTCCTGCCTAGAAACGATCAGTAGACTCCAAATGGCAAAGTCCAAAATTCTATGGAACACGTACGGATGAACCTCCCGCAAGAGCAATGAAGATCAACGTAACCCAGATAAGCAGGCGTTTGCTACAGTTGTAGAGTGCATAAGTGCGAATAATTAATATGACTAAAAACGTTCAATCTATAAATTTCTACTACTGAAAGAATCGAACTCACCGCAAACGATCAATTGTTGAAACAAAATGAACAGCTGTCTGTATAGCATGTATTTCGAACAGCTAAGCGTTTGTTGAACGAAAGGACAGATATTCAAGAGTCAGGAGTTCACACCTCTGCGGACATAAGTTGTGAGTCTGCCACGTACATAGTGAAATGATCGAACCTGATCTGGAATGGGCATGAAGGCAATGAATAAGCCATAGATATTGCCGAGCAGTGCGAAATAGCGATTGACAAGAAATGATATTGCAGACAGTGCTTTTGGACGACGCCAGATGAAAATGATTTCTTCTGTGAGGGTTGCCATATGGTCGTACATCAGAATACCTAGAATACTGTGTTATCGTTCTGAGGACAGATAACAAAGACTCCAGTACTGTTTGCCACAAGGATGACGTACGAGTGCGTGCGTGCAGCCAACCTGGTAAATTGTAAATGAAATGTCAAGTCACGATCAGGATATGGACGTGGACCACTTACAACTGCTGTCTTTCGGTAGCATCCATTTCAACGAGACTATACAACAGAGAAAGGCCGTGGATAATATTTGTTCGGGGCGCTATCATATCAGCATTATATATCACGTTGATGAGTATGCAAACTCCGGAGCGAACAAACACCCGCAGTTAGCTCGGAACATCATAGACGAGTATAAATAGATCTTCCTCGGTCACATCAGTGAGTCACAATTAACTAGGCTGTTGCACTATTTCTTCCTGGAACACAAAGAATCAAGTACAGCCATTCTGACATCGCTGGCATGATCAATCAAGGTGCGATGAAACATTTAAAATGCCAATTATGGACTTGTAACGTATCATGTTACCCAGTACTTCAGTCTTCGACCGAAGCGCCACCCTGCGCCCTTAGTGACCTGGCGCGGAGTCGCGGACAAAGTGGTGAGTATAACATGAACAACTCAAGGTACCCCAGATCCTTTTTACAGGTCGGCTTTAGCCCAATCGCCGCATCAGTATGACAAAATTTTCCATTTCAGCCAGCAGCTCTAGTTCTTGAACTTGCATTGATACCATTCAAAAGTTCGTCATAAGGTCCTTTCCATAGCAGGAAGGCTAGATACGGAACATCGGACTGGTTTGCCCCTGTGGCCATAAAAAAGCGGACTCTATGATGCAGTAAGTACTGGGTCGCTCCAGACCAGGCCTAAGTTTAGAAACACGTACTCAAGGATGTCAAATAGCGAGGGATCTTCCGGTTAATCTTCAGGTTGTTATTGGTGCACGTACATTGTCATCGTGCCGATGGATCACCCGCTTATGCTCGAGGTCTCTCGTGCACAAAGCGTGGTGACACCGAAGGGGAGGGTCCATAATATGGAATTCCTGTAATCGAAGCGGGCGAACATCGCAACGCTGACAAAGTATTACATTTCGAGGACAGTATCGTGCAGGTAGATATGGGTCCATGGGTACTCGTCAGGGCTGTAAAATGACGCTAAATATACGGCATCCATCGTAGTAAGTGATGATTGACTGCCCCTGGAAATAAAAGCGGTGCACACGATGATGATCGGACGCCTTGAGATGGCTTTCATAGATTATGGATTATGCGGTACGGCGATACATTTCATTTCCGATGTATCCAATTCCGATGGCGGCTGATCAACCAAGCTCTTCAGCTGAGCAAAAAACTTGACTTTAGCAGGGAGCTATCAAAATGTCAAGCAAGCAAAGTTGTGAAAGTGACGTTGTAGTCCTGACCTGATACTGCGTCACAAGGCCCGACGTGCTAGGAACCACGAATAATAATGTCTCGCTTATGTTCGCGGAGGTATCGCTGACAGGACCTGAGTAGCGTAGCTTGAATGGCTGTAATCCAATGTTCTTGGCAGACGCCTGGGATGCTTTTGAAGTGCCTGGTGATCCAGAGGCCTTGGATGGTCCAGTCGTCCAAGACATCTGCAAAAGCGCCTTTTGGAGTATCTCCCAGTTAGATATGCCGACGAGACAGAGAAACCTTGGGCGGTGGAGGGCGAGCTTGCTGAGCAGGATAGGTACAGACGAGACACGCTCTGAAGAGGACAGTTCTGATGCCTGAGATTGGCACGTTAGCACGCAGTTAAAAGACGAGTACTGTGACAACCTCAGTAGACGGTCTGTCAACTAGATCCGTCTACCGATTGAAATACGTCAGTTTGGGCAGTAAACATAAGAAATATTAAGCTGACCAAACCAATGTTGAATGTTTGTGGTAAAGAAGAATCCTCCGAAGGTGGCAGCAACCTAGGTGTAAACCCTAACAAGTCTATGGTTGAGAGTTTCGCTCTTGGTTATCAATAGACGATATACCAGATTGGTGAAGGCACTTCCAGAAGTGATTCGACGGGTGGGCAAAGTGGTGCCCTTTCTGGGCGGACATATAACCTGGACTGAGTACGACATTAAGATGTTATAGTGGCTCTATTAGAAGCTTGCATGATCCGAAAGATACTCAGCCTACTTAATTCCACAGAAAACGACTGCACAGAGAAACCCTTAGATACAATTAGAATGATGAGGATATTACACACCGTCGAGCCCGTAGGCTAGATAATCTGTGAGAGGTGATAGATGGGCATACGCTTCCGGTGGGGCATATCCGCGCTTGAGTTTTTTGGCGGCATTCTTGGACAGACTTGCGTTGGGTGCCTTGCGCTTACCCTTTCCAGGTGATGTTAAACTCAAGGCATCAACTTCACACTCGATTCCTAGCTTTCGACATGTCACGACCGCAGCGACTCTGGAGGAACGTCGCGGGGTTGGTGGCTCGGAACTATGGACCGTTGGATCGAGCTGTGGTTGACATGGGGCTGAGAATGTGAACTTGGTGACAGATTCCCTAAATTTATCTGTAACGGACGCCTCTCCATCGTTGCAATCTTCCTCGAAAGACATCTGGAGCAATCCCTGGTTGAACTTGAAGAGCTCGTGAGAAATTTACACGGGAGGGCGTAAATAGTCGTCGTTTAACATTTTGATTGGTGACTATAGTCACTAAATTAGTTACTAGTGGTACTCAAAATAAATTTTGAAACTCTTGAAAACTCGCTAAACTGCGTTCAACTCCCTTCAACTCCCCGCTTAAAGTTTGAAAGAACTCGCGCAAGTCCGAGAGAAATGTGCTCGGCACACGTCGGCATGTAGTCGGACTTTAAAACGACACTTGTGATTTTTCAAAGCGTGCTATGTACATAGGGGAAAGTGGTAGAGTAGCGGTCCAACATAATTGTATTTCAAATGAAAGCATTAATAAAATTGTAAAAAAAACAAGGCCTGCGGGAATGAAATCAGCTGTGGGTAGGGAGCGCGGGAGGGACCAAATAAGTGCCGAGTGGAGGAGGGGGGGATGCTGAGCAGTGGGGGGGGATGAAAAGCGTCGGGAGGAAGATCTGCGTGCCTCTGCGGAGACGCAAGATCAAGTGAAGGGCGGACTCCTTCTGGATGTTGTAGTCACTGAGAGTACGACCATCTTCGAGCTGCTTTCCAGTGAAGGTGAGATGCTGCTGGTCAGTTGGGATGCCCTCCTTGTCCTGGATCTTCGCCTTCACGTTGTTGATGGTGTCCGATGACTCCATCTCCAACGTGAGGGTGCCTCCATGGAGACAGATAAGGAGGCGGAAGGTGGACAGGCCGTTTGCCGGTAAGGGCGAGGCGCCGCTGATCAGGTGGATGGCAGATGGTCCATCGCCCTCGCGCATGGATGAGCGTTGGCTCTAAGTCGTGCAGACCGGCGAGCACGTTGGTGAACAACAGGCATGTTTTTCGAACTCCGATGTGCGATGCCGGCCTGACTTTCAATTGCAGCACATGCTCATGCTGTGTTTTGTTGAAGTAGCCGAGCTTTAGGCGAGTTTTCAAGGAGTTTCAAGATTTATTCTGAGTACCACTAGTGGTACTAGCACAGCTTCTCTTCGAGTTTGCAGACGTAAAACAGAGTCAACTTCGGAGGACCAGTTGTTCCTCTGCATCGTATGCAAGAACACTTCCATGAACATCTAAACGCCCAGCGTCGTCGTACATACGCATGACGCCAGATCCAGAAATGCACTCACTGAGCAGCTGTCTGGACCTTGGACCAGCTGCTTCAGGCTATAATGATCGCACGGCCAAGGTGCTACTTCACCTGTCTCTATGTACGGAGTCCCTACGGACCGTCCCCTACCAGGTCCCAGGTATGTTATATCGCTATACACATCTTTGACAATAAGTTCCAGAGACAACACCTCAACGTCGCGACCATTATCCATGATAGTTCATACCTTTGGTCATAGGTTCGTGCACCCTCAGGCTTTGCAAGGCCGCTAGGCAGAGTCTAGCCCTGCCGATGATGCTATTGCTGGATAACGGGAAGATGTTCTTTTTTAAGTGTGGAGTCGATATGCAAGATGATCTTCGAAAGCCACAAATATTGCGCAGCAAGTGCTGCGCAGCCTGCGCCCCTGCGTCGAGCGGCCCGAGGTCCTGATACCTACTACGTGTAACGTCTTATACGGTTGGCACCTCAAGATTGAAGAAGTCTATGAAGAAAAGATTGTCGCTTCCAAAAGCAAGAGCCCCACATGACCTGCTACAAAGAAAATATTCGATCCGATCCGATTCCAATTAAGCAGTTGTCCTCCCATGACCTGGTTTACGAGTCAGCGATAACATAGAAGTTGCTGAGAGTTGCCTCATGAGGCTGCCACGAGGCAACGTATTCACCCCAGGTTCCATGCCGATGCTATAAGTAATGCCATATGTATATTTGAAACGGAGCCTTTGTATACGTATCGAACCATACGTCTAAAGTCGAACAAACAAAGGGACTTCCTTCAAGGTTTCACGCTTTGTTGTTTGGTTATCAATTTCTTTCTTTTACTTGTACTTCAACATGCCACCTCGTGCACCACCAGGACAGACTCGTGAAGGCGGTGGAGGCGGCGGCGGCGGCGGCAGAGGTGGTCGTGGCGGTGGTCGCGGCGGCCCTCGCGGTGGACCACCTCCTCGCGGCGGCCCAGCTAGAGGAGGAGCAGTTCATGCTCCCACTGGTCCCGCCGCTCTGCCTGGAAGCCATGTTCAGGCCGTGGGGGTAAAACGACCTGGATATGGAACGGCAGGCAGAGCAGTGACCGTATATTCCAATTTCTTCAAGATTAGTCTCCCAGAAAGTGTTATCCATCACTACGACGGTTGGTAGTGGTCCTTTTGAATTATCGTCCCTTTGTCTGATTTCATCCAATTTTCTGTCTTGCGATCTAGTGGGTAAGTACTGAAGTTAATGATCTTTCGTGTGACTTGCTGTTGATCATCGCGACAATCTATGTGATCAGTGATCTCGCCTGATGAGAAGGCACTTCCAGCGCGCCTGAACATGGACTTGATTCATCACCTTCAAACCATCGATGCCGTCGATGTTTTTACCCCTCGGGCCGTTTACGATGGGCGAAAGAACCTCTTTGCCCCCAGGGAGCTGCCTTTTGGTCCGCAGAATAGTCAAGAGGTGTGCTCATCTGATATGCTATTATGCTCATTATTTACATCTATGTAGTTTGATGTTTGCCTCTCTGATGATCCTAATCGCGGAAGCCCCGGGGAGAACACGGGAGGCCGCGGCCCTAAAGTGTATAAAATCAAACTGACGAAAGTTGCACAAATCAACCCTGAGTAGGCTATTTCACTTCTCTGAACGTTACGTTACTGGAATTCGTCTTCGTTAGGGTCCTGCAACGCTTTATTCTAGGACAGCAATCACATGACAACAGTGTTTTGACCGCATTGACAGTAGGTATTTTTGTGAGGGACGCTTCAATTGATGATTAACATCGCGTGTCCTACAGGCATTGAATGTTGTCGTCCGAATGGAACCAACAATGAAGTATCCCTTTAATGTTCGGTCTTTCTTCACCGATCGGGAGACTAAGGATATCGGTTCCGGCCTTGTGTTATGGCGCGGATACTTCCAGTCAGTGAGACCCGCAATCGGGCAGCTCCTCGTCAACGTCGATATCTCGACTGGAACGATGTATAAGTCTGGAGCACTGATGGATATCTGTCTCGAGTTCCTAGGTAGACCTGGGCAACACGCGTTGCTTAGCCCGCGAAGTGGCTTGCCCGATCGTGAGCGAATTCGTTTGCAACGTTTTATTTCAGGCATCCGGGTCAAAACAACATACGCCGGTGAAAACAGGACCCCTCGCGTCGTCAAGAAATTGAGCAGCGCAGGGGCTGCGGATTTGAGTTTCACATTGCGGGATGGAACTAGTAGGACTGTGGCGCAGTATTTCCAGACGATCCTGAACCGTCCATTGAGGTTCCCGAACAATCTTTGCATTGAGGTAAGTCGTTCGCAGTACATCTCGAAACATCTCATCAGGTTTTGTAGGTTGGCAGCGGTGCCTTGATCCCTCTGGAACTATGCACGGTTCCACCAGGTCAAATCATGCGGAAGCAGGTTCCCCCCGAGAAAACGAAGGACGTTCTGGAATTTGCTACAAAGCGACCTGAGCACCGCCTCGCTAGTATCACAAATGGTCTTTCGGTATGACCTTCGTCCTTCACAGCGTGCTATGCTCAGCAGTCTCGTTAGGTCCTTCAATACGGCCAGTCGGAATACGTGCGCCAGTTCGGCATGCACGTCGAAGATACTACTGGACCGCTTACAGTAACAGCGCGTGTCTTGCAACCGCCAAAATTGAAGTACGGCCAGGGCAGCGCGCAGCCGACCATTGTCAGTAATACAGTCTGTTTTCCTTGCTGCGTACTGATCTTTTCCTGTTCCTTAGACACCAAGTAACGGCTCATGGAATATGTAAGTGTTGTTATATGATATATCTTCGTTGCTCATAGGTTTCCAGGATAGACAAACGATTCTTCAGACCTGCATCTATTGACAGGTGGATCGTGGTAGTCTATGAGAGGCAGCAGCGGTTCAATCCACAAGCTGCACAAGACATGATCGATGGCATGCTAAGGAGTTTCAGAGACGTCGGTCAGTGATTCATACAACAATATCTTGCGTCAAATTTTGACACATACCAACAGGTATCCGTATCACCGACGATAAGCCGATGGTAACTTGGCAAAACGGCCAAGGCCGGATTGCGGACGTAAGTGGCATTCTGCGAAGACTGTTTGAACCTGACTCAAACGCCTACTTCAGCAACTGCGTGCCGCTGGCACTGAGTGTTTCCAAAGGACGAAACAGCGCCCACAGCTCATCGTTGTAGTTCTTCCCGAGAATGGTAATGATATTTATACTGCAGTTAAACAGTAAGTTCCTTTACATTCGTCTTGTATCAATGACTCATGCCCTTTTGTGTAGCTTTGGGGACATTACAGTAAGACCGTTTGACGGGCCCGCTACATGACCTCTGAAGTTATGACTTCAGGTTGGTGTTGCGACCCAGTGTTTAAAGAGTCAGAAGTGTTTCCGCGCAAAACCTCAATATTACGCGAACGTCTGCCTCAAGTACGTAATTATTCATTGGGCGCTCAATTTCGTTTTGATGTCTTACTCGTCACAGGGTTAATGTCAAACTAGGTGGTATCAACACCATCCCCGACCCCCAGTCGGTCTCGGTTCTCACCGACCCTCGTAACCCTACCATCGTTATGGGTAAGCTTCATTGTTGCATTACCCTATCTTGGAGCCAAACAATCCACCAGGTGCCGACGTGATTCATCCTGCGCCTGGTTCTGATGGCCGTCCTTCATTCACGGCACTCGTCGGTAATGTCGACTCCGATACCGCCAAATACATTGCCACAAGCCGTGTTCAAGCTTCTCGTGTCGAGATTATCGAAGATCTTCAGGACATGACGAAGGCGAGCAGTTTTTGCCGTATGGATTGCCGGCACTAATTACGCACTCTTAGCACGTCCTGAGTATGTATATGAAGTATCGCCAGTTCGCGGAGAAGAAGACGGGGAATCTTGCCCCTGCGCGTCTCATCTTCTACAGAGGTTCGTTGCGGAAGCTATTCATACCGTTTCCATTTTCTGAGCATGCAACGTAGATGGTGTTTCTGAAGGGCAATTCAAGCAAGTTCTCGATTCCGAACTTAAGTCGATCAAAGGCACGTCCGTGTTACTTGAGGGACAGTCGAAATCTGACAACCTGTCCAGATGCTTGCGCTGAGTTGAAGATAAACCCGAAGATCACAATCATCGTGGTCGCGAAGCGTCACCATGTTCGCTTTTTCCCCAGTGGCTCCGGACCAAATGAACAGGATAAGAGCGGAAATTGCCTGGCAGGCACTGTAGTCGACCAGGTCGTTGCTCACCCTACGGAATTCGACTGGTATCTGCAGAGCCATGGCGGTCTGCTCGGCACGAGTCGCCCCGCGCACTACAATGTTCTCTACGATGAGAACGAATTCAGGTGAACTCACCTCCATGTCCCTATGTGGTGGATTGTATGCTGACAGTGGTTATGCATCTAGTGCCGATGGTCTTCAATCTCTGTCTTTCGCTCTGTGCCATGTGTATGCACGGTCAACCCGATCTGTTTCAATACCCGCCCCCGTATACTGTAAGTCTATGCCCAAGACGCTCGCTGCCAATGATGTGACTGGACTACTTATCAGATGCCGATATCGTCTGTTCCCGCGCCAAGAACCACTACGACCCTCAAGGGAACGTTGATTTCTCCGATTCTGCCACTCAACTCGACTCAGCTCAGGCCGAGGGTGCCTTGGAAGCGTACAAACGTGGATTCAAGCCTTTACATGCCAACATGGCAAGTTTGATGTACTTCTCTTGAACAATGTTACTCTACCCGCTTAACTACCTCAAAGCAAAAGACCGTTAGTTTGCTCGTACCATCTTTTTTCTCCTTTCTGTTGTCCCGTTTAATCCAGTTCCTCCAGTCTCATGACCTCGCACCACTCTGTAAAAAAAAATACGTACCATTGCACGAATACCATCAGCCACCCGCATTGCTTGACGTACTATGTTCGGACTGATGACTGCGAAATATAATGCTATGATATTCGTTGCAGACAGCAATGTTCGAGTGCACTGGGTGAGCTTGAGAGAAGTGTTTTCACAATACAGGGTAGTAGTGAGACGATGTAACACAAGGGCCTAAGGCCCTGAGGCCTGAGGTGTCATTGCGCGCAACGAGAAGAAATGGTAAAAGGTTAGATCGAAATGGTTGGTAGAATCAAAGAAAGAAATGTATCTATAATGTACTTTGATGATGATATGGGCCGTAGAATAAATTTTAGTGAAGATGCAGGGGAACAAAGCTCCTTACTCAATTTCTGCATGTCAAATTGTATACGTGTCACTTCCTAAGTAGCCCAGAGCACAGGAAAGGAGTTGATCATCCATCCGTGAGGCCATGGACTTGTCCTATAGCCAAACCGGCGTCAGAGTCCTCCGCAGTTTGCTCTCTGTGCGTATAGTCACAAGGTTAGGTGTCGTAATCTTGCGCCAACCAGCATATGGGTTATGAGGGTCAGGGCGAAGCAACACGCAGAGATGCTCCTGCTCTGGCTGAAGAATGCCATCTCCACTCGTGTCGTAGCACCAGTAGTCCACGACTCCCGCAGTATAGCTAGAGTACGCATCAGTTTGGACGTCTTTGGTGCCAATCTTCTCGTGAACCGTCGCTTCCTGTTCTGATAAGTCAACAAGGAGTACTTTAATTTCCAACCCGCGCTTCGTCATGGCGATGTTCCGATCGCCGCGCCACACTGTGGACGGCAGAAGAGCGTCGTTACTGTCTACTGAATCGAGGGGACGGTAACCTCGCGGCGAGTCTGGGAATGCAGCACTGTCGGAGGAACTCGTTCCCGCCCAAGCGAAGATCTGCCACTCTTCACACTTGCGAATGATAGCTTCCATCAGCCTGTAAAACGCCCGTTTTCCCTCTCCATACGCTACCATCATGCTCACGTCGAAGATTCCGATGAGGGAGTAAGCTTCATCTTCGATGCGTGTAGTCGTCCGAGTGGAAGCCCACATCATTTTCTCGTGGACGTTGCGTATGCCTGGCCGGAAATGACGTAGGTCGTCAAGAGGTATCCTCGTGGCGCGCGAAAGCGCAGCTATGACCTCAAAATTTTCCTTATCATTGAGGTCCCTGGTGAGCGGCTGCCAGTTTCCGACATAAAACTTCATCCTCCATGGTGCAAGCAGCTCTTGCAGAGTCCACCCGCGGGTAAACCACACATCTTTGTGGAGATCGTCAATCGAGGTGGTATCAGAGAGGTATGCGATGCATATATGAGCATCACGATACCACTTAAACATCGACCGGATGGCTTCTTCGAGTTCGGTGCTGCTGTCCTTGTTGATGCAGCACGTATCGGACCATGCCAATCGGCATCCGAACTCGCCGGCTTTCTCGCAAAATTTTACGAGTTTTTCATAACCGTATGGTCTAAAAGATTTTAAGATGTCGTAGAAGGTGGGTTCGCCGCTGTCCAGCCAACGGTGCGAGAGGACAGCGAACTTGACAGTATCCTTGACGATATCCCTGATGGCGTCCTGCCTCTCTACTGTATGGCACGATTCCTTCAAAACGACAAGACGGCTATGGATATCCTCCTCCGTGATCAGAGCGACGTCTTTGCGGAACATACGCTTCACTTCGTTGCGACCGACAAGCCTTTTATCTGGCACGTAAATGAGGTACGTGGGCAGTTCATTTTGTACATATGTATTGAATATGTTTATAACATCAGGAATCGCAGATGTACTAGAAAAACCCTGTCATGAACCATAAGCCAGGTATGATAAAGTAAGAAGCAACACTAACCGGGGGATCTGGACCACTCGTGTCGTTGGGATCTTTGGGTGGAAGCTTGACTCTAATGCCTTTGATGCCCAGCGTCGGCGGCTAGCAGAAGGTTAAATACATAACATCAGCCGATACAACCTCGTACAGTTATCTGTCCGTGGGGGAAAATATCGCGGACATCATTGATGACCTCTCGTTTCAGCTTGTGGAATTTGGCCTTTCAAGACATGTTTCTCCATAAGACGGTGTAGTTTCCACTTCGGCAACGTTACCCCTCACCTTGAGTGCCCTTTGGTCATCGTCCTCCATGGTGGCATCCATCGCCTGGTGCACAAGGTCTTCAAAGAAGTTACCCATTTCAGTTGAACCGAGGCGAACAGATTCTGAGAAGGAAAGGGAATGATGGCCACGTCAACGGAGGAGGTCGAACTCCTTGTTATATGGTACAGGAGGTCTGGCATCCTGCGTGTATAGCCCAAACCATGACCCTAAACCCGTAATGTGCCATGCTGCAGCATCGCCTGAGCATCGCGTTAAGTTTCATATATTTGCTCATTACGGTGAGCTTCGAATGGACCTCTGCTTGAAACTTTATTCAGAAACCTTAAGCTGCATATTTTAGGGACGGCGTATTGCGCAGATAACCCTGAGCAGTACATATTAGTTTGGAATCAAGGTGCGTCTTTCAGTGATGGTCACATTGCGACGCACCTTAGAAGTCACTGCCTCACCGCCCTATGCGGTTATGCCCCAAATCTCCTATAGCTTTGGGCACGAATCCCCAAGCGTATGGTAGTGATTACGAGACGGAAATAGAGAAGGTGATCCATTAAACTGGTCCTTAATATATGTCAAGTGTTCTGAGCACGTACACCAGTCGGATTCTTGCGCAATCTCCACCAGCACAAACAGCACAAACCTAATTTCTCTGTCGCGAACATAAGGTGACTGAAACAACGTTCCCGCAACATGCTTCGCAAGCCGTCAAGCGTCCTCTTGGACCAAGATGCAAGCTTAAATCATCTAAAAATCACTGATATCATAACAACATGAACCCCGTCCACGGAACAATATAAGTATCCATACATGATAGATATAGATGTAGATGTGCATACCAAAAAATAAAGCACACTCTTGATAACACTTCCACTCACGACTGAGCAGCCTCCCGGCTAGCGAGGAACGCACCCATGTCTCTCGTTTTCCCTCTTGCGCCCGAAAGCCCAACACTTGGAAATCCCCGTACATCCTCTCCCTCGATGGCGTGCTCCATGCGCTCATGGGGGACAGAGAATGCAGTAATAGCTGGAGACGCAGATATGGACGGAGCGGGAGTATAAGGTGCTGTGGACTGCGATGCTGTTGAAGACGAGAGAGGGGAGAAGCGTTTTGACGTGCGGTGTTTTGACTTTTTGGCAGGGTTGGGCAGCTGCATCTCGGTCTGTGGGTATGAGGGTGGGACAGCTTGTGCTAGCTGGTGATGGTTGTAATGTAAATTTGCATCCCCGTTAGAGACTGAAGCAGACGTCCGAGAGCGAGAGTCTGAACCCGAACCACTCCAAACAGATTGGCGTTTCTTGCGGGTGTATAACTCCCCGCCGAGGTCAGCATCGTCAACGTCTTCGGAGCCTTCTCCCTCTCCTCCTATGGCTGACAATTCTTCTTTCCCCCGTACAAACGGCCCAAATTCATCGGCTGGCAGCGAGGATATCACAGATTCTCCACTGCCTTGGAATCCCTCAAAACCACTGCCTTTCGCAAGAGAGCCACCATTTAGTGAGAGCAAAGCTGACATGCGCTCTCGCTCCCTGCGCTCCCTGCGCCGTGCCTTCCTCTCTACCTTCCGCTGCGCTTCCTCATCACGTCTGTGCTGCTCAGCTTCTACGCGGTCTGGAGACGACAGGCGAGCAATAGTCGATGCATCTAGTGGTGCTGCATCCGAGTCGAGCGTGGATGATGATGCAGTGCCAAGTGCTCTCCTCCTCCATCCTCGTTCGTCTTCATCGTCGGAAAGGTAAATTGGTGGGCGGCCAAATAACGTGTACCCGAAGAGTGTCAGCGAGAATGCAGGGTGCTTTCGGGGCTTTCTCCGGCCAGCACCGATGTTTGAGTGCAGGGAGAGCGTTTCTATTTCTGTGTCTGTGTCACGCAAGAGCCCCTCGAGCTCGTTCGACGGCGATCTGTGGGTTCTGACATCGCTGTGGGAATTATCATTGGAGTTGACAGGCGCTATGCCGCTAAAGCATGGCATGCACGAGGCCAAAGCAGCTCGTATGCTGTCCTTGTAGGAGAAATTGTCTACAGCCATCAGTGTGATCCAGACGGTTGCGGTGACAGTGTGAGGGTATAAGTTTCCAGTGCAAAGTATGTGGGTAAAGAAATAAGTTGCGCCGAGAGGTCGTGGTCACAGTCGTAACGAACTCCGGCCTGCCACAGGCCGCGCAGAGCACCACAAACACGTGTAACGCGACCTATCACCCCGATTATTGATTCCGAACAACAATAAAACACCCCGTGCCGTTGCTAGCAAACTTCAAAGCAAGTCGAGAATACGACTGTTCTTGTATAGTAAGTACTTCTCATTGAACTAAACTGTGAGTACATTATACAAGGCGAGTGCGAACTTCAAACCATCCACGAGAAGAGAACAAAAAGAGAAACATCACTCCATACCAGCCGAATCAGGGTCGAGTAAGCTGTTACATGGGGTTAGCTCTGTGAATGAAATACACCTGAAAAGCTTACCTATACTGTTTCATCAGGGAACACTCACCACCGTTCTCCAGGTCGATGTTGTACGAGTAGAAGTAACCCTCGGATGAGATGACCATGACCTGCGGTAGCGTTCTAAACCAGACATGAGAAAACTAGGGTGGTAATAAAGAGACATATTTAATCATACCCGCTGAGCGCAACAATGCATCTTGCTCCACTTGTTGGCAGTCGCAAGAACGCAAAGTCACGAGATGGCTCCCACATCTCGGTCAATGTGTTAGGGAGATAGCCTCCAACTGAATGCGACAGACTCTTGGTCATTTGCAGCGACTTGCGACGAAGACTCAAGCTAGACAATATCAGAAAGGAATTTTAGACTGCGCAAGAATACAATCAACGTACGAAACACCGCTCTTCTTGCGTTCGTCAGCGAATGCTTCATACCCTCCATCCATCCCTACAGACCCCTCCCTGCCGTCAATGGACTCGGGCGGGCTGGACAGGCCATCATTCTTCTTACTGGACGAGGACGACGGGGCTTTTTGAGGGCCAAGTTTGAAGATGTGCACTGTGTCATGTGCCGAGCTGACAGCAAGCAAGGATGACACCACATTGAAGTTAATCGAATATATTCGTGCCTCGCGGGTCCCCCGGCGAAATTGGTACAGTTTCTCTGCTCCAGGGATGCTCCAGACCCGGATGACAGTGCCCTTGTCGGATGCAGTCGCAAGCATAGTACCTGTCGAATTGATGGAAAGGAAAGAGATTGGTGATTTGTGCGCCTGGATTACATTAGCGACTGTCAATGAGCGTGTGGAGAACAGGAGAACGTCGCCAGATTGGTGACTAGAGGATGGAGCCTGTGACGTAGAGGCCTGACTAGGCGATTGAGTGGTAGGGGAAGGTACAGGAGAAGGATATGCAAGGTAGGAATTGTCAGCGGATGGTGAGAGGGCACATGTTGCTGGCACAGCTCAGCTGTAGATTGTTGGTGAGCGGTAGGTAACGCGCTCACCTTCTGGGTTGGGTGTAGTCTCTATGATATGTAGAAGACGCATGTTGGATATGTCATAAATGTATATTTCGACTTCCAACACAATAACAAGGGTTTTCCTGTTCAGTTTGACAGCAAGGATGGAGGACGGGAACAGCAGTTCGCAGATCATAGATTGTCGCTGTCAGTGTAAAGAGATGACATTCAGCTTTACGTAAACAGTTTAAGGAATATGCACCTTTGTGTTGACAATCTGTAGTTTCCGTGGGCTAGACTGGGGTTGATCAGCGGCACCAACTAGCGCAATGAGTGAAGTGCAGAAGAGCATTTCAACAATGCCACGTGCTCCGTCATCTAAGCATAAGATGATCCTGCCACTTCAGTGTCCACGACACCCTTACAAGACATGTCAAAGACGCACTCATCGTGTAGACTCTTCCGAATGGATCACAATTTGTGATGCTGTAACCCTTTCGAGTTCCAACGGATATGCATCTAAAACACGGTTCGAGAAGCACTTCTTTATAGGTATAGGACGCACGAGAAATCTTGGTTGAAGTTAGCGAAGAGCATATTGGCGTTCGACTTCTCTGCCATGATAGCGGAATGAGGCGTAATGCGCTTTGGTGGCAGCGCTACTACTTGACTTGACATTTCAAACAACTACAAACATCACGATGAATTCTGTGACGAAACCATCCACTACATAGGCAACACAAGTCTCCAGCTAAAGCTGTTGCACTCTTTCGATATGGAGCCGATACTGTTGATCGACGGAACGGAAGAGCGCGATTTATCCAACCTTGAGCCTCAGTCATCCGAATACACATATACCGAACTGCGCGAGCTGGGCTTGCAAATCTACAAAGAAGTCTGGAAACAATTTTACGAATGGGAACCAGGGGAGTGCCGACAAATCATCCACGCTTTGGCTGGCCGACGTGTCCCTGGAGAAAGGGAAAAATATAATAAGATGATAGATCAGTTACTTGACCCCAAGGCCTTTCATGATTCGGAGATGCGGATCGACTTGGAGAACCCGAACCAACCTTTGCCGATAGTGACCCAGTACGATGCCGAGGGTCAAGGCATATCATACCCATTAGAAATGAATGAAATCTCTGTTGATCCTACTTTTAAGGCCCACCCTCCTTACGAGTCTTGTCCACCAATCAATCAGAGCATTTGGCGCTGGGGATTGTGTGAGGCAGTTGCATTCATTCCGTATGGCGACGAGGAGGAATTCCCTGTCATGGAATATCTAGACCAATTTCAGTCGTTCGCATGGGAAGAAGACTTTGATCCAGACTGTAAGCCACGATCAGTTGAGCATGCTGAAACCGCCACTAGAGATTGCATCTACAGTGGAAATGATCCAAATAGAAACTGCCCGCCGACTACACAATACTTGGAATATATCGATAAAGAACATTGATCGGATGCGCATCCTCCCAAAATCACAACGTGAACCGTACAAAAAGGGTCTTCTATGGCAGAGATTTCAGCGGTTAGTTCGCTTGATTCATGTCCTCGTGAGGATGCACTCATTGTTTTATGCAGGGATTTCCTTCGCTGGCCTGGAGGAACTGAGGATGATATGGAGGGGGCCTGCTTCCAACCTGCAGTTGATGACCTCCCTAGGAGGTTGACATCCGTTCTTGCGACATTTTGTCCAAACCTTAATTGTCTGCGAACTCGATGCACGACCCATTGTAAGTTCTACTATAATTTTTGAATCCATTTTACTCATGCGGTCTGCTAGTGCATCTTCATTCCGGGTCGTTCGGAGGTGGTAGGCCCCAGGTGACAAATCAGAGCATGCGGCTCAGCGAAGGAGAGCCCTGTGGTGAAGAATGTTTCCGTCTAACAGACGAATCTTACATGGTAGCCATTGTTGTCAAGCACCCCACAACGTTCATTCCTGATCCGTGTGGTCCTTAGGACAAAGTCTACTGGGAGAATGAATCCGATCGAAAAACATTGAAAACAATCTTATCGATCTCACCCAATTTATTTCCTTGTCAGCTTGCGGAGCTCTGCTTCAAGCCTTGCCGAGAAGTAAACACGTCCACATGTACCCTATGCTGTCAATCTCACTTCTCTCAAGGTCTTTGTTCAACGATATCACATGTTTCATGATCACTTGGTATATGATGATGACTCCGCAGACGACACGGACAGTCATACAAAGAACAACAGAACAAGGGGAAAGACCCGAAAACGTCGTCTCATTTTTGGTACCCTAATCATGTTTCTGTTGGATGACCATGGGTTCTGATTCGCAATCAATTGCAGAAGAAACATCTGATCATTCGGAATTCGTCCCGTGAGTTCCCTTGTATCAAATAGATGGAGATTGTGTTATATTTCATGACGTAGCCTCGAGCCTTGCAAGCACAAGGGCCCCTGTGAAAAAGAACTGTGCGGATGCTATCGTCGGAAACGACATTGCCAACTGGCTTGCTGGTGTGGTATAAACTGTCCGTATGGTCATGACTCAATTCGTGATATGGGTCGGGTTCTAACAGAGTTCAGGTGATCGTCAGTATCGCGGCTGCGAGTGCAAACGCTGCCTTTCAACTTGCCCGTGTTTGAAAAGCAACCGAGAATGTTTACCTGGGATATGTCATAAATGTGATGCAAGGTAGGGTACAGCATTTAAATATTCAGTGAGGTGAACTGAATGCCAATTTAGAGGTCAGACCTACGTTATAACACGTTTACGCGCGTGACTTAGTGCAAGTGAACTTTGATCAGGTGCGACTAACAACCCATGCGCAAACACAAAGCTTCAGCGAAATCATATCAAGGTAAGGACGCCTGTCGTCCACAAATTATGCTCACTACCACTGGTCAGGCGGTCGAGATCAAGCGGGCTAAATACGGTCTAGGAGCTTTCGCGGCGCAAGACATGAAGACTGGCGATTTCATCGGAGGTGATGCTGATGCCGTTTCTTGGGACATTGACGTCTAACGGCTCATGTTTCTGCTTAGACTATGTCGGCAACCTGCTGGATTCTGCCGATGTTGAGGGTCTAACGTACGCCGTCACATTATTGAACATCGACCGAAACCTCCTCACTTCATGCAGTCCTGTTACCGAATATAACGGTCGCAATTACTTTTTCGAATTCTCAAGGGAAAATACGGATGAGATGCTTGATGCTGCTCCAGTCGGAAATGCTACTCGTTTCCTGAACCACGCGAGCGCGGAACGGGCCAATTGTGTAGCACGAGGTGAGTCTTAACTTGAAGCTATTCATATCCGTCAGCTGAATGATATGCACTCGAGTTCTTCTTGTCAATGGAGAGCATCACATCGGATTCTACATCAGTAAGATTTCCAGATGGTATACCGAATCGCTTTACTAATTGTATTATCTGAAGCCAAGGCAGTGGCTCGTGGAAATGAACTTTTCTTGTGGTACGGTGACACTTACTGGCTGAACAAGGGAGTCAATTTAGAACCATCAAGCGATTGATGGAGCGGGCTGAGTATTGGCTGTACAGTATATAGAAGGATTATCATTCAAGCATAAGATGTTCATGTATAACACCCGTACAAAACATGACAAGGAGGCACTCTGTAGTATGTACTCACTGCGTAGACTCTCGAATGGATCGCGATTGGTGATACTGTAACCCTTTCGGGTTCCAACGGATTTGCACCTAAAACATGTTACGGTAATGCGCTCTGCTGTTGTTACTGTTACTGTTACTATTATTAAGTTGCCAGGGTGCGGTCCTGAACTGCTCAAACCGCGAACCACACCGACGGTGCACTGTGTGCACACAACTGAGCTGTACTCGATCTCTATCGCAACCATGACACATCCAATACAACTTGAGTTTTCACGTTCACTTTCAGCACCTGCCATGTACGAGTTCGAATTTCTGCTGCATGCAGCCAACACCCCACACTCGAACTAGTCTTTTGTTTCAATTCAAGACATCTGCAACGTGCCATGCACGCAGACTGGGATGTTATTTTCGCAGGACAAGATAAAATATAGAGATGAACGGCAATATACTACATATTGATGCACAAAAGAAATCTTCCATACTAGTAGATGCAAAGTCGGACCACGACATTTCCTTTAACAAGATGAGCCGCATAGCGGCAATCGCCTGAATCTTTCAAAGGGTGAGACGACCGCTGGTTAGTGAGTATCTTGTTGGATGAGCATAAGGGCTCCCTCAGAGCGAGCCTCGATCGAGCACTTAAACGCCTTGGGGTGACTGCGAGTGTGTATGTCCAGAGCACTGTAGTCATACCAAGATATGCGACATACCTAATCAACCCAGATGATGGGTCAACTTCAGGAGTCACTTCAACACCATTCTCGACAACCTTGGAGACGTCAAACACCGCAAGTGACATCGCGGTGAATATCCAGATGGATGCATCAGCGAGATGCAGACCTGTATAGTTGAAAGCAACCAGCGTTACCCTCCGTCAATTACGCATACCTGGGCAGAGCCTATGAAGCAGAACCTTAACATTTCACTCAAAATATAACAGCCACTCAATCCTTACCGTCTACCAAAACCGAAGCACACCGTGCGAGGATCGGTCTCAGGCTCTTTTCCATCCTTGGCCAAAAAGCGTTCAGGATTGAATTCCGATGGGTTGGCATATGTCTGTGGATCATTGAGCATGAACCTGTCACAGCTCAAAGTATCAATATACCGAATACACAACAAAGAAAGTACTGACCACATGTTAGGGATTATCAAGGAGCCTTTTGGAATGTAATACCCATCGTGAATGTCGTCCTCAGTGATGCAGTGATCAACTAACATTAGGCACCGTTGGTCAACTAAAGGTTGCGATAAACGAGATACACATACTACTAGGTATAGCAACATTCCAGCGGAGGACCTCTTGAGCAAGTGCCTCGATGTAAGGGAGGGAGGGGCGATCGGCGAAGGAGGGAAGACGATCAGGGCCAGCAACAGCATCAATTTCAGCTTGGGCCTTCTTCTGCACATCAGGAAAAAGTGTCATTGCCAAGAAAAATGAGTAGATCGCAGAGACGGTCTGAGCAAACAGGAGTTAACCCCCAAAAATGATAGTTTCAAACCGACGAACTGTGTCGGAACCACCGGATAGGGATACAGCACACCACTTCACAGCGTGTTCCTCTTCCGCAGTCAAAGTACGGTCCTTTAACAGATCTGAGGAAAAAGACTTGAGGGCGGTGCCAGCACCCTGTAAGACTCAATCAATAGCGCGCGGCGGGACAGCTACAAATCTTGGTCACCATCTGATCTTTGACAAACTTGTAGGGTGTAGCAGCCGCCTCTTCGAGGGTCTCACGGCACTCACGAGCTAGGCGTTTGAAGCCAGCACCAGGGAACCACTCCGGGAGCTTGGCCACTAGAACATAGTCAGGCTATTGGAAGAAAAAATCGAGATGTTATGGCCTTACAGGACGGCAGGAAGTAACAATAAAATCACCATAGATACCGTACCGCGAGAATTGATATATAGCACGTTCTGCAAGGTCAAAGAAAGGTTCATTATCCTCCTTGACTTCATAACCATAACAGATGCGCAGAATGATAGCGCCAGCGGTGCTATAAAAATTCAAGAGCAAGTCAATAGTACTACTAAACACATACCGTCGAATGTGTGTTTGCAGGTTGTCGGGTTTTGCGAGTGCACGCTTCAGGAACCGGCGGGTCTCCATCTCCTCGATTGGGTGGTAGACAACCAAGGCAGCGCGACTGCCAATGATGCGGTGGAAATTCTTGCGGAACAAGCGAAACCGTTCACCGTAACGGAGATAAGGCAGTGTCTGTCCATAGCCCATAAGTTCGCCACTCATAGGAACAATCGGACGGTCAGAGTATATAGAGCTCTTCTTGTCCAGCATTTCCATCGCAGTTTTGACCGAGTTCAACACGAAGATGTGCTGACCCAGAACATTGATATGCGAAATATCACCTGCACGCAAGGGCATTGAAATGCATGATTTTGAAAAACGGGAGGCTCTTACCATACTTCTTTCCCCATTCCGCGAAGGTGAGCCAGGGCTTGACATGGGGTATGTCTTGAATGTTCCCAACGAGAGGCAGGCCCCGAGGGCCTGGGGGATATGATGCGTGATTCTTCTTGGCGAATACCTGTTTCATCAGATACACTCCGATGCCAGTAAGACAAAGGTACAGCAAAGTAACCACGGTGAGTGTCGCCATGGTCGACTATTAGTAGAAGATGAGCGACAAGGGCGGTGTGGCTATCAAGCAAGATATATGTCAAGTGGAGTGCCTGGGTTGAACCTGTAAACCGGAGGGACATCTTATATCTCTTTCTGACGGTACTGATCTATGTCAGATACTTGGATTGTAGTACGGGTCTGTGACTGGGCTTTGTATCATGTGTTTTAACGCAATAGGTCAGACAAGGTCGTGCTGGCATGATGGGCATCAGTAAAACCACTAATTTTCTCTCCATCCTTAATAAGTTAATCGTGGCGCGAAGTCGATCCGAGTTTTCCACGCATTTTACAGAGCCAATTTCCTTGGTGCGCGAGTCTGTATCTCTTTTTTTTTCCTGCCTGTGTGATCTAATCCCCCACTTCCCGCTCCACCCTGGGGTCGCCTCCTCGGCGTTCAGCCGTGGTGACCTTCATAGTACCGTATAGGCAGCAAGACAAGTGGCCACAACATTGATTCATATGCTTTGCAATCGCGACATTCATATCCAGTCTTCTTCCTGACGCTTCGCGAGCAGTGCCTATTAATTGGTATAGCTGGTCAATCTAATCTACTTATCTACTCGAATCTGCATCCTACGTGTGCGTTGTGAGATACATCCCTAAATCACCAATCGCCCCTGCTCCCACCTGCAGTTCAATTCCTGTACCATCATTGGTCCCCTCTGTCATTCATTCGCACCATACATCGGCGGGTTTCCTTCTATGATCCGTGGGGCAGTGCCAGCACTCTCATGGCTGTGATTTTGGCTCTGTACGTGCTGATCCTTTCGCCCCTGGTGTGTCTTAGTGCGACGTACACCTGCACTAGAGCGCCTTTGAGGTGTCGACCGTATCCTCCTGGCCCGATTATTGCGCCGTCAAAAGCAATGGCCGCCAGTGGAGTTGAGTAATGCGTCCTTGAAAATTCGTCCGACGCTTCTCGCGCCTCTAGTGTATGTCGGCCACTCCTCGATGCTGTGATCTTCCGCCACCTTTTGTCCTCGTCAAAGCGGCGAGATCAAAGGTAGACCACGAGATCGTATTATCCGAACACAGGAGAGAAACATACGTCAGACGAGGAGGGAGACGGAGTGCTGCGGCCACCTCATCACCATAGACATGAGCAAGGTATGCATACCATAGAGGCAACAGGTGTCGGCCAACATCAGCGAATTGCGCCAACCTCCTAGGCTGGATTAAAGGGAGGGGAAGAGCACGAAGGTCAAGAAAATGTTGCAATTTAATACGAACATTAGCAGCTTTCGTACGACGAACACCACCGCCAGGGAGGGAGTCAGCGCATCGAGCCAAATATGGTGCTGACAAATTACTTAATTTGTTTCCGAGCACAATAGGACTGTGCCGGAAGCGATGGGGTGAACGGTCGAGAGGCAAGAGCACACGAGTACACATCAACAGAATGACCAGAAGCCAACCGACGGAACACACTACAGTGAGTGTAAGTGGAGGATTTGATCGTAGTGAGAGATAACACCACAGAAACCTGATGATCGGTGAGTCGCTACAACCAAGTCGCTGTCAAACGGAACGCATCCCGCAAATCGCGCATGGCATGAATTAGAAATCCAGCCATGTTCGACAAGAGCTCGTGACAGCCAGGAGCAAGGGTTTTTGGGAGAAGCAAAGGACGATAGATGGTATCGCGGATAATAAACAGCATTTAGGTAGTCAGAAGGCACATACGCAACTGAATGTGGTGGACAACAAGGTTCACCCAGGACGCGCGCAACACGGCACAGTACTTTCGAAAGGAACATCGCACTCTGCTGGACAGTGAGGGGATGGAAAGAGAGAGATAGGACAGATGACTTACGACGAACCAGTGGAAAACAGAACAAAAAAAGCGAAGTGACAACCGACGGAGCAAATACAACGAAGTGAGACATCAAGGACAGAGCGATCAGAGCAAACCGGACTCTTGCGATAGTCGATGATCCCCACATAAACCCCATATCACCATCTTCTCTCCGATGCCATACGATGGGGCAGGCGTGCGTGAACACGACTCTGTTTGCGACGAGACAGATAAGTCTGAGTGTTGAATGAGTCACGTGCCAAGCTGTGCGAAATTCCGTGCCACTGGGTCCGTTTGGACATTTGGAGCTCAATCCTGGGAGTTGGGAATGTGCCTTCAAATTTCGTTGCGACAAGTCTAGATCAGCTTACTCCTTTTACTTTTTGCACTTGGTTTCCTTACTATCAAAGCAGATCAAGGCGGACAAGTGAAATCAGAAGGAAAATCAAATTAAGAGTATTAGGATATGGCTTGCCTTGGCAATAGTAGTCTTGACCAAAGTCTGATAATGGCCCTGTTGTTATTGGAGGTTCGACACTGGCCATCACATTGCTGACTGGTCAGTAGTCACTGAAACGACAATTCACATTGTTGCTCAAGAATTGCTTCCACTGTACATCTACTACTTAATCTTAATCTCGAGTATCCTGTACACAAGGACCTAAATATTGACTACGAGAGTACGCGACGATATCAACCTTTTTGTCTCCTGGTGTATTTAGTGACCTCACATTATCTTTAACAGGGCGGGACAACCGCTGGTTAGCAATATTTAGTGAGTATCTTGTTGAATGAGCGCGAAGGCTTTGTCAGAGCGAGCTTCGATCGAGCACTTAAAGGGCTTGGGGTGGCTGCGAGTGTGTATGTCCAGAGCACCGTGATCATATTAAGATACGCGACATACCTGATCAACCCAGATGACGGGTCAATTTCAGGGGTTATTTCAACACCATTCTCGACAACCTTGGAGACATCAAACACCGCAAGTGACATCGCGGTGGATATCCAGATGGATGCATCAGCGAGATGCAGACCTATACAGTTGAAAGAAGCCAATGTCAGAAAACTGCCTTGTTAGTCAACGCCCTCTGTCAATTGCGCATACCTGGGCAGAGCCTGTGGAATAGAACCTAAGCATTTCACTCAAAATATAACGGCCACTCAATCCTTACCGTCTACCAAAACCGAAGCACACCGTGCGAGGATCGGTCTCAGGCTCTTTTCCATCCTTGGCCAAAAAGCGTTCAGGATTGAATTCCGATGGGTTGGCATATGTCTGTGGATCATTGAGCATGAACCTGTCACAGTTCAGAGTGTTGATATACCAGATACACAACAAAGAAAGTACTGACCACATGTTAGGGATTATCAAGGAGCCTTTTGGAATGTAATACCCATCGTGAATGTCGTCCTCGGTGATGCAGTGATCAACTGACATTAAGCAATGTTGGTCAACTAAAGGTTGCGATAAACGAGATACACATACTACAAGGTATGATAACATTCTAGCGGAGGACCTCCTTGGCAAGCGCCTCGATGTAAGGGAGGGAGGGGCGATCGGCGAAGGAGGGAAGACGATCAGGGCCAACAACAGCATCAATTTCAGCTTGGGCCTTCTTCTGCACATCAGGGAAAAGTGTCATTGCCAAGAAAAATGAGTAGATCGCAGAGACGGTCTGAGCAAACAGGAGTTAACCCCCAAAAATGATAGTTTCAAACCGACCAACCGTGTCAGGCACCACCGCTGAATAGAGATGCAGCACACCACTTCACAACGTGATCCTCTTCCGCGGTTACAGTACGGTCCTTTAACAGATCCGAGGAAAAAGACTTGAGGGCGGTGCCAGCAGCCTGTAAGACTCAATCAATAGCGCGCGGCGGGACAGCTACAAATCTTGGTCACCATCTGATCTTTGACAAACTTGTAGGGTGCAGCAGCCATCTCTTCGAGGGTCTCACGGCACTCGCGGGCTAGGCGTTTGAAGCCAGCACCAGGGAACCACTCCGGGAGCTTGGCCACTAGAACATATTCAGGCTGTTGAAAGAAAACATCGAGATGTTATGGCCTTACAGGACGGCAGGAAGTCAACAATAAAATCACCAGTGATGCCGTACCGCGAGAATTGATCTAAAGCGCGTTCTGCAATGTCAACGAGAGGATCATTATCCTCCTTGACTTCATAACCATAACAGATGCGCAGAATGATAGCGCCAGCGGTGCTATAAAAATTCAAGATCAAGCCAATAGTACTACGAAACACATACTGTCGAATGTGTGCTTGCAATCGGTCTGGTTTTGCGAGTACACGCTTCAGGAATCGGCGGGTCTCCATCTCCTCGATTGGGTGGTAGACAACCAAGGCAGCGCGGCTGCCAATGATGCGGTGGAAATTCTTGCGGAACAAGCGAAACCGTTCACCGTAACGGAGATAAGGCAGTGTCTGTCCATAGCCCATAAGTTCGCCACTCATAGGAACGGCCGGACGGTCAGAGTATATAGAGCTCTTCTTGTCTAGCATTTCCCCCGCAGTTTTGACGGAGTTCAACACGAATATGTGTAAACCTAGAACATTGATATGCGAAATATCACCTGCACGCAAGGGCATTGAAATGCATGATTTTGGAAAAACGGGAGGCTCTTACCATATTTCTTTCCCCATTCCGCGAAGGTGAGCCAGGGCTTGACATGAGGTATGTCTTGAATGTTCCCAACGAGAGGCAAGCCCCGAGGACCAGGGGGATATGGTGCATGATTCTTCTTGGCGAATACCTGTTTCATCAGATACACACCGACGCCAGCAAGACAAAGGTACAGCAAAGTAACAAGGGTGAGTGTCGCCATGGTCGACTATTAGCAGAATATGAGCAAGGGCAGTGTGGTCATCAAGCAAGAGATATACCAAGTGGAGCGCCCGGGTTGAACCTGTAAACCGGAGGGACATCTCTTTCGAGGCTGATCATCACTGATCAGAGAACCGGTTCACTGATGCCGCCCGCCTACCCGTCCGTGCCACGATTCTTCCCATCAGAAGTGAAACTTACTGGCAATTTAGCAATATATATGCAACACCAAAGCCTGGGAATTCATCAATTCCATCCAAACTGAACACAATTGGCAGTGCTCCGCTAATTAGCGATCAACAATGAACAATTTTCATTGGCTGACTACGCTATTGATATAATCAGGCATATAGTGAGTACTTCGTCAGTTCATTCGACAGTCAATAGTAAATATGATGTTGGACTTCAAAGCAACAAACAGATTAGCCTGTGGGTATACTAGTAAATCGATGGTTACATTGAGAATTACGTAAGCTGTAACGACCAATTGAAAGAGTAAGGCTTGTAACTGTCCCAGACGTCCACAGGGCTACACAAATATTGTACTTACTACTCGTATTCTGCGTGAGTGCTTAATTTGAACCTTTTTGTGTCTTCTGAAGTCCCTCACGCGTTAATGATATTGCTGTTTCTAGCCAATATATACTTCACTGGTGCACTGTCTGCAAAATTGTCTCGCTCGTGCAGATGTTTGTCACCAGTGGGACCATGCCACTAAGCTTTTGGCCAACTCTGGTGCCGGAAGGGAGTCAAGTATGAACACTTCTCCGGTACTCTGGGTGGAACATACCAATATCGATTGGAGTCTCCTGCGCCGAAATAGTTTTTTTAGGGAGAAAGTAAATCAATATCGTATTGCATCGTATCACAACTGGAATAGAGCGCTCCCCATTGCTCCCCGCCCACACTTGCCCAAGGAAAACGTTTCAGTGACACTCTTGAGACAGCCTGGTTGAAGCTGAAATCGTCTGAATGTTTCGTGACGAATGAAGTTCCTTGCATATCGCATCCTAGCGCTCTGGCTGCGTGAAAGGTCCGTATGACCGGTTACAACTTTCAATTTGGATTGCTCATCGAGCGCCTACAGTCACACGGAACACAGTGCCATCTATAAAGAAGGGCCAACTGTCAGAGTCTTCCTTCTAATTATATGCATAGGGGATATCATCATATCATCTATATCTGGTGCCGTTGTCGCGGCCTGCCAAGGTGCTTAGATAAGTACACAATGATCACTTTCCGATGTTCCTGGTTATCGCGCTCCACCACTCGTTGAAGCATGGTTGCATCAAGATTTTACGCTGCGATTGGCGCGCGCACCTACCATCAATGTATGTGCACTCATCATATCGTCCACTGAGCTTGCGAGCTGAGGGCTAAACCCTTCATGCATTCGTTTGTAATACCCGGAAACACCCCGTTATCCGCTACAAACCTATCATAGAATAACCACTTGCCACGTAGAGTCGCGCACCAAACCGTAAAGTCATGAGCCGCCGCGCAGGGTTGCTCAAGCAGGATGTCAACACTACCATCACGTGAAACTTGTATCCGATCGGTCTAAAATTGTCGCGGGGCAATTCCACGGGCTATTCGTCGACCCATCCGCTAAATAAAGTCACATCCCAAATCCACATCATATCACGACAATGTTTCGTTCTGACACAGATCTGCTAGGATCGCTGACCGCTGAACTCTCTCAGCAGCTGAAGGATTATGAAGATCAAGCCTTACTCGAGATGATACGGCCGAATCTTGCAACTCAGTTTGTGCAGGATGCTCCCGAGCTGGCCAAATTCCGCGAGGCCATCGCGCAAAACGATTCGATGGATGATAAGGAATTCCTACGCATCTTCCGAGAATTCATCCCCACCACAAACTATGAACCTTACAGGCCGTTCATAGCAAAGTTTTTTGCAACCCCTTGCAAGGAGGCTGACGTCAAGAACATGTTCGCCCCAGGACTGCCCTACTTCTTTGCCATGTCCAGCATGACATCCAGCAAATCAGTAAAGACGTTCCCAAGATATCGGCCTCCCCCGCATCTGTTACAAAACCCTCTTTATCTTGCGCTTCCTCCGTCAGGGGGAACCACCTTATCACCAGCTTCCATGAGATATTCGCAGATCTTAAAAATAGATTGCGAAGACGGTCAGTCCAAGCAGGTGACAGTTTGCTCGTTGAGCATTGGCTTTCTGCGAATGGCAATGAGCTGGGACGCCGAGCAGGACAACGAGAGGCTCGATTTATGGCGTAAGCCCATCGTGTTACTGTTCCTTGCGCATGCTGATCTCCAGCCAACTTTCAGTGCCGGGTCAAACAGATCCATACGCGATTTCATTGGTTAAGAGCTATCGCGCGTTCTTCGTTCTGAATGCTCTGTTTGCACTGGCAGATCGTCGGGTGACCATCATCCGCTTCTTCTTTGCCAATGTATTCGTCATTTTTTTGCAGTACATAGAGGATGAGTGGTCTCTACTCATCGACTGCATCGAGAAGGGTATCATCCCGGATGTCGAAGATCTAGACCATTTGCGAGCACCTTTGGAGGTCATATTTTTCTTGTTTTGTTACATTCCACTCAGCTCACAAGGTCTCTCAGAAACTGTTTAAGCCAAATCCCCTTCGTGCTGCTGAACTTCGAGAAATCGGGCCTCCTGGCGTCGAGGGTTGGGCAGTCCGCGTGTGGCCTCACTTGGAAAGGTTCTTTGGGATTACTGGAGGTCCGGCTGCTACAGCTGTTTCTAAGGCATGTCAAGTGTGGAAGGTTTATAACTTAACTGACAGCTAATCACACACAAGCTTACTCACGTCCTCGGACCTTCTGTCCCCACGCAAGCTACTGGTTATGGCAGCTCAGAGGGTAGCATGGCCCTACCATACCACAAAGGCGATCCTAACACTGACTACAAGGTCATGTTTCTGGATGTGCTCACCGAGTTTCTGGACGTACGTTCCAACGAGCCTTCGGAGCGTGTACTGTCCATTGTAAGAACCATTCACTGCGTCCTGCCTTTGTCTATACTTATACGTGTCGTAGTACGAACTTGTACCTGGAGGGCATTATGAGCCTGTTTTGACTACTCGCAATGGCTTGTGGAGATATCGCATTGGAGATGTCGTTGCCGTTAAAGGCTTTGCGCCAGATGACGGATTGCCTATTATCAATTACCTTCACAGGCGAGAGTGAGTTGCCGCATTGTCGGTTTCAGGAGCTTAACTAATATTTCCCACTTTGGAAGAGGCGGATTTGTGATGGCATTCGGAACGACGTGCACTGAGTCGCAATTGACGAGTGCGATCGTCTCTGCTGCCGATCGATGGATCGGCCAAATCATAGATTTCACCATTGTAGGCGACGACCGAGACACACCTATTACTTATGGGTACTTGATAGAAATTGGAGGAGACATAGGTCCGTGCCTACTACGCGACGGGACTGAGCTAGGCTGAGCTAATTGATGTTTGCAGGAAAGGATGCAAGAATGGCGACGCAGCAAACTTTCGAAGACCTCATGGCGGCAAACGATGAGTTTCGCACTGCTTTCTGGCAAGGCCGAGCAAGAAAGCCGACCATTCGTCTCTTGAAGAAAGGCACATTTGCAGAATATCGCCAACAGAAGTGCAACAAGACGAACGTCTCGATATCCCAGGTGAAGGTTCCTGTCGTCCTATCCGATCCAACATTTAGGGAATGGCTCCTGCAACAAGTTGTTGTTGAACTGTAACAGAGTCTGGTTGGAATTAGTCCATTCCTCTCACGAATGACTGCAGTCATGTATCGAACAGATTTACCCTTGGGTCGTTCTGATGTCGTCGCATTAACACGAATTATATAAACTGAAGACTGCTTTCAATGCCCGTTCACGCAACAACTTCAATAAAATGCTGAACACTAGAGGGAACCCCTGGGAGAGACTAAAATGTCAGTACCAGCCTAAGAGTAGTGTTCTCACTCACAACAATCAATCAATACGACCACGGCAGGGGCAACCACGTACATTGAGATACAGAACAGTCTTCTCATGACTGTTCTATATCTCAGTGTTCTGGACTGTAGCCTATAGTTATTGTTTTTTGATACGATCAGTGGGCAAGTGATGCTTTATAGTAGCTGTCGGCCACCGGGCCACGGCTGTATTTGCCATTACCGACCATCGGTGTTCGATGTTCCGTCGGTCCCAGATCCCGGATCCTAGTATGATAACGGGGACTATATATGATAACGGATGCCAGATACGGCCCAAATGATGATCAGCGCTCAGCAACAACGTAGGATTGGCTGAGATCCCGGGCCTCACATACTTAATACGTCGTGCTCGTTTTCCTCTGATCGGTGGCAGATCACTTCGGGTGCACTTAATTATGAAAGATCTTGGAGCATCGAACTCACCGTGATGGGATAGGTACCAAAGGTGTTTGCAAATGTGGTCTCTGCTGCCCGTGACTACATTGCAGGATTTGGGTCTGATAAGCAATATTCGGTACTTCGGCTCTGTATCTTGCTGAATTTTTCGCAAAATTGCAAGGTGAGAGTGATGTATTCTTTTCCGCAGAATTTCCGCACCAGATATCTGCCTCGATCCTCGCCTCCGAGATCTGTGACCGACATCGTCTGGGAAATTTATAATTATTGACGTCAGTTTGACCTAAGCTTGCTAGTCTATCAAAAAAATTGCCTTTTGGGCTCTCTGGTCTGTCAAAAATTGTACAAAAGTATTTATCTATCCAAGTATGAATTAAGGACAAATGACTGGCACTTGTCAGGGACAGTAGCAGAAGTGCAGTCACGAGGAGCAACACAGCCGAAACACGGAATTAGATTAGCGCTACGATGTACATTGATAAGAGGTAGAACACTAGCCAAGTGTTCCTCGTTTGTGACAACACGTGAAACCTTGTATAGGCCATGATTGTGATCAGGCGCACGAAACGCGGAGGAACATTCGACGTAAATCAGATGCTTCGGAGGGTGGAATGTCGATGGAAACAGCATGGGATAGCCTTAGAAGGGATCGAAAAAATAAAACGGACCTGCGCAACTCGATACCCTATACGTGGATAGTTACTCAGTGTCAGTGCCCATCAGCTAACATAATAGTGACTCGCCCTCGAATATTCTGAGATACCTCATCCATTGAGTGGCGTCGTGATCAGAAAAATGACCCGCTACATAGAATAAATCAGTAGATTTGGGAATAAACTTGAAGGTGACAAAGCGCTTTTGAAACATCCATGCGACAGCGGATAGTATTAATGTTGACTTCTCTTCGCGTAATAATGGTGTAAGAAGGACATACTCATATAGGAACGACCAGCTGGCCCGTTCAATGGAACGGAGATCTCAGTGCAGGGGTAGACGGAGTCGGTGTTAGCAGGAAAGCAGGGCTGGTAGGGGAGCAAGGTCGGAGTCAGGGCGAGACGAGGTAGGGATCTAGAGAGAGTAGTAGGGAGCGGGGTCTCAGGAGTCTCGGAGTCTTAGATTACATAGAACGCATACGACAGCCAGCGGCAGCACATCCCCATCCTCTTCAGAGTGCAAGGCTGGCGGATTCACTGAAGAGAAGAATGATGCTGTCTTCACCCTCAACGAGTTCGTTTCACAGGATCTTACGCCATGTAAGTGTGAGATGGACTTTGGCGCTTCTGGGCCGCATAAAGCAAGGGTGTTCGACAGGGCTTGGTCAAAAGAAGAGAGGCACCGAAATTGAAGAAGTATCTTGTGAGTAAAGAAATCTTGTTTCGTTTTGACGAATCCGTCTAACGGGTTCATGTGAGAGCAATGGACTCTAGAGTCCACTGTGACCGCAGCATCGGGCCGTGTCTGATAGTCTCTCGAATACGGCCAGTTCCCTCTAGGTTTTTACTGAGGATGGAAGACGAGAGATTTCAGTCGTGCGGCGATATGACATTTTAATATTTATCATCATTATTCCGAAAGCCTCGCCATGAGGTGGACTTGAAACTTGAAGGTAGATGGGATGGGCCCTGGTATTTCAGGACCGAACAAGAAGGGTATCTGAGTCCGATCAGGAGTCCATCCTACGTGCAAATTCAAAGCATGGATGAATGGGACAGGGCACACTAGTAACTTGACGCTTCTGGGCCAGAAAACATACACTAGTTGCCACTTGAGAAGAGAACTCCAACTTGAAGTCAGCGGCGCCGGCTTTGTTTATCGGAATCCCAATGTGGTTGAATGCAAACAAAAGTGAGGAAAGTTTGTCCAGCACGTCCGTCACGCGTCACGCGTCATATTCCAGTCATAAGTAAGGTATTCTCTTTCCGTAGTGCCACGTCAAATGGCCATTATTCTGCTGTATTTGATTGGCACTCTTATCATAATGTCCTTGCAAATAAGTACAAACCGCCTGATACACATACCAATGACCTCTCAGCCAGAGTCTAACTTACAGAGTCCCTCGTTTTTTTCTTTTCGTCCTTGCTGTCATTGAGTTCGTATGGGATGCAGTCTTACGGAATATTGGTCTCCTAGGATGCAGAGCAGGGTGAGCGACTGGTACTCGGGTGGCTAAAAAAATCAAGTGAAAAGAGCTTAGGCCATAAATATTTCAAGTCTACGATCTATGCAGTAAGTGCTACGATTTCGGGTCTGGTGATTAAGATTGGAGATATTGGTGCTGAAAGTAATGTACAAGTGTCGACCAAACTCTCTTACAGCTCAAGCATAACTCTTTCTAGGAACCATTCTCTAAACTTAAGGTCGGATAGGACGACGGGAACCTTCACTTGCGATATCGAGATGTTTGTTTTGTCGCATTTGTGCCTGCGATACTCTCCAAATGTGCCTTTCTCCAAGAGACGAATGGTCGGCTTTCTTGCTCGGCCTTGCCAGAAAGCAGTGCGAAACTCATCGTTTGCCGCCATGAGGTCTTCGAAAGTTTGCTGCATCGCCATTCTTGCATCCTTTCCTGCAAACATCAATTAGCTCAGTCTAGCTTGGTCCCGTCGCGTGGTAAGCACGAACCTATTGCTCCCCCAATTTCTATCAAGTACCCATAAGTAATAGGTGTGTCTCGGTCGTCGCCTACAATGGTGAAATCTATGATTTGGCCGATACATCGATCGGCGGCAGAGACGATCGCATTCGTCAATTGCGACTCAGTGCACGTCGTTCCGAATGCCATCACAAATCCGCCTCTTCCAAAGTGAGTGAAATTAGTTAAGCTCTTAAAACCGATAATGCGGCAACTTACTCTCGCCTGTGAAGGTAACTGATAACAGGCAATCCGTCATCTGGGGCGAAGCCTTTAACAATGACGACATCTCCAAGGCGGTATCTCCACAAGCCATTGCGAGTCGTCAAGACGGGCTCATAATGCCCTCCAGGTGCAAGTTCCCACTGCGGCAGGGATGAGCAGACAAAGCTGTGATGCAATGGACAGTTCTTACAGTGGACAGTACACGCTCCGAAGGCTCGTTGGAACGTACGTCCAGAAACTCGGTGATCACATCCACAAACACGACCTTAAAGTCAGTCTTGGGGTCGCCTTCGTGGTATGTTATGGCGACACCACCCTCTGAGCTGCCATAACCAGGAGACTGGGTGGGGACAGAAGGTCCGAGTGCGTGATTAATCTGGTGTCGCTAACTGTCAGTTGCATAGTAAACTTTCCTCACTCGACATACCTTGGAACGGAGGCAGTAGCAGGACCTCCGGTGATCCCAACGAACTTCGTCAAGTAAGGCCACACGCGGACTGCTCAACCCTCGATGCCAGGAAGCCCGATTTCCCGAAGTTCAGCAGCACGAAGGGGATTTAGCTTAAACAGTTTCTGAGACCCTGTGAGCTGAGTGTAATGTAACAAAGCAAGAAAAATATGACCTCCAAAGGTGCTCGCAAATGGTCTAGATTTTCGACATCCGGGATGATACCCTTCTCGATGCAGTCGATGAGTAAAGGCCACTCATCCTCTACGTACTGCAAAAAAATTGACGAATACATTAGCAAAGAAGAAGCGGATGATGGTCACCCGACGGTCTGCCAGTGCAAACAGAGAATTCAGAACGAAGAACGCGCGATAGCTCTTAACCAATGAAATCGCGTATGGATCTGTTTGACCCGGCACTGAAAGTTGGCTGGAGATCAGCATGCGCGAGGGACAGTGACATAACGAGCTTACGCCATAAATCAAGCCTCTCGTTGTCACGCTCGGCGTCCCAGTTCATTGCCATTCGCAGGAATCCGATGCTCAACGAGCAAACTGTCACCTGCTTGGACTGACCGTCTTCGCCATCTATTTGTAAGATTTGCGAATACTTCAGAGACGCCGGTGATAAGGTAATCCCCTCTGACGGAGGAAGCGCCAGATATAGAGGATGGTGCAACAGGTAAGGGGGCGGGCGATATTTTGGGAATATCTTCGCTGGTTTTCCGGATGTCATGCTGGACATGGCGAGGAAGTAGGGCAGTCCTGGGGCGAACATGTTCTTGACGTCATTTTCCTTGCAAGGGGTCGCAAAAAACTTCGCTATGAACGGCCGGTAAGGTTCGTAGTTTGTGGTAGGGACGAATTCTCGGAAGCTGCGCAGGAATTCTAGATCGTCTTTCAGGTCGCCCTGCGCGATAGCCTTACGAAATTTGACCAACTCAGGAGCAGCCTGCGCAAACTGGGACTCATAATTCGGTCGTATAAACTCGAGCAAAGCTCGATCTACGCGATCCTTCAGCTGCTGAGATAGTTCAGCAGACAAGGAGTCCAGGAGATCTGTTTCAGGACGAGACATTGCTACGTGCTGATGTGGAGTTGGAATGCAATTTTATATAGTGGTCGACTTATAGCCTGTGGGATTACCCGCGACGCATCTCAAGCTGGCCGGAAACACGTTTGCCAAGGTGCTAACATCCTTCACGACCAGTCCGCCTGGCCGCTCGAAACTTTACATTTCGGTTCGTGGCCAGTCTAAGGATGATCCTGTGTGGCAAGTGATCATAGGTTTGAAGAAGATGACGAGATGTACCTAGGTATGTACACGTGAGGGTTTAGCCCTTGGCTCGCAAACCCAGATAATCATAACGAGGACACATACATGATAGCAGGCGCGCGCGATGATCGCGAATATCGGGCAATGAGCACTACGTTCGTATATGGTGAGCCTGGGAGGCCAACTGCACCAAATGTATATTGATATGATAATATACTCTAGGCATATTTGAAGCAGAAAGAGGATAGGTGAGTCCTTCTTCTTTATAGATGCCGTGCACTGTACATATGTGCTCAATGAGTAATCGAATTTGAAAGCTGCAACCGAACATACGGAGCTTTTACACGACCAGAACGTCATCATGCGGTATGCAAGAAAATGCGGTTATCCGAAATCGTTTCAGCTTCGGCCAGACTGTCTCAAGAGGGTGGCCGATGTATATGCTCTCCTCGTGCAAGTGGGGGTAGGAGCTTCAGCAATAGAAAGCGCAGGATACCACATCTACACACGGCGATCTTATGGACATTGAAAGATAGCTCAAGAGAACACAAACCGTTCCTTCTGAATAATTTTTTTGAAGTTACGATTGTTGATGTTAGCCAGATCTAAGGACAATATCTGTGGAACATGACGCCTTGGAAAGTCTGGCTATGAAAATAATACAATGTCTCCACACAATTTTATTGTCATAATGAGACTCGAGTCAGACCTTGAAAGAAAGAAGGCAGCACTAGACGTTTCTTCAGCTTGAAACCATTGATGAATGATCATGCATATGGTTTGTGATCAAGGACCATTGAAATTTGTAAACCAACGACAACAAAGGAGTTGTTATGTAAAACCTTCCTCGAGTTATCCTCGTAGATCAGACCCAACGCGCGTCGACGATCATCTCAGCGCTAACAACGACAAACTAACGAATGAATTGCAGATGACGATGCATACCACAGACCAGTCATCAAACACAAGCTCGTGGCACTCCATCCGTCCCTGGACGCCTCATCTCATCCTCTCAGTCCGTGAAATCACATCTGTATCAGCGACTTTTATTCTCTCTTCAACGCTCTCTCCACAGTCTGAATCTGCCTTGAACGCAGATAACGAATCCTCGATACCCGTAACCACGAACGCGAATGCAGACCCAGACGCCAGCCCGGACATAGAAACAGAACTAGAACTAGACGGGGAACTAGGAGGAGAAACAGAAGGGGATACAGTAGGAGATACCGCACGAGGAATCATCTCCGAAGCACTCTCAACAGGCCTCTCAGTATCTGTCAACGGTTCCCCGTGGCAGCGCGTCCTCATACGCCTCCTCGAGCCCGTAGACGAGGCTGTTATCATCATATACGGGCTCATGCCTGGAAGGCAGTATGATATCGATCTGGGACTTGTACAGGATGGATTGGCAAGTTCTATTAGGAGACAGGTCGTCACTGAAGGTGTGCGTTTTGATCTGATTGATGATGGTATGGGGACTTATTAGTTTGTGTGTAGAAGCGGAAGGTGCGATTGAGAATGGAAGATTGGACGAAGGGACAAGTACTAGTTTTCTCCTCCCACCATCATCCTCATCCTCATCCTCTTCCGCATCATCATCATCCCTAAGCCTATCAATGTCAACCGCAACAACCGACTCAACCCCCCTCACCCACCCTCAACCGCGCTCCACATCCCGTTCCACAACACCCACCCAAGAAGACCGTCTCCCCAAACTACAAACTACCCTCACGTCCCTCCAAACGCACATCTCCGAGCTAACCACCACCCTCAAATCCACGCGCAGAGACAGCCAAAAAGCAGACGCAGTGCTCAAAAACGAGATCGAAGCTCTGAATCGTGCTTCTGAAAAAGCGAGTGCTGCTGAGAGTAAGGCGAGGCAGCGCATCAGGGCGCTTGAGGATGCTATGAGGAGGGCTAATGAGGGGAGAGAGGATGTTGAGAGGGAAAGAAGTGAACTTGAAGACTCTAGTCCTTCCTTGAGGAAACAAGTGCGCGAGAAGGAGGAGGAATGTGAAGTTCTCAAAAAGGAGGCCTCTAAAGTGCGCAGGGAACGCGAGGCGAAGGAGGAAGTGAGGAGAAAACGTATGGAGGGTGTTAAGAATGAGATCGGGAGCGTCGAGCATAGGTTGGAGAGGCTTTCTGCGAGGCAGGAGAAGTTGGACGGGATGGTGTTGATTGATCTAGAGAAGACGCTTAGGGAGGTTGAGAAGGAGATACAGGAGGCTGAAGCGGAGGCTGACGCGGCTGGGGCGTATAATGCGACTATTGGGAGATCAATGCAGATGCAACCACCTGTGTCGCCTCCTCAATATCGGAGATATCAACCACGGACACCGGCATATCGAATCGGGGATGGCGCGCCTCCTGGACTTGGACTTGCTAATCCGTATGCGAGCTGTCACGCGTCCAGCTCTGGGTTTTCGCATTCTACAAGTCCATCACTGTCGCATCCGAATATATCGATATTATCACATTCGACCAGTTCTACAGTCTCGCATGGTGGTATGCTCCCTACTAGTTCTGCGTCTGGGTCTTCAACACTGTCGAGTAAGGCACCGCCTTTTGAACCAGCGCGCGGGTTTAGGTCTTCGTTTCCGCCGTTGAAACCTTCGTCTGGTATTGCGCCGATTCAGAGGCCTGTTGGGACGTTTTCGAGGGGTGGCGGGTGATGAAAACATTGGTGTGGTATTCGTTGTAGCTTTGGGAAAGTCAAATATGTGCTTGGTGTTGGACGGGTCCAAACCTCAGTTTGTCCGGGAGTGCGAGGGTCAATATTTCATTATACTACATAATTACAAGTCATCCATACTCATCCGCCACGGCGGTTTCTACTGGTACAAGTAAAAACGGAATGGATATAACATCATGTTTGTTATTCAGAATCTTACGAGACTGTTGATCATAGCAGGCACACGGTGAACATATCGGCCCAGCCTCATTCCTGAGCCAAGCAGCCTCGGTGAGAGTCCAGTGCTGTACAGCGCGGACAACACCTGGCGAACAGTGGAATGATGGGGGTACGCCCTACATCATTGCATTTGGGGATCTGAGTCGGGTTCAGGACACGGGACTATCATGATACTAGATAGTACTGCCCTACGTAGAGTATCACTCTCAATGGACCAAAAAATGGATACAAAAAAAACACCTGGCAATGCATAGAAAAGTTGAATTTGGGTAACTTGCGTCCAGACTACAGAAGGGTGTCTTGTGAAAAACATGGAGCACTCGGACCGTCTACAATAGATAGATAACTTCATGAATCATACTCGTAAGTACGGTGGGGAGAACGCTCACCTACTTTCACAAAAGATGATAGCATCGGACACGGCACCCAATAGCCAGAGGAAACTTATGAAATGACAGACAGCAGTAACATTTACTTCCTGCAGAATCCTCTCAGATCTGAGCACTAAAGTGGGTGTCTGGGAGTCCAGTATGATCAACATACGTTCGCGTATATATAAAATGTGCACATTCAAAGCGGGCAACAAGGCTTGCGGACCAGCTGACAGCTGTAAGATCAACATATAGATTTCCCCCTTTTTACTCCTCCGGGTCCCCCTCCCCCTATTAGAGAGAGATGAGGCTAGGCCAGGCGAAACGCCGAGTGACGACCACAACAGAGATTGATGATGCTAATGCAGCAACAACTGCGAGGACAATCCCAGAAGAGAAACGCATTGTGAGCGAGATGTATTATGGGATCAAAAATACCTGAAGCGTAGGAGGAAGACACCTTTCTTTCATATGCTGAACAATGTCCTTCATGGTTATGGGTATGCATTTTAAGAAGGACCTGTCCACCGTTGGTCCACCAGAATCTCCTTAATAGCCTCGCGTTAAGCGAATGTTAAATTCTTTCTTCTTGCGTAGTTTGTGCCTTCCGAACAGATAATATCTCCAATGCCAGCAGACTGCCACGAAAGGTCTGCTGGCATCTCCAAGCTTATCTATTGTATAATTGAAACAGCTCAGAAAGAAAAAACTCACGGCAAAGATTGTAACAAGCCGTAAAATTGAGCTCATTCTGACTGTGACCTCCTCCGAATCGTACCTGATATCGTTTGCTTCTATCCCAGGTCAACAGGGGTGGAAAATGATGAGAAGCGCATCGACCCATGCTTGCTACATTATTGACAACATACATTGTTTCGAGCTCCACCTTATCCTCGCGGAAGGCGCAAAGAAGTATATGTAGATTGCTTCGAAATCTGTTCTCGAGCGGCTGGCCAGAAACTTGGATCGTGTTCTCGAAAGACTGAAGAGAGGAGACTCAGAGCAGGGAGAGGGGCCGCCGATGTTGTGAAGGAGTTGAGGACTGTAACCAGCAACAAGCTTGAGAGCTTTTATCAATTATTATTTGTCCCCTGATATCACGGTGGTTGTGCTAGTGTCCTGGAACCAGAGGAAGAAGTGGGGAAGTGCAGGTTGGGAGGTAAAAAGTATAAAAGCCGGGAGACCAGAATATACCTCTCGACCACTATGATCGATGCTGGAGATAAATGAATGTTATGTTGATCCGTGAGTTTTGTGGGCCAAATGATCGTATCCAACACTCCAATGAAAGTCTGATCCGTGAATTTGGTAGCCCGAATGATCGCATCCAACACTCCAATGAAAGACTATTTTGACTAGAAGAAAGATTAGATCACGAGACTAGTAAGGGTGTTAGAAATACAAAGCACGGTGACCTCAGTCAAGGTGTCCTTTCCGATGAAAGACCTAATATCCCCAGCAATTCAACTCCCATTCTCCATCTTAGCAAGCTGGTCCACAAGCTGATCCATCACATCCGTCTTAACCTCGCTAACTTCAGCACGAACAGGCACAAGCGTCGCCGCAGGATCAAAACCCGGTGCAACACGCCTGAGTGCCTCCTTTCTCCGCCATTCATGCTCGTCCTCTCTCGCACGAAGATATGCCTCTCTCCTCGCCGTATGCGCCGCGAGTGTCGTGCGCCGAGAAGACTCGACTGTGAGTACGTGCGGTTCTAGTGTGTATGGATAGACAAACTGCGAGCTTGTCAGTGAGTGAGATTGTTTGAGAGTTGGAAGTATATACATATGGAGTAACGCTATCAGGAAGAGGATGGATGTCTGGTGGTAGATGTACCTGCGAGCAAGTCAGTGTAGTCGATGAGGAGGACGTGCTTCGTACAGCTGGAGGTACTCGAAGACCTGGTGACTTTATGAGCGGAACGTGCGCTGCTGCTGCGTATTGTGATTCAGCTGCTTTAAATAAAATATCAGCCTTTTAGAAAATAAACATAGAACTTGCTCACTTTGGTCTAACATATGGAGGTGGTTTAAGAGAAATATTGAGAAACACCGTTTTTAGTCTGACATATCCAAATCAGGACACTCATATACTGACATTTTATTTTTTAAAGTTGACGCAGCGAGGAATCAGGATGGACGTGAAAGTTTACACTGTCAACGGCGCAGTAGCGGGTTCATCGTCGTCCATTCCAGATTGGCTTATCAGAAAACGAGCAGCGAAAGGAAAAGGAAAGCGGGTCTCAAAAGAGCATGTCCAAGGCGCTATCGAGCTCATCCAAGGATTCGAATTTCCCGAGGCCAGCAACAGAATAAAAACAACAAGAGACGGTCATCATGCCATAGCTACTGGCACTTATAAACCTCAAACGAGAGTTTGGGATCTGGACGATCTCAATCTAAAATTCGAGAGACACTCAGATGCAGAGAACGTCGATTTCATCGTCAGTCTCATATTCCTCATCCTCATGTAAGCTCACGACGACTTGGGTTCAAGATTTTATCAGATGATTGGACAAAGATTATGCACTTGCAGAATGATCGTACTATTGAGCTGCACACTCAGGGAGGATTTCATTATAGGACTCGCATACCGCGCTTCGGTCGGTCGCTGGCATATCACTTTCCATCATGCACCGCGCTCTTCTCAGCTTCAGGAAACGAGATATATCGACTCAACCTCGAACAAGGACGTTTTCTCAGTCCCCTAGTTCTTCAAGGCGACAACATCCAAGGCGTAAACTGTATTGACATCAACTCCGCGCATAACCTCCTCACATTCGGCGTCGATGGGAACGGGACAGTCCAATTCTGGGATCTTCGTTCTAGATCATCTGTCGGTGTGCTTCAGGTACCGACCAATCGACTGCTAAGCCACACAGTGCGGAGTACCATGCCAGGTGTCGATGACACCGACGCACTCAGTATAGGCATTACAGCCCTCGCTTCCCGATCAGACGGCCTATCGTACGCTGTAGGAACATCTACAGGACATACCCTCTTGTACGATATCCGATCCACCCGGCCCTTTGCACTAAAAGACCAAGGCTACGGCCTCCCAATACGCAATCTTACATGGATAGAAGGCGGTCGACTTGCGGGGGACGGTATGGTATTGAGCGCAGATAAAAAAGTTGTCAAGATATGGGATCGTAATTCCGTGAGCCCGTCTTACTTACTCGTGATAGTACTAACGCTGATGACGACACTGACACCGACGCACGACAGCCCTCATCCAACTTCGTATCCATAACACCTGCAAACGACCTCAACCATATTCACCACGTCCCAGGCAGCGGCCTCTTCCTAACCGCAAACGAAGGGATCCAAATGGGCACATATTACATCCCTGCACTTGGTCCTGCACCACGCTGGGCTAGTTTTCTGGAAAATGTTACAGAGGAGATGGAAGATTCTACGACAAGGAACGCGTATGAGGATTTCAAGTTTGTAGAGAGGAGCGAGCTGAAGACGTGCGTTGTCTTTTGTGTTATTTCTTTTCTTTGCTACTATATTCCCTCTTGATCTCGTGCTGCATTCCCCATTCACCCCAATATCTACCTCACCCAAAACTCACAACTCACGCACCCTCCCACAGACTCGGCCTCGACCACTTGATAGGAACCCCCGCTCTCAAACCCTACATGCATGGCTACTTCCTCTCCCTCCACCTCTATGACACCGCACGCGTCATCGCTAACCCCTTCGCATATGCTGAGCATCGTGAGAAACTCGTCAAGGAGCGGATGGAGAAGATGGCCGAGACGAGGATACGTACCAAGAAGGGTACTGGGGTTGGAGGCGAAGAAGTCAAGGTTAACAAAGCATTGGCGGAGAGGATTGAGAGGGGGCTTGAGAAGGAAAGAAGGAAAGAGGAGAGGAGGAGGAGGGGTGTGAAGGGTGGGGAGGATGAAGAAGCTATGGACGTTGATGTTAATGCCGATGCTGACAAGGCAGAACAAACTCCAACCGAACTCGAAAAACCAACCCTCCTCAACGACCCTCGCTTCCAAGATTTATTCCTGAACCCTGAATTCGCAGTGGACGAGACGACGAGGGAGTATGCGCTTTTGCATCCTTCAGCTTCGGGTTCTAAGCAGAAGGTAAGAGGGAAGACTGCTGTCGAGGAAGAGGAAGAGGAGAGTGAGAGGGCTTCGTCTAGTGGGATTAGTGAGGATGAGAGTGAGAGCGAAGGTGGTGAGGGGGGCGATAGTGATGATAGTAGTGATGCTGGTGGTGAGTTTTCGGTTTCGTTTCCATCCATCTTCTTTCCGACGCCCATCATTTGTATCCTCACACCCACCGTCCTGTACTCATAACGCATACTCACATAACTCCCCAGAACTCAACAAATTCGACCCGCGCGCGCGTCCAGGCCAAAAGAACGAACGCGCACACCAAGCATACACGCGTACGCGCCAATACAACAGACAGTCCAACGCCAACGTCAATTTCGTTCCTCTGGTCCCACACACTGAAACTAGTACGAGCGCGAGCGCAAGAAAGACGATTGATAAGACTGCTACGTTTGGACAGCGACGGAATGCACCTGCACGTGGTTCCTCCCACACTACGACACCCCGCGACGCAGCGAATGGAGGTAAAGGAGGGTTCGAGATGAGCTGGATCCCTTCTTCCACAAAAGATTTTTCAAGAGATCGGGGGAGCAGAAAAGACGGAAATGTGAGGAAGGGTGTGGAGGTGTTTGGAGCTGGTATGGAGCGTGGGGGTGGGGATGGGGAGAGGACGGTTATGTTGAGTGAGAGTGAACGGACGGGAAGGAGCCAGCGGAGGAAGGGCATGAGAAGTGGGAGTAAGAATGTGTTTAGGCGGTTAGGATAGCATTTTGACTTGTGATTTTTGACTCGAGATGTTACCTCCTTGTCCACCAGAAATCACACATCTTCACATCACGCGCGTCAACGGGTACAAAAAACGCCGGTGCGGACTGGTATCTCTATGTGGTGATGACAAAGCGACGATGCCATAGTTATTGGCAATGCGATATGGGATATGTGTACTATGTATGAGTACCGAGGCGTCCGACACGACAGGCATTCAAACAATCCTAGGCATCGTCTGCGGGATAACGATGATACTGTTGTTATGGTGCCAATAAAGAAAACAAAGAGTCTTTTTTCTAGTATGTCTTTTTCTTCTCGTCTACCGAGAGACCACCTGTGTTGGCGTCAGTCGCGAACGAATGAGGTGGGAAGGGGTGAGAGTGACGTACCGGGTCCCATGTTCACGAGAAGGATGAGGCCTCCGACGATAGCTGTGATTGATTAGTGTGTCAATGCTGTGTGATTGCAAGAAATAGTGGCTTACAGAGCGTCTGGAAGAAATCGTACCTAGAAAAGCGCATCAGCACAATGCCCCAAAATAGAACTCATACACATACTTGAGAAAATCACGTTGAGGGTGAGCACTATGCACGCTCCACCAGTTATTCGCGAAGACGTTGAAGACACTGAGTAAGATGACGAGGAAGATCGCGGACCATTTTGCTTTGAAGCCGATAGCTACCATCGTGCATGCTGCGAGACCGAAGACGGACATGAATACACGGCCTATGCCCCATTCTCCTTGAAAAATGAAGCCGAGGAAGAGGAAGATGAGGAGGACGCGGCCCGCCAGGAGAAAGCTACAATGGTGGGTGAATAAATGGGTGAGTTGCGGTGGGGAAGAATACGCACTATTTCTTGCGGTCTGTTTCACTCATAGACGGGATACCGGCAAAGCTTTTCTTTTCGTTGACCATGGTTTCGCTAAACACCATGATGAGACCGCCTATGACGCTCAAGTTGCGAAGGAAGAAGGTGAGGTCAAACATAAGGCCATATCCGAAGCCTTGAATAATGACTACGCTGAGGAGACCGATGACTGCGTATTCTGTGTACCTTTTCATGAGGACGGCTGAGGAAGCGACAAGCATTGTCTAGGACGAATGAATTAAATCCGGGAATTGCGGGACTTAGAATGAGGGCTTACGATGACGTTGAGCAGTAGGAAAAGGTGGGAGATTCCCTTGTAGAAATGTCTATGTCTGTAACCAATGAAATTTAAACAAACGTCTTCCTGCTATGAATGGTTGTAACTGACGTTTGGAGGTACCAAAGCTGGTCATTCCACTGTGTCATAATCCTCAAAGCATCCTCAAAGAACGTGACTATGATCAAGAACCGGCCGATGGTAGGTAGATGAGGTCTCAAAGGCTGAGAATATATCTCAATTGTGTCTTCGACCTGTTTAGCAACTGCTCGAATCCTCTCAAGAGGATGGTCTGGGTTAGCTGCTCTGTAACCTGTAGAAGGGCGTGTGTTTGCGAATCCATGAGGGTCTGGACTGTGATAGCTTGTTGAAGCTGGACGAATGTTGATACGGGAGGTCATGGTGAACGACGGAGTCAAGCTTTGACAGCATTCAACTTGTAACACCGACGTGGCGATTCACGTCTCGTGGGAATTTAATTGCCCGAAAGCCGATTAAGCTTTTTTGCATTATAGGGGGGAACCGAGAATTCACATCTTCGTCGTTGAAACTCGTGCACGTTACGTTGGCCATCGTCAACGTTGGGACCACGCGCATTTTTTTGGACCAGCATGAACAAATTACGCGTAGACCCGGTGCGAAATGAATACCTCTAGTACGTCGTTCGCATAGCCCTCAGAGTCGCTACTGACCATATAAAAAAAGTTCAGTGTTAAACGTGCCAACAACCGCTTCCGCAAACGAAATACGAGAACGTTACAGAGCATTATCCGTAATCTTTCACCCCGACAAGCAGCGCGAGGAACGGACAAAAGACACTACAGCTGTGGAATTCCTTGAAATTCAAAAAGCTTACGAGGGTGAGAGTCTTTAGTCCAGTTCCAATGCAATATGTGAAAACGTTTTAAAGTTCTGTCGGACCCCTTTCTTCGGTGAGTTCGTGTTGTCACACACCGTTCTTTACATGCGGTCTCATTTTAATAGGGAAGTATATGATTTTCTGGGTAAGCACATCCGCATTCCACCCTCAGGGCATGCTTCACACAAACATGTATTTCACTAGGTGAAGGTGCTTTAAAAAACCCGTGGCCAACAGAGCTGCGGTCTCAGAGTGTTGAACAAGTGCGGCATTTTCGCCCGCTATGCAGTTGACTCACTCCTCTTGACAGATACGTGCGCATCTTCGACGTTGGAGGATCGATCGTAGTCAAGAAAATTTTGATCACCTCATTCGGCCAAGAGGCACGGTGACGTGTGGAATTGACGCATCGACGTTATTCGCACGCGGTGATGACTTAGATTATGATTCGAGAGGCATCCTCGCCCGCTTCCGTGGAGTGTGGGTCTCTCATTTTGCTATTCGTCACTCTATTACGGTGGGCTCCATACCTTTTCGTGCCCACCCGATTTGACGTTCATGTCCGCTTCAATTTGTGCAGAAAGTGTTGAATGAAAAGACTTACCTTAAATTCACGAGTTACCTGGGACTAGGCCCTCGAAATGACTTGCTGAGTAGAAATAACCTCATGGGCACGATACGCCATCAATTCTCTCCTAGGCTCGCTTTGGAGGTACGTCTTATTATTAGATCAGATTCATTACTCAAGGAATGATCGTCGTCTGAAAAGGCCACAGCACATTTCTTAGACCCTCACCTCGTTGTCGCAAAAGCGAGCTACGAAGACAACGACAATACCCTAAATTGCCGTGTGCATTTCATTCCTGCGTTCTGGAACCTTCTCCCTCCGGCTAGTACCGTTTCCTTCAGTCGTCGGCTCTTCCGACATGCTTCAACGGTGGGCTCTGTGGCGTGGACATTCTCACCATTGTCCATGGGAAGCTTTGAATTTGATATACACTCCCCTCAGCCTTTTGACTTCTCGTCTCCTGAAAATTACGTTCACCATACGGACCGTATGAACGCCGACTTCACAAATAACCCTGGCTCCGTCAGTGGTTTTGGGGTTGGACTGCGGGCTTGGTCGTGTGGATTTCAGCTATCTGGCCTCAACTCGTGTATCAAGACCGAGTGGTCTATCTGGTTTTTCGAACTATCACTGAGGTTCAAGGCAGGCCTAGAGATTGGGTTTCGGCAATTGGCCTATCTGGTCACCGCAACATGGACTAACACGAATGCTGCTATATCAACTAGCTTTGGTGTTAGCACCAAGGGATTAATCATGCGCTTTGAGTGCGTCATTTTGTTCTCAAATATCCCATGACTCACGCGTTTATATCAGGTTGGAGTATCTCCATCAGAAATGGATATTGCCAATAACTTTGTCGACCGTAAGAAATCAAACATTGGAGTTCTTTTCGGCTGTTTTGCCTTCAACAGTTCTTCTCCTCGGATATCACTTTGTTTTGAAGCCTCGTAGGCAGTTACAACGGACATTGTCAGTCTTATCTCCAACTTCCTTCGACCGTCAGATTAACATTTTCGTCTTGTTAATTACAAAGATATTTCCGCAAGGCTGAGCGCCTTCTTAAAGAGGAAAACTCGCAGCTAAAGAGGCGGATTGATGACACCGTGGGGTTGTTGAGCGAAACTGCCAAACGCCACATGCAGACGGAGAGGTCCAGAGGAGGTACGACACCCCCAGATATCCGGGCACGTGGTTCTCACGTCGCGTCAAGGTCTTGTCATCCTGAGTGCGACATACGGGCCCGAAATGAACGCCAAGAACCTTACGATAGACGTAACTGTGCCTGTACAAGCCTTGGTGCACAACAGTCAGGTTCATGTCCCCGGTCATCGCACAAAGGTAGTCACGCTCATATCTTCTCCTCGAGCTTTGGTTCATGTGGTGTATCGCAGGCCGGTATTCAAGGGTTCTATGACCCCGCCCCTGCATCGCCAAAATCACTTCACGTGCGTTATCTTTTCCGTGATCGACACCACTACGCAGAGATTCCCGACTATGTCCCGGTCGTGTTGCCTTTACCAGGTGTGTCCATTGCACTCGTCTGGGCGTTTTCATGCCTGACGATGTTTTTTTCTTGTCAAGATCATCTCGTGAATTAAACAGCTACCGTCACCCCCAGTCTGTTACAAACCTACTGTCGCTCCCACTCAGTATCTTACATTCTTATACCCATATCTAATGTTAGTGTGGATGACTATCAATTTGAAATACGACCCCCATCAAATGCGTATCAACCTTTTACTACAACAGCCAACCGGGAGAGAGCGAAATTGAGAACAACCTAGGCGCGGACTCATGCCGAGTTATCACATCCAACGGGATGGACGTGCCGTATCCAGTATACTCCACAAAAACAAGCCTACGGGTCCAGGTGTCCATAGGGGTGTCCTCACCGCGCTTGTGCTCCTTAGCTTATAGTTGTATCATTGTTTGTGACGATCCAAGTTCCCGGGCTGCAGGCTGTAACAACTCAAACTCGAATGGAGAAATCCGCTGGGCATGAGCGAATTGATGAACGTGCTGCACCTGGCCCCCTTAACTCACCTTCGCTCATTGATATATAACGAAATCATTCCGCTTGCCTGACAGCACGCACATTTCCGCAACATAATGCGGGGAGCTTGGCCTGTCGCGGAATTCAATATTTTAAGCGCCGATCTGTTGGTGCTCCTTCCACGCAGTTCAAACTGACACTACGTGTAACAAACGATGGATTGGGTCTGGCTCACCTCCCCTGCAATATACTTGTGGTGCCAGCGTTACTGCGTTGCTGAGGGCCAAACCTTCGCGGTACAAGTACACAACGAGCTACCCTATATTCCCTTGGAATCGACACATCCATTTGTGTTCATACTCGATGATCATTTGCCAAGCCGGGGTTGCAATGTGCCCGGGGTGTTTGTCCGCACGGAATCAGCCGTGTCCAGAATAAGCTTACCCTGCAGACTTTCCCAAGCAACCGTTCAATTTTCGGGTGATCTTCACGCTCAGCGCCTCGGTTTCAGTTTCTGGTTGCCTTGTGTTCATTTTGATTCGACCCTTTGGTACAATTCATTAACCGCTCGCAAGTTCCCTTGTTTGCCAAACTTTGTTCATCATAATTTGACGGAAACAGTGGAAATCGGCATTCGACACGCCTGAAAGGTTCTGTGCCGCTGTTGAGACGCACATATCCTATAGACGCCTGCCACCACACCATGACAACTGGTGGAGCGTGTCGGCCATTGCCATCTGAAAACCTTTTTTTCTCTGCCTTCTAAGTTCTGGAACCTCATTAGCACGTATTGTGAAAATGCGATCAATTATAGCTTCGAAGGTGGGAAGTGTTCTTCACCGACAATGTCCACCGAATAACGTAGACCCCCTGCTGACAGCACGAAAAGGGAAATTTGGCCTCAACGCAATGGGCGTACACGTTAAAACTGTATGTTGACAAAAAGCCCGCCGATCATCCTCGTCAGTCCCTACTAGAGATACGATTCTAGATTGAGCTGACCAGCGCAATTGAACGTGGCCGGGCCAACATTCAGCATGACGAAGTGATCTTGTCATACGATTGAAATTAGGCTTTATCCGAGTTCCTCCTAGAGTCAGCATGGAGCTGCGCTCACGTTTAAATTCAAACAACCGCCCGTTGGCCCCTAGTGATACGAGATCCATGGACGGTGATCACTTGCATGGCTTTTGAATTAGGCTTTTCAAATGCGCTCCGGCGATATTGCTTGGCAATGGTAAGTCTTTCGCATCAAAAGTTTTGCTATGTCAGATATCGGGCCAATGATCATAGCATACCGTCATGATGAGCACTGTATTGTTCAGTTGCTCCAGTTCCTGAAATCAAACCTTGTTAGGATTTTGCAACGTTAACGCGAGACTAGTCCTAATTGACCAATCCCAAGCCCCTCTGGCGAATGTGCACCCTTGCGCCATCAATAAGCTATGCACAATGAATCAAGGATCTTTCAAATGTCACTTACATCATGGGGCGTGTTTTGATGTAAATTCCTGTAAACTAGCTACCGTGACTGCTACGTTAGTATGTTAGTACTCTAGTATCCGCGCATAAAGGTTTTGCAAGGCCCCGTCTGCAGCGGTCGTTGTCAGCCACAATCAGGATAAATATGATGAATTAATTCAACCCTGTAGTCAACCTGCTGTGCTATGCTTCTGTGTTCACTGGCAACTTGGTCGGTCGCACCGGAATTACTATATTGGGAGTTGTACGACTTGTAATCTTTATACCCACGTTCTTCGCACTTTATGGTGCGTTATCATTATGGATTTGGCTAGTGGAGTAGCTAGCGGCGTCCTGCGGTCCCCACGTCTCGGAAATACTCTCAAGTCGAATCTGATGAGTCCGATCACAGGGCGCTTTTCAAAATCCAGCATGTGGGTTAACTCAATTCAAACTTAGAATAATTTTAATTTTATCCGCGGTTCACAGTTCCCTTACGAATCCAGGAATATATAATAACTTGTGCTGTGAAGTTCCGTTGATCCTAAAGCCCACTTAGTGTTTCCCCTTGATATCCTCATTCTGAAGATATGCAGCAACCTTCCCTCCAAAATGTCCGCATACGCTCGACAAGGGATGCGCTTCACATCTTTCATGCTGTTGCGAGGAATGCGCTCCCACTTACAACACGGCGATTGGACGCTGAGGAACGAAGGGCTATCGCCCCCGGAAATGTATATGTTTGGGAGGAACGCAGTGCAAATTCTGAGGCCACAGGCCTCGGCATGGAACGATGGTTCGTCCACTTGTGGCTGGGGTGTCTAAGCATAATTATTCAATATTATTTAAATTGCTAGGACGGATGGCATGGGCTGGGGACCAAGTAGAGTCCGCGATGTAAGTAGATGTCAATTATGAAATTCCCCTCGGACTTATATTTTCCAAAGGAATTTCTGTTCTATCAGCAGAAAGAATGTGATGTGAATGATGATCCAGGTAGCTCCGGCACTCCATGGGCCCAGATGATTAGGTAGGTCATGTCAATCATGTGGGCGCCCAAAGTCCATGCGCCGTGGAATGACAATTTTACCTGTTTCACAGCATGTACCCTTCTTCGCGAGCACGTGCTACGGGGGACTCTGAGCGCTTGATCAAGCAAACTTATAGCGTGCGTGTCTCATTACCTGATGATCGCACGCGAGGTATCACTAGGAAGTGGCACTTAAGTACGTTTCTTGGCTATCTCCGCCGCCTCGGAAGTCTAATCATCCTTCGCATCAGCTGCCTACTTCAGTCAACAGAAGCTTGATCGGCTCAACACTATCGATAATATACCAGGGGTCGGTGATGTCCCGGTTCCAGACGGGTGGTTCCGAAGTGCTCGTAGAGATGCTAAGACGAGACGAGACGATGACCTACCAAAATCTGCGCTTGCAAAGCAACTCCCACAGTTTCCCATGGAGGGCGTACTACCCAAGATCAATCCGGTTCAATCCGGGTTTCAGTCATCATTCCACGCTTCAAATTCCAATCCTTCGCCGTTTACACATTTTCCCACTTCAAGAAATTCCTCCCAACTTGATCTGCTGGAGATAGAGGCGACAAGCGGGCGTAAAACCGCCTATTCCTTTCCTTCTTCCACAGAAGGATCGTCTAGGCATTACTCTTCCAACATCCGTCAGACGACTTATTCGGCTCCAAATGTGGTTCCTACTCAGATGCAATCACAATTTCGTGATGCGCCGTTCCAGAGTCGCTCGGCATGTCCATCTCCCCCCTCATCGTCATCCTCAGGACCTGCTACCCCAAGTCCACGCATCAGTCCTTCCCATCTCTCGGAACAGCTTGTGCCCCTCGAATACCTGCAAGGGCTTGCATATCCGAGGCGTGAACCGATTGATGAGCAATTTCTTCAGCGTTTTTCAACTCAGGTCTCACCAGGTTTTGTCTCAAAGGGAGGAGACCGAAATCATCCCCCTTCAAAGGGACATTCTGCTTTGCGCTCCGAATCGACAGGGTGCTCGTATACCTAATGATTTATTGAGGTCGATCTAATCTCGAGACATTCTGCGATTTCCTCTTCTACTTATTTTAATGTACCTCATCTCCCAGGTGTGGGCAGCCCAATTCTTTGTCAATTACACCTGGACTTTACATATATAATCCTCACGCATACCTCGTTAAACTTACATATTGTTACTTGTGTTTATATACTTGATGCCAAACGCACAGGCACCTTATTTTCTGAAAAGGGGGAGCTTGTATTGTATCCTAAGTGTTGTCCGTTGAGCTTGTACTGGTTGGCTGGTAAGCCTCGGATTCATATGCAGATAACACTTTGTACCGCACAGTAACCGCGGAAATTTGTGCACCTCCCAATTTGTCGAACACCGTCGTCATGCTAATACAAAGCTGCAGTGAACTGGTGGTTGTGGTGTTGGTTGTTTATTATTTTTAACTGTGAATCCCAATTGATCCGAGACGTATCATCGAACGCGAGTACGATCAGCGGAGGAATCCAGGCCGTGAGACGCTTTCCGCCCTGAAGGGTCATTGTTGCTGAGCTGGGATAGGGGTTTCGCTGATCATGTTGGCAGCAGTTGGCGGGGAGCGTTACCGAGATATCCCCTGATATCCCCGCCTGCAAAAAATTTACATGTTCCTCTCACGTAGGATGTACTTCGACAATTAATACCAAGCCTAGGTACGTACCATGGACACAATGTGTAGGCTGACCCCGGGGACATATTCGCATCTATCCGTATACAACAACATCTTCCTCTTTTAATTGTCCCATTCGTGATACTTCTGCCCGTTTGCGGTTCCGTAAAATGATAAACATTACCTGAAATGTGATGGCATGTAGACCGTATCTAGTGTAGTGGCACTTGTGAATTGTTTTGGTGCGTCAGACTAGGTGTCCAGATGTGACGGCAGACATTTCCGACTCAAAGTGGGCTAGCACACTGCAGTAGTGCTGGCACGGTCTGTTCAGGGGCGTTCTTCTGGTCATTCCGCGGAAATGTCATATGTATGCAACCGCCCTGCTGATGCTTAATCGCCGTCCCGGACCGAACTAAGGGATCTATTCGTTGTTTGAACAGGTAATACTGCTCAGTTGGAGCGTATTAACGGAAAATGGGAGTATTGAAGTTAGTCCTGAAATAGAAGATGTGCTTTGGGTAAGTCCTACCCCCGACGAATCAGCGCGGCTCACTTTGTCCCCTCGTGCAAAAGGGATAACTGGTGGGTTTGCATGACAGGTACTACTAGGTGATAGTGATGAGCGAGGTAGTAAAATTTCTTGAAAGGATCCTTGACACAGTACATGCGCTTCCACACACCTGCGTTTAGCCATACTACTGGCAATCTGACCGGGAGCCTTCGAACGCAGGGACATTGTAAATCTTTTGAGAGGGGTTATCGCCAATGGCCATTTTAGATATGTCACCAAACTTGGAACAGATTTTGTACACGGTGTTCGATTGTTCCTGATAAAGAACACTGAAGGGTCGGGGAAGCAGGCATAGATAATAGTTCTCGGAAATATCAATCAGGTAACATCACGAATTGGATGCCTGGAAAATAGGGAGTGTACATGACGACAATGTTGCTGCAACTTCCTCTGTGTAAGGTGTATTGTTGGAAAAGACTACTTGCTTCCAACACCAGAAGAAAAAGAGGGTGTTCTGTACGGCAATGAACCCTGCGGTCCAAAACGGCCCCGCGGAAGCAGCTCATAGGAGGGAGGCTTCCAATCCGACAACTTCGGGATTGTCGTGTGATCTTGAATCAAAGAAGACCGGCGAAATGAGAACGAGTTGATTGACACAGTATGCCATCTAGGTATACAGTGGCATCATGGAGTGGATAGTCTTCTCCACCAATTAGCGTCCCCCGATCAGCAAGGCTCCTCCTGCCACTATTCACCGTGACGTGAGGCTTTCCCCAGCACTGAAGCATAAAGCAAACGTAAAGCCATGAACCTTGCAATATATCACGCTTTAAGCTTTATGTAAGTGAGTAATTATATCCTATGATGGTCTGAGTTTGGAAGATTGGGGCCCGACGAGGCTGCAATGCGCTGCATGACACCAGCAGTATGACACCATTAGCAGTGGGGGAGATCCAATCGGATGATCCTGAGCAGTGCAATCGATAGCCCTGCTGTGCATGTCGGATATCGATTCAGCAGTGCCTGCACGCGAGCGTTGAACGTTCAGCGTTCAAGCCCTGCAGCGAGCGATGTTGGTTTCGGTAAGCTTTCAGTACCATATGATGACGCTTGCACATACCGCAAAACCCTTCAGGTCAACCCTGAGCGGCGTTTTACAAACATATGCTCGCAGGCAGCCCGCCCCACGTTGACCTAGTATATAGGCGAGGTAGAATGATGTCAGCCACGGCAACTTGAACCGAGAAGACGATGGAGGGCTGTGAGTAAAAACAACTTCTTTGTAAATCGCAACCTTCAACCCTTGATGCATGCACATGCCTGATCCAGCATGGCGACGCGATTGGAGTCCGCGTGGCCAGAGCTATGTACTTGTCAGGGGTGTTGATTCGTCTATCCCGGAGTATTCAATGCAACGTGACCGCCGGTCATGTGACCCACAGCGGTGCTCACGATCGGATTCAAGACCAAGTCCGAACAGCTGAGTAAGCCTCAGAGAGGGATTTAACATTCGAAATATAGCAGTGTCCCATCATGCCTACAAACCCGCTCTTACCAAAATCTATAGCAGGCGTTTCTAGGGAGCCCGAACCGAAAATTCGCGGTGCAAACAGGTCCACGAAAGTCGCTGGCAAACTTAAGGTCCTACCGGACCAACCAACATCGTCTACCCAAGGCAAACCCCTACCACGTCCAGATGCTGAGGAAAGTCTGGGTACAACAGGAGATACGGATGACGGAGATGACGAGGACGAGGACGAGTCAGATGATGACGAAGACGAGGACGTCGAAGTACGGCTACGTCAAATCTCCCAAATTCCGCAGGGAACGGCACGAAGAGATGCACTGAGGCTGACAAAGAAAAAGGCAAAGTCACTACCTCGCGTAACAGCATATGCAACAGCAAGGTAACTCTTTGTTGGCTTCTTCCTTGACTATGTGACTGACAGGCATTGTCTCGATTTAGTTCCTATCGTTTGCATGAACTTTCGAAGTTTTTCAATGCCCGGAGGGCATCCTATCTTGCAGACCCCAAGATTATCGACGAAGTTTTGTATACTCCTTATGCATATGAACCCCAAGAAGCAAATGCGAAATCTCTGCCAGCGAGTGGGGATTTGTTAGGAATCCCGGGATTGAATCCCCTGATCTCTGAAGCGGAGGACAATGGACTCCCCTCTAATCGCAAGAAGATTAGCAAATTTCACACTATTCCAACCGAAGCCGAAATTTTTATTTTCGCCTACGGAACAGTCGTCATATGGGGAATGAGTGAAGCCCAAGAGAAACGTTTCTTGTCCTCCATGTAAGTAGTTTCTTCTGCTACAATTAGCCTTGACGAACTGCTCGTAGCAAGCGTTTTGAAGTTGAAAGATTGGGTAGGTGAGGGCGTTTGTATTCTCTGCAGAACTCTGAATCGCTGGCAGCACCAGACAGCGTTGAAATGGAGGATCTGAATTATTACTATGCTAACTACAGTCGGTACGTCTAGTCCCTTTCCGAAATCGCTGGTTTTTATCCATGACACAGTATATACAATGATGTCATCACCTTGCGCAAGGGATCTAGTTACATGTAAGTCGAGTGTAAAGGGGGACTTTCTGATACTTAAACACATCAAGGACAAAGCTCTCTCTATCACACGCACTATCTCAGTCCGTCAAGATATCCTTGGTACGCTGACATCATTCTATGGCATAATCTCTTCGTGACGGTCGTTCAGTTCGAAGAGCTTATCTCGAATACCATCGAAGACACGAAAGATATACCCGAAACTCTGTCAGAGACGGGGAAAATCGGCATGCCTCATAAAGGTCGGTCAAGAAGATGCCGCATGGTAAACCATCTCACATATACTGTCCAGAAATCATGCGCAAAACCGGGGAATTATTCATATTACGGACTAACATTAACTCTGTAGGCTCTGTCTTAGACTCTCCGGTAAGAAAATATTCATCTAGAGTATATTGAATTCACCCCTGCCCCGTTCTAGGAAGTATTCTGGGTAAGCTAGGTTGTCGACGTCAAGTGTCGGCATTTTTGACACCTTTTCAGAGCTTTCCCGATCTCCAACCGTTGTACGATGCCGCGCGTAGTTATCTGGAGATTCCTCAGCGAATAAATCTCCTAAATACACGAGTCGAGGCTGGTTTGGTTCATGTGGCATGCTTTCATTCGCTGACTTCATGGACAGGTTCTTCAAGATATGCTCCAACTTCTCAAGGAGTCAGTATCCAGTAGGCATGCAGAACGACTTGAGCAGATTGTCGTTGCTCTTATTGGGATCGAAATTGGTAATGTTACCTTTCTTTTTGATTAGTGATGAGCTCATGCTGGTGCGGTCTAGTACTTGGCATTATCACCATTCTCGTAGATCTTATGGCTTGATTTATTGCATTCCATTCATATACCTCGCATGCTCAAGTACGGCGCAAACTGTATTCTGCATTTATAGAAGGCAAACTTTGCCCCTCGCTGAGTCTCAAGTCATTTTCCATGGTGGCATTGGCGACCATCCTAGATTTGCAATTCTTACGGCAAATCAGATTACATTTATCGGTGCTGGCAATATGAGCAATCACTTAGCCATACTGCTGGCTAGTACGGGGGGGGGGAATGTCAAGACCGCTCAAGATCAGGTTGAAATGGATCCCGAAAGCGAGAGACATACAACTTCTGCGAAAAAAATAGAACGATCCTTACTGGAGCCACGGTCCCGTCTCTACCTCCTCAGCGTCTCTCACAAATACCTTCTGACCTCGTTATCGAGGGCCTGAAACAAAAATGTTATCGTGCCTATATTACGCCCTCAAATAGAGGAGTATTGCGTACCGGGCATGGGAATGTTTGGTATCAATCTGGGCTCCTTGCAATCTTGGAGGCAATCAAAATGGGCTTAGCAAATCACTCGCCTTCTAGTTGAGGCCTTGCGCAAACTTGGATGAGATTGGATGATAGCTAACTTTTAAGGGGATAAATTTCTCACCGGGTAGGCTTCCAAAGCCGACATGTGGCCTCGTAAAGAGCCCAGTTTCTGACTTCGCCTAATTTCCGAAGTCTAGGATACCGATAACACGAACAAGCACGCAACATCAAGCAACATCTGCCTCCGTCTCGCATGCGCGCAATTACTGCCAATTGCGCATCTGACGCATCATATGTATGACTCCGCATCCCATGGCACAAACACAAACCTGTCTGAGCAGGATTTTCGTCTTGCTATGTATGGTGTGCTATTCCTCGCTTGCTATGCTCAAGGCATGAATATCATCTTCTCATGGAAGAGCATCAAGTTCTCTGAGTGCATCAGCACTTGGCCGAGGGCTATATCATTTGCAGCACCGCAATTAAATTGACAATATCCTACACGCCTTGCTCAGGCAGACTCAGTGTGACCAGCAATTGACGTCTGCGGAATATCTGAGGAACTCAGTAAAGGGAGCTTCGACGCTGTCATCCTTTAAACGAGTCGATCGTGGTGTGTTCAATGAATTGTCAATTGCCCGCCCTCTCTGGTTCGTGGTGGCAGCCATCGATACACAAATAGTGGAAACCGACGCCAGCACGAAATTTTCCCCCCATATTTATTTTGTGCAAAATGATTTTCTCATACACTTCTCCCCCGTACGTATACGTCCACTAACCGTGCGTGCTTAAACGTTAGAAGCTCGAGCTTAATAGAAACTCGCTGGTGACCCAATTATACAGGACCTGCCTTATCAGGCACTTGCCAGGCACCACTTTAAATGCGGTCCGAGCTGGGAAGCTTTGAGCTCCATTGCTACTCTGATGACCACCTCGCCTTACTGTTGTTCTGCGCGCTCTATGCTCCAGTTTAATTCTTTAAACATTTGATTCCCCTATGGCCGAATTTTTGCGCCGTCTTGTTTCGGGGGGCAAAGCTAGGTTTAAGGATCCGAATCTTGACCTTGAGCTAGGTATGCTGTTTCATTGATTATCGAACTCCTTGTGACACTTTCGTCGTATTCTTCTAGACCTTGCGTATGTAACTGATCAAGTCATCGTTATGGGCTATCCTGCTGCTGGCATTGAAAGCCTCTACCGAAACTGCCGCGAGGATGCTCAGCGTTTTCTTACTGCTCGGCATGGTAGCGACTTTTGGGTATTCAACTTCTGTCCAGTCAGGGAGAACTTTTATGACAAGAGCGTTTTTGGTGGACGAGTGAGTCGCTACCCCTTTCCAGATCATCAGTGAGGAACGGTCATACATTATTGGTTTGCAATCGCTAAGCACTAAATCCAGTACGCCTCCCCTTGCCGTTCTCCCCTTGGTTTCGAGAGAGATACATGCTTGGGTGACGGTTTCAAAGGACCGAGTAGCTGTTTTACACTGCAAAGGTGCAGTTTGTTCCTCCATCCACTTTACATATCCACTAACTTCAGTCTCATGCAGCTGGGAAGGGAAGGTCAGGCACGCTAGTCTGTGCTTATCTTCTCTCGCTCGACACCTTTTATCCTCCTGCGGAAAACAGTTACCTTGAAAAGGACTGGGTAACCATACGCGTCGATGAATGCATGCAAGCAATCCCCGATGATGCTGTCCTTGAAGAACTAGAGGAAGCAGCCATCTCCTCTGCATCATCCATTGTGGAAGAAAGATTCTCGGAGTCCCGAGATGAAAGTCGAAGTATTCCCTCCAAACTCTCTGGGCCTACATTACAACAGGTATTAGACTTGCATACCTCGCGTCGCATGAAGGCGTCGCATATTTCAACGAACGCATCAAGCAAGAAGCCGGGAGCAGGTGTTAGCATTCCTAGTCAGCGGCGCTGGCTTTTATACTGGTCGCAACTTCTTGCTGGCCAGGGTCCACCTGGCATGTGGGGACTGTCGGACGTGAATTCCGGCTTGCACGATAGCTCCAACTCGCCATCGATTCTCCAGAGGAAAGTGCGCATCACCGAAATTTCGATTCGACTGCGTGAGCTCTCTGGAATTAAAGCAGGTCTCGTTCGTGCAGCCAGCTTTCTAATGGATCACGGAAAGGACGGACGTGGTCTCATCAGTCCTGGCAATAACCGTGTGTGGGCGTCACTAGCACGCTATGACAATGACTTGGTTGACGCTCTAGAGCGTCGGGAGCAAGGTACTCGAGATATCACTAACTTGGGAAGGCGAAAACTTGAGCTATCTGAACCGGTCAGCGATATCTTTACCGACGATAAATGGGACAAAGAAAAGATGGTACGGACTTTTGCTCGGATGGGAGATGATGGAAAGCTACCTTCCGAAATGAATAGCGCAGATGAGGTTCGTCAACTTTATGACAAGCTGGTCGCACTACCTGGAGAACTCATAAATGACAGAGCATCAAGGTTTATAACTATGTTCTTGGTCCGTTGACTGAGGAGTGTTGGGTAGACATTTCCAAAGCACCGCTTCGACAGGAGGAAATTCACAGCTCGGAGGCTTCAATCAAATCGGAGATGACTTCTGTCTATTCCATATCCCAGCCAGTGACAAACACTAGGATCGGTCGCAGCGGGATAGTAGTTGACGCCGACCGCGAGTTGCGGATCAAACTCTACATGGGACAGGTATGTGCTTACTGTTTTCCACATGACATTCCTTACGCCAAGCCTTGGCAGGTATTTATGACTTGGTTGTGGTTCATCCCAGCATTCCATATCGGTCCCGAAATGCCATCCTCATCGTTTATACTGCCTCGAGATGACCTCGATTTCCCGATTGGCATAGGCAAGGATATCGTGGATGTAGAGTTGAAAATGGAATGGTGCCGAGGTGAAGTCGATGATACGCAAGTGGAAACTGTCCAGACGGACCCAGTTTTGTCAGGGGCGGAGACTGTCGTGGCCAGCCTCGCTGGTGGCGTTGATTGTCAAGCTGTCGAAAGATAAGGAGATCAACTACGGCACTTTACACGTCACGTGGTGGCGGCCGCCCTTGCTTTCGGTAGATCTGGGGTCCTCCTGGGCTAAGCTGTTTTCATTGTCACTTTCTCCTCATCAAGTTGACAATTTCTTTCGTCGCACGCTAAAGTCCTGATAATCCTTGCGCCAGCTGTCATCATACTGCATATGACGGACTGTGCAACGCATGACAATGTAGGCTAATATTATGCTTTTTCGTGTACTCCTTATCCGATTTTCCTTCGCCATGACGTCGGGCGTCCTGAAATGAGAGGGCCCATCAACGCTACGGGTCACGCGGAAGGATGGCATGCGCAGTTTTTTATATTAACCAGAGCTAACCATGATGTGGGTCTCATTAAGGCGCATCAGATCGCAATCACCCTCACTACACTACGCTGAAGCGACCCCGGACCTTGACAGTGAGAAAAGTTGAGATCTAGAAGCGAATTGTTTCCGGACTATTTTCAACTACTAGGCATGAGCATGGGTGTCATGCATCTCACCCTAGTACCGTGACAGTGAACCGTCAAGAGTTGGTCTGGGTCAAATATTGTCTGTTGAAACTGGCCCCCATGCTACCATTCGCGCTAAAAGTTGTGTGGTTTGCACTGTCGTTTTCTGGTAAGCGGATTCAGACATCAGAACCTTCCCGGATTGATGCCATAGCGGTACAGGTATCTTTGCATGCTGGATAGTCCTAACAGTGTTCGCTCGTACGACTGGGAGCTACTGGGGTCCAATATTGTACTGCGTCTTTGCGACAATACTCCAGGGAATTTTTTGCCTGGGTGCGTTCGTGTTCTCGTGCCAAACAGGTGAGGGTCGGGGTCGGGGAAGCTTTGCTGACTCCTTGAAGGCATGGTATATAACATGAACCCGTTTGATATGCCACCGGCATTTTGCAAAGGCAAGCTTTTATAATGTGCTATGTTGTTCTGTTGCCCTGATATCTTGAGCAGCTCAGACGTTCATCATATACTACTCCGCTCACTCCCTGACGGGAGTGTGTGCCACGTTCACGATGGCGACGACAAGCGCTGTGATGTGGCCGTCCTCTGTGATAACGACTGCTTCGTCGTGGGTGGTTTGCACAATTGCCGCGCAGATTTTCTTTTGAATGCTTATATGTGAGCAGAACATTGGTATGGCGAACCCGTTATCTCTTGCCCATCGTCGTGTTTCCGCTCGGTGCACTTGGTGTCGCCGTTCCCGTCCTACTATCCCTTCACGCAATCCAACCCACAGATGATCTTCACTGCGACGCTAGTCATCCCATATGGTGTGTCACTTGCATTACCAACGCTGTGATGAAGCTCACATACGCAGGGGACGATTCTTGGGCTATGCGGGCATATCCATGATCCTCACGGTTCCAAGTTTCTTCCTATCTGCAATAGCAGCCCACCGTGTGTTCAAAATGCACACGGTGCATCGTGAGCTTTTCAAGCTCACAGCCCCACATTCACATTCCCTGTCGGCTGAAAGGGAGGTCAACATCATGGAATCCTCGAAAAACCCGTCTTTGCCGCCTATACCCAACTCGGATGTGGATCCCAAGTCCGCGGAATCTGGGAACCATTTAATAAACAACCATGATCGAGACATCACGGTGATGCCAAGGAAAGATATTATGCCTCGTGTTGACGACATGGATAATGCCGCGGCTATGTCAAACGAGATCTGTCCTCCACGGGCTAGAATTCTTCCTCCCTCCTTATCCTTACCGCCTGCGCAAAAGCGCTCTTTGGAGACATCGCAATGGGACGAATCTCAGACACGCAACGAACGAGAGTCCATCGGGCCCATTGGAACAGCTACTCTTCCGATATCGAGTGAGTCGTTTTGGTAGTACCTGGTGCCTGGGGTACGTATTTACTTTGCCCTCAAGGTCATCATGGTTATGAACAGCCTAGACAGAGTCTTGCGCCTGCAATATGGAGGCTCATTCTCTTCCAAATGTACGCACGTTGAAGTATAGGTCGGTGTCCTCGGAGAGGTACTAATGTGAACCTCAGGGCGTTCTTTATCACCCAATTTCTGGCCGCGCTTACGACTATCATTGATGTAGCAAACCATCGCACATACCCAACGCCTTTTGGAACGCAGCATGTAGCGTTAGTGCTGGTGGGATGGGGACCGTCGGTAGTGTTTGGTCAGTTCCCGCCCTCTCCCATAAAAACAACCTGGCTCACTATTCCTTCAGGCCACCTTCCAGCAGTCCGGCGTAAATTAATGTTCTGGCGACGTCCAAATTCGAGTGCAAACCGTTAGCGCCACCTGCTCGCTGGGAAACTAAAGATATGCATATTTTATTGTGCCAGCTGCACGCTAAATTATATCATGATAGTACGCTTTTCATCGATCAGTGTGGTTTTGCACAGCCTGATGTTGGGTTTAAAAAGTAAGTTTGACACAGTGCACCCAGTATTGCGGTTCAGCCAAAATTAGATTCACTCTTCAATGTATGCACCGATATTCATATTCTTGGCCGTCGGAGAGTCTGACATGGAACACACGCTGTCTTTTCTCCCCCGTGATATTAAGAGTTGATCCCAGTGGAAAGCTACAGTTCATTGCATTATTTTTATATTGAACCGTGCGTTCGGTGCGATTCGTTCTCAGCAGGCCAGGTTAATGTGCTGCATGCACACAGCCATAGTATTCCGCAGGTAGACCAGGAAGATAGTCGCATGACACTGCACCATCATATCAGTCTCCGTATCAGACGAACCAGGAAGATAGTCACATGGTCCTGTGCACTATCATGTTGGGCCAGGGGAGCCTGCGTGCAACACGCACAAGAATCAAACGCCCAACTGTGCTCGATCATCTAAGATCGTGATCAGCCTGGCTTATACTCCGGATCCATGAAACAACCTAGACAAGTCGGGGGGACTACGTCAAAACAATTCCCTCTCAACTAAAAAAAGGATGTACTAGTAGTAATCAGACTGTTCGCAATCTAATTTATGCGACAGAGTCCGAAAACAAGGGGATCATGCTGCAGTTGTTTGAATCTGGCGCACATAGACGCTGGGACTATAGCATAGCACCATCAACTTATTGCATGGTATCAATCGTACAGGTGAAGAAATGATCGAGCGAAGGCATTCAGTATGGAGTCTGGACGAGTTCAACAGACTTGAGGTGGGTATTTGCCACGGCTTGCGTAGTTTAGTCAGCAATCGAGAAGTATGTGTACTAAGATTTGGAGAATGCATCAAAGGTATACTAATCATATATCAGCAGTATCCTTTGAAAAGTAGTGAGCCAGTGCAACAATCGAGATAAGCTGCGGAAAATTTGCTGTCGGACAATATGCTACATGTTTAATTCATTTTAGTAAACCGGAAAGCTTAGACAATGCATATTTAACGGTGGTTGTAACACATTCAAGGTTGGTTTCACTTGGTCAGATGAGATTGTGAGTGCATTAAGCGATGAACGGGAATTACTTACAGTGAATAAACAGTGAACAAGTTTGATGGGATCAGTATTTTTGGCATCACGCGGGCGGGGCATTCGTTTTCATGGATAGATTATCGCATAAAAAAGAAATTCGGCGCAACAACTTGGCCTAGTCAAGATGGACCTTCGAGAATATGTACACCGCAAAAATGATGTCAGTAGGTTTCGAACCAATTCCAAGAGAAACAGATTTCGACTCTGTTGTGGTAACCACTTGGCTAAGACTAGTTAGAGAGAGCCGTCCACGAGTCAGTATCAAGGTGTGTTCCGGTAGAAAAAGACCGGACATCGGGCAGGTTTTGAACCTGCGCAATCGAAGAGAAACAGAGTTTGCTTCTGTTAGCTAAGACCGGTTAGGATGAACATCTGACGAAACCATGCACGAGTGAATGTCGAAGTGTGTTCCGATAGGAAAAAAACCTTGTCGTCAGCAGGTTTGACAGATTCTGTTGTGGAGAAACCATCCGTGAGTGAATCTTGAAGGCGTGTTCCGATAGAAAAAAACTTTTACCAGCAGGTTTCGAGCCTGCAGTCACGGAGGCACAGTCAAAGAGACAGATTTGGATTCTGTTGTTGTAACCACTTTGGCCAGGACCAAGTTGAGATGAACCGCCGAGGAAACCATCCATGAGCGAATCTTCAAGGTATACTCCAACAGAAAAAAAAACCTGTCGATCAGCAAGTTTTGAATCTGCACAATCCAAGAGAAACAGATTTTGAGTCTGTTGTGGGAACCACTGGGCTAAGACCTGTTAGATGGATCCCCGAAATACTTGTCCATGAATGAGTGTCAAGGTTTGTTCCGAGAGAGAAAAAATACATGTTGTTGGCAGGTTTCAAACCTGCGCAACCCAAGAGAAACAGATTTTAATTCTGTTGCGGTAACCGCTTTGGCCAGGTCCAAATTGATATGAACCTCAGAGGAAACCATCCATGAGCGAATCTTCAAGGTACATTCCAACAGAAAAAACACCGTCGATCGGCAAGTTTCGAACCTGCACAATCCAAGAGACACAGATTTTGATTCTGTTATGGTAACCACTAAGCTAAGACTTGTTAGATGAACCGCCGAAGACACTGTCCATGAATGAGTGTCGGGGTTTGCTCCGAGAGAGAAAAAATACTTGTCGGCAGGTTTCAAACCTGCGCAGCCAAAGAAAAACAGATTTTAATTCTGTTGTGGTAACCACTTTGGGGAGGACCAAGTTGAGATGAATCTTCAAGGTATATTCCAATAGAAAAAAAATCTGTCGGTTGGCAAGTTTCGAACCTGCACAATCCAAGAGACACAGATTTTGATTCTGTTATGGTAACCACTAAGCTAAGACTTGTTAGATGAACCGCCGAAGACACTGTCCATGAATGAGTGTCAAGGTTTGCTCCGAGAGAGAAAAAATACTTGTCGGCAGGTTTCAAACCTACGCAACCAAAGAGAAACAGATTTTAATTCTGTTGTGGTAACCACTTTGGGGAGGACCAAGTTGAGACGGACCTTAAAGGAAACCACCCATGAGCGAATCTTCAAGGTACATTCCAATAAATAAAAAACCTGTTGATCGGCAGGTTTCAAACCTGCGCAGCCCAAGAGAAGCAGATTTTAATTCTGTCGTGGTGACCGCTTTGGCCAGAACCAAGTTGAGATGAACCTCCGAGGAAACCATCAATGAGCGAATCTTCAAGGCGTGTTCCAATACGAAAAAAATACTGTCGATCGGCAAGTTTCGAACCTGCACAACCCAAGAGAAACAGATTTTGATTCTGTTAAGGTAACCGCTTGGCTAAGACTACTGGCAGTTAGATAAACCTCCGACAAAACTGTCCATGAATGAGTGTCAGGGTTTGCTCCGAGAAAGAAAAAAGACATGTTGTTGGCAGGTTTCAAACCTGTGCAGTCCAAGTGAAACAGATGTCATGGGCAGGTTTCGAGCCTGCAATCACGGTGACACAGTCCAAGAGACAGATTTTGATTCTGTTGTGGTAACCACTTTGGCCAGGACCAAGTTGAGATGAACATCCGAGGAAAACATCCATGAGCGTATCTTCAAAGCACATTCCGATAGGAAAACACTATTGATCGGCAAGTTTCGAACCTGCACAATCCAAGAGAAACAGATTTTGATTCTGTTGTGATAACCACTTGGCTAGATGAACCTCTCGTCCATGAATGAGTGTCGCTAAGACTGGTCAAGACGGACGTCTGTAGTACGAGTCGAAGAACATCATGCATTGGCAGTAGAATCATATAGGATTAGCAGACATTTGCCATTCGATGGACACAAGACATGTCAGGAATAAATGAATCTGCTCGGCACCAGTGCCGTTATGTTGCTAATAGCTATTAATTCTCACGGGGTCATCGTACTTTGGGTCAAGGTAACCTTCCTTCACAGAAGGCCTCACTGCGCATACAGCCCCAAAACCATGCCCGGTGTGCGTGATACCAACCCAGTTCCATCCGCAAAGGCATAACACCAAAGTATGTATATTGTACATTTACCCTTCGTATTACCATCGCAAACATGACAAGACGTAACAGCGGGGCGTGGCGTATCGTATGAAGAGAGGGTCAACATGCTTTTTAAGGCACAGCCGGTGTTGCAATATATGCAGAGTCAATAATTGCGGTAGTGCGGAATGTAATAAAGTCTGAAAATTCTATCCTGAATGGACACGCATCTAGAGCCGAGAAGGGTATTATCCGAGGAGACCCTCGCCATCAGAGAGGGCTGCGGAGCTGTAGCCGCTGCCACCGATCTCATTGTACCGTGCAATGCGGAGACGCTGGCTTGGGGGTATGGTCTTGTCTTCAAGGCCATGTGGGGCTCCACCGTGAAGAACGCCAACACGCTTCATCGCAAGGAGCTGCAAAAGATACTAGTCAAGATATGGTCGTGCGACAAGTAGAATATGCCTCACGTTATGTGCGGCGTTACTATGGTCATAAACACCTCCAAAGAATGCTGTAGTGGCATCTCGACCAATGTTCTTCGTCAACAAGTGACGGCCTCCCGGGTGGTCATCAAGGAAGTCTGAAACGTCGTGGATGAAGCCAGCAATGCAGATGACCGGACGACTCTTGGCTTGTTCAAGGTCTACACGTAATGTATCAGGAAATGCATATGGCACACGCTGAGAAAATACGTACAGCTCTCCCAGGAAATGACGGGCAAGTCACTGTTATCAGAAGGCCATGACAGGGTCTCCTGGGTCTCGCGAAGACGCTTAAGTTGCATGGTAAGCTGACCTTTGCGGACCTCGTTGTCAGGGAAGGACTAACAATCCTGCATGAGTTAATCATCCTAGCGTATTTACAATAGACACACCTTCAGGTGGCTTGCGAACCCAAGCTTCTGGCACGACCAAATAAACCACTTTGTAGGGTCATATTGGTACCACTTGATGGCATTGCGGTAGTCCATGGGGAACTGGTGGTGGAAGTTGTGGTACCCTTCACCAATGGTGACGAGAGCAGTGACGAGGTGGTCGCGAGGACTATGTTTGTCATCGAATGGTGTTTCACCCAACCAATGAGCGAGCGAATTAACACAGAACGTGGACTATATGCGCGAGGTCAACGATTTATTGGAGTAAAAGGCAACAACAAACGCACATGGTGAACAAAGCAAAGACGCAGAAGAGCGGCATATATGTAGCCACCCTGCCAGTCGCCCCAGCCAAAACCAGCCACAATAGTGGGGAAGAGGAACCCCATAACCACGACAAGGGTTAGGTAGTATTTGTGTTGCCACCTTACAACCTCGTTCTTTGTCAAGTCGCTAACATCAGCGACGCCAGGCTTGCGACGGGGCTTGACAACCATCCACCCAATGTGTGACCATAGGAGACCGCGGTGTGCGTTGTATGGGTCAAGGTCGGTATCAGTGTAACGATGGTGAGCACGGTGTCCTCGTGACCACCATTTAATAGAGCCTTCGACTGCACCTGCACCGAAGAATGCAAGAACGTACTGAAGAGGCTTCGACGCGTTGTATGAGCGGTGTGCCCATAGCCGGTGGTAACCAGCAGTAATGCCTGAGACTATGATAAGACAGCAGATTTGAAGGTAAATGCCCAAGCTTACCGAGACCAGTCATGTAATAGTATACCACTGACCAAACAGCAGTCTCCCATTGAAGGCGAGTGTAGTACGCGCCAACGAGACCCACAACAGGCGTGCCGGCGAGGATTGCAACGTGCAGCCAGTTCAACTCCGTGTACCAGTTGTCCCAAGTGATTGGAGGAAGAGATTTTTGGTGCTTGAGAGTGTACGACACGTAGTTATCAGGAATATTAGCGTCCGCAGGGACGTGCTCGGGATCCTCAATGAACTTCTTTGAGGACAGTGAGTTAGCGTCGCCATTAAGCTTCGGAGTTATAGGGGGAGTGAGAGTCTCCACCGACGGAGGCGTCGAGCGAACTGGAGGGACGGACGACATGAAGGAAGGTGGTCAAGAAGAAAAAGACGGAGTGACGAGCGAGCATTTATTTGGCGCAAATTCTTTGGGGTTGGAGATAATTTGATTGCGTAACACGCAGCCTAAAATATTAAACCATGATATTGACACGAATAAAGAATAAAACCCAAAAGGTATGTCATTTTTTCCTACTTTCTGTCTCTTTTTTAGTGACAACTTTAGTGCAAGAGGACACGACGACGCGTGAAGGAACGAAAACCCAGGTCATCAGAGTGATGAGCACCCTGGAATTGCCATCACTCGATGCGCCAACTCGTTGGGGGTAGCCCAAATATTTGACATCCCAATTTCGGACCAAAATTAGGTGAAATTGACGTATCCATCAAGGCCAAGTTTCACAGCCGCGGCTTGGCACTCTCATCAATGGAGTTGACGCAAGGACCTTACCACCGCATGCAACTTACAAGTTATATCCTTTAAGCTTCAAGCTCCAAGCTTTGCTTCCGTGCGCGTGAACTCACGATACTGCCCCAATTTCTGGGCCTTGCGCAGTTTGACGGAACCATGCGTCACTCATTTCATAGCCCGACTCAATGGTTTATTCCTGGCCACGTTCACATCCTCGGGAATTTCAATACGAAACAATTGTATAGGCTTATGACCAGCGTGGCGTATGCTGCCTCGAGTGATGTGGCCACGTCAGAATGGTCACGAATCTAGACACTGCTAGCGCAGTGAGTCGGGATACTTTGTGGCATTCAGATATGTCGGTGAATAGGCTTAAACTCCAACGCAATGACCCCTCGGGGGAAGAGCGACGGATATTTTTAGCTACACACGAGTAAGCGCTTTCGCTAGTAGGGTTATATAGGGGTTCAGATATCTGATAATCTTTCTCCAGTCTATAACAGTCTCAAAAGCACATACCACGTTAATGCTAATATACACAGCGTCAAAACAAGTCTATCAGCATATTCAGCTGCCTATCTATGACCACCCAGTCGCTTGCTGCACAGAACCGACTCTCCTAATATTTCTGTAACAGAGTGCCAGCCAGTTTGAAGGGGCTCAGGACCACGCCAGTCGTATATACCGGAACAGATTGAAAATAACCGTCCGTCCCGTCCATTCTGTCTATACCTTCCGACCCTATTTTGGCTATCAGGAATGACTCAAAATTCCTCCAAAATCCCAGAATTTGTGTTTTAGAATTTGGGCCAACTTTGGACGTCATCGGCGGTACAGCCTCACGGATGATATGCCCTCGAGACCTGTTGCTAACGAGGCAAACGTGGACACGATCTCTGGTGTTAAGTCGGGGATACCTGTGAGACAATCAGCAGCACATTTCAGCGTGATCATGGTTTGTCGGATGATGGGGAAGTAGAGAACGAACGGACGGGACGAACAGGCAGGACAGAACTTTCGAACTTCCAGGTTCCTTCATATACGGGATTGAGCATCGAAGCCAATCATCAGCGTCCAAAATCGGGTTCTGGATCACATCTAGAACCGCTGGACTGGCGCAGATGGCAATATACCTGCCTCTGGCAGACGGAAGTTAGTGTGGCTTCAACCTAATGACGAACGCTACCTACGACAATGTCCGAAGCCCTACTGACTAAGCCACGGCGCAAATGGTGGCGAACGTCCGCCTACTCTGACTGCCACTAACGAAGACCTCATCAGTGAATTCTGTTATGTAGGACCAATATCTACTTCCACGTACTGGTACATCATGATGTAATGTGACATGACATCTATACCTTTGAAGCTCATGATCAGGATACCTCAATCCATACCATCATCCATGTGACTCACTATTAACGCCGACACAATACAAAACTGGAAGAGGACGATTGCATGTGTTTATATATACGCTTCTATATGATGATGCACACGATAGATCTGCATCTACAGGAATGGAAACATAATTAGACTGAAAACAGGTCAAGGAACAAAATGAGGGGCTCAACATATATCAAGGGTTCTGACCGACTGCCTTCTTCTATTTGATATGAGGCGCGGAAACAGTTGTCTTAGAACGCAGCTAAAGTGTCTCCTGTAGGTGGCGATCGATGACTTGCGCCATCGTCCCCTAGTGGTGATAGACACAGCCAGGACAGCATTTGACCATGTTGGTCAATCATTGATCTAATCGAGGGCAGGTGGCCCGCTGCAATGTCATTTGAGGTCGAAAGAGGGTCCTAGTGTAGTTTACGGACCACGACAAGTGGCGAGTGTTCTGTCACGATCAGTGTCAACAGAACTTCAGTACCGGAAAGTGATCGAAATGGAGGGAAACACGAGGGAAAACAAGAATCAATAGGTGGCGAGACAGGCCGGATGACGGGCAACAGAACAATGATACTGTTTTTGTACTGCGTGACAAGAGCCAGCAAAGCAGCAGTCCGGGAGTGCCGGGGCTCGAAATCGGAAACATGCGGCAGGTCCTGCGGCTTTGTAAGCACAGAGCGTTTGATTCCGTGGCGCGTTGACGCCACGTGACATTTAGGCTCCCGTTCTGTACGTCAGACTTGAATGGAGAGAAGGGGTTAGAAGCTTCGTTCTTCGCAGAATCCAGACGCGGTGCCTGACGTCGACACAATATGTATGCATGACGATGATCGTGTTGCTACCAACTTGACTCGGAAGCTTTGAAGCTTGATGAGTTGCCACCCGCGGTCCGTTGTTTACGAAGAGGTGAAAAAGAAGAAGGTCGATTCTATTCCTCCGAGTTTGCAGGCAGTCAAGGCGCCAAGAACGAATTTATGTGGGCGACGGTCGTACACTAGCACTGTTGCCCTCTAGGGCCAAATATGGGTTCGGCGGCCTGGCCAGTAAGCGTTCCAATACTTCCATGTTGCTCATTAAACCAAACTAGACTAGTGCGGCAGATGAAGAACGGCTGCCGATAACCTACATTAATGAAAGAATTTGAACGGGTGTACGGAGGACTGTAGCCGTTGAAGTGCAGCATTTTTCTAACGAGGCCGGCGGGCACGGCAGCTGACATTGTTCGCACAGCACTGTCACTGCGGATGAGAGCACTAGTGAGATACCCGCCCAACAACAAGGCTCACTAACGCCACTTATGTTGTGCTTCAAGAGTTCGAATCTGTGGGACATTTTGTAGCTTCAAATGGCATGCAAGTGCGCAGTGGTTGATCGATTAGGCAAAAAAGTGGGACGAGAGGATGTTCTCGGGTACATATTACTTCTGTGATTGGCATGCGATTTCCGGCATCGTGGATAAGTAAGTCTGTTTAGAGATTGATTGATATTGGCATTGAGTCCGGGGCTGGGTTATATACTGACAAGTAACCAGGAGTTCTAGACTCTTGGAAGAGCGCGGCGGAGGTAGGAAGTTGTCTCTCGACGAGTCCATAACCGTTTCCTGAGACATTGCAAGTCGTTTCTTGTACACAGGACTCAAAGAAGCGAATTATTCACCCCGTTGATGGTAAAGATAGGATGGACTAAATAGTCATATGATAGCTTGGAAGTTTACCGGAGCCGACTCCGGTCTTGGATACAGGTTTTGCAATGGCGAATTGGGCCGGCCGCGGTAAAGGGGAGCCTGACCGATTTGCCTTTCGTAGGCAAATGAGTAGGTGCCAGGGGTTATTGCGCCCCAGATATGCTATCGGCGGAGAGCAAGATTTCGGCAGATACCATGGCGCAAGGGGTGCAAAAGTCAATGCTGAGCGCTGCTTGGCATAACGGAGGCAGATCTGGACAGAATCGCGGAACTGAAAAAGTCAAAGAGCATTTTATGCCGCTGCTCCTCAAATGAGGACATACTATTTTACCTGATCGGTACTATCACAGATCCTGTGCAGCACTACAGAATCAGAAGAGTTCGATGGCCATCATCATCTTGAAGAATTGGGCATGTTTAGCAACGGAGTCATTTCATGCTAAACCTAGTAGGCGTCAAAGCCTCGCCAGACCCACCTCACACGGCCGTCAACGGGTGAGTAATAATAGCTCACGGGATTGGTTGCAATTTGCTAGAAGGAGGGTAACGAATTAGTATAGGCGCTGAAGATGGAAACGGAAATGCGTGGAGACTGAGGCACATGCAGGAAGCAAGAAGCACCATCTGAGTTGGTCTTTGATAGCACGGATAGTCAAATTTTGACAGGAGGATGGGATCAAGTCAGGACTGGCTCCGGAACATGGGGGGTACCGCCGATCCCTAATATCGTAGGTCTGTACCTTTTAGTGTGACTACTTTCATCAAATATCACGTCAGACCCCCCAATTTATTCACTACTACTCTCCATCTCAACCGCCACTGCCGTCCTGCAGTCATTTTGTACCATTAACATTTCGAGTTCCCATCTTATCAGACCTCCAGCTCAATTTCCCAATCTACACTCATGCCAACCTCCAAACGACTCAGAGTCTCGGAGGACGATCCCCTCACCCGAGCAATTGCACCTCCTCCTTACGAAACACCTGCAGAGCGGGAGGAACGACTGGCGGCAGAACAAGAAGCAAAGCGCGTCTCTGACGCAATTGACGAGGAGCTCAACAAACAACGTATCTCAGAGAAGAAAGGTCCCAAAGCAATCAAGATACTGCTCCTAGGTGCGCTCGTAGCGTTCAACCCATGATATGCCTTTAATCACGCTTTGCACTGAACACTAGGTCAGAGTGAATCAGGTGAGTTCCCATGTAGCTTTCTCCCAACTCTCTCAGCTCACCCGGAGCTTGCAGGCAAATCGACAACGCTGAAAAGTAAGCGCAAATTCTATTTATGGTCAGACTACAATTTACCTTCATTTGGGTACATTGCAGACTTCCAACTCATGAACTCTCCTAAAGTACGCTTTACAACGGATTAATCTCCGGGACATCCCTTGCTCATCCTCGTTTGTCTAGGCCTTTCGCTCAGAGCGTGCTTCGTGGAGAGCGGTCATCCAACTCAATGTTGTTCAATCTGTTCACGCCATCTTGGACCTAATGTCCAGGGCACATTCCTCGGCACACAACCCTTCAGCCTCGATGAATCACACAGCAAATTCCCCTTCTACACCGTCCAAGGAATATCCTCCACTCAACCCAGAGCATTTGAAGCTCAAGATGCGCCTAGCTCCATTACTACAAGTCGAGGCTGCGTTAATGAAGAAGCTTCTCCTCAATGGCCACTCCCAGCTCTCTAATCCTGCACATTCCCAGCAAGAAATCAGTGTCAACTCTTCCGCAGGCTGGAAGAACACGTTCAGTCGGCTGATGGGTCGAAATAGTTGTGACAGCGCAGATCTAATCGACTGGTCTGACCCGGACGACCCTGGCGTAGTTCTGAACGCTTGCGCAGAAGACATGAAGCGGCTTTGGACGGACCCTATCGTTCGGAAATTGATGGAGGTCGAGAAGATGAGACCAGAAGAGATGGCTGGGTTGTACGTTTTTGAATAATGGTTTCATATCTCGCTCTCATGATGCCTTTCCAGCTTCCTTGATGCACTGGATCGAGTAACTTCACCGCGGTACATACCCACTGATGGTAAGCTGAAATGATTCTCGATAGCACGTAATTGATGCTTATTTGAAATTCAGATGATGTTCTGCGCGCGCGGCTAAAGACACTTGGAGTATCAGAACATCGATTTACTATGAAAACAGGTTTGCGCCACGATAACACTTGTGGTGGATTTTGACTGATTATGGACTAGGTCACATGGGATCACCTATGAGCCATGACTGGCGCGTGTTTGATGTTGGCGGCCAAAGATCACTGGTGAGTACTTGTGATATATCGTGTCAACGAGGTCTTGGCTCAACTGCCTTTTATGTAGAGAGCCGCATGGGTGCCCTACTTCGATGACATGAATGCCATCATTTTCCTGGCACCCATAAGTTGCTTTGACCAGGTTCTCCAAGAAGACCCATCTGTAAATAGATTGGTACGCCTTATCTCCTCCCCCTGTGTTTTAGCTCATTCTTTGTGGCAGGCTGATTCTTTCCTCCTATGGAAGTCTATCGTGTCTAATCCCCTGTTGAAGAAGACAGAGCTGATACTGTTTCTAAATAAATGCGATATCCTTCGCGCGAAGCTCGCTTCAGGCATTCGCTTAGCTGATTACATTGTCAGCTATGGGAGTCGGCCGAATGACTTTGAAAGTGCTAGTCAATGTAAGTTATGTCCTCTGTTGTCAAGTTGCTTTCCAACCCGTCGTCTTGTCAGACCTAAAGAAGAAATTCGCTGGCCTGCTAAAAGAGCATTCTCCTGAGCGACTATACTATTTCCATCTGACATCTGTAACTGTGAGATTTTTAGTCATTATCCATATGCACTTAACCGAGCTTATCTTACAGGACACGAAATCGACAACATACATCCTCGAGAACGGTATGTACATGTCTTGGCTCCGATTTCCCATGGCTGATTCGATTTATATTGCCAGTGCAAGATGTTCTCGTCCGTGACAACCTGAGGAGAAGCGCGCTTGTAACCTAATATCCGATACCTTGCTGTTCGCGCATCCCTACCTCTCAAGACCCAAGATACCTGCACGGAACTCACACGACCTCCCGCAGCCCACCTACCCATGTCTGTGACTACGTTGTATCACTAGCCGTTGTCATCCTCGGCTTTATTCGTCCCAAATGCACTCAGTATACACCTCAAGGACACTTTAGATTCACCCCATCCTACCCGCTCCTCTGCGCAGCCTGTGGTTCTCTCTTTCTTCTGGGGCCATGGTGCAGGGGATATTAGTGCAGGACGCTGTATACCAACCCTCAAGTCGCTTGTCATACATACATAAAGCTGTCCATAAGCATTTGTTACGCGCGTTTACTGCGAATCGAACTGATACTACGAATAATCTAAATATAATTGGTGCATGGATTTATTGAAATAGGCTCCACGAGAATTGCTCATGATCATGGCAGTACTAAAGATCCCTCCCGAATCAAACATTCCGAAACTAGTTGTCTCGGGCTTCCTGCTGATGTCGGACAGCCGATTCAATCAGTATCAAACTTCCTGGGACTGCAGACCATAATCATATGATTCAGAATGATCGTTGATCGGACGGCGTGGACTTTTCAATGCCTTATGTTGCACAAGTATAGGCACTTGTTGATGATCATAATCAGTTCCAGTGACATGCGGCACGATGCATCAAGCAAGTCAAGAATTATTTATCCGGAGCGGCCGCGCGCGGCTACCAGCGAGGTCACACGTATTGGCATATAGTGTGTTACACGGTTGTTTGTTCCAGCTGCCAAACAAGCCTTGTGGCATACTCGGTACGGTGGCGTGCAGCCTCGTAACCGCAATCCCACAAGTTCAACTTGGTATCTCCCGTAGTCGTATCTTGAAAGAGTCGTTCTAACTCGAGGCTCTTCATATTATTCAACATGAAGAAGGTCCTTAGTCTCCTTCCTCTAGCCCTTGTCATACCAGCAATCCTCGCAGCGCCAGCCGAGGACACACAAGTCGTTCTTGGTGGGACTAGCCATGTTCAGAGCGGTCTCTTCCCCCTACCGGATGCCGAGAGTGTGCATCAATGGTTTGAAAATGGGAAGGAGTTCATCAAGCAACACGGCTTAACCTGTAAGTCCGTATACCTGATCCGGTTTATCCTCTTACTGAAATAAACGTCACAGATGAGCTGGTTCAGCACCCTCATTTCAGTGATTATAAGCTCAGGGTCACGGAGCCCAAGCTTTGTGACCCTTCGGTGAAACAGTACTCCGGTTACCTTGATATTACCGATGATAAGCACCTGTTCTTCTGGTAAGTGATGCCATCTTTTTCTTTTGTCATTTTAAATTTTCGATCTTGATTGTTTTCAGGTTCTTTGAGTCACGCACCTCTCCCGAAGATGCGCCCCTTGTAATGTGGCTTAACGGCGGCCCAGGATGTAGCTCGTCTACTGGCCTTCTGTTCGAGCTTGGTCCCTGTAACATCGCCGACGAAGGCGCCAACACGACGTTTAACCCCCACAGCTGGAATACTCACGCGAACATCATCTTCCTTGACCAACCTATTAACGTTGGATATTCGTACTCTGAAGATGGCAGTACCGTCGACTCGAGTCCTGTTGCTGGAAAGGATGTTTATGCCTTCATGGAACTCTTCCTCAGCCGCTTCCCCGAGTACTCTTCTCAACCTTTCCATCTCGCCGCCGAGAGTTATGGTGGCACCTATGTTCCGAACATTGCAAATGTCATCTACACCGAGAATCAACAGCTTCCTCTTTCGCCCGATGCTAGACTTATCAAGATCAACCTCGCCTCTGTTATGATAGGCAATGGAATGACCGACAACTACGTCCAAATGGCATCGATACCCGACTATCTCTGCGAAGGACCGTACCCGATCTATGATGACCCCGATGGTGCACAATGCGCTGCCTTGAGGACCAAAGTGCCTACCTGCCAGAGGCTGATTCAATCTTGTCGTAGTTTTAACTCTCGCTTAACCTGCGTACCTGCTGCATTGTATTGCAACTCTCAGCTTTACGCTCCCATCCAACGTATGTGCCGTTGTTACGAGATCTAATCACACCTGAATTCGCCCTTCAGAGTCCGGCCTCAACCCTTACGATGCGCGTATTAAATGCGATCGTGAGAAAGATGGTCCTCTATGCTACCGTCAGATGGGTTGGATTGAGACTTATATGAACGATCCTGAGGTCAAAGCTGCTCTTGGTGTGAATCCGCAGCGCGATTTCGAGTCCTGTAACATGGCTGTCAATCAGGCGTTTATGCTTCAGGGTGACTCGATGCATAATACACCGCTATTACTGACAGATATGATCAATGATGGCGTCAGGCTCTTGATCTATGCTGGTAATGCGGGTGAGGCTAAACCTTCTATTGTGGCCGCGCATTTCTGATGCCATTCTCAGATATGATGTGCAATTACATGGTATATATGTCATCATTCAGGTTTGTTTTTCATAAGCTCACGTATAATTCAGGGAAACGAACGCTGGGTTGAGCAACTTGACACTATCTTCTCGGAGGAGTTCTCTACCGCTGCGACTGAGCAGTGGGTAACAATACGTTCTGGAAAGGTCGCTGGTACTGTCCGGTCTGCCGGTGGCGGTGGTTCTGGCGCTGGAAACGTAACCTTCGTTACCGTTTACGAATCTGGGTCAGGAAACCCATACCTTAATTTGTGTCTCGATAATTAACCATTTATCTTTTTCAGGCACATGGTTCCTTATGACCAACCTGAAGCCGCCTTGGTGAGTGATAGAATCCAAGTGTCCAGGTTTGTTCGCTCATACCATACATAGGATATGATGACGAGGTGGATCTTGGACATCCCGCTCACGCTCGATATCACGGAGGCAGCGCCTCTCATGCCCTTCGGAGGAATATAAATCGAACGTCCATCTCAGACAACCTAAGGCGCCTTGTATTATTAGATAATGGGCCTTACTTATCGCACTCATGTGCACTTGACACTAGAGCCCAATTGGGCTGTTGCGACTTTCTCACTGCATCACCGTGACACGTTGTATCGAATGTTCGTCTAGAACGTCATTTCAATTGATTCAACCTGCTCCTCATGTTTCGGTTATGAGAACCAACCCCTGCTTTCAACACGTACAGACTCGAACAACCCTCGATAGACCTCCGAGGGTGCTTCGCTGCGCCCAAGTCCAGATACGAAGTTAGTTGCATCTTCACAAACCAAATTTAGCAGGGATCTGTGCTAGCTGTGAAACATCCTTGCTGATTGCTGTGGGCGCCTCCGAAGTCTATATATCTTTTGAACACACGGTATAGCCGCAGCAGTTCCACTCCTTGTCCTATCGCTCGCCTGTCATGTTAACTCAGTCACAAAATGTGGCTCTTACGCCGCTTGACTTCAGCAACTACCAGAATGCTCTTCTCGACGTTCTATGGAGCGAACTCACGGAGAGCGCAGTAGAGCCAATGCAAGCGCCGGTACCATACTTGATCAATTTCGCAGAAGACTGCTTGCTTTGCGCCATTGTAATGTTGAGAAGGCATTACGTGGACCAAGCATCCGGCGATTTCGTCCCTTTAGAGCAAGAAAAATCATATGAAGAGGAACCAATTGGCCTCGTGTATGTCACCGCTGCCCCCGCACAGAATGCAGCGCAGGAAGCCAATGTCGGGATCATCATCTCTGAATGCTATCAACGCAAGGGCTTCGCTCGCGAAGCCGTGGAGCTTGCGCTGAAATGGGCATTCGAAGATCTCAAGTTCCATCGCATTCAAGCAGCGTTCATGAATAACGCCCAGAAAGATCGTGCAATGCGGCTTTTCGTGGGACAGGGTTTCATGCACGAAGGTACTCGGCGGCGTTCGGTGTTTCAACCGGAGAGAGGGGGTGTGGTTGGTGTCTGGAAAGATGTCACATACCTTGCAATGCTTGATACGGAGTGGGCGCTTAGGGATGTGTTGAAGCGCAAGGGCACAGTACCAACCTTGTGGGATGAAATGTTCGCGCGACACGCAAGGGAGAGAGAGGAGATGGTGAAATGGGACGAGAAGCATAATAGGATCAGGAAGGTGTCGAGCACGGAAACCTTGCGCGATAGGGAAACTCCGCACCAACCTGACCGCACAATCATTGACTCATGGCCTTCAGATATGTCGTCTTCCTCGTGCCAATCCTCCTCTTATGGTTCGGTGCCGCCTTCGCCAAACCCTGGCGCTGCAGATATCTCCACAGCTATACGAGAATATCTTGATTTCAGGGAGAGCCCCACGAGATGGAGCCCATTGCCAGATCTAGACGATGTCTCGCGACAGTCTTCGCCTTCCCCCTATGATTTTTACATCCCTTCGACACCAATCCCTGTTCCACCTCGTTCACCTTCAGTTCCTTCGAGCGTCTCTGAATTTGAATCTGAGGATGAGAGCGACGTAGCGCCTTCATTGCAAGCGCTACGCAGAATCCCTACCTCAGGCAGTCAGCTATCGTGGACCCAGCGCCCCCTGATCCCTATCAGTCGGCCCGGGAGTGCCAGTGGAAGTTCAGATTCAAATTCAGATTCAGGGTCCTGGTCTGACGCGTCTGCGTGTGACGACGCCGGCGGCACGGATGGCAGTGACTGGGATATGATGTCTGAGCCCGAGCGATCCTCTTGAGCGTCGCACTGCTACATACTATCTGACATCTGATAATTTTGCTTTCGAATCATGTACAAACCTAGCACAAGTGTTTCCCAGTCTGACATGGATATCCCTGATCAATCATTTGTACAACTCTCGTATTTACAAATCGCATTACCTGCCAATGATGTTCTGCTGGCCAGTCCATCATTTTATATTCCCTGTTTCTCGAGTCTTCCCTGGGACTGAACGTTGACTTCTGTCAGATGTTGATCTTAAGATTATCCCGGATCACTCTTCTCTTCAGTACTCGCGAGGCCCCGCAAAAAACAACAAAGACTTCACTTTTTATTACATGATTTGGATCAAACCGCGCACACCTGTCAGTACAAGAAACCCCCAACAACTTGACAACAATTCCCGAGACTGCAACATATTGAGGAGTAATCTTAATCTCAACAAAATCATTCGTCTTTCCCTCTTCAAGAATTCGACCAGGACTCTTGCGTAGTATCTTACAGCTCTATGATGACTCTCTGCAGGAGCCATTCCACAAACTTCACGTCAGATAGGACGATGGTAACCTTCACCTGGCCCATCGAGATGTTCGTCTTGTCGCATTTCTGCCTGCGATATTCCGTGAACGTGCCTCTCCACAAGACGGATAATTGGCTGTCTTGCTCTCCCTTGCCAAAACGCAACACGAAACCCATTGTTTGTCATGAGGCCCCAAAAGTTTGCTGTGTGGCCATTTTCGCGTCCTGTCCTGTGAATATCAATTAGCACAGTCGCGTGGAAGAGCTCCGAAGCAAGCACGAACCTATTTCTCCCCCAATTTCTATCAAGTGCTCATGAGTAACTGGTGTGTCTTGGTTGTCGGCCACAATAGTGAAATCTGTGACACTGATTTGGCCGATCCATCGTGTAGAGGCAGATACGATCGCGTTCGTCAAATGCGACTCTGTACACGTTGATCCATGCGCCAAATCAAGTGAGCCACTGCCTCGGCGAGCATCTCAGCTACTAAGCCACAAATCAATCATATCGTAACTCACTCTCGCCTATGAAGGTGATTGATGACGGGTAATCCGTCATCTGGCGCAAAACCTTTGACGGTGACCACATCGCCAATGCGGTATATCCACAAGCCATCATAGCTTGTGGAGATACCGCATTGGTGCGTGTCGTCAAGACGGGTTCATAATACCCTCCAGTCACAAGCTCCCACTGCAGCAAAGATGAGCAGATAAAGCTGGGATGCAGTGAACGGTTCTTATGGCGGACAATACACGCTCCGAAGACTCGTTGGAATGCACGTCCAGATACTCGGTGACCCCATCTACGGGTACCACCTTGAAGTCGGTGTTAGGGTCGCCGTTGAAATGTGGTATGGAGATACAACATTCTGAACTGCCATAACAAGGAGACTGCATGGTAACAGAACGCCCGAGGACGTGAGTGACCTTGCGTCGCTGACCGTCAGTTGAGTAGTAGACTTTCCACAATTGACGTGCCTTTGGAACAGATGCAGCAGCGGGATCTCTAGTGATCCTAATGAGCTTTGTCGAGTCATGCCACACACGGACTGCCCAGCCCTGGATTCCAGGAGGCCCAATTTCGCGAAGTTCGGCAGCACGAAGAGGGTTTGGAGTAAAATGTTTCTGAGAGAAATCATGAACTGAATGAAATTTAACAATTAACACAAATATGACCTCCAAGGATTCTCGCACATGGTCCATGTTTTCCATGTCCGAGATAATCCCTTTCTCGATGCAGTCGATGAGTGGAGGCCACTCATCCTCTATGTATTGCAAAAAATTGATGAATACACTGGCGAAGAGAAATCGAATGGTTGTGACCCGACTGTCTGCGAGTGCAAATAGCGTATTCAGAATGAAGAAAGCGCGATAGCTCTTCACCAAGGAAATCGCGTATGGATCAGGTTTTGCCGGAACTGAAAATTGCTTGGAGATCAACATGCACATGCGAAAGCAGAGCGATGAGCTTACCCCATAAATAAATTATGTCCTTGTCGTGCTTGACGTGCCAGTCCATTTGGATTCGCAGAAATTCGACTGTCACCGAACAGACCGGCAACATCTTGGAGCTACGATCGCCTTCATAATACATGTTCAGGGCTCGCCAAAGACCTAAAGAGGATGGTGATAGGGCACTACCCTCTGAGTGGGGAAGCGACAGATACAGAGGGTGATGCGACATGTGCGGGGAAGGTCGATATATTGGAAATGTCTTTGCTGATTTGCCAGATGTCAGGCTGGACACGGCTAAGCAGTAGGGAAGTCCTAGGGTGAACAAGTTCTTTACGTCAGACTCGTTGCAATGGGTCGCAAAAAACTTTGCTATGTACGGCCTGTAAGGATCGTAGTTTGTGGTGGGAATGAATTCTCGGAAGCTGCGCAGAAATTCTGCATCATCGTTCGAATTTCTCTGCGCAATAGCCTCGCGGAATTTTTCCAACTCGGGAGCATGCTGAGCAAACTGAGATGCGGGATTTGGCTGTATAAAGCTGAGCAGGGCTTGGTCCATGAGCTCCTCGAGCCGCTGAGAGAGTTCGGTGGACAACGAATTCAACAGGTCCATGTCAGGACGAGACATTAGTTTAATGTGGTATGGGGTTGGATTGCGACATTATATAGGCTTGCATGACCTGATCAGGTCAGCCTGCAACATGTCTTGTGGGCCCCTCAGGGCCTACTACGTACTTCTTAGGGTCTTTCGCACTGTGCTGGCACCTGGGAATATTAAAAGAGGTCACTGTGTATGTACTTACCTGAGGATATGGCAGTAGTACCAAATGTAGATGTCATGATATCTCTTCTGTAACTCAGCTTTCAATATCATGTACATCACGTCATATTGGATCACTCATCTACACCTATACATAACCCCCCCCCTGCGTATAGCAAACAAATGGCTCAAGTGTAAAGCCGTTAGGTGTGCTGCGCTTCCTAGTAGAGCTGTGAGTATTCAAGTTCATATGGAAACCCCCGCAGGATCAAGCCCGTGATCTGCGGTGATTCTACCTGTCGTTGTCTTTACTTGGGGGTGAATATACTCGGACGCAGCATTCGCAAAAGGTGGCTTACGCGCGAAACATTAATGGGGTTGATAGTGGATAGCAAAGCTGCAAGGGAATGTAGTCTTCCGTGAGGTCGTTAAACTGTGAAAGAAGGAAGACGGTCAAAAACTTACTAATGACATTGAATTGCACTGTGTCCATGGTGATCCGCGAGTGTCGCTATATATACTCTGGGATTAGTGCAGATTGACGACACGTTGAGTAGGAAACAAAGATCGAATGTAAAAGAGATAGAACAATCACGCACAAATTGCACATGATGTTCTAATAGATAGACGCAGTCAATATGATGAACCTTTACTCCGTGAGTTAAGCGAAGGATTTCACGTGTGCACGCCTAAATGGGAGGGAGAGTTAAACAGGAGGGCCGTAAACACCTGTTGGATGTGCAACATCGACGCATTCCCGTTTCGTCCTTTCATTTCGGCCTCTATACCATAGCTTATAGTATCATTGTTTCTCGTTGTTTGTACCTCAGCGGTTCTCTTCCAGACGCTGAGGTATGTTCTATGTCTAGTCTGCACGCCGGCTCTTACTTATCGTATTTCGTCTGTAGACTTGTTCTACAGGTACTAGCATCAGTAAAACCTCAACTTACTTATGTCGTGGAATTTAAATTTACGAAATCCACCTTGGCAAGGTGAATTTGGTCGATTAAATCGACTTAGTATTGGTCTATGTTTTGGGACTCTGTTGTTCTCAGACTAAGTCAAAATATTCAAACTAATATTTTCGAAACAAGGAACAAGCTATCACAGATGGACTGAGGCAAACGCAAACAACAAAACTGACTAAGTGTTCTTTTTGGGCAATAAACTTTCAAGTTTATTCAACTGAAACTCACCTCTGTCCTGCAGGAAAACCAAGGACAAGCATGAGCTAAGGACACCCAAAAGGAAGGAGCACAACGATGCATCCAGCGAATGCTTGACCCCAAGAAGAAAGGAGTGAAGTGACTCACCAACTAAATCAATGCATGACAGGCATTGCATAATGAGTGAATGGTTCCAGCACAGGTGTGTCCTGAAGATATGGAGCCATCACAACTGCATATTGATGCAGGTATGAAATGAATGAATCGCCACTCCATCTCCCCATAGACTTCACAGTGTTGAATGGGACACTTTGCAGAAGATACTCAAGTGTCCCACCAATTCTAATACCATGTCCTTTCAATCCAGTGACACCAATGGACGTAGATGCATGGTCCAGCCAACATAGGAATTCAGATCTGGTCAAAGGTTGCTGACCATTCTTGTGCTTCCAGCTGAAGAGGGCATCAGAAGGAAGAAGAGAGTTGACCTGGAGATGATTGGACAAGGCTGACAGTGGGTCAAGGGACCCATGCTGTCATGCAAAATAGATATCCTTGCCTGTGGAGGACATCTTAGTGCAAGGCAGATGCAATACTGTTACCTTTGCACTGTGATGGTCTTGGGTATAATGAATGTCCGAAACCTTAACATGGATGGAAGGGTCAAATGTGCCCAATGAACGCACAGTGACTTCACTGAGGCATGCGAGGGAGAAAAAGGAGGTCATGAGACATGCATAAACTGTGGCATCTAGGGGCTGTGCAAGATCCAGGGTAGAATGGAGTTTGGCAATGATCTTGATGGTTAAAGGGTCCCATTTGGGCCGCTTTGAAGTAGGTAGAGCCAGACGTGCAGTGCCTGTCAAGGCCGCAGAGATTTGAGCATAGTCCACGCACCAATCTAGGCCATGGAGGAAATGCCAAGCATGTACTCCATACAAATAGTTCTCCAGCGTCTTCCCAGAATATAACCCAGCACAATTTGTGATGAAGGCAAGCAATAAGACAGAGGACGCAGGGCCCCACTGACCCTCAGGGATGTTACAGACATCGCAGAAAACATGGAACACTAGCAGACCACAACCATAGGTCTTGCGTGTGCTGGAGGCCAAGGAGTGACCTATAACTGTCAGAATGTGGTTGAGATCTGCATCTGAGAGAGGGATGGTTTCCCCATTTATCAGTGAGCATGAATGATGGTGCAATGGATGCCATAGGTGCAAACGATCCTGTGCTAGACAGTGTGGGTGAAGAGGGGAGGCAAGAGGGGTGAGCACAGGGTGGTAGCAACATGCTTGAGTGGTGGGGGAGGTACCCATTAGGAGAATAGGTGGCTGCATGAATTGCAATGTTTCAGTCCCACCAATGCTCATGGAGGCCTGACATGTTGTCATTGAGCCTACGCTATGCTGGCCTGTCACCCAATACATCAAGGTCTGTATCCTGTTGGGGATCAATGGAGGGGAAGGAGATGGGAATATTGGTGGAAGCAGGACAGGCATCAACAAGGAAACGCTGGAGGTCGGCAGGGAGGTCAATGGGAGGTAGGAGCAAGCTGTGGGGGGGGGAAATGGCCTCATGAAGGAGCATCTGCAGGGTTGTCCCTACTAGCAATGTAAGAGAGATGGAAGGAGGAACCACTACCCAGAGGTGCGAGTACAGAGAGTACTCACCTGAAAATGCAATTTGTTGCCCAGTTTTGACTGTGGCCATTCCTCCATCCCTCAACAATGCTGATGTTGTCACAGTGGATGCAGAGGTGCACTCCTGCAGGGGGAATCCCAAGGCGCAAGATGCAGCAAATGAGGAGCTCAAAACCAACAGCTTCCACCCATCCAATGTCATGTGTGCCATTGAGTGTTCGCCATCCTGGTAAGAGAGTCCATACATGCCAATGCCCATGCACAATAACTGTGACTCCGATACCAGAGCTGGCATTGGAGTAGCCATGGGCATCAATGATCAGGAAGACATGGGGTATCTCCTGGTGAAGTGAGGGACTGGACAATTGTTTTGTCCACCAGGTGAGGTCATTGTCGAGGTGTTTAACTGAATGGTAGGGCACGAAAGGATGATACAGTGGCTCAAAAAACTGTCCACATGTTTTTGCATTTTTTACTATTTACAATATTGTGTGAGAATACATAAAGACCTCAGTGACATGCTAATACCATATTGTAGTGCTGCTTCAGGGCTTTGGATTGAGCACCACATCGTGAGAATCAGAGGAGATATGGTGGAGATACAAGGCTTACAAAATCATGACTCATGCGGACAGTTTTTTGAGCACATATTAAAACTATATAAATCATCATTTATGACACCATAACAATCATGCCACCATTAAATAAATTATAAAGTGGTGTCAGTATGTCATTTTAAAACCATATCTAACTATACAAACCAAAAATTTCCATATGTCATGGTTATATTCACTATGAAAGCCACCCCCCCTGCTCAAAGGGATAATATCCTCTCTCTTTCCTATTCTGGCCTCTCTGCTTGTCAAATTTCCTCTAGAACTGGAGTATCCAAGTCCACTGTGGCCAAGTTCATCAAAGAAAGTCACACAGACAAGGAAAACTTCTGTGAAGGGTGTCCATCCAAGCTCACCTCTACTGATAGGAGGGCTATTATTCAACATATCACTACAGGAAAGGCTGATAATGCTGTCCAGGTCACCTATTACATCAATTCCACCATCACATTCCCTGTCTCTTCACACACTGTGAGAGGCATTCTCAAGACAGCTCATCTCAGGTCAGTAACAAGGAAGAAAAGGCTCTCCTCTCTATCACACATAAACAGAGATGACTAACCTTTGCCTTAGCCCATCAGAATTGGATTACATGGACTGGAAGCATGTTATATGATCATATAAGACCACAATAAATAGGATTGGGTCAGATGGCAAGGTATATATGTGAAAAAAGAAGGGTGCTAGTCCTCTCTGCATATGTGTGATAGAGAGGAGAGCCTTTTCTTCCTTGTTACTGACCTGAGATGAGCTGTCTTGAGAATGCCTCTCACAGTGTGTGAAGAGACAGGGAATGTGATGGTGGAATTGATGTAATAGGTGACCTGGACAGCATTATCAGCCTTTCCTGTAGTGATATGTTGAATAATAGCCCTCCTATCAGTAGAGGTGAGCTTGGATGGACACCCTTCACAGAAGTTTTCCTTGTCTGTGTGACTTTCTTTGATGAACTTGGCCACAGTGGACTTGGATACTCCAGTTCTAGAGGAAATTTGACAAGCAGAGAGGCCAGAATAGGAAAGAGAGAGGATATTATCCCTTTGAGCAGGGGGGGTGGCTTTCATAGTGAATATAACCATGACATATGGAAATTTTTGGTTTGTATAGTTAGATATGGTTTTAAAATGACATACTGACACCACTTTATAATTTATTTAATGGTGGCATGATTGTTATGGTGTCATAAATGATGATTTATATAGTTTTAATATGTGCTCAAAAAACTGTCCGCATGAGTCATGATTTTGTAAGCCTTGTATCTCCACCATATCTCCTCTGATTCTCACGATGTGGTGCTCAATCCAAAGCCCTGAAGCAGCACTACAATATGGTATTAGCATGTCACTGAGGTCTTTATGTATTCTCACACAATATTGTAAATAGTAAAAAATGCAAAAACATGTGGACAGTTTTTTGAGCCACTGTAAGAGGTGATGCCAAGCATGGCTTCAAGGCAGGTGAGATAGGCTCATCCAGCTGGAAGGACGAGACAGGTGTGGAGAAGTTTACCATATAGTTTTCACATGTCCAAGAGGACATGAGTGGGTTGAACAAGCCATGTGGAGATGGCTGCAAGGTACTTCTCCTTTTTAGACTCTGTGAGCCCCACTGTGAGTCGCGGCAGGTCCCATATGAGGCCAATAAACAAGATGAGGAAAGCAAAGAGAGCATCCTTGGAAAGTTCCCAAGGGAGTGGAGGTATGGTCAATGTCACTGAAGCTGCTACTGAAACCCACATCATCAATGCCTCGAGCAGATGTATGCTTGAGGTCCAATATGGGAAAACAGCAATCCTCACTGAATGTCTCCATGGAACTATTGTCCAATATATTGCCCACAAACCACAGGCAACCACCAGTTTTTTGGACAGGATGGCGATGAAGCCGATTGTGCAAGTTTTTCCAATGGGTATTATAGCTAGAGAGATGAGTGCAAGGTAAATGAAAAAACAAGTGGTCATCCACCCATTTTGTGAGAGGCCCAAGGCCAGCAGCATGCATGAGATATGTGTCCACACAAAATTCATCATCATCCATACATACGACTGCAGCAGCCCACTGAGAACAATGTAAGGGAATTGTGCGATAAGCCTCTGCAACATCATGAGTAGCACCCTGAGAACCAGGAGGAAGACTGTGAATGATACAACAAATTGTGTCAAAAGTGCCCCAAGTGCAGGCAAAATCATCAGAATTGATGGTTGAATTAATGGAGGGCTGAGGGTAACGAGGGGAAGGAGAGGTGGGAAAAGAGAAGTTTTGAATAATGTGAAATTTGCCAGGTTTGCCTGTTTTAGGAATGATAGACACTGGTGAGGTCTGGAACTTGCCAAGCAAAGAAGATAACTGGGAGCAAGAGAAAGGACCAATGTAACATCCCATGTGAAATTCCTGAGCAAGAATACGGCTGAAAGCATCACAGTAAATGGAAAGCAAGGAGTGATTTGAAGGGATCTGAGATATGGAAATGATAGGAAGATGGAGATTAAAACTGGTGCAAAAACCATCGCAAATGTCATGATACTGAGACCAAAGACCATGATGGACAAGGAGGGTCTCCCAGACTGCCACATTATAGGGACAGATTGCTGTCTGTCATCTGAGCTCAAGGGCAGTTCTGAGCACTGTGGGTGAGTGAGAGACAGCCAGAACAAAGGTGTCGCTCGTTGTGTGAGCGAGTCATGCATCCCCGCCCACGTTACCAATCAACACACAGTGGTTTGTCATTGGAGCATAGGAGTAGCTGCTTGTGGAGCCATTTGCTGACAACTTTGCATGAGTTGTCCCAGATGTGATCTGCAACACACTCAATGAAGGAGTGATGGTTGCACCCAAGACAAATGGCACACATGGCTGGAGAGTGCTGACTGTGTGCGCCATTGGAAAAACCCACAGAGCTGCTGGGGTTGGTGGAAGTTGTGGGTGCTGGGGAACGCCTGGATGGAGAACCAGAATGTTTCCATGTGGCATGGGAGTGATGAGAGCTCAAATTGCCAGAGGTATGGCAACCATGCCGATTGGTAAAAGCACCATGGGAGTCTGCGAGCAATGCATGAGAGTCCAGGCTGTGAAAACGCTGGGAAAATCAATCCAGAAGGATCAATCATAGATGTACCCCACAAAACGCAACACAGAGACACAAGGTCAAATGCACAACATGCAAATGATAACACCAAACACACAACACACAACCCACAACCCACAATGCACAACCCACAATGCACAACCCACAACCCACAACCCAAGATGCACAATTCCACTGATGGAAGTATGAATAGGTACCGAGATTAAAGAAAAGGACTATCAGAAAGCAATGCAAAGTTTGTGATTAGAGACACACCTTTAAATCAAACTCTAAATTTGCACAAGTATGCTCTGTGTGATAGAGGCAGTCAAAGCAATGTGACAACTCTGCCTCATTGAGGATGGATATGTTCCACGCCCCTTGAGGCAGAGGAATGGCTTGGTGCCAGGCACGACACTGTTCTTCCTGGTAAGTCAGGAGAGCACACTGTTCTAAAACATCATCAGAGGTCCAGTAGCTGTGCAGCATCAAGGCACCAAAGAAATTTGCAAGCATGGTAGCACAAGGAGCTGTCCATCCCCTCTGCTCAAGCAAGTCGATGTAGCATGGAACAGCTCTAGAAAAATCAAGAGGTTGCAGAAGATGATCAGCGATAACACCAGTAGACAGACAAGCAGTGCTGGCTGTAGTCCAGACAGTGGAGCCATCTGTACCGACTGTTGGGACCATGCTGTCATCATCCACTGATTTGAAGTCCAGCTGAGCATCGGCAATACCTTTATTAGTCCAGTAGTATAGTTCAATAAACTGAGCTTTGTCGAGTTTGCACAATGCGAAGTTGGAGACAATGAAAGTTTCAGCAGCACAAGACAGGTGAGGGCGGTCAGGGATGGGGATGTGGTGAATGCGATTTTTCTTTCGATCTTCATCAAGGAGAACTGCATCCTGCAAATCCTGGGTGATGCAACATTGGGCTTCTGCTTCAGCAAGTAACCACTTGCACTCTGTGGTCTCATGAGCAGCAACATCCAGCTGTAGTTGCCATTGAAGTTTGTATGCCATGTTAGTGGCGGTCCAGATGGTGCGCAGGATGGTAGCGGCCTGAGCATCATCAACAGAGGCACTGAGGAGAGGAAGACAACTGTCTTGAAGACTCAGAGAAGTAAAATCTGGGCACTGTTCAAGGTTGGGATCAGTAGTGAGTAAATGCATACTGAGCACAAAGAGCAAGCAGAATAGATTTTGAGATTCAATTGAAAGAATTGAGGAGTAGTCAGACAATGAACAGATGATACTCTAGTCCTCATGCTGAGCTGTTGGTAGCGAGGAGGAAACCAATTGCTTCAACATTACTCAGTCCCTACATAGACTGCATTTTGCACACGCGTTTGTGCCTCTCGCTTATGTAAAATTTTAGTGTGGTATGTTATAATCGTTACTAATATGTACCATATATGGTATTACCCAGGTGTGAGATTACGAGAAAATGAACCGTCATAGCCTGTTTTGGATGCCGGCGGGAAGTCACGTGACGTATCGGAGGGGGGATGAGCTAGATGAGCTTCGCAACACGGTTGGCAACTACCCACAGTGTATGGCGGTCGATGAACCTCCTTCATACATGGGGATGAGGACGGACTCCGAAAGGATTTTCTAGAGATCGGGTGGAATGTACACACTGGATCCCCATCCGCGCAGATGTTGCTACGAGCCAGGAAGACAATCCCACGAAGCGGATTCGTGGTCCCATCGATTTCAAGCTGGCAAATACCAACCATCCGTCAGTCGAAATTCAGTTAAGATATCACGATTTGTGTAACTACACGCAAGTGCGGAAAGGTAAGAAAAGGAACCGGTCATTTTACTCTGGCCCTCTTCGACGATTCGAGCTGGCTTGTACAATATCTCACAACTCCATGATAACTTTCTGCAGGAGCCATTCCTTAAACGATGGGTCGGATAAGACGATGGGAACCTTCACCTGGCCCATCGAGACGTTTGACTTGTCACATTTCTACCTGCGATATTCTGTGAACGTGCCTCTCTCCACGAGCCGGATGGTTGGCTTTCTTGCTCTCCCTTGCCAAAAAGCCATATGATACTCATCGTTCGTCATGAGATCCTCAAAAGTTTGTTGTGTGGCCATTTTCGCGTCCTTGCCTGTGAATATCAATTAGCGCAGTCGCGTGGAAGACTACGAAGCCAGTACAAACCTATCCCCCCTCCAATTTCTACCAAGTACCCATAAGTAACTGGTGTGTCTCGATCATCGGCCACAACAGTGAAATCTATGATTTGGCCGATCCATCGTGTAGAGGCAGATACGATCGCGTTCGTCAATTGCGACTCTGTACACGTTGATCCATACGCCAGCCCAAGTGAGCCACTGCCTCGGCGGAAAATTCAGCTGATAAACCTGGAATCGATGAAATCACAACTCACTCTCGCCTATGAAGATAATTAATGACGGGTAATCCGTCATCTGGCGCAAAACCTTTAACGGTGACCACATCGCCAATGCGGTATCTCCACAAGCCATTGCGGTATCTCCACAAGCCATTGCGTGTCGTCAAGACGGGCTCGTAATGGCCTCCAGTCACAAGTTCCCACTGCGGCAGAGATGAGCGGACAAAGCTGGGATGTAGTCAACATATCTTACGGCGGACAATACACGCTCCGAAGGCTCGTTGGAATGCACATCCAGATACTCGGTGACCCCATCTACGGGTACCACCTTGAAGTCGGTGTTAGGGTTGCCGTTGAAATATGGTACGGCGATATAACACTCTGAGCTGCCATAACAAGGAGCCTCTATTGCAACAGAAGGCCCGAGGACATGAGTAACCTTGCGTCGCTGACCGTCAGTTGAGTAGTAGACCTTCGACAATTGACGTGCCTTCGGAACAGATGCAGCAGCGGGACCTCCAGTGATCCCAATGAAACCTTTTCAAGTCAGGCCACACACGGGCTGCCCAACCCCGGATTCCAGGAGGCCCAATTTCGCGAAGTTCGGCAGCACGAAGAGGGTTTGGAGTAAAATGTTTCTGCGAGAAACCGTGAGCTGAATGAAATTTAACAATCAAGCGTAAATATGACCTCTAAAGGTTCTCGCAGATAGTTTAAGTTTTCTGTGTCCGGGATAATTCCTTTCTCGATGCAGTCGATGAGTAGGGTCCACTCATCCTCTATGTATTGCAAAAAATTGACGAATACACTGGCAAAGAGGAACCGAATGGTTGTGACCCGACGGTTTGCAAGTGCAAATAGCGTATTGAGGATGAAGAAAGCGCGATAGCTCTTCACCAAGGAAATCGCGTATGGACCATTTTTTCCCGGAACTGAAAGTTGCCCGGAGATCAACATGCACATGCGAAAGCAGGGCGATGAGCTTACCCCATAAATCAATTCTGTCCCTGTCGTGCTCGACGTGCCAGTTCATTTGCATTCGCAGAAACCCGACTGTTACCGAGCACACTGGCAACACCTTGGAGCTATGGCCGTCCTCGAAATCAATCTTCAGGGCTTGCCCAAAACCCAAAGAAGATGGTGATAAGGTGCTACCCTCTGAGTGGCGGAGCGACAAATATAAAGGATGATGCAAAAGGTGCAGTGCAGGTCGATATATCGGGAATGTTTTTGGTGCTTTTCCAGATGTCGTGCTGGACACGGCTAAGCAGTAGGGCAGCCCTGGGGCGAACAGGTTTTTTACGTCAGAGGATTTGCAAGGGGTGACAAAAAACTTGGCCATGAACGGCTTGTAAGGATCGTAGTTTGTGGTGGGAGCGAATTCTCGGAAGCTGCGCAGAAATTCTGTATCATCGTTCGAATTTCTCTGCGCAATAGCCTCCCGGAATTTTTCTAACCCGGAAGCATGTTGAGCAAACTGAGACACAGAATTTGGCCGTATAAACCCAAGCAGGGCTTGATTTAGGACATCTTTGAGCCGCTGGGAGAGTTCAGTGGACAAAGAGTGCAGGAGATTTGTGTCGGGACGAGACATTGTTAAGATATGGTGCGCGGTTGGATCGTGACATTATATAGCGCGAGTGGCCTAGCGTTGATTGTATAGCCTAAAGATATTAAACCTAAAGGGAAGGGAAGACGATGGTGCTCAGTACTCATATCATTGTGCGTCAGACACCCTTCCAGCCGACTTCTCATGATCCGTGGCCCCGGCTCTGAAAATAAGATAATGGAGTAAGTGGTACTAAGTACATCAAGTTGCCTGAGAATGTTCCCTGGCAGGTCCCTTCATCGGCACCAAATGTGCCAATGAGATTATGATCTCCCCTATGCATCTTTGTAAATAACATCAGAAATAGTCACCTCTAGCCTGAGCTCGCTAGTGATACGTATAGTATTCAAATCGGATTACTCATCGAAGGATCAAAGTCAGAATTGAGAAAACGGTGGTTTTCTAGTTTGTGCGTGGTTGTCAGCGGTCAACGAAACCCATAAGAGAGCTTCTTGTAGTCGCAAGGGAAGCTACTGAAAGTTATGAATGGGTCTATAATGATAGAATCAATGAATCATTTTTCGCACAACAACACAATGCCACATTATATACCTTCATTCCACGTCATATCCATGAGAGAGATACACCTGTTGCACGTCTCAAAATTACGGAAAAAAAAACGAGAAAACATGGTAATACCAAGAGTGGAACACCTAAAATTCCCCATTTGTAATGTGTGCTTCACACTGTATAGCTATTTAGCTATTCAAAATGGTCGTGTTATAACATGGCGGACATGTCAGGTGCTCGGTCCAGTTTTATTTAAATTGGAGAAGTGCAGTAGGAGTACTAGTGATGATAGTACATGAGACAAGTATTGGTGTCCGACCCGAAAGTTCGCAAGTCTATTTCAGACTACATACGGTGGTTCACAACCTTTATCCCCTCCATCTCCTAATACTTCCGTACTCACCTATATGAATCAACACGCTGAAAAAGTCCTCATGATGGTCCCTGTTTCAGCCGACCTGCCTGGAGATCGTGTGGGTAGAAAGTGAGAGTATATCATCTTCAACAAACAATTTGCACCATGATGCGTGATCCCTCCTGTTGTTTGCGTCTTTCGCTGGTGCGTTTCGGAAGCTGAGAGAAACTCTGAAACCACACACAATCAGAGGGCGCGACAACCAAAGAAGGGTCTGTCCCCGAAAATGAAACCTCTCGTCTCCTGCGCTCCTTTATATATTGTCGTACCAAGCGTTCCGTCTAGGCCAACATCTCGTCAGCCAATGTCAATGTCTACTAGCTGGTGTCTGCGTCACAGCAGTTGGTAACGTCCTAGCCACCTTCCGTGGTTAACGTTCACCTGAATCACCTCCAGTCGCTCGTTTCGACAGCTATCAACTTTTTTTACCACTCCAGCTTGTCTAAAGCTTTGCCTTCTAGTGCTTGCGTCAGCTCCTTCCCCTCACCTTTTCTGATCCTGACACGCCCAACTTGAAATACTACCTGCAATTTGGTGTGTCCTCGTATACACCAATATCGTTTGACACCGGGTGTCTGATCAAGAACGTATCAAAATTTACATTTAGGCGATAAGGAACCTTATCCTTAGCTCACTTGGCTTGGCTTATCTCCACAACTTACACCAAGATCAAGAACACCCTCAGCGTCAACAAACACGTGTTCATGATGGTTACAGGCGCTCAACCAGTGCTGCGTACCACCAGTCCTTATCTCTCTGTGCGCTCAGACTCTTCCTCATTCCACTGGCTTTGATTTTGGCTATAGCTCTCGCTGACTCATGTCAGAAATATCTAGTGCTGACGGCGCCGAGGACCAGCGTGTCCATACCAATGAGTAAGTGGCCGATTCCTGGCATCTGTCACTCATGTAACAGCAAGATAGGGAGAAGGAAAATGGCGGGCCTTCAGCGGACAAGTTCATAAATTGTCTCAGCGAGGCGACGAAGGTCCAGCCAACTCTGAACGAATTGTGAGTAAACAATAAGTCGAGCAATCGCAGCTGATGACACCCTACGTGCAGAGCGGATACTATGAAGAAAGTATTGGAAGTTCTCCAGCACTCGACGTTTGTGTCGAAGAGTGGCAAGGACGATCGATCTCGTTTCTGGGAGTTGTACGGACAAGTCGCAGAGGAACACGACAGCGACTTCCTCGAGCGGTACTTTAAAGACATGGATAGTATCTTGCTCTTCGTAGGTTTAGCGTGCTTGTTTTCGATCCATTTTGAGACTGATGTTTGATCAGTCTGGTCTTTTCTCCACTGTCAGCTCGTCTTTCATTGTCGCAATGGAGTCCAGTCTCAGTCCCGACCCCAGCAACACCACGAATGCCCTTCTCACCCAACTCGTGCAGATCGGATTCGGCAACTTCACTGCAGCAGGCTCCACGCCCGCAGACCCAGCATCTACGTGGTCGCCGCCTGCGTCAGTTGTGAGGATCCAAATGGTCGCATACGCAAGCTTATCTATGAGCTTGCTAGCAGCATTCGCGGCCGTACTAGGCAAACAGTGGCTCAGCTACTACAAGTCGAAGAGATATGGTCGCGGCTCACTGGAGCAACGAGGGCAGCAAAGACAGCTGATGTTTGACGGCCTCGCCACATGGTATTTCAACACTGTCGTTCAGTCCTTTCCCGTCTTGCTTCAGATCTCCCTTCTCCTCTTTGAGATTGCTCTCGCGGCCCACATGTGGTACGAGCGGCCCAGCATCGCTTGGGTGATCATTGCCATAATGGTCTCTGGATTTCTGTTCTATTCGCTGACAGCTGTGGCATGTTCGATAACTTCTTATTGTCCATTTCAGACGCCAGCGTCGACGGCGTTGCAAATGTTGGGCATCGACAGTAAGATCATGTCGTGATTTCTCGTGGTCGTTTCCAGTCTGAATCAGCATTACAGAAGTTTTATCACCGATCTTCGAATCGTCCTCCAGGTATTTCCGTCAGCTCAAGAAGTCAGCGTACGGTGAGCTATATTTTATTACGTGTGCACAGGTTTTGACCGTTTCTTGTCAGCTGTGCTGCAACGAGGGCTTGGTACCCTCAGACCGGGATGGAACCAATTGTCTAAACCATTGAGAAGTGACATTCTTATCTACTCTTACACAGGATACCCAGTGCTCATTTACTCCCCAGGCGCTGTGTGTGCTGCTAGCGAATTCGCACGACGCTCTCTTAAGTCGTTATCCACAGCGCTTCAGAAAGGGCTGCGTTATTTGGCTTCGCGCTCTTCGACAAATGCTGGAGACCTAGAGTCACAACAGGATCCGGATGCTTTGGTGAAGAGTACCAGCGACGTCGAAACACGCAGCATCAAGTGGCTGCTGGAAATATCTACGGATCCTGAAATATATATCGCGGCTGCCTGCTTTATTCCGCAGGTCAAATGGCCCCTAGATCTTGACGTCCCAGACATACCGCAACACGTGTCTGATATTTTCACAGGCTGCATCGGCTTTGATGGGCAAATTTTACCGTCGTTGAAGGAGAGAGCCTCTGCATGTGCAATGATCCTAAGTCATCTATACTACGGACGTGTTCTCGAGGCATATCCTGGCCACAGTAATTTCTTTGGCCGTGAGAGACAAAATGGCAATGTATTATCTGGTGCGTTGGATAGCGGCATAGTCAACCGCACGGTGGTTGTTACGAGTCTAATTTTTTTTCTCCAGAAAGTGTATCCTTCTTTATTCCAGACACCGGTTCCATTCCTGCCCTTGAGCCGCTATTACGTGTTCTTCCTTATCACTTTGTCACTGGGCGAGTGGAAGAATATGTAGAAAAATTCGCCATAGCAGTAATATCCAAACTGCTATCCTCTCCATCCTCTCCGTCGAATCAAACCATAGCCGACTGCATCTTTCTCGCTTGCGTCATGGTGGGGGTTCAGTTTGACAAGAAGGACATAATTCTGACTGATAAAAGGTGCTCTTGACTCATTTGCTGCTTCTTCTGCTATGTTTAACAAAGAGATCGCGTAGTGCTGTCTTGCCTCAAGTCACGCAGTCCCTTTTGGCGCAGTTCCAAAGGGTTCTCTGTGCATGGGATGGAGGCGATCTCGACAAAGACAGCACAGGAATCACACGCCGAGCATGGGGCCTCCTTGACATTATCTGTCGCATGCTTGAGCTTGCTCAAAGTCACTATAACCGTTCATTCAATACCATGCGAAACCTGGACGTGTGTAGGAAGATTTATTCACGAGCGAACTCATACAAGCAAAATGATCCGGCAGCTCTGCAAAATGATCTGGCAGCTCTGCAAAATGCATTGCACTTCACGTTCACCGCTGCTAAAGTTTCTCGGGACCCTGACTACTTGTGGAATCAGCGGTATTTAAATTCAGAGACAGACGATTCCCACTCGCCAGGAGAATTCGACTGGCTGGTGGACTACTTCGAGGGCATCTATTACGACCAGGAAGTGGGATTTGACATCCTTTTGGTCCTTGGTTCCATGAAAGTGCGCTTCAGCCCTGCTCAACAACATCGATTCATCGAGACCCTCGTCGCCTGCATGGGCAGTAACAAGCCTGTTCATTTTCGTTATGCCGCCCTCCGCGCTGCTCACACTGTCCGAGAAGAAATCGCCTCGATCAATGACATGGATGCGGGGCTGCGGGACATGGTTTTGACCAAATTATCCCCCGCTATCCTGACTACAGTTTGCCCGCGACCAGGTACAACACTCGCCGATGATCCTCACTACTTCTTCGATTTTGACCGCGATTTGTGCTATCTCGAACTGATATATGCCCTTGCGAAGGATTCCAACTGGCACCCCCATTTGCTTGGGGATCACCATATAGATTGGTGCAACAGCATGATTGAAGAGTACCGCATGCACCCACCACATGCCTTTTACCTAGCTGGCATCCTCATTCAAATCGCACCTGAACAGTCGTCGGTTACATCGTTCGATGCTATGACAGAGCAGCAGTGGTGGGACATAATGTGGGGCGCATGGTATCATGCCGAGTTTGTAATCGACGATACACACCTTTTGGAGTTCCTTTCCGTCCTTGCGGAAGGCATGAAGAGGTATATACAGATTGCTTCGGAAGATAGTCTCAGGGAGCTCGTTAGATATATGGATGAGATTCTCGAAGCACTGGAGGAGCGATATTCAGAGCAGGGAGAGGGTGTGGGTGTCATCGATGCTGTGAAAGAATTGAGGACTGTAGCCAGTGATAAGCTTGTCTGGTAAGCATTGAATATTTTTTTTGTATAGTATATGTATACAATATACCATTGATAAAACCAATTGCCCTCACTCGGCGGAGACGCAGGCTGTGAGTTTAGCCAGCAAGAGGATTCTTTAATGCACATAGCATCAGGAAACCCCTCCACTACAAATTTAGGCCAAGTATGTCAAACTTTCTCTGGTTCACGATAATATCAGTAAAATAGACGACTTATACGAAATAGGAGCAATGTAGAATAATGCAATGAATACACTATCGAGTCTACGTTCTGTAATTGTAAGAAATGATTTACGAGAAATACCCCAAGCGTTATAACATGATATCAAGCTATGTATACATACGACTTGATAGGTGATAGCTGGTCATAGCGAGCTACCTCCTATTTAGTGATGGGCTGCAGGTATAACAGATTGATGGTATATCACTGGGAGTTATGGTTATGGCAGTGAACAACTATTGTATCATATTTTCGTTACACTACTAGCAAGTGATACATTAATACCACAGCTTCCACCTCATTTTCACTGGGGATGAGAGCCTATGAGAGCTTGTGTCAGTACACAGCATGATGGACTGGACGCGGCTGGCACCGAGCCAGCGGCTATTCGGGCTGATATACTCGCAGCATGTATTTTGATTATACACCACAAGCTTCATTATGAGTACCAATCCAGATCGTGTGCTGACCAACGGACCAGTACTAAAGAGAATACAAACAGCGGTATCAGCCAACACGACGGCACAGGTTCAACCGTATGCATGCCCTTCAATCTCACTTATCTATGTGATCTTGACATTTTCTCTGCGCACCAAACCCAGTAACCGCCTCTCCCCCATCCTTCAAGTTGGGTCAGGCATGCGCTTCGACATCCGCAGGCCCCCGCAGGAAGGGATAGTGCCATCTACATGGTCACAAATCAGCCGCATTCCAGCATTGGAATTGCCCACGTTCAAGATTCTCATCATCTCGAAGGCATTCCCTTGGTCAATCGTCATCCGTGCGCCTACTGGGTCTGTAGTCACTTGCGGCGCAATCTTTGAAGAATTGCATAAACAACTACAAAGGCACATCGAAGACGTGGAGTGGGCAATCGTAGCTGATGATAAGACACGGACAGAAGCAATCGAGAAAGCTGCAGAGTCGAGGCAAGAGAAGGACAAGGTCAATCGACTGAAGAGAATAGATTGGCTGGGGGATACGTCAATGTTTGAGGGGCTGGAGAAAGACAAGGAACTTGAGAAAAAGAGACATTTATCCGGAAGTACGAGTGTCGCGGAGACATGGGTAGCGAGGTTTGGGAAACGGTAACGATAAGATATGTATCATCGATAGCATCATGAAGTTCCATAATACTTTTCTTCTCGGACCCCGTGTAACGACACAAATGTTAACGTTACAGACTCAGTGACCATCACTGAGTACTGAAGCATGATATGACATCGTGTCACAGCAGTCGGTGATGCATATGTCCCAGCCACCTTCTGCGGTTAACGTTCACCTCCAGTCGCTTGTTTCGACAGCTATCGACTTTTTACTACTCACAGCCTGCCTAAAGCTTTGCAAACTGATAATTTGGGAAAATCCAACGACCGGTTCCGGGGTTGCGCTGACCACAGGAGGTGGCGTGCTTTTCAGTACAAGACACAGGGTTCATCCATTCAAGTAACTTTCGACGTTCCTCGGCTATGCATGTTTGAACAAGTTGAAGAGAATACTGACAGTCAGCGACTCACCCTGTTCGTGCACTTTTTGTGCAGCAGAATCCTTCTTCAATTCCTCAACTCCTCGGTTACCTTCTTGGGGTGCCCGACTGACCTACTGAAGTTCAAGCTTCACTTCCTTGAGCGTGCATTCACCTCATGCCCTCCCACGCACCCCCTTGATCAATTATCCTGGACAAACTTTCAGCTGTTGCGTCTGAATACTTAGAGAGAGCGCAGAGGAGGGTGGGTCGAGAAGAGCGAGAGCAGACCCTATTTTGCAAATGACTGTTCTGAGAAGTCAGAGTAGTACGTCATCAAAGAATACTACAACCGCTCCCTCGAGGCTCGCAAATGAGTAAAGCGGACACAACACTGGTGGTGAGGCCTTGAGGCCCGATATCTGGACAGTGAAAAAAACAACCCTGGCAGCGTCGCGTTAAATCGGCGACAAGTGCCCCAATATTGGTCTATTTGTAGTAACTCCGAGACCCTGCATCGGCGCCTATTGAAGATGATCGATAAGATTGATATAAAGCACGAATCAGGAGCCCATAGTGAAAATATCTCCCGAGGACCGAGAGCCCAGGTTATTTGCGGATGCCAACTTTTTTACTATGGGCCGACCATCAAGCTCAAGCGTGGCACATCGATATCAAGATATGATCGTGTGGTATCACAGAGGATATATATACTATGGTGCTACAGTGGGTGTGGAATATATATGTATGAATACATTATACTAGACTATGGAAGCCAAGATGCAACAATCGTTACGGGTATAAGAACTTCGAGGCCGAACGATGACAGCGAAACGATCAAAGCAAATCGACAGTGCACAGTGCACAGTGCACAGTGCAAGTTTGTGCATGTTTTTAAAGTTAGATGTGTTAGCGAGGCAGAGAGAACAAGGTATCAGATGTCACACCACTCCCACCGGAACAGATGGCGTACAATGGACAACACTGGAGAGAACTTGAAGTCAGGCTCACTTATGGTATAGGTATCATTTCTGACTCTTCAGGCTCGAGCGGTGGTCCGAGGTGAATGCGAAGAATGAGAACACCGTCCTCTAAAGCGACGGAGACGTCTTCTTTCTGAAGAAAATACGCGCTTGAGCGGCAAAATCGTAGGGGAATTTAGCCTACTCGCCTGGGTATCATGACGAACGGGAATTACTCTGCGAAACTTGCCGTACTTGCGTTCCTTGAGTGCTATCAAACCGTCTGGAAGTGGCTGTCGGGATTCTCCTGTGATTGACACTTGTTTCACACCGTTCTGCAATCTTGATAATTCAATCTTCAGGTCGCTCTTCTTCACTCCTGGAAGTTCAAACATTGCTGTTGTCACTCTACTCTCGCTGCAAAAGAAGTAATCGGCTCTGGGTATAAATGTCGCGTTGGATGGTATAGGCGGGATGACATGGGATGGGCTGATAATGGCGGTTCTACAATAAGAATCTTAGGAATGCATCCCTTGAGTGAATCTCATGCACGACCACTCACCTATGTAATGAGGCAGGAGTGGGTGTTCGGGCTGCTAGTCCCGACGGATCTGGTGTGTAACTGCTACTTGGATATCTCACGTGTGGATTTGATTCATTCTCTCGTCTTGGGTTCGCACTCTGGGGGCGACGATATGGATGCACCATATTGTGTGCGGGTGGTAATTTCGCTCGCACTGGTCCGACTGAATGCACACCACTAGCAGATGGTGGGCCAGAAGGCGGACTAGTGCTAGCTGCCATGTTGCGCATCGTATCAACGTGTATATGAGGCCTCATATCTTGGGACATGACATTTTGTCTTCTTGAAGAAGTCCCTGACACTGATGACACACGATGCAGGTGCTGTGGGACCTCACTTCGGCGTTGACTTGGAACAATGGGCACGTGCTCTTGAAGCTCAATCATAGGAGGCGATATGGCGTATATATTTTGAGGTTGTTGCTGTGGATTCAAAGCGTGTTGAGTAGGCTGATGATGATCAAGCTGCTCTGGAATGTCGTTGTTGAGTTCTGTCGTCTCCCATGAGTATGGTGTTGTGGGTGTTGGGGGCATTGACATATTTCCTTGGGTGTATGGGTACTGGTAAGACATTGAAAAAAAGGGGCGATGCTCCCCCGACGCGATTTTATACCGCGCCAATACGTGACTCAAAAGCTTCCGCGGATCCGAATGATGTGTCACGGCGGGAGGACCCCGGAAATCTACAAACAATGTTGCATAATAAACTGCTTGTCAATTTTTATGAAGATAAGCTCCTATCTTTTTTGGCGTGAAAAGGTGAATATTTGAATGATAACAGTATGTCACAAAAAGTGACTTACGAAATGGCCATTCACCACGAATAGACCGTAACCGATAGTAGAGACAGGGTCTTTGGGAGAAACTAGGCTGTTGAGGTCTGCCGAATACAAGCTTTGAAGGTATTCGTAAATGCTACTCATCTCCGTCGGTGTGCGGGGTCCTATCACGGAGTGCGCCGATAGGCGGTGTAGTTCCATACTTCAATTCGGTACAAAGCACATTGTTCGAACTGTTGGGACAATGGCTGATGGGCATTATTACATACATGAGCTCTCCAGTAGCAAAGATAGCATAAAACGATGTATAGTAGCGCTAGAAAAGTCAGAAAGTGAAGATACGACCTTTCATCTGGACTGTCAACCCTCCACTGCCGCAGATGCCTCCGATGGCGTGGCTGAAACGCTTTGACTGTCACGGCGAGACCGAGGAATCAATTGTCCTGTCTCCGCGACGCGTGCGCCCCTCTCAACACTCTCATGTCTGCTCCGACTCCTGTTATTCCTGATACTCATCGGGTCCGCGAAGCGACGCTCAATGCTTCCTCGTGCGTTCGAACTGCGCCTACTTAGAGGGACCACAGGAGACAGTGAGTGGTCGCGATGCGGTATGTACGACACCACAGGCGACCCGTACGAAGAAGATAATGATGGCGGTGGTACCGAGGGATAGGACAACATATGAGGAATAGTGAATGTTGATGGAGGATTTGACGTCAGCGAAGTAGACGATGGTGGCGTCGTCATGTGCGTCCCATTACTAACATAACTTGTAGGATTTGTTCCGATAATAGGCGAGAACGGGAATGGTGACTCTGTTGAGGAAGGAGAGTGCGATAATGGTGTATTGCTTTCCGACATATTGTTCATTGGGCGCCGTATCGAAGAGGAAGGTCGGGGGATAGGGACACCATGGATCGCTTGTGAAGGTTGCGTCACAGATGTACTGGGCGATGATAGGTTGGACACAGATCGTCGATGCGTAGGCTGTGAATACGGATCTGCCGAGGACAGACCAACAAGGTTGTCGACTGACAGACCGAGCTTGAATATGAGAAGGCATGGTTAAATACACACAAGACAGATCAAAAGTCTGTGCTCACCCGTCTCCTATGTTCAAGGAGCTCTTCACGATACACCTCATTTAACCGCGATACTCGTACATAATCTCTTTCTGTGTCAACTAGGCGGTTGCGCAATTGCTCGTTCTCCCGTCTCATGGCTTCCAGCATGACTTCTGCACTTGGGACCATAGGGTCCCGACCAGCCATAAACATCGGAACTCCCACACTATGGTCTGGAGGAACGGTGGTCCCATTTGTCCCGGATTGCTGTTGCTGTTGCTGCCGCTGCTGCTGAAGTCGAAGCGCAGACAATTCCCGACTAAGCCTATTCACATGAGATTCCGACTCTGCCTCGAGCGCGTTTTCGAGTTGAATTTTCTCCTCACGAAGCTGTACACGACATGAAATAAGTCACTTTCAAAGAGAGAAGTGACCCCTTACATACCTGCTCGAGTTTGCGAGACAATACGTTGATGATCCGTTCTTCTTCTGCTTCGTAGGCATTGATGAGATCTTCTTCTCGCTTCAGGCTGCTGTTTGAGCTGGTGGTGGACAGTCGTCGGATAGGAGAGTCCCCCATGATGTCGAGCTCACTGTACATCTGATACCTAACTACTGAAGTCTCTGGTGCTACGCCTTTTCAAATACGATGAGATGGTGGGTGTTGACTAAGGAAATGGAAAGAAACGTTGTGGATTGACATCTAAGGCGGAAACTTATCCTCCGGGTGGCTTAGAAAGGCAATCATGAACCTGGTGCACTGTGGAACGCCGTTTTTCGCCTTCAGATCATTGAAATTTAATCTTAAGCGAAGCGAAGTATCCACATGAATCACAATGGAGGTATCAAAACAGTACGAACAAAGAACAAGACTAGTGATTAAAAGTCATATCCCTCCACCTTAAACGTCTTTCCATATTGAAGGTAGCTATCCATGATTTTCAGGATCGGGTCGGGTAAGCCCATGCTCAGAAGAGTAAACGAGATCTTGGCATGACCATGAATCTGCCCTAACTTGAAGAAGCACCGCGCAATCAGCGTTGGATACTGTAGGCAAGGTGAGCTATTTCCCTAGGCAAAGGGTGACATCACGCACGGTCATCTCCGTATAATCAGCATATTGGTATGCTGCTACTCGTATCGCAGCCTGAATTGTGCGCGTGATGTCTCCTTCTTCGGCATACATTTCTAAAAGTTTTGCCCATGGCTTTTGGGAGTAACGCGAAGTGTCTAGGCATCGCTGATAAGCCTCTTTAGCCTCCTCTTTGTGGTGTAAGCGTATGCCTAGGTCTCCGAGGATCTCCCATTCGAGGCCAGTTTTTCGGTACGCAACGTGCTGTGTTTTGAAATGTGCGACTTCTGCTCGGAAGATAGTCCACACCCGCAAGTCCTGGGAAGATACGTTGCATTCAAAGAATGACCTGCCAGTTGTGGAGTGATTCTTACCTCGTAAAGGACCATAAATAGATTATCTAGCCAACGCTCACACAGGCGCTTGTTTGTGAATGAGAACGTCTCCTGACTAGAGTTTGACAGCTGCGATGGCTCAGGCTCCTCCCCGGCAGCAGCCTGCACTGGCTTCTCGAGTGTCATGCCTTGCACGCTTGCTGACTCTGTTGCCTCGTCCTGTTCCGCAATGCCATTACGGGTGGACTCTGCAATTTCGCGTTCCGTGTCAGATTCTGAAGACACACGGATGATCGGGATGGCGGAAACATTCAGCCCATTCTCAATTTCGGGCTTGCTCTCCGATTCCGAGAGGGGGCTAGACATCCCTCGTGTAGACGCGTCATCGTCTGCGAGCGTTGCACTCCCCGCGGTCACAGAGCCATCCTCGTGAATCACTGTGACATCTTTGTTCACATCTCGTCCACCATTGGTGGTCACCACTTTTTGAATGTCTGCCTGGGCCTTCTGCATCCGGTACTCTTCTTCCATAACAAATACTACACTCCGCGTCTTCAGTAACTCGTCCCAGCCTATATCAGAGACAAGACGTGTAAGCAGGGAATAGGCCCTCGCCCACGTTCCACGAAGACCAGGCGCAGGAAGGCGAAGGAGGGCAGGGTCGGCCTGAAGACACATGAGAAGGGAACAGCAATATAATAATCCCACGAACCACATCATCATCACTTTTAATTTTTTCAGGGAGGATGTCGCCGATCTGGCGCTGGAAGGGCAAGTGAACTTTGCAGGTACAAGAGCACGGTGAGCATCACGTCCATTGAAAGTGAACATTGGACATGAGTTCAGCGTTAAAAGCGCCTGTGGTGGCGGTCAGTGAAATTGACCGCACTTCAGAAAGCTGCATACCGATTCGTAGTCTTTTATATCGATGTATAGCTCGGTGAGCTTCTCCCAAGTAACAAATTCACTCGGTGCACAATTAACAGCCTCTCTCGCGAGTTTTAATGCCCAGTCCGGCCTGCCCTTAGACCGAAGGAAATCACTTTGTACGTGAAGAAGGGTGTAAGAGTGTGGAGTATGCTTCATGGCAGCAGACATGATCTGGACTGCCTTTACTTCCTCGTCTTGTCATAAAAAACGTCAGACGGGACGGCATCCTGGAAAGAGGAAGAAACCAGCGTACTCATTCCAATGTAACTTCTTGCCAGAAGCGAGGCAATTTCCGGCTCCCGTGCAGCCAATTTCTCGAATAAGTTGGCTGCTGGCTGACAGCGACCGCTGTCGCTGAAGTACTTCATTACACCCGCAGTTAAGTGGTTAGAAACCACAGTAGCAACCTGTATCTCGGGGTCTGATCCGACCTGCCATCCTATATTGGGATCAGCTTCTTGAACAAGTAAGGCGAGAGGTGTAAGTGTTCACCCTTCATAAACAAGGCCTCAGCCGCCTGCAAAAATCGGAGTTCGCCTTCAATTGTAGTGATAGGGATCAAGCTTGCGGTAAGCTTCCAACCAGTAAGTCGGGTCATCAGAGTAGAGGATAGCCCGAAGCAGCGCAGAGAGGTATGTTTCTTGCCACATTTCTGGAGTCGCTTCGTGTCTAGAGCCCACAAGCACAATCAATCAATAACTCGATACGTGACACAAGGGAATACACACCGCTCGCCACGAAGATCTACAACATAAGCAACGACACCTCCTGGGATCTTCACATCTACACGGATATCGACGCGAGAGAACGCGTTGAAGCAGCTTTAACAAAGTATTCGGCATATATGGAGGCATAAAGGTAGTGAGAACAAACCAATAACAGCCATTCCTGACTTTCCATGCTGTACTCTTCGAAAACCAAGCAGAATTGTCCTCGATGGAGTATGTGAGAGAATTGATGTACGCGGCGAGTGATGCTGAAGAGGACGCATCCACTCCTGACACGAAATGATACGAGCCAATCTGACCAATTGTTAATATACGTGCCGCAGATCCCAGATGTTAGAACTCACATCGCGTTGTCCAGTACGTCCTGTACTCTTCACAATATGACAGAGGTCTGGGGGGCCAAGTTCGCGGAATGTTGCTGTTATGCATCGTTAATGTTTCAACAAGTAAGGCCGAAACATGCTTGACTGACCAAGGCTTTCGGTCCTTGCCGTCAAAGCTTCTCCAAGTTCAACCTGAAACAGAGTGAGCCTGACATTGGTCCGCAGCCATGAGAATTATACCAACCTCGAACAGCTCTGGGACATCTTTAAAGGACGCCGTTGCGTCCGCCATGATGATCGACGTCTATTCAAAGCTGTCAATTGGCGTGCCTGCCACCTATGCAATATCAAGGACGATGTTGAAGACGCGCCATATTTGTTCCTGAGGCTGTTGCCAAACAACGCCTGTGGCTGTGCGACCTGCTCTATGTTGAAAGTTTCATCTTCGACAAGTCCTATCAAATGATATCGTGGTTGAGATGTTGATGGGCGGATGCACGCAGCCATGCCCTTGCAAAAGAGAAAATCGTTATTTCCGGTATACCTTAAGTCACAATCATCGGGAGAACGACTGACTTCCCCCAGGCTTCTATTCAGGTCTGACTCCGGGAGACTAGGAGGAAGCACTCATTCGGCCATCACTCAAGGCAAATTCTTCAAGAAGACTGTAAGAAGCCGAAACCAGGGGTACCTCACGATCGCTCCCAATATTGTTTATTGCCTACGCCGTTTCCGCTCAATTGGCACCGTTGCGCGTTGACACACTACCCACTGGGCACTACATACTGCTCGGCATCGTATAACTCGCCCCAAAATGTGCAGGCGCTGCTGTCTGCATGGCTTTACGAACGTGCTCTTCTAAACGACTCGTGAGTGAGGTGTAAACCACGGGAAGATCAGGTTCACGGAGAGCTTGGCCAAGCAGGGAAATGAGAACGGTGAGTAATAGTTTCGAGATCAAGGGCATCGACAACAAACGCCAAAGCCGGACACTCATGCAGTCTGAACTGAAGCCTCCGGAGAGGTCAGAGATACAGGGCCTCCATGTAGTCGCGAAGAGACTTGTAGGGGTCTGGAATGGCAGGATTCTCTATGATAACATCGATAGTTCCGTTAATATCCTCCTGGACACTGAAAATTGCTCGCAAGCTAATAAGCAAGGGTCACAGAGAAGTGTCCGGTTGTGTGTTTACGCGAGAACGAAAAGGTTCCTGCGAGCCGTTTCGCGATATAGATATGTTCTGTCACCGTCAGATAGACCTCTGATCCTTTCGGCTACAATGAATGCGACATGTTTGTTTATTTTGATTTTATTATATATATAGGCTTTCCGACGCCCGCCATACCATGCAGCTAAATCATTCGACCCTGCTCCTCGCCGTCCAGCAATTCACGAATACAGTTGAGAAGTTCTGACTTCAGACGATCAAGACACTGTTAATAAGGTCAGACAGCAAGACGTGGATGAGGAGAACAAGATGCTGAGATTGGTCCCAGTCCGCGTTGAATAGTTCCTGTTTGAATGTCAGTATGGGGTAGTCCATCTATTTCACTTCATGGCCTCACTCTATTCCATCGAGGTGCGCTTTGAAAACTTTGGAATCCTTGCTGTGTCACTGAACTACACTTACCTTTCAATTTATATGTGACTGCTGCTAACCTAAGAGCACTTGCCGACGAACAACCCCTCCCCGAAGCCCTTCGTCGCACGTCCCCCTTAATGAGGGTACTTTGTTTTCCGGCACTGGGACGCCCAGATCTTGATGCTCATGGAAGTCGCTGCAATCCGAGCCAGCGTTTGAAACTGTTAGGGCTCTATCATGGTTAGCACTATCGCCACAGTAAGCTAGCCAACACCTCGTGCGTCGCGAACTCTAGCCGACGCTGACAGTACTTTCACGAAGGCAAGTGTCATCCTCGCTCTAAGTGGTGTTTTCGTCACTACGGGGTCTCCTGTGTCATACTTTGACTCTACACCACCCGCTCCGCTCAGTGCTCGCACGTCTAATGAGATGGTGGCAGCAACACCCTCCCCAGAAGTGCTCACCTGGTATCTCACATACCAGCAGGCGCATTTCCTCTGTTTGGATAGCTTTCCGGATATGTTCTTCCAAGCGACTTGTGAGCAGGATGTGGATCACGGGTAGCTCAGGATCACGAAGAACTTCCCCAAGTAGGGATATCAGATCAGCAACGACCTTGGGTTCGCATTCATCAAGGCCGTTGATGACAAACACTGGAGGCAGGCACCCGCTTAGTCGGAATCGAAGGTGCCAGAGGGGTCGGTGAAACAATGCCTTCATCTGGTCGTGAAGAGACTTATCGGGGTCTTGAACAGCAGGATTCTCGTGGATAGCTTTGTGCACGTCTTTCTGGACGCTGCGGAAATTGCCTGGCAAGCTGGTAGGCAAGCATCGCAAAGAAATAACCAGATGTGCTGCGTTTTGTGTGCTTGCGAGAGAAAAAGAATGTCCCAGCGAGACGCATTTTGATATTAGTCGGTTCCGTCACTTTCAGAAGTCTCATTCTTTGAGCCATAATGAACGCAACAGCAGACTTTCCGTCGCCTGCTGTGCCATGCAACCAAATGATTCGGCTCTCCTGTTGGTTGTCCAATAACCTATCGATGTACTTGAGCAGGTCCACCCGGGTCCCTTCCAAACATTTCGGATGAGATTGGTGCTCAGGAGAATCATATTCAGTACCCTTGACAGCGACCCGTGACAGCTTCTCCCAGTTACTCATTGACAGCAGATGACTACAAGTTGTGGGAGGGAATGAAAGAAATCAATGAAGTACTAGTTGGGTTCGACAGTATGGTTGGAAATTAAATGAGTGATGGCCACCTCGGTCGAACGACGACGAGTACGAAGATGGTTATACAAAATGAGACTACCAAAACTGAGTTTATGATAGAGTGACAATTCGTAGCAAGATCTGCTCGAGTTCGAGTGGATGGATGTTTAAATCGTTTACCGCGCTGCCGCCGCCGCCGGCCTTCCCACATAGGGGATTTATGGTACACCGGCCCTGGTTGAACAAAGGAGTCACCACCGGCATGCGTCCGACAGTCCTGCATTTTTCAAGTTATTTTCGAGCAACAAAATGAAACCTTCCTCACAGATTTACGGTAGTTCGAACACTCGAGTTATCGCTTTGCAGATTCATCGCAAATTAGCCGTATAGTCTCCCCCGGTCAGACCAAAAGGAAACTTCACAACCGCGTGTCAAGTCATTGTGACCGTCAGTCCAAGGCGCCAAATTTACTGTTATTGACACACCCCGGCGCCATTTCGTTGATTGCATTCAAGCCACGACAACAGTCAGTATTCGAAAAATGGATCCACAACAGTGACCCAAGGCAAATCCTCATCATTCAGTCCACTCTCTTCCAACACTCGCTTCTTCACTTCACGGTCTGCATCCAACTCCCTGACACGATAGAAATGAGACACCGTTGACTTGGGATCTTCTCTGCGCCTTCGAGCCAATACGATGACTGGCTGCATACTCCCTCGAGGATAGTCGGTGCCGACAGCCCACAGATAATCGATGTTTCTCTCTTTGAGCCAGAAATTGAGCTCGGTGGCAAGGAACTCGTCTGGTGAGTGCTGGTATGGGTGGTCTTGTTTCTTTAACCATGCGCGCGCTTGCTCGAAGCTGAACACCCAACCGGCTATTTTGAGCACCATCCTGAAGGGGGGAATAACATAGGCCTATGTGCGCACAATAAAGGACTGCATGAACATACGACCTGTCAGGAAGGAAAAATAAGATCAAGTTGGGGGACTCTGGTTTAGACTGACGTTAGTGGGTGGCGACTCACAACGCGACCTATTAAAGTAAACCATGAAAGGTCACGTGCTTGCCACCGTGTATTATGATCAGATCATTGATCATTGGTCTATCAGACGAATACGAGGTTCTTCGAAATTTCTACCGCCGATGGCATTGTTCTTGAATCTCCAGGATTTCTTCAATTCCACTTATCCCAGGGTCGACCCTTTGAGATATCTGATCCGATTGTCGCACTACCTGTTCGGCCACTGATCATGATCTGCTGGAGGCGGCCAACTTTTATCAGCCGTTGGGCATTGTCTTTCGAGCACCAGTAGGCTCTGATCCGGTTGTCGCATCAGTAGGTGGATAATTATCGTATGTTTTGGAATCGTTTGACATTGTTCCTCGACTCGAGGCTCCGTTTGGAACTCAAATTTAGTTACTTATCTGTTTGCCGATCAGTGGGCGGCCAACATTCGTGGTAATTGTTCACATTTGTTGCGGTCCACATACCATCACTAATGCTTCTTGCAATCATAGCTACTGATTGCGTGATCACAACTACCGAATGGAAGCCCTTAGTTGAGTATTTTAAAAGACATGTTTTCTTGCTTATCGAACGGCCATCCAACATACCGTAACTTTCTCCCCCAAGTATTGACAGTGAGTTAGCGTATCCTTCATTCCGAGTTCTGACCATGAACACGCAATATTCTCAGCCGCCATGCCCAAAATTCCTCCTTGGAAGCAGCGTTTGCACGAGTTGCATCTCAATCCTCCTCATTATGAGGCATCATGGTACGGGCCACTCGATAAACTCGCCAATCATGTTTTTGCGGTAGATTGCTTCATGGTCAAGCCGCAGCCGAAAATCAGGCGCAGTGCTCCTCCCAATGACGCAAATAACGGACAGCCGTTTGAAGATGAAGGATTGTCTATAGACTCCATGGGTACACCAGTGATCCCTGACACCTACTTCGAACCGGACTTCATTATCGTTCATGTGGGTGATGACCTGAGACATTCCATTGATGTGTATCGAGGTGAAGAAGAAAGGAGGGTCATATCAATCAGCGGGCGTCCAGTTGCATGAATACATCGAGGTTTTGGCTTCGAAGGATCCCCATGATGACTTTGTGGGTATCCTTGTGCTTGGCGGGAAATTCTATTGTTTCAGTGTTCATGGGAGGCGAGCACCGACTCCAGGTGGAGACGGTTGGGAGACGGCAGATAATTTAGAAGGTGTTTTTGAGAAAGTAGCCAAAGGTGTGTTAGGAGGGAAAGGAAAACGTCAGCCGCTGAGCATGTCATTGATAGCATCAGTCTGTACAGTAAGATCGTTGCGGCATTGGTGTCCTTTGAGCTATTAGAGCACTCAATGCATTACCATTGCTAGCACCCGAAGTAAGCGAAGCAGTCGAAATTTAGCAGGAGCAGAATATATCCATCTGAGTACGACAACGACATTTGAATCAGCATCGGAAAAATGGGTCCGCAACAGTGACCCAAGGCAAATCTTCATCATCGAGGCCGCTCTCCTCCAATACCTGCTTCTTCACCTCACGGTCCGCATCCAACTCCCTGACATGATAGAAACGGACCACCGTCGACTTGGGATCTTCTCTGCGCCTTCGAACTAATACGATGACTGGCTGCAAGCTCCCTCGAGGATAGTCGGTACCGACGGCTCATAGATAGTCGATGTTTCTCTCTTTGAACCAGTAGTTGAGATCGGTGGCAAGAAACTCGTCCGGCAAGTGCTGGTGTTGCTGTCCTTGCTTCTCTAACCATGTGCGCACTTGCTCGAAGCTGAATACCTAGCCGGCTATTTTGAATACCATCCTGGAAGGGGGGAACGATGTAAGCCTTTGCACGTAACAATCAAGAACGTACTATAGGTCTTCTAGTCAGGTCCTGATAGGATGAAGACAGTCGTTCCTTTTTGAATTGTCAGTGACGGTCGGAATTTAGAAAGTAGTGGCATTAGTTTAAACGTTTAATCTAGGTTACCGTAATAGGTACATCGTGCGTCGGGCATATGGTGTAGCTGGTTATCACATCCGCTTAGCATGGCGCTGACTGCGGGGGGTCTCCGGTTCGAGTCCGGATTTGTCCACATTTTTTGCTGTTCATAACAATCCTAATAAATATTGATATTTTATCGTCGTCAGTTTTCCTCCTCATCGACATGATCCCGCTCTGTCATCTCGCGGGTAAGGATCAAATAACATTGTCAATTCCATCTAACGCTGATTACTCTCCTTTCGACGCCCTGTGTTTTCTCCCACACAGTGTCAACCGTCCCTCCTTTATCTAAATCTCGTACACATCGCACAAACTCTTCTACTCCGCCACCCACACCAAAGTAGAGCACTTTTGCAGCTACAAGGCAGAGGTAATCATACACGTCTTTGGGGCCTTCAGCGTTACAAGCACCGCGCATAATAGTAGCAAGGCTCGGAAGAGACTCCATCCGGTATATGGTCTCGGATGTTAGCACCAGGTTGTAGCTCCCACCTGAAGTTCGAAGGTCGAAGGTATCCCATGAGCCAGAGAAGAAACGCAAATGGAGTCCGTAAGTCATCAAGGACTGATGGAATGCGTCTTTGAGACCTTCCGAGATGTTCAACTCCAAAGGAGAGTCTGCCCAGTTCCTCCGACTTGCGGTATGTCTCTGCTGCCTCTGACAGATCTGTATCTCAGGTGAGACGTGAAGAAAGAAAATATCTGAATTTTACGAACACCAGGTTAGAATAATATTGGGAATTGTCACCAATTCCAACACGGAGGCGTTATAGTCTTGGAGGTGGATATGCGTCTGATTCTGAGAAGGTGAGGAGGAAAATATTCGATGAAGAATGTACAGCGACGGTATCGATGTGCCACATCCGATCTGCGAAGCGATTAATGAGCTCTAGAGTACCCTCAGAGCAAAGAGATAGATGCTCACCTCCAGCACACGCTTGCCGCTTACATCAAACTGCGAGCTTATGCCGTCCAGATAGCTAGCAAGATCAAGACTACATTCCCAAGTCTTCAAGCCGCCCTCATAGACAAGAGGCACAAGGTCAGAGGGTGCATCTAAGAAGTGCAGCGCAGGCCGTGCGCTGATAGACGATTGCTCCAATGCATCCGGGTCATCGGCATGTTGTGAAATCAATTGAAATCTTGCATCGAACAGATCACGGCGTGGAAGTGAAAGTTCACCTCCGCTGGCAAGTGGGATTGTGATTGGAGAGTAAGATATTTTGGATGGTAGGCTGTTTAGCTAATCCTTGCGCCCACATCCAGTATCAGTGTTTACAGAATGAAGACGAGCAGTAATTAGACGTACCACATCTACGAGAAAAAGCTCTGTGAATGTGTCCGGGACGACTGCCTGCATAGAATCGGGCCCCTTGTTTTGTGTTGTGTGATCTACATTTGTAGTATCGTCCTCCACGTCGAAGTTGAATCTGAACATTTTGCGATGAGAGATCTGTATAATAAGGTTCAAGTTCCCTGTAGCTTGTGGCTGTGTCTATTATTGTATTTCCTTATCCTCGAACCTCTTGTCTCTCACTATAGACGCCTTGACTACGTCATCTTATCTGTGGAGGCCCATTTGGTTTCCCTCTGACTACACGTTCCGGCTTCCGTGGTATAAGAAGTGTCACATCCAGTATCAATTTGCTTTTAACCACCACAATGCGCTTTTCGCAAGTATCGCTCATTCTTGCCGCAGGGTCTACTATCATACCATACGTCAGTGCATGGGGAGCAGTAGGTGAGTATGGTAGAGTGTCGCGTTTGTTGAAAAGTCTAATTCTCTTGTAGGTCATGAAGTCGTCGCGACAGTTGCTCAAATGCATCTGCATCCTTCAGTCATGCCCATCCTGTGTGACATCTTGAATTACAAAGGCAACTGCCATCTCGCTCCGGTCGCTGCCTGGGCAGACAAGGTCCGCGGTCTGCCACAGTACAGGTGGACAGCCCCCCTGCACTACATCGGCGCAACAGATGACTATCCTAGCGAGACTTGCGCTTTCCCGGGAGAGAAAGGCTGGGAGGGTAGAAGGAATATCAACGTGCTTAGCGCCATAAGGAACACCACAGGTGTTCTGGAGGATTACATGGACCTGCGTAAAGCAGGTCTGACCACTGAGAGCGATGATGATGCAGCGCAGGTCGCACTCAAGTTTCTCATTCACTTCGTTGGGGATATGCACATGCCATTGCACCTCACAGGACGTGACAAAGGAGGGAACGGAATCAAAGTCTCATTTGACAGTCGTGTAACCAGTCAGTTGTTCCTGCTCTTATCTTTCCTTTTTCTTATCGGCCGCTATAGACCTTCACTCTCTGTGGGATGGCCTCCTCATTGCGAAAAGAATCCGTACAATACCCTCCAACTATACTCGCCCTCTGCCGCTTCCCGAAGTTGAGACTCACCTTCGGGGCACCATTTACGACCCTTACATCCGTCGTATTGTCTGGGAAGGTATCATGGGCAAGTACGAGGACGAGCTCGACTCGTGGCTAACGTGTCCCGCCGAACCTTCCGTTCAGTCCTTGCAAACTCACTGGGAGCAATGGCTATCTTGGACTTTTGGGCGTCGCATAGGGTCCTGGCTTATGGGTTCACGTCTCACAGGTGGAGGTTTGAACACCGATGATGAAACCTTGTGTCCATACCATTGGGCAACTCCCATCCACGCTCTGAACTGCCAGATCGTGTTCCCGAAGGCCTTGGATGAACCACCATACAACCGTGTTTCCTTCTCTGGGACTGACAATCACACCTGTAGCTCATCCAATAACACACCTGAAGTTCACTGGACTTCTAGGCCGAGAAAGAACCCATACCTCGAGCTCGACACGCCCGAGTATTCCGGGGCAATCCAGGATGCATGGATTGTTGAGAAGTTGATGTCTCAGGGTGGTATCAGACTTGCAGCTATTCTCAATTGGCTCTTTGCAGATATGGAGGGCTCGATTCTTTCAAATAGAACTTGGAGGTTGTAATTTGAGTATACCACGTACTACCTAACATAGAACGCCGTGCTGTAGCAGGTTATGTCCAAAACATAACATATTCTATTGACATAACAGACATGTTTCGTGTTTAAGTACATACTCCTAGACCTCACCAAGGAGATCCGATGTTACAGTCAACCTAAAACATAACAGTAAGTAAGGTGTTCAACATGACCTCACAACAACACAACATAAATCAGAAAAGCCGATGTTTTCTTGTCCCACGCAAGGCAACACCCGCCGGACCAACGAAAATGAATCAAAACGACGCATAGACGCATCTCTTGCGAACAAGAGCGGCCCGAACGAACGCGCAACTACGGGAGACTCAAAGAATGGATGAACTTGGTTTCGTCTTGCAAAAAAGGGTGTACGATATTATAGCAAACACTCACCCTTTCACAACCAACGCGTCCCGGACGAAGAGCTGCTACGTTTACCTTTAAAAGCAGTAGTTAGCATGTTATCCTCTCCATAAAACGAGAGAAGCTGATCAGGATTGAGAGTTATTGGTAAAAGGTTGTCCACAAGAGATTGTGTCTCTTTCGGAAGCAGAACTGATTGTATCATCACAAAAAGGAGCGCTAAAGCGCCGGCATGGAGACAACTTCTTGCTCACCTTGATCCGTTTGATCCATGCGACTGGGGGACAGGAAAACGAGAGCGAGCCATGAACATCATGGCATAAAAAAATCGCGAGCAGAAACTGTATAGGTGTTTTTGAGTCTCCGCCAGACTCCGCTTCATCATCAAGCTCGGCAAGCGAGCTTATTTTTCATGAACCTTCACCATCATACACGGCGTATCATGTATGCCGGCCAAGGTAAGCCTCACGACCTATCTTTCTAGATGACGATACTTTCCATCCTCGAGTCGGCGACGGTCTCCAATGAGCCATCACTCGTAACATGCATCACCAACTGATTCTCATCTTCATTTCTCCGTGTTCATCTGCATCACTTGCTTACTCTTCTTTTCTCTTCTACAGGTCTTCCTGTGATGGATGTATAATAATGTAGTACTGGTGAGTGTTCCGCCATGATCCTCCCCTTTCCCCGAGATGCTCTATAACATACAAGCATATGTCCGATTTTTATGATGGACAAACTGTTCTTCCTGAGGGAACGCATCTCATCGTTGTTAATTCTTACCTGACGTCTCATTTTCTAGGTACTCACTTTGTGACTTCGTCGTTGGTCTATTGACCTAGTACTTTCTGTATTGTTACTTGACAAAAATTGTATGATGTTGGTTAGGTTGACTTGATAGACCCAATGGAAACATGCTGTCGTGCTTTCTGATTCCTTCGCGCTTTTGCGAGAGGAACGCTCTTGAAAAATTGTCGTAAGTGAAGGTCACGGACTGCACACACTCGTCTACATTTTGAGCACACTTGTGTGTGCCATATATATCGGGACGTTATATGCAACATACGGAAACTGCCGTCCGCGGGTAAAACAAGGAGCAAAGTAAGAAAGTGAAAACTACTGGCGATATCTAGCGTGATCGAGACTTGTCGCAAGCGAAAATCCACGAGTCAGGGATGGGCGCTTGCACCATTACCGATATATATAATAGTATGGAACATAGGCAAACTGCCGCCCGCGGGTAAAACAAAGAGCAACACGGCGGGAAGCGAAAACTACCCGCGATATCTAGCGTGATTGAGCATACTTCCACCTAGTTTCCATCAATATTGTTCCGATGTTGACGACGTATGTGATCATCCAGACCGCAGTGACGACGCGGCAGATCATGTTCTGAGAGGAAAACCCTGCAATCAGCATCGCTGGGGTGAAATGCATGAGACCAGAGAGAGCCTCAAATGACGGAACAACTCACCAAATACGAAACAATGCAGGGAGCAAGCGACGAAGAACATGGGGGTGACCACTGACAACAGGTAGGACAATACGAAGTAGCCGCCTAACTTAAGTTGCTGATCATATTTATGTCAGTCATGCAATCGGTATGTCGATGATGACCCTTACCTCTTGAATCCAATGCCGATCGGTGTGTAGCCAACGTATCATGCTCGAGCCGGATGTCAACAGCGCGATCATAGCGAGTATGAGGGATATAAAGAGCAGGCAATGAGGAGCGGGTGATGTATAGTCAAAGTATGACACAGGAGAGCCGGTGGTGACGAAAACACCACTCATAGCAAGGATAACGCCCGCCTTTTTGAAAGTATGTCAGCACCGGATTCAGCTCGCGCGGAGCGGGACAGCTTACTGTGGTGATAGTACTGGTCAGGATAGAGCACAACCTAGTTCTGACGGTTTCGAATGCTTGCTCTGATTGGAGGGACTTCCAATGATCTTCAAGATCTAGGCGTCCAAGCGCTAAAAAACAAAGTACTCTCGTCGAGAGAGACGTGCAATGAAGGGCCTCGGGGAGTTGTTCTTCAGCAAGAGCTCTTGGGTCAGCAGTCGCATCATATGACTTGAAAGGCAAGCGTGGTTCAGTGATACAGCAAGGATTCTTAAATTTTGAAAGCGTACCTGAGTGGAACGAAGTGAAGGCATGAAGTGAAGTAGAAGAGTACAGATGTCGGACTAATGCTCATACTGAGAACCGATTATAAGGAAATGGCGGATGAAGCTGTGGAGATTTCTAGATGGTGGACAGCCCCACTAGTATGTGATCAACGCGGGTCAATATCAAATTTCAAATGAAGCTACGATGCAGTGGATAGGGATTTGAGACTCTCCAGACCGAATATTTCCTAAAAATGGCTCGTTGCGCTTCGGATCGGTGCCTGATGGGGATACACCTCCCATGAAATGAAAGGTAAGGTAGTTCTCAGGCGCGTTCATCAGACCTCACGTGATGTGACAGGTCTGTGACGACTGCAAGGATAATTGATGCCGGACAAGCCGAAAGGCAGAGTTGTTCATCTGAAACATGAGTGATAGTAACAACTAATTACACTAAAGAAAATGTATTGTAGTGGGTGAATATAAACTGTCTAGAGTAAAGGACTGTTAGCCAGATGTAAGTATATGTTTGATACCATTGAACTTGAATGGTTTCATTATCAAACTCATGCATGATGGCATCAGGGAGTACACGATGACTGTGGTAGCGCTTTGCGGCCCATGCTGCCTGTTGTCCATTCGGACCCTTCTGATATGCATCCATGAACCTCTGGGATCTAATGGAATATCTGTGGAATGATAGATACTGGTCAGTACGGGATGAAAAATGGTTTCCAAAGGACAACATACTTGCACATTGATTCTGGTGTGACTGGGTCAGGGGCCTTGATCACATTGTGTTCTAAATCAGACTCCTTTGATGAATGCAGAAATTTACGATATCTGTGTTTTGCGTTGCCCCAGCATTAAATTATACATGTCAGTTCCACAAAAATTATAAGGTACGATCTTACCTGGTCCTCGTTGTATGAATCAGTACTGACTCTCCTCTTCTTCCATGGTAAGTTGGCCATCCAGGCCATCACTTTGCGCTTGCACCCAGCCATGCTCAAGGCAGAATTACTTACAAGCTCCACCATGGCACATACACAGTACTTTTCGGCAAATAAGTACTCTCCAACTCAAAATTTCAACATAACAACTCTTCCTGTTGTTATCTCGGAAAACGGAAAGCGCTCGTAATTTTTTATCATTTTTCTGCATCGTTGTGCGATGCAATATTTTTTATATGTATCGTAGTTGAATTGTGATGTATATTTTATCTACTTGTAACACTATTGTCACGATTTGTCACGTGAGGTCTGATGAACGCGCTTGAGAACTACCTTAGCATGTTCATGTGCACTGCGGAACTCAGTTATAATTGTCTTCCGATGAACATGCTACCTTCATCATCTTCCTAATTTGTGCGTAAGGTTGGAACTCACAATCTTGCGCACAAATTAGGAAGCTACTATTATATATATCGGTAATGGTGCAAGCGCCCATCCCTGACTCGTGGATTTTCGCTTCGCATTTTATTCCCGTGTTATAGGTACATGATGCGTGGATACTCCATCCAATTACGACTGTCCATAACCAAATTCATCAGAGAGCTACTGCACTATACAATGAGAAATGATAAACTCGTCCCGGATTAGGCGTGCTCAATCCTACCTACCTCAGTGACTTGCCAGCCTATTTTTATTGCTGCACTTTTCACTACCCACCATCACAGGCCCATCTTCATTTCTGCAGTTATACTTAGACTTTTGTTCCCGGACACCTTGAATTTTTCAGCACTGTCCTGGACTCTCGGAGGACTTGCATAATCTATTTATTTCGCGAACACCCTCGAGCTTCATCTGCTAGCAGCAGTTACACACATCATTATGAAGGGATCCGCTCGCCAGGGCCCGGAACTGGTTAAGCACACTCTTACAGAGAAAGCTTTCAGGTGATGCGAGAGGGTGCAGAAGGCTACTAAAATTTGGAAGACAAAGAAAAAAAGAGAAAACTTACATGCATGAGGTAGCCGCAGCCCGCAGGTGCACGTGGGGAGTATGAGTGAATATGAGTGACCCCGCGACAGGGGTTGTCGGACATTGGCGCACATATGCTATTAGGACCAAAGAAATGAAAGAATAGACTTACCACGGAAGACGCAAGATGGAGTTGAATGCGGGGGGTGCTAACAGGTATGTAGGACTGAAAGCCGGCGGCAGATGGAGGAGCATCGTTAGCTAGGACATAGCAAGAGGCGTCGGAAGAGGTGTGGTACTTATGTATATGGATCTTCGGATCTTGGTAAAAAAAATCATGTATGTACCGGTACGTACGTATAAGAGTTGCATCAGCTGTAGTAGTATATGGTACATGAAGTGCATGAAGTTCAAGTAACTTCCATCCGCCGTTGCACTTGCTTAATCGAAATCGGTCGTGAGACTTGAGAGTCCTCTGCAGGGCGCGGCTGCAGGTGTTCAGTCTACTAGTCACCGTCCGTCAACAATCATACTCGTACTCGATCATTTTACCACAAGATTGCGATACATCAAAGCGACCAGAAGCAAAAAACTATGAATATACAGTATTGAGTTTCGATTCCGGTCAACTATGGGAAGAATAGCTCCCACCCCAATAAGACGATCCATTTCCAGGAAGCCCACAAGTTTCCAAGTCTTTTCCACCGAGCGCTTCCCGAATCGTCGAATTCGTGCTCTCCAAACTCTGGCACCTCGTCATCGTTGTCCCAAGTGAAGCCTCCCGACCATGCCTGCCCTTGAATAGCGTGTTGAATGGGATGCGCGGAGAACCAATCTGTCCACTGCTCAGGGGACTGGGTAAGGACGTGAGCGATCCAGACGACATCGAAGCGTCCAATCCAGCGCTGGCTCCACCCGAAGACACAGGGAACTCGACGATGTCTGCTGGGGTCGTTGGTAGCAACCCAGGTTGTGCGTGAGCCAGAAAAGCCTTTGTCTCCTCAGCATCGAAAAGTTCTGGAGGGAGCTGTTCATTTTCGATGTCTGACTTCCGCCTGTAGAAAGATGCGATGAACACCGAGGGCGTGTGCATGAAAGAAGTTGTACGTACGCGTTCTCGAAGCCGGAAATGGTATCTTTAATGCCCTCTGTACCCAACGCTAGTGTGCCGTATGGCAACTCGCTAGAACCAGATGATCTGAAACCTTCACCGACTCCTCTCTGCGTCAGATTCGTCAGACTAGCGCAACGTGTACACAAGGATCCCGTACCGGAGAAGAGCAAACACACGCGCCATCCGATCAACTGCAAGGATCTTATTTTTGATGATCTTTCGCCTCGCTTCTTCGTGATGAGCTACTGGTGAAACAACATTTTCCTTATCAGACTCCTCGAGCTTCTCTTTACTGTGCACAGGGACAAGCATATCCGTGACTATATGCGCCGCTCAGTTCTGGTTAGACGCTCCAATAAGCTTCGTGAACGTACTTTTCTCTCCTACAAAGGGTAAACTCCATGTAAACACGTCCATGAAGTTAGATAGCCAGTACGGATGAGGCGTGCAGTTAAACTGCCGAATGGTCATCACGTTGCTCTCGTACTTCGGGACGGCGGCTTTTTTGTTGTACACGTCGAGGTAGTTGGGAGTAGAAAAGATTGTCGTGACAGAAGGGAAGCCTGTGGTATGTGTCTTCCGGTACAAGCGGTATCTTTTGAGCGACTACATACATAAGTAAAATGAACGGCTGTGCAATCAAAACATACCCGGCATCTTGCGCTTCATGTGCGCGAATGATCGAAAGAAGATGATGAACTAAGAGGTAACTTGGTATCTACATGTCGAAGATTAATTGCTGTACATCGGGAACCTGAGACGACTCACGTGAAGAAGTAGGAACAACCACGAACATGATTATGAACGAAGCTTTCATTCATCTTCTCTTGCCCAAAGTCTTCGACAGGAATTGACCATAAAATATCGCACATCAGCCCGTGTGTCGGAGGCTCACGGAACAGGTCAATCTAAATGCGATATAAATGAACATGGCGTCATTGAAGATCCGCGAATGGACGTACCGCTCTGATATCATCCAAAGTGTTCAGCTCTGGTGAAAGACCGGCGTGGATACATAGGAATTGCTTGCTCATGATGGCAGCAAGGAGAAGTGCACAACAGGATTCCTGCAAGCGTCCTTGTGTTTGCCTAAATGGCGTTAGTGGCGGATTCGTTTAGAGATGGAGTGACTGAAACATACATTCAAGCTTGAAAGTGAATCACGTGTGAGATGCTGGCGTAGGAGAAGGAAGAGGGTATCGGTATACCATGCAGATCATCTTGATTAAGGGACCATAGATATAGAACACACTGTATGATGGGATGAAGGTTGAGTATAAACGCGGGCGCAGCCGATCAACAGTAATTCCCGGGGATAAGGTACTGCTGACACTTATAACCGCGGGGTATGAATGTGGGAATGCCACCGTTATTTGATATCTCTTCGAACCTCCAGTCAATCCGTTCTGTGATCACGAGACTGGGAGTACGTCGTTCTGTTTCCTTCCCGCCCGCGTTTACGCTAACGTGTACCTAGTTTGATCACACTGTCTAGGTACACTGATATAGTCCGTTCTCCGAGGCCGAGGTCTGATCTAGATCTAACATACGATGATCAGTAATGCATCATCAATTGAGAGCGCATACATATTGCCCATAGACATACTAGGATTATGCCCGCCCTCTGCCACTGCTTCCTGAGGGTGAGAGTCGCCTTCAGTGCACCATTTACGACCCTTGCATCCGTCGTGTTGTCTTGGAAGGTACATGGCCAAGTAGTACGAGGACGAGCTCGATTCGTGGCTAACGTGTTCACTCCAACCCTCCGTCCAATCCCTGAAAACTCGCTGGGAGAAATGGCTATCTTGGACTTTTGGGCGTCGCATATCATCTTGGATTGTGGGGTCGCGTCTCATAGGTGGAGGCTTGAACACCGATAATGAAACCTTGTATCCATACCATTGGGCAACTCCCATCCACGCTCTGAACTGCCGGATCATGTTACTGAAGGTCTTAGATGAGTCACACAACCATGTTTCCTGCTCTGGAATCGATGATCACACCTATAACTTGAACTCATTCAATAGAACTCTCGGGGTCCATCGGACTTCCAGGCCGAGGAAGAACCCGTACCTCGAGCTCGGCACGTCCGAGTACTTTCACGGAGCCAATTGACACATTCCGTGTCGTGCTTTCAGACTTCCTGATTGTCGCCTGCTTTGTGAAAGGTGCGCATACATCTCCACTTGAGGTTTTTTCCCACAATTTTTCACACTAATAGCCTATCTGCAAAATCACTGAAATGAACGCTTGACTTGCACGCGTTTCGGGCGCTCACGAACGCTTACGACTTCAGTAGCACACTCTGAAGATAACATGGACTTGATTTGATCTTTAAAATAATATAGGTAAAACAGACAACATGGTGCAGTTGAGCCGCAACGAAACAAACAATGTAACTAGTGCAAGTCTGAGCGCAATGCACGACACACCTGGTCACTGTGATTGTAAAAAGCTGAATCGACTTGGGTGCAATAACGACTAAAAAGGTGCGCGAGCCGACTGTATGGCTCCCAGAAAGCGCCTCGGAGGCTCGTATCCGAATTTCGCATTTTCAGATGGCGGCCGGCCACTGTGATTCATTTAAGAAATGCCGTTCTTAATGATTTTTGGCTTATTTGTTCTTGATCCGTCGTGTGTTCAGCCATCATTAAGTTGTGATTAAGCAATGTAGACTTCCTGATGGCCCTACATACTACTATCTCACGTCGTAATCAGGCAATGATCAGTGATAATTTTTCTTTTGTCCAAAAATCTATAATCAATCTCATCTCTGTCGTTCTATGCCTTCGAGGCTAGGTGGCGGGAAAGGCGGGAAAAACTGATGGCATTGCATAAGCTTGGCTAAATACAGACGATTCAAGAGTCTGGGATGTAAAGAGTGGAGTATTTGGGCAAAAGCCCGAAGGGCTTTTCGGCCTGGCGCATGTGATCGAACCTAGGGTTTCGAGGTGAGCTGTGGGGTGGGCGGGTACCGATCAGGCCACCCTGCGTGAAGCTCGAAACTCCGGAAGCGAACACGGTGCATCAGACAAATGATACAATACGAAACTACTACTATGCAGAATGATCTTGAATGTGGAATCGTTTGTCTGCATCCTGAGAGAGGGAGTGGTGGGTGGGTGCGCAAGAATGAGAAAAGGAGAGAGAAATGGGTGCGCAGATCAACTGTGCTATACGACTGACGCGCGACTGACTTGGTAGGAGGCAAGGAAATCCTGCGCCACATTTGCTTACTCGTGCGTAGACTAACTTCTGTGCTAGCCGAGGCACGAGGCTAGCGCAGAAAACCATTTACCTCACTGGTGCATGATTTTCACCAATCGGCAAGCTGCATCCCTGAACCGTAAGCATTCGTAACACATCAGACTTCTTCCACTACTAAGTGAGAACTAGGGTGTTTGACAGATACATGCTTCAATGGCTTTACTCACTTGGGTAGTATACAGCAGAATCTGCTGTAAAACACTGCTCGCTTAGGGCTCGAGTTCGAACAAACCGTGAGAGGTCCGAATAATAACAGGGTACCAGACACCGTATAAATACAGCTGCCATAGAACGTATGGATGCCAGCCAAAGAGCCTTCCGATCAGTATGTCTGTCCCCTATGATAGCCCCACCGCCGGGAAATTAGCCAGCACCAAGATCTTCATACCAAACACGGTCTCAACATGGCCATGGCCCCGTTGTCTAAACCAGTACTACTCTGAAGTCAAGGTCGAATCTGCTGCTTGGTTTTCGAGCTTTAAAGCCTTCAATAGTGCTAAAGCACTAGATGCCTTTGAATGCATCAATTCTGGTAAGACGTGGCACATGATAGTCCTGTCAACATGTTCAGGTCATTTGTCAGATCTTGTTAGTTGTTTAGGTCACCCAATCGCGAGCAAAGGTGAGCTACAATTTCAACTGATAACTTACTGAGAAATATATCTGCTGGTAGTGCATGTTCGCAGCGTTTGCGACGTAATGAGAATTTTCTTTGTCATAGATGAATACTCGGATGTATCAAAGCCAAGCGATGTCCGCGAACAGAAGAACATTGTCATGGACGCTTTGCATAACCCCTATAAACCACGTCCCAAAGGAGAGTGGGTCGGTGGAGAAATCGTACGCCAGTGAGTGTTTTGTTGTCTGATAATCAGCCAGGGACTTATCTCACCGACAGATTCTGGGAGCGCACCATACGAGATGCTAGTGCGCAGTCACAGAAGCGGTTCATCGTAACATTCAACTTGTATCTAGAGGGCCTGGTGCAACAGGCAATTGACCGAAACGAACATCGCATCCGTGATATTCAAAGTTACATCGATGTGCGCCGTGACACGGTCGCAATGAAGCCCGTATTCGCGCTTTTGGAGTTGGGCCTGGATATTCCAGATCAGGTTATATCCCACTCAACAATCGAGACCATGGCTATCGCATGCATGGATATGATCTTTATTGATAATGTCAGTAATTTTTCTGCGGACACCGCGCTAATGACACTCATAAATGTATGACAGGATATTGCATCCTACAATATGGAGCAAGCACGCGGAGATGCTAGTCACAATGTGATAACTATTGTCATGCGTGAGTTTGATACGGACGTCCATGGTGCCATATTGTGGGTGGCAGATCTTCATATGGAAACCCAGAAAAGGTTCTTGCAGGCGATGGCAGCCGTTCCAAAATGGGGAGAGCCCATTGACTCGCAGGTGAGAGAGTACTGTGATGGCTTGGGAAACTGGGTGCGCGCGAATTATGAGTGGAACTTCGAGACCGAGAGGTACTTGGGCACCAAGGGTCCAGAAATTCAGAGAAATAAATGGGTGTCACTGATGCCGAAGGACTGCCTGAAATCTAAAGAGATTGGACCTGTACATGTTGATAGCTCTCTACTTTAGAACTTATGTGTTTCATGGGCAAATGAAGATCTGGAAAAGTCCTCTGAAAAGTGTTCGAAAAGGTTCTGGAAATTGGCCCTGTTTGCACCTATTACTTCTCGAATTTGGCCACAGGTCTGATTTACGTTGGAATATGACCACCCAGACTTTCATAGCCCGAAAAGCTGCCTGCCGCACCAAGAAAGACGCTACTGCAGTCATCTTGGCTGTTTTTTTTAATCGGCATACTGTCTTTTGTACTCTTTGTAATTCAACCTACCACGAGGCCGCATCGCCAACGCGCCCTAGCTTCTTTCAAACGTGCACTACCAATGTGTTCGTTCCCCGGATGATCATCGATCATACATATGTTCTGCTTGCACTATTTAGGCTACACTTTTTCCACAAACACTTTCACTTCCGCCATGTTCAAGACTGGGAGAACCTAGATCCATAACCAGTCTGGACTATGATCACGATGTGAATATAAATGACGCACTGGATTGGGGGGCGTGTCAATCGCTACGAAGACATAAGTCCTGATCCCTGTCAGTAATGTCGCAGTATTACCCATTCGTTATAGATAAAATTTATGCCCGTCGGCAACGAAGGTTTGTTTTTGGTTCGGGCATGCAGCTGTCGGCAGGACTTTTGGACTGTTCAGCTTCATTGTGATGTTCTTAGAGATCCGAACCATAATAAAGGTATAGAAGTCTTGCCTTGAATAGAGGCAGCACGATCGCAATAAAAATGAATGTGAAAGCTTGTTATCATGATCTAACCCATACATGTGGACTCATTCTTACCTTCCAAATGTCTTACAGGAGTCTTGAGAATATTATTAGATCACCGATAACTGTCATGAGATTATATGACTAAAAAGGTTTGTAGGCGCTGGTTCGTAATATTTGAAGATCGAATATAGCCTCCTGGATCATCGAGATTATGCTCTCTAAACCCCGCCGCCTCGTCAAGGAACTCGTCGTCGTCGTTCCAAGCGAAGCCTGCTGATCATGTCTGCCCTTGAATGGCGTGTCGAACGAGGTGCATGGAGAACCCATATGTCCACCGCTCGGGAGACTGCGTAAGGATGTTAGCGATCCAGAAGATATGGAAGTGTGCACTCCAACGCAGACTCCACCCGGAGACGCAGGGGACTCGACAATGTCTGCTGGGTCGTTGGTAGCGATCAAGATTGTGCTTGAGCCAGAAAAGCCTTTGCCTCTTCGACATCGAAAAGTTCTGGGGGAGCCGTTCATTTTCAATGTCTGACTTCCGCCTGTAGAAAGATGTATGAACACCAGGAGCGTATTCAGGGAAAGAAATTGTACGCACGCGTCCTCGAAGCTGGAAATGGCATCTTTAATGCCCTCTGTACCGAAAGCCAGCGTGCCGTATGGGAACTTGCTAGAACAAGATATACTCTTAAGCTCCGAAACGTTCTCCGACTCGTCTTGGCGCGAGAATCGTCAAACTTGGAGCAAGGATCCTATACCAGAGTAGATCAAACACACGCGCCATCCGACCAACTGCAAGGATCTTATTTTTGATGATCTTTCGCCTCACCTCTTCGTGGTGGGTTACTTGTGAAACAACATTTTCCTCGTCAGACTCTTTGAGCTCTTCTTTGCTGCAAGTATTTAGCACAGCGACAAGCATATCCGTGACTATATGCACCGCTCAGTTTTGAAAAGACGCTCTAACTAAGCTTCGTGAACGTACTTTTCTCTCCCACAAAGGGCAAACTCCATGTAAATACATCTATGAAGTTAGGTAACCAATACGGATGAGGCGTGCGGTTAGACTGCCGAATGTTCATCACGTTGCTCTCGTACTTCAGGACAGCAGCTTTGTTGTTATACATGTCGAGGTAGTTGAGAGCAGAAAAGATCGTCATGACAGAAAGAAGACCTGTGGTTTTTGTCTTCCGATACATGCGATATCTTTTGAGCGACTATATGAGTATAATGAACGGCTGTACAATCAAAACATACCCGGCATCTTGCGCTTCATGTGCGCGAATGATCGAAAGAAGATTATTTCGCTCTAAGAACTGACAAGCAGCTTGGTAACTGCATGCCGAAGATTAATCACTGTACATCAGGCACCTGAGACGACTCACGTGAAGAAGTAGGAATAACCCCGGATGTGATTATGAATGAAGCTCTCTCTTGCTCAAAGTCTTCGACAGGATCCGACCATAGAATATCGCACATCAGCCCGTGTGTCGGAGGCTCGCAGAACCGGTCAATCTAAACGAGATATAAATGAACATGGTGTCATTGAAGATCCGTGAATGGACATACCGCTTTGATATCATCCAAAGTGTTCAGCTCTGGTGAAAGACCCCATGGATGCATAGGAATTGCTTTTTGATGATGGCAGCAAGGGGAAGTGTACAAAGGGATTTCATGCAAGTGTCATAGATGCGCTCTGAGTACTTGTGCTTGTCTGAATGGCGTTAGTGGCGGATTCATAGAGATTCGAAGTAACTGACACATACATTCAAGCTTGAAAGTGAGATAACGTGTGAGATGCTAGCATCCATGATTGCCACGGAGAAGGAAGAGAGTATCGGGATACCAGATCATCTTGATCAAGGGACCATATAGAACACACTGTATGATGGAGGTCGAGTATAAATGCGAGCGCGGCCGATCAACATAATCCCGGCTGATAAGGTACCGTGTCGTACCCCGACGCTTATAACCGCGAGGTATGAATGTGGGAATGCCACCACTATTTGATATTTCTTCCCTCAGTCCGTTCTCTGAGAGGTAAGCCCCACAACCTATCTATCCAGATGCTCACGATCTTTTCCATCCTCAAGTCGGCGACGGTCTCCAATGAGCCATCACCCGTAACATGCATCACCAACTGATTCTCATCTTCATTTCTCATGTTCTTCATCTGCATCACTTACTTACTCTTATTTTCTCTTCGACAGATCGTCCTGTGATGGATGTGTATAATGATGTAGTACTGGTGAGTGTTCCGCCATGATCCTCCCCTTTCCCCGAGATGCTCTATAACATACAAGCATATGTCCGATTTTTATGATGGACAAACTGTTCTCCCTGAGGCAACGCATCTCATCGTTGTTAACTCTTGTCTGACATCTCGTTTTCTAGGCACTCGCTTTGTGACCTCGTCATTGGTCTATTGATCCAGTACTTTCTGTATTATTACTTGACAAACATTGTATGATGTTGGTCAGGTTGACTTCATAGAGCCAATTGCAATATGGTGTCGTGCTTTCTGATTGCGTCTTGCTTTGCGAAAGGCGTGGGTACATCCCCATTTGAGGCTTTCTATAGCCTTTCACACTGGCACAATTCAATGCGGTGTAAAACGCTCTTGAAAAATTGGCGTAACTGAAGGTCACAGATTGCACACATTCATCTACATTTCGAGCACACTCATGTGCGCCATATATATCAGGAGGTTATATACAACACACGCAAACTGCCGTTCGCGGGTAAAACAAGGAGCAAAGTAAGAAAGTGGAAACTACTGATAATATCTAGCGTGATCAAGGCTTGTCGCATACTTCCACCTAGTTTCCATCAATATTGTTCCGATGTTGACGACGTAAGTGACCATCCAGACTGCAGCGACAACGCGGCAGATCATGCTCTGAGAGGAAAACCCTGCAATCAACATCGCTGGGGTGAAATGCATGAGGGACCAGAGGGCCTCAAATGACAGAACGACTCACCAAATATGAAACAATGTAGGGAGCAGGCGATGAAGAACATGGGAGTGACTATTGACAACAGGTAGGACAACACGAAATAGCTGCCTAGCTTAAGTTGCTAATCATATTTATGTCAGTCGGTGCAAGATATACCACAAGAATGACCCTTACCTCTTGAATCCAATGCCGATCGGTGTGTAGCCAACGTATCATGCTCGTACCAGATGTCAGCAGCGCGATCATAGCGAGCATGAGGGATATAAAGAGCAGGCAATGGGGAGCGGGTAACGTATAGTCAAAGTATGACACAGGAGAGCCGGTAGTGACGAAAACACCACTTATAGCAAGGATAACGCCCGCCTTTTTGAAAGTATGTCAGCACCGGATTCAGCTCACGCGGAGTAGGACAGCTTACTGTGGTGATAGTGCTGGTCAGGATAGAGCACAACCTAGTTCTGACGGTTTCGAATGCTTGCTCTGATTGGAGGGACTTCCAATGATCTTCAAGATCTGGGCGTCCAAGCGCTAAAAAACAAAGTACTCTCGTCGAGAGAGACGTGCAATGAAGGGCCTCGGGGAGTTGTTCTTCAGCAAGAGCTCTTGGGTCAGCAGTCGCATCATATGACTTGAAAGGCAAGCGTAGTTCAGTGATACAGCAAGGATTCCAAAGTGTTGAAAGCGCACCTGAGTGGAACGAAGTGAAGCCATGGAGTCAAATGAGAGAGTAGACATGTCGAACTAATGCTCATACTGAGCAGAGGGGTGCAACTTATTATAAGCGGATTGAAGCTGTGACAAAATATGTGACATCTTCCCAATGTGTAGCTCTTTCACACACAGAAGCTTCTGCTTGGAAGTTGTATGTATGTCCATCCCCGGACATATAGAGGATGGAATTACCCGGCTCAAATATAAAGCATCAGTGATGGAGACAACGGAGCACGACGGACGTATAGAGGATGGACGGATGCAGTAGAGGATGGAACATAAAGCATCCGTGATGAAGCTTAGATATAACGGATGATTTATTCAAACTAACATTGACCTAATTTTTGCCACACTGAATCGCAGCTTCATCCGCAACAATATTTATAGGTTGCATCTCAGTATGAGCATCAATCTATATTCACTCTTTTATCTCGCTCCATGGCCTCACCCTATTCCACCAAGGTACGCTTTCAAAACTTTGGAATCCTTGCCGTATCACTGAACTACGCTTGCCCTTCAAGTCATATGATGCGACTGCTGACCCAAGAGCTCTTGCTGAAGAACAACTCCCCGAGGCCCTCCGTCGCACATCCCTCTTGGCGAAGGTACTCTGTTTTTTTGGCGCTTGGATGCCCAGACCTTGAAGATCATTGGAAGTCCCTCCAGTCAGAGCAAGCATTCGAAACCGTCAGAACTAGGTTGTGCTCTATCCTGGCCAGCACTATCACCACAGTAAGTTGTCCCACTCCGCGCGAGCTGAATCCGGCGCTGACTACCCCTCAAAAAGGCGGGGGTCCTCCTCGCTATAAGTGGTGTTTTTGTCACTACCGGCTCTCCTGTGTCATACTTCGACTATGCGTCACCCGCTCCTCATTGTCTGCTCTTCGTATCCCTCATGTTCGCTGTGATCGCGCTGTTGACATCCGGCTCGAGCATGATACGTTGGGTGCACGCCGATCGGCACTGGACTCAAGAGGTAAGGATCATTCTCATCATACCGATTGCGCCGACTGACCTAAATATGATCAGCAACTTGAGCCAGGCAGCTACTTTGTGTGGTCATACCTGTTGTCAATAGTCACCCCCATGTTCTTCGTTGCTTGGCCCCTACATTGTTTCGTATTCGGTGAATTGTTCCATCATTTGACGCTCTCTGGTCCCTCATGCATTTCACCCCAGCGATGTTAATTGCGGGGTTTTCCTCTCAAAGCATGATCTGCCGTGTCATCACTGCGGTCTGGATGGTCGCATACGTCGTGAACATTGGGATAATATTGATGGAAGCTATGTGGAAGTATGCGACAAGCCTCAATCACGCTAGATATCGCTAGTAGTTTTCACTTTCCACTTCGTAAGCCTGGCGCTTACGACCAAATCTCTCAAACCTGTTGTCCGCTGCTACACTTGCCTCTGAATTGATCAATCGTGAGACTCAGGAGAGCTCTGTGGCAGGTCGATAGAGGCATTCAATCTACTAATCATCAATAAAGTTGTCCATTAACAATCATACTCATACCTGTTCTTTTCACCACAAGGTTGTGATGCACGAAAGCGACTAGAAAAAAGACTGGATATACAGGTATCCACCTTCGATCTAAACTAGCTATGGGAAGAATTACCACTCACCCCCATAAAACAAACTATTTCCAAGAAGCCCACGAGTTTCTAGGTATTTCCCATCGAGCACTTCCTGGATCAATCGAAACCGTGCTCTCCAAACTCCAGCACCTCGTCGAGGGACTCGTCATTGTCATCCAAAACAAAACCTGCCGACCATGTCTGTCCTTGAATGGCATGCGCGGAGAACCCATCTGCCCATTGCTCAGGGGACCAGGTCAGGATGTCAGTGACCCAGATGACATGGAAGTGTCCACTCCAGCACCAGCTCCACCCAGCGACATAGGGGACTCGACAATGTCGGCTGGGGTTGTCAGTAGTAACCTGATTGTGCTTGAGCTAGGAAAGCCTTTGCCTCTTCGGCATCGAAAAGTTCCGAAAGGAGCCATTCATTTTCAATGTTTGACTTCTGTCTGTAAGAAGATGTGATGAACACCGAGAGCGTATGCAGGGAAAGCGTCCTCGGAGCTGGAAATAATATATTTAATACCTTCTGTACCCGAGGCTAGCGCCTGCTAGAACCAGATAAGCTCTTGGGCTCCAAGACCTTCTCCGACTCCTCTCTCCGACAGATTCGTCAGACTAGCGCAGCACATAGACAAGGATCCCATACTGGAGCAGAGCAAACACATGTGACATCCATTGACCTTTTGCCTCGCCTCTTCATGTGGGATACTCGTGAAACAACATTTTCCTCATCAGACTCTTCGAGCTCTTCTTTGCTGCAAGTATTTAGCACAGCGACAAGCATATCCGTGACTATATGCGCCGCTCAGTTTTGAATAGACGCTCCAAATAAGCTTCATGAACGTACTTTTCTCTCCCACAAAGGGCAAGCTCCATGTAAATACGTCCATGAAGTTAGGTAGCCAGTACGGATGAGGCGTACAGTTAAACTGCCGAATGTTCATCACGTTGCTCTCGTACTTCAGGACGGCAGCTTTGTTGTTATACACGTCGAGGTAGTTGGGAGCAGAAAAGATCGTCATGACAGAAGGAAAACCTGTGGTTTTTGTCTTCCGATACATGCGATATCTTTTGGGCCATCACATGAGTATAATGAACGGCTGTACAATTAAAACATACCCGGCATCTTGCGCTTCATGTGCGCGAATGATCGAAAGAAGATTATTTCGCTCTAAGAACTGACAAGCAGCTTGATAACTGCATGCCGAAGATTAATCGCTGTACATCGGGAACCCGGGACGACTCACGTGAAGAAGTAGGAACAACCCCGAACGTGATTATGAACGAAGCTCTCATTCATCTTCTCTTGCCCAAAGTCTTCGACAGGATCCGACCATAGAATATCGCACATCAGCCCGTGTGTCGGAGGCTCGCGGAACCGGTCAATCTAAATGCGATATAAATGAACATGGCGTTATTGGAGATCCGCGAATGGACGTACCGCTCTGATATCATCCAAAGTGTTCAGCTCTGGTGAAAGACCGCCGTGGATACATAGGAATTGCTTGTTCATGATGGCAGCAAGGGGGAGTGCACAGAAGGATTCCATGCACGCGTCATAGATACGCTCTGAGTACTTGTGTTTGCCTAAATAACGTTAGTGGCGGATCCGTTTAGAGATAAAGTGACTGAAACATACATTCAAGCTTGAAAGTGAAATAATCTGTGAGATGCCGGCATTCATGATTGCCACGGAGAAGGAAGAGGGTATCGGGATACCAGATCTTGAGGGACCATAGATACAGAACGCACTGTACGATGGGATGAGTTGGAGAAGGTCGAGTATTAATGCGGAACACACCTCTATACTGAAGTATCCCCGATCAACGTAATCCCCGAGGAATAGGTATCGTGTGTCTGCTGGGCTGCCGCCAACTTCAAACAGTTTCATGAGGTCGTACTGGAGGGATGATCAGTAATGCATCATCAGCTTGACGAACAATCGAGAGCGCATACATATTGACCATGGATATCGCCACAAACTAGGTGAGAAGGTCGGTTGGTATGGGGTGACCACGGCAGACGACAAGCACACTCACCTGTGATTGGCGCGTCGACCTGCAGGACGTTAGGCTCCGCACGAAGGAGTGCAGTTGCCTTTTCCAAAATCCATATCGCCTGATCCTCGGTGACACGGCCTTCGCGGTAAAAGTGGTTCTTGAGGAACGCTACGTCAGGTTTGGTGGGATCTTGTCTGGAGAAAAACTGGGCATCTGTCGGGACGCCCATAGCTGGTGCTTGCACCTGCAATGAGAGCCTCAGTGGGCGGTTAAAATGAGGAACTGATGACGCGGGCGCACATCTTTGACAACCCGCTCTTGTGTGCTGATTGTGTTGCCATCTTCAAGTATGTGCTGAGTGAAGTCGATATCAGGCGGCGGCTTCTTGTGTTGGATCTGCTCAATTGCACGGTCAACATGAGCTTGTGCGATGTGCATGATGACGGGAATTGAAGAAGATATCGGTCGCACACGGATAGAAGGGAGTTGCAAATGAGACGCTCAGTGGCGGTGACTGGAGAAAATACCCCTGGGCCCACAGCTTCAAAGTTTTAACACGAAGAAGTGTCTATTATTATTGTGGTCAAGCTACAGCACACTACTGCGGAAATAGCTAATGGGAAATACGCCTATCGTCCATCTCCTGTATAATGCAGTATATCATGAACCGAAGTACACGCTCAGAACATGTTTTGCAACATGGAAACCTAATAACGAGACAACATAGCTCGCAAATAGCGGTAATAGTGGGGCCAGTAATATTTCAGAGCGTATCAAGAATGGTAGGGCTGAATGTGAAGAAAGAAATTAGCAGCGAAATGGAAGAGAAGACTTGCATACCACTCAGTCCGAGGTACACTCCGTAGATATACTGGGCAAACCTGTTGGTGAAATCAATGTTGAAAGGACAATTTAGGTGGCGTGAACTCCAAGACTTGCCCTGCAAGATATAAAGTATTGCCAACAAGGAGGCAAACCCAGTTATCCTTCAACACTACGGGAAGGAGGAACAGTTGCGCTAAATAAAGTGTCAGATACAAGGGAAAAATGCGTTCGTATGAACATCGAAAGCATATGCCCATTCGACCTGAAGAGTCTGTAGGTGATGAATGAGAGGAAGGCGATACCAACACCCGGTTGGAGAAGAACCTATGAAGGAAAATGATGAGTTAGCATCACACCTTGGAAGAGGAGAGCGACGAACCAAAGAAGAGTCGCACTCAGTACACCGACAAGAAGGTAATCTCGCAGTATCATCACAAAGGCTAATCGCACCGCCTGCAGTGGGGAATACGAATACACAATAGACCATGCTACTGCAGCAACTGAACGACGTCGAATACATTATGAATAACTTCTGAATATAGGTTGCATGGATGAATCTCACCAAAGAGGCTTGCAAATAGCAGAATTAAGATTGCTGGGTCATCTCTTGCCCAGGTGTTCTTGGTCTCTACAGTAAACACATGAACGTTGGCTTCAAAACAAGATCTATTGACGTACGCTTGTGGTAGTACACGTTTCGATAACTAATAGTCAGGTGTCAACGGACCATAATTGAGTTGATATTTCAGGAGTTGGCTCACACTCTCTTGGGTGCCAGACAGAGATAAGACAGCTGCCAGAATGCCAGTTCAAAATCCTGCAGATCCAATCTATCTCAGCACGTCTGCCCAGAGCCTAACAGCATGCACTTCACACCATTTGCTGGAATCTATGCAACCGTCGAAACATTAATGGCACACGATTGGAGACAGACATGGGAGTGCCAGACAAATTGTGATTAGGATATGATGGAGATGTTAAAGGAAGTATTGGCATGTCTGTACCAACTCGGGGGCGTCGGAAAAGATTGCGAGATGAAGACACCTTGGATAGAAATTGATAAATGGCGGCTGAGAGGCGATGACAAAGTAGGAGGGCTGATCGGAATCGGGTTCGGAATCAAACTGCTGATGATTTGTAAGCGCGTTTCAAGTGCATTCTGTGCGCTGAGGCAAGTTATGTTTACAATGCTTTTCGATATACTGGCGTACGTATCTAGCAACAAAATAGAACTAGCTGTCTTGCATCTATTCCAAGACGGTGAACCGTACTGCTACCTACTGAGACGGAGCAGCTTCGACATAGGTAGTTGGGATCGGCGTTACAGTTAGTGCGAGGACATTGCAGGAATGGATGTTGCGCATGGGAAGGGTTCCCTTAAGAGAACGTTATTCGGAGCGCTTCTAGTCTGATGGAATCAACGCATCCAGATGATGATTCGACAGCAAAACGCAGAGTGGAAGGGCACCTTGAGTTGGATCAAGCCTCTGGAGCAGTCAAACAAAAAGGGAGTTCCTAGACAGAACTACGCCTTTCAGGAATAACTACCGGCCCTGTCCGGTTCTCAGTACTAGGCGGCGCCAAGAAGCTTCGCCAAGCGCGAATCCCAAGATTGCAACCAAGTTCTTTGATGGTAACAAGCATCCAAAAGCGATTCGACATCAACAATAAGGCCGAGGGCCTCGTATCCGGCACTTTTACCTATCTTGTATGGGCAAGATGATGCCAATTATTGTTGCAGGACATTGCGAGTCCTCCAGAGCCATATATTGATAGGGGGTGCGGCACAGTTACATTGCAGTGCTAGTGATCCTACTGCAGAAGCAGAGTCAAAAGTAGGAGCGAATAACCGGCGAACCGCCATGTCATGAGATGCTGCGGTTTGTCAATTCCATGAAGCGAGTGCCCAAGGACGTGGTAAATTGTGCACACCCCAGACCTGGACAAGGCGAACCGACTCTATGTATAAGAACCATCAGATCCAAATGAAATCATACCGGTTATATACCGCATGTCGTGTCAGAATTGTTATCATCGAGTCTTGACATCAACAATGTCAATGAAGGGCTAACAACAACTTTTGTGGCAAGTCTCTGCAACCTCTCCAGGTACTCGGACAATAACACTCATGTGCCACGACACCTGAGACCATGATGGAATGATCAACTTGTTTACCGCGGAGTCAGTGATGTACACGGACAACTTTGTGCAAGACGGGGTCTCAGACTTCGGCGGGGAGCGGGCGGGAATCGAAATTTGGGTCGGAGCTAGGAGGTTCTCTTCGGCCAACTTGGGAACGCATTTCTGTCGTCAGTTCATCACTCTTCTCGTCCGTGCCATGCTGGAAGATGAAACTGAAGTTCTAGACTGGGGAAACGAGGAGGAAGACCGGGGAACTTCGGAACAAGATCCAAGTCTCGCCGCCGAGGACGCAGAAGATGCTGTGTCGCTTGGAGGTGACGAGGACGACGAATTTCTGACATACCAGCCTCGCGTTTCACAGGGCGCTTCTCAGCGCACACAGTCTCCTTCAAAGACTGTTAATCACACTGAAAAAATCAGGAGATATCAGTTTTTGGCGCCAACGCTCGGGGCAAGGCTCTTGAGCATGATAGGCCCAAGACGCCAGCAAGGACTCCTCAGGAAACACAGACGGTTCCTGAACCATCTCCAGCCCTCAACCGCCAGCTGTCGTTTGGGAAACTTACTCATGCTCTTCCTCCCAAACCAATAGTGTCTTCAGTTCCGTTTATGCATCCTTCTGATCCGTCCATCATTGAAGCTACAGCCATGGCGGCTCGTGTCGACCGGGACAAGAAAAATGGCATTGTCGTCGTCTCCAAGCCCACGACATTTGAATCAGGGGATATACTTCCCCCAGATTGGGAGGTTAGACACCCGAGAAATGGCCCTGGTGTTTATTATTATAATTCTCGTACCAAGGAATCGACCTGGACGCGTCCTGGCAGCTCGCCGCCTGCTCGTGATCGGCGCGTTGCTGACGAAACCCGGGATATCGTTGTTATCAGCAAGACTGATGATTCTTTGACCTCCCGTATAGGCCGGTCAAATGCTAGTACCATTTTATCCTATGATGATCGCCATTACCGTCCTGGAGAAAGTACTCGGCGGGATGAGCGACTGCCAATGCAATCCTATGGTAGCCAAAATGATTCTTTCTTGGCATCCAACAGAGCCAATGGAGAACGGTCCCTTTCGCCGCCTCTACGTCATCGCGCAGATGACCGCGTTTTGTCTTCTCGTCGCCAGCGGTCGCCTTCAGCCAATGGGGACCAGAATAGGGGCAGAGCATCCACAAAGGACGCTGTACGTCCCGGCTCACCTATAGCAGATGTAGACCGCGTTTGGGTAGCACCTCGAGTTCCGTCGCCTGTCGATCGGTCAGTGTCACGCGAAGGAAAGCATCGTGAAGCCGAGCAACCTTCTCACAAAGAACGCGAGCATCGCGAGACCCCTCGCGATGCCGACAGAATGTCGACAACAAGTACGTTATCTACATCATCCCCTATCCTCATCCCTCGTCGGTGTATCCTGCTCCTCCTGGGGTATAGGGCGCAATGCCTTTGCTGCGTCCCGCACAACCCCGAGAGTTGAGCTGCGCAGTACCATATTTCGTTCTTTTGTATTCGACTTCTTCCTCGCATGGACACACGGACGCTCATCATGGATCCCTATCTTCTTCCCCCTTTTCCCCCTATCCTTATATCTATCCTCTCTTTTTTCTTTTCTCCTTTGTTATTCTCTAGGACCCAGATCGCCTGTCAGTCACAGTCGTGACATTCAATATCCGCCTACATTGCCGTCTTCGAACGATCCCGACATCTCGCCCAATGAGTTGCCGTCCGCAGCGAGGCAGAACAGTCGCTTCATTCAAGTGCCTTCTGCTCAGATAGACCAACGAATTTCAGATCTACCCGACAAGCCCTCGCGAGAACCGCGCCGTCAAGCCAGGTCGCTTAGCGCAGATGGGACTGGGTCTCATCATCGAGCAAGTGATCGCCATAAAGCTGATGCAAGAGCTCACGAAAGTCCGGACATGGCGCCTCAGACGTTGCCCCAAGCTCCGCGGGAGCAGTTGGTACCCCTCACCCCATCCCCCCCAATCGAACGTACGTATTCTTCACCCATCCACTCTTCCTTCCTCATGCCAACGTCGTCTGCCATTCGCGTGCATCTCTCGCTTGTTCAGGCTCTCGAAAACGGGTGCCTTTGCCACCGCAACGTGACAGTTTCCAGGAAGGCTCACGTGGCAGAGCGGATGTCGGGTACCGCTCGCCACCGTCTGCCACTCGTGATAGTGCCCCGGCTTCTCGGTTGATCGCCAACGATGTACGCATTCCTTCGGGCCCACGCCTGTCTCCTTTGGAGACATCAAGAGACATCAGATCCTCCGACGCCAGAGGATCTCGGCAAGCACACTCTAGATCTGCGCCTCATTCGAATTCTCAAACAGATACCTATGCTCATAATGAGTCTAGGGACAAACGAGGCAAAGATCATATGGATGTTGATGACCCTCCTCCCTCCAGTATCATCAAGTCCACTGAACCTTCGCGACAGCTTATGAACAGTCAGCGCTATCGAGAGGATCGCGACGGCTCCGCTCCTAAACGTCCTCGGGCAATGATGGACGATGTTGATATGCCTGCACGACGGAGATCTCCAGGTAGGCACTTAAACCACTCGATTCATTCATGTAAAATAAACTGGACATAGATCGCTCTCCCAAACTGTCGCGTTCTGAATGGAAAGAGCCTCGTCGCACAGTACACGAAGATGTCTCTCGAGCTCCGCCCTTGCGAGATGAAAGGCGTGCGCCTGTTGAGTCATCGACTCGGGTTAGTATCTTTTTGACTGTCTTCTGTTGAGTTTTTAAATTTGGATTTACAGCGCGACGCTTCTCGTCGTCACGTTGATATGTCCAGGCCGCCTCCTAGTGCCCCAACGCCAAAGCTTTCTGGAACAAACAGCATGCCAATTGGTGGTAGAGGTAACCGTTTTGGTGGTTCTGCGTCCATTTCACCGCATCCACCGCTATCGTCTGCGCCTTTCCTGCCTCCAGCGAATTCTGCTTCACGGCGAGGTGCCCATGTGTCTGGAAGTAATGCGCAGCCTGTGGTTTCTCGCCCTGTTCGTCCACCTACTGGTGCGACAGACAACCACGATCGACCAGTATGTTTTACATGCACATCATCGTGACCGCTGTTCCTTACTTACACCCGTAGCCCCGTCTGGATATTGTCTACGATAGAGAACGTTCAACTAAGATTTCTGCTGATCAACATCGGCAAACAGAGCGCGTAGTTTCACCTGTACGTTCTCTGTTGCGTGGAAATAAATTGAGGCCTTACAAGTTTATGTTACAGCTCCTTCCGCGCAAGCCTCTCTCTGTGCTTGATCCACCTGTGAATGCGCCTATCAATACAGACTCACCATCACGGCTAGGCGCACGTGCAGCAAGAGTGGGTCTTTTGAGCATAGTCGTTGGAGCTTGACTGATTGTAGCACTGTAGACTCGCTTTGGACCTCCAGTTCCGGAATCTGAGGGCAAACCACATCTCAACAACAGACGTGATCAGTCGCCTGAGAGTCCTCACTCCCATCATTATGATGATCACGCTACCCCTCCTCCGCTTTCCAGGGACTCTTCCATGACGTCGGCACGCGATGCTGCTCATCCGTCACAACAATCCAGACATGACGGGGACGTCTCTCTTCGCGGTCACCAGCTGCCTGAACTGCGGTCCTATGCCCCTGAGAGAAAGGAGGCAAAAGATCTTCCTGAATACCCGCGTAGCAGCGGTCGTAATGATCGTCATGACCATGGTCCCCCTTCATTGGATCATACTAATGAATGGCGTGTAGATGACTCAAAAAATTCAAAGTGGTCTAGATCACGAGATTTACCTCCGCACGAGTCCTCGCGCCACGTCAATGTGGAGTCATTGCCCTCCGGCCAGCATGCTGCCAACGGCGAAGGGTCGCATCAATCTCTTCCGCTTGCTATGCATCCAGAGCGTGCACGACTCCTGCAGAATAACCTTCCTCACTCTCTACCTCCTCGCCCCGACACAGAACCAAGACGTCCTCGTTCAACTCGTCCCCGTCATGACTCTACGCCTTGGGCATCCTCCGGTTCACGCTTTAATCAGCACTTTGAGGAGACTGTCTTCCCTGGAGATCGTGTTGATCGACCATCTAACAACCACGGAAACTCTCTAATTGATCGGTTGGGTGTCGATGGCGGACAATCATCCTTTTCATTGAGAGATCGCGTGAAGGTCCCTATGAAGCGGCCTTCGGATGACCTTACTGTGAACGACGCGTTGATGGATATAGATGATGGGCACGAGGGCTCCAAGCGGAGCAGGAGGCGAGGGGGAAAGCTCAAGAAGCCAAGACGTGCGGCATGATATCCTAGTATCCAATTTTGTTCTTTTCGTTCAATCTTTTGGTCTGCTTTCGGTGATGCATTTCCATTGGACAGTATTAGCATTACAATCCCATCTTGTCATGTCTAGTGATTATGGTTAATCATCTTTTGGTTCGGCACCTTCTGCAAGCTATCCTCGAGAGATGAGATGCATGTTAGTTGGTCGATATGAAGCTACTGTACCTGTCTAAAATTGTTGTGTTCCCAGTGCATTTGAACAAAGTCCAGATCGTGTCGCGGCATCAACCATTCCAGAAGTAGGAAGAACAGGCAATCCACCACAAGGATGATTGTGTAGATCGGTCCTGCAAATGGACCCAGTTCCATAGTTCTATAACATTTTAGTCAGGGTCTACCAGCACGGTGCGTACGAAGTTACCTTTGCATCCGAGTCCAGAGATCCTTCTGCTCAGACTTGATGACAGCGTCGTACACAATCTCAGTTCGTTCTGCGACTTCTCCCCAGTTGTAGAAGTCTTTTACCCTTTGATGAGCTTCTATGGGGTCATGCTGGCCCTTCGAAACAATCGCGACCGCCTCGGACAGGGCACGAATCAAATCTGCAAAAAAAATCACGGTGAAAAAGCGGTCCAGAATGATATGTGCGACTTGTGCAGCGTCCCACACGTACCGTCCTCCTCTGACTTCGCAAATGAAATCATGTCATGAGGGAGAATCTCCGGGACTCCGCCTACTCGTGTCGAGACCACATAAAGACCCGCGCATGCAGCTTCCAATATGGCGATCCCAAACGATTCCGTCAGTGATGTGTTCAAAAATATAGATCCTCGCACGAGAACCTGCAGAGACGTGTATGAATCATGATCATGAGAGTCGAATTTGCTCGTGTTTACTTACGTCTCGCACGTCGCGATGTCGAACTGGACCAAGGAGTTCTATGCGGTCTTGGAGGAGATGTCGTTCTCTTACTTGTAACAGGTCGTTCAGCTTGGGTCCGTCTCCCCCTGGGCCAGCGAGTTAGGGTTAGATGATACTGGGGATGGAACGACTTACCTACGATGAAATTGACGTTAGGAAAGGCGGAGCATATTCGGGGGGCAGTGGCGACCAGTAAGTCGATGCCTTTACGATAGGCTAGACGAGACAAAACCACGATATAGACTGAAGAAAAATCAGTTGTCCCCTTCGACCAAAACGACATGGAAATACTGACTGGTTTCTGACGACACCGGCTCAGTAGCTGGAGTAAACTGCTCCGCAACCAAAGCGTTTGGAATCACATAAACATTTGGCCGGACGACAAGTGCAGAGGAATCTTCAGACTTCTCAAACAACTGTCCACGCAAGACTGTATTTTCCCTCCTGATTCACGGTCACGAGAAAATAAGGACAATATCGATTGTAAGAGTCGACCACTTACCCAGTATGCGAGACACAGATCACAGCGTCGACATTTTTGAGAGCAGCCGCAAGGAGTTTGTTGGTTAATATGCTCGCTGCATCTTCAAACCCAAAAAGACTGTGATCGGTGAACACCGTGCGGACGCCAAGATGGTGCGCGTGTAGAATAGCCTCCTGGCCCAGAGACGATAAACTCGCGTGCGCATGAATCAGGTGAATATGCTCGCGTGCAATGATGACGCGGAAATACGGCAAAAACGTAAAGTAATTCGGAAGAGTGGCGGAGGAGGCGATGGTAGGAAATGGTATGTAGTATACCTTCAAGCCTGGCAGGAGCCAGCGAACACCCACTCTGTCTGGAGCATGACTGTGTGTGATTACGATCACCTGCAAATGTTGGATGCAAGATAAACGACATTGTAGAGAACGTCAAAGCAAGTGTGAAAAATCATGCCTTGTGACCACGACGGATGAGATTTGCACTGAGCATGAATATGTGGTTTTCCACTCCTCCCACGTTCGGGTGGAAGAAATCAGATATCATCCTGAATGGTGTAGCATTTAGAACATGTTTCGCTCTATACAAAATACATACGCAATGGCGAGAGGCTCATGCTTCATTTCGTGACAACAACTTGAGTGAACGGTTCTCCGCGAGTAATACACCCGAGGGGGAAAAGAAAAGACAAAAAAAGTGGCTCGACCCAGGATCGAACTGGGAACCTTCTGTGGACAAGCTAATGTGAGACAGAAATCATAACCATTAGACCATCGAACCATATAAGCTTGGGTGTTATTGTGTGGGACATGGCATGATATAATCATACTTGAACCGCAGGAACTCAACGGTACCGGGACTTCGCCTTTACCGGTCACTACCCAGCTCATCCTACTCCGGTGCAGCGGACCTACTCCAGTGCAGAGTCGTGACAGTGGTGGGTATATGGTGTCTCCTCTTAAGCCAGTAAATATGGAATGCGCACCGATCCATCTGTGCTTCTTTATTTCAACGCAATGGCCTCGTTCTATTCCACTGAGGTGCGCTTTGAAAATGTAGAAGACCTGATGGATGACTGAACCAGGTTGGTTTTCAAGTTATACGTGACGATTGATCAAAGAACACCTTTCGAAGAGGAACCTCTTCCCGAAGCCCTTCGTTACGATGACATGTCCCTTCTAATGAGGGTACTCTGTTTTTGTGCACTGGGGCGGCCCGATCTGGAAGATCATTGGAAGTCGCTGCAATCCGAGAAAGCATTCGAAATCGTTAGGACCAGAGTGTCCTCCATCTTGGACAATATTGTTACCACAGTAAGTTATCCGACTCCACGCGAGCTGAAGCCTGCGCTAACATACTCCCCAAAAGGCGGGCGTCCTCCTCGCTACAAGTGGTGTATTCGTCACTACGGGCTCTCCTGTGACCTATTTTGACTATTCATCACCCGTTTCCTATTTTCTACTCCTCGTATCGTTCATGCTCGCCATGATTGCGGTCTTAACATCTGGCTCGAGCATGTTACGCTGGATTCATACCGACCGGCAGCAGACTCAAGAAGTAAGTTTTATTCTCGCTCTATCACTTACACCAATTTTACGGAATATCAGCAACTCAAGCTAGGCGGCTACTTCGTCGCGTCCTACCTGTTGTCAATAGTCACCCCCATGTTCTTCGTAGTCTGGTCCCTGCATTTTTTCGTATTTGGTGAGTTGTTCCGTCATCGCTGCTCTTTGTGGCCTCTCACGCATTTCACCTCCAGCGATGTTGATAGCAGGCTTTTGTTCCCAAAGCCCAGTCTTTCGCGCCCTCACTACACTCTGGTTGGTGACGTACGTTGCTAACATTGGGACGATATCGATAGAATTTATGCGGAAGTATGTGACAAGCCTCAAATCACGCTAGATATCGTCAGCGCGTGGCTTCTGGGCACATATTATAATGACCGGGTAGATGTTTATAAAGGCAATCCCTTCTTGTTTTAACATTGACTAGCGCTTGTGCATGTTAATAATATTATAGCCTCCTTCATGTTAAACATGGAGTGTACCACACTCCGGCAGATACACACTGTGTACTCGAAAGGTAGACGAGTGCTTGTACTTGTAAGGTGTTAACAGCAGCCGGGCGCAGTGCCTTGTCACGTAGCGCTACCGCAGCACGTGTGCGGTTCAGTCTATAGAATGATTCACAGCACGAAAGACATGACAGAAATCATGTGATCCTCAGGCACTCAGAGGTTCCTGATTTGGTAAGTCATACCCGCCAAACACCGCCAACCCGCGGTAAAGGGTCACGGTATGGTCATGGGTACCCAATACCGTACCCGTACCCGCCGTACCCGTCAGCAAAGAACCGCGGTGTTACCCGCCGTACCCGTGCGTTTCCCAAGCGGCAGCACTAGCTATATAATGTCGCGATCCAATCCTACACCATATTACAACAATGTTCCGTCCTGACACAGATCTCCTGCACTCATTGTCTGCTGAACTCTCTCAGCGGCTCAAGGATCTCCTGGATCAAGCCCTGCTCGGGTTTATACGTCCAAATTCTGTGTCTCAATTTGCTCAGCATGCTTCCGAGTTGGCAAGCTTCCGCGAGGCCATGGCACAGAGAAATTCGAATGATGATGCAGAATTTCTGCGCAGCTTCCGAGAATTCATTCCTATCACAAACTACGAACATTACAGGCCGTTCATAGCCAAGTTTTTCACGACGCCTTGCAAGGAGTCTGACCTAAAGAACATGTTTGCCCCAGGACTACCCTACTGCTTAGCCGTTTCCAGCACGACATCTGGAAAAGCACCAAAGACATTCCCGATATATCGACCTGCATCGCACCTTTTGCATCATCCTGTATATCTGTCGCTTCCCAACTCAGAGGGTAGTACTTTATCACCATCTTCTCTGAGTTTTGGGCAAGCCCTGAACATGTATTTCGAGGACGGTCATAGCTCCAAGGTATTGCCAGTGTGCTCGGTGACCGTCGGTTTTCTGCGAATGCAAATGAACTGGGACCTCGAGCACGACAAGGACAGAATTGATTTATGGGGTCAGCCCATCACTCTACTTTTGCATGTGCACGCTGATCTCTAGGCAACTTTCAGTTCCAGGAAAAACGGATCCGTACGCGATTTCTTTGGTGAAGAGCTATCGCGCTTTCTTCATTCTGAATGCGCTATTTGCACTCGCAGACCGTCGGGTGACAACCATCCGTTTCCTCTTTGCCAGTGTATTCGTCAATTTTTTGCAGTATGTAGAAGATGACTGGCCTCTGCTCGTCGACTGCATCGAGAAAGGGATCATTCCAGACATGGAAAATCTAGATCATTTGCGAGAGCCTTTACAGGTCATATTTGTGCTTGATTGTTAAATTTCATTCAGCTCACGATTTCTCGCAGAAACATTTCACTCCAAATCCTCTTCGTGCTGCCGAACTTCGTGAGATTGGGCCTCCTGGAATCCAGGGCTGGGCAGTCCGCGTGTGGCCTGACTTGAAAAAGTTCATTGGGGTCACTGGAGGCTTCGCTGCTGCATCCGTTCCAAAAGTACGTCAAGTGTGGAAAGTCTACTGCCCAACTGATAGTCAGCGACACGAGGTTACTCACGTCCTCGGACCTTCTGTCGCCATGCAGTCTCCTGGTTATGGCAGCTCAGAATGTTATATCGCCATGCCATATTTCAACGGCGACCCTAATACCGACTACAAGGTAGTACCCGTAGATGGAGTCACCGAGTATCTGGACGTGCATTCCAATGAGCCTTCTGAGCGTGTATTGTCTGCTGTAAGAACCGTTCACTGCATCTCAGTTTTGTCTGCTCATCCCCGCCGCAGTGGGAGCTTGTGATCGGAGGGCATTACGAGCCCGTCTTGACGACACGCAATGGCTTGTGGAGATACCGCATTGGCGATGTCGTCACCTTTAAAGGCTTTGCGCCAGATGATGGATTACCCGTTATCAGTTACCTTCATAGGCGAGAGTGAATTGTGATTTCATCGATTCCAGGCTTAGCAGCTGAGATGCCCGCAGAGGAAGTAGCTCACTTGAGCTGGCGTATGCATCAACGTGTACAGAGTCGCAATTGACGAACGCGATCGTATCTGCCTCTACACGATGGATCGGCCAAATCATAGATTTCACTGTTGTAGCCGACGACCGAGACACGCCAGTCACTTATGGGTACTTGGTAGAAATCGGAGGTGAAATAGGTTTGTGTTGGCTTCTTGCTCTTCTATACGACTGCGTTAATTTATATTCACAGGAAAGGACGCAAAAATGGCGACACAGCAAACTTTCGAAGACCTCATGAAAAACGATGAGTATCATATAGCTTTTTGGCAAGGGAGAGCAAGAAAGCCAACCATTCGTATCGTGGAGAAAGGCACGTTCACAGAATATCGCAGGCAGAAATGCGACAAGACAAAGATCTCGATGGGTCAGGTGAAGGTTCCCATCGTCTTATCTGACCCATCGTGTAAGGAATGGCTCCTGCAGAAAGTTACCATGGAGTTGTAAGATTTGTACATACAAGTCGAAGAGGGGCGAGAGTAAAATGACTGGTCCATTTTCACAAGCCTGGGCTTAAAGTGGTTGCTGCGCCCTGGATGTACTCTCTGGTAGCCAAACTAGAAAAGGCTAGAAAGAGAGGGAAGGCAAAATCCTATGATATGTCCGATGCGTCGCAATACCTCATTCAAGAATCCAAGAGAGAGGGGGGGCGAAAATCAAGGTCGCAGACATCAAGGCGGAAATCGTACGAGGTCAAAATACAAGAGGCGCAGATTAAGCAGTTGAGGGATTTGTGTGGAGGGTATATGGAGGGGTGAACCAGTTCAGCGACGAGCATACAGTTTCCTGTAGTAAAGGTGTGTTTCTCCTGCCAGAATTTTCTATTTCAGTTCGATTCGATTCGGCGGCAATTTCAAATCCCGCTCGGCAACACTCCGCAGCACTCCGCACGGTGGTGAGACGTCATCCGAAGCTCTTTGCATGCTTGCACCGCTCGAACAGCCCTCGGCAGCTCACACACTTGACAGGGACGTTCTCGCAGTCTTTCTGTGACCAAGATGGGTAACCAATTAAATCAAACGCCGTCGATGTCGAAGGGGAAAATCGTTAGCACTGAAGAATAATCCAAAAGTCTAGAATAATAATGTCAAATAGGATTGTGGCTTGGAGGAGACTGCAACACGCATATCAGCATGTATAACTGTACTTGCATGCACGCAGGAGAGTTCAGAAGGAGTCGGGAGTACCCCGGACCGGCGACGCGCGCTGCCATACATCCGTTTTCAAGTTCTCTCTTCTGACAATTGCAACTCTCGCCAGTCAAAAACTAAGCAAGCGTCGAAGTCCCTCGGGCCTCTAACCTTGACCGTGTCCAAATGAGACTGACATAGTAATATTTCCTTCGAGACCAGGAAGGCCTCCGAGGCGCTCGAGAACGGCCGAACCGCACGAGTCGGAAATCTTGAGATTTATTAATCTCCACCGAGTTTCGCCTCTCATCAAACCGATCAAACCTTACAGCTGGCGCAGGGGCGGTACGGATCTGGGCCAGATTGTTAAGTCCAGAGACTTTTCTGAGAGAGAAATATTGAATAAAATATTGAAGGTACGAGAAAGATTATAAGCTTTATGGTCAGATTTCGTGGCAAGTACACTGATCATATCCATACTATTCCATTTGACACCATGGCCTCACTCTATTTCACTGAGATGCGCTTTAAGTAAGCTATCAAACTCCGCGCGAGCTCAAGCCGATGCCGACATACTCCAAATAAAAGGCAAGTGTCCTCCTCGCTACAAGTGGTGTATATCTCTCATGCTCGCCATGATTGCAACGTCCATATCCGGCCTGAACATGATACTCTGGCTCTGCACCGACCGGCAGTGGGCTCGGGAAGTAAGGATTTTTCTCGCCGTATCGCTTACACCGGCTGACCTAGTATCAGCACTCAAGCAAGGCGGCTACTTTGTCGTGTCCTACCTGTTGTCAATGGTCACTACCAAGTTCTTTATCGTCTCATCTCTGCATTGTCTCATGTTTGGTGACAGTGGGTAGATATAATACCCGTGGGGTGCGCTACCTACATACTTGCAATAAAACCAATACCTGCCATGCGGGTGCAGGTGCAGGTGACGCTGCTGACACCCGCAGGTTTACCAATGGCATTGCCTACCAGTGAGAAGGAAGCTTAGTCGTCTTTTTTGTATGGCTTTGCATGTCCCTTATATACATTATATCGATTAAAATTTACATCGCCCGTCTATATAAAAAATCCAGCTCAGATCTGTACATACATCGGTGAGATAGTCGAGCTCTCTTGTCGCCGACAGCGAGCACGAAGGTCCGGTGATGACATGACTCCTTTTTTATATATTGATTCCGATTTATGTCCTTTGCAGAGCGATACTCTATGTAGGACAGTACAGACTAAGAAATGGAGAAAGGGAACACTATATCATAGTTTGGAGCAGAGATGGCGGATGGCACGTGGATATGCTGTTGGAAGTCAACCCGCCAACATAGTACATAGCGTTTCGTTTTTCGTTTGACTTAGACTCATTCACCACGCTGGCGGAGTTACCATATTAGGCAACTCCACGCACGGTACTTTCGTTACAGTCTCTCTGCGTTTTCCCCCAGTCTCTTATACTCGACTGGGGGTAAGTCATATACTAGTATACACACTGCACTCCTTACTGATGTACTATAGAACTCACTTGAGTTCGTTCTCTTTAGACGCTTGCCGTCTTTTATATGCGACAAGTTCCGAGCTTTGACAATATGAGCTTATGCCATGCGGCGTTCAAGTTGCAGCTTTGGGGGAGCGTGTGCGAGACGGTTTCTCCCAGGTCCCAAGTGATAAGTCAGGGGTGCCAATGCTGGATCAACAAAATGCCGATCACCACACCGAGAAAATTGAGTATGGACAACCACCCTTACAGCGCTCATCATAAAAGTCCATGAATTGCGTCAAAAAAACTAAAATTAGTGAACAGAAATCATCAGGTACTAAGAAGAAAGCAAAAGCAAAAAAAGCATAGAACGCTCCAAAAAAACATTAACCATCCATTGCATGATATCGTGGACCGCACCTAACCCTCTACAACGTTCAAAGCTTCTACAGATGACACGTGGGTACTCCAAACCGCACCTAGGTCAGGCAGCGTCGACTCGATTCTATGAGGACGACGGCCAAGTATCAGAACACTCCTTAAGCTCCTCTTCCACAGCTTTCCGGCCTGCAGCTGTAAGAACTGGAATTCCAGAACTGATATCTTGTTCAAAATACTGGGGTATAAACCTGCGTTTGAGTCCGTTAGTGGTCAATCCGGCACAAAAAAAGACTGAGAATGAAAAAAAAAATAGAAACTCACTGAGCGCCCTTCCTCTTCCTCTCACCCGCCTCATCCCTCTGCTTCTGCTCAATCGCAAGTTTCGCCTTCGTAGCCTCCCCATACTCCTTCGCAAGCAGCCTAGTCGTTACAGCATCCCACAACTTCCGGCTTTCATTCGGAAGTTGCCGTTCTAGCGGACGAACCTTCTTCGGGACGACAAATAGCGTCGAAAGATCTACAAGCGTGGCATATTCCGTTTCTGACAACGAAGGGACCGAAAAACTTGGCGTTGATGGGGATGATGCTGCAGATGTGGATGTGGATGGACCAGGGGGCGATGCAGCAGTCCGCCGCCACCGTATATGATTCCGCCAACATCCATCAAAAACGGCTACGACCCGAGCTGTGGGGACGTGTTTCACTTTCGTCCATTCTTCATGTTCTGTGGATCTTTCGTCGTATGTGTGTATCACGCCCTCGACTAAAAAGTGTGCGCGGCCTAGCCATGACTTGTCCTATTGTCAGCATCCGTTCCCCTATTACTGGGGAGAGAGAAACGCACCTCTTCTTTATACTCAATCACAGCCCGATACGATACCCCCTTCGCACCCACACAAGTAACGATCGTACTATCCCCAACAGTGATATAAAAGCTCCCTCTCAAGATCCCATTCACATTAGCCACCGGGTGCGTGATGTGGTACTTCTCGCCCAAGCCCGGGCCCGATGTAAGATTGATGTAGATGCCCTTGTTGAAAGACCCCGGGGCGACGCGCACAGTCGTACCGCTCACTTTTGCGCTGATCTGGTCGATCCCTGCCATTTCCACACCACGCGAGGGACATGAGGCATAGTATGCGCTTACGGGAGGGTGATGCGATACTTGTTCTGTTACGTATACGACCCGGATGTGGTCCTTGTCTTTGTCCTTGTCCTTATCTTCATTTCTTCCGCTTCCGTTAAGAGGAGACAACGAGAGTTTAGAAAGACCAGCATCGCCGACGAGGGATGTAGGAGCTGTGCTTAGGGTGGGAGATGTCTTGCCTTTGGAGGTAGAAGTGAGGCTGAGGCCGCTACGCGTGCTCTTTGAGCTCTTGCCGCTGCGATTACTCTTCACGCTCACTGTCTCGCTTCCTTGTGAGGCCGGGGGAGGGGGGACAGTCGTATGGACGCGGAGAATGGGGGGTTGGGTTGGATCAGAACTGTATGAGACCGGTGGGACGTCCCAGTGCCCGCGGAAGTGCTCGCCTAGGACGCTGTTATAGGGTTTGCAGACTTTGCCGTGCTGTGTGAAAAATCAGTAGGGCGTTGGGGTTGGAGTTGGAGTTGGGAGAGTGAGGAGTAATGATTGATTTGGACGTACGACGAATTTAAGATCCTTTGTGAATATGAAACGCACGACTGCTAGGATGCGCTCGAAGGGATCGCTTGAATCGTTGATTCTATTTTAGCACGCCCATCAGCATAGCGAACACCCACAGGCACCCACAAAGGGAAAGAAATAGTACTCACGCAGCAAACAAATCAGGTCTATCTAGATAATGCCAATACTCGAGATTTGGAAGCGGCTCTAGGAGACTTGCGGGTAATGACAGGCGCCTAACTGACGATTGAAAATTAAGAATTAGTGGTAGGGTTCGTGCAGGAGAAAGAGAGATATGAACGGACATGGCAGCGATATCCTTGACCCCAAACACTTCTTGACAAGCTGAACGATCATGCTCAGTTTGCCACCTTCGCCTACGTCGCCTGAGTCAGGGAGGGAGATGGTTGGGCCTGGGGCTTCGTCGTCTTCTTCTAGGACTTCACCGGAGGGTATCTTAATGATTGCTTCGTCGGCCATTGTTGACAATGATCTCCTTGATCTTGATCGTTGTTCTTATGCGTTGTGGATTACAGGAGAGAATGGAAGGAAAAGAAAAAAAGGAAAAGAAAAGGAAATATGCGAAATTGCGCTGTGTGGCTGGAGAGAGATGTCACGGTGGTGTTCAATGAGAGAAGGAAACACGTGCGTTGCGTTCGATAATATTACTGTATGGGCGCCTATTTACAGTTACTGGTGGGATAAACCACGGATTCAGATTCTCAGTTATTCAATTCGCAAAACGCAAATCCAGCATGCACGAAAGGACATGGCCGGTAACCATACAAGGAATTTTCTAAATCGGCAACGCCTCCATGCAACCCTCATTCGGAACGCATGCGTGTGATGCACCACGAGCACGGAACGCCGCTTCTAGGGTAAGGGGCTTTGGTAGGGAAGAGAAGGTCTCTGGCAAGTGCATCACTGAAACGAAGCATCACCATCACCATGTCGATAAAGTCAACACTGTCTCAGCTGACACCTGTTTACATCATGGGAAACTGAAACTGACGCTGGGGCACTGGGTATCCTCGATCATACACATGTTCTGAGGAGTTCCATAATGAAACCTTATTCGACCCGCTAGGAAGCAGTAATACTAATGCCTTCCCTGATAGCAAGATGGGTTTGAAGGAACGTTGCAGTCACGTATCATACACGCTAGTGATATAGCTAATCTACCTGGAATCAGCGCATCAGCTGGATAAAATACCACAGAATCGAAACTTGCCACAAACCGCACGAACGCTTGTGCATTAAACACCACACTCAAGGTGTGGCAACACATAGGCCCTTCAAAGACTCTATCGCCATCCTCGCGCCCATCCTCAACTTCCTCTCTTCCCCCTCAGCATCAACATACCCAAGCTCCATCTTCAGCGCCGCCTTATCTTCTCTCCCAGTATCTCCCTCCCTCTTCTTCCGTGCCCACCACCTCATCGCGCGTTCGCATGACAGCCGCACGTGTATATTTCAACAGATGAGCGCGGGGGGTGGAACGCTCGAGATATGCGAGAGCTGGGGCGAGGGACATGCTGAGTGGTCCTGGGTGCTGTACCTCTTTGAGGAACTGGGTGACAATTGGTGGGAGGAGGAAGGGCGCTCGACGTGTGAGTTGGATATTGTCGTGCCACTGTTGAAGTTAAGTTAGACTGCGAGTGGTGCTTGAAAGTGAGAGACAGTACCATAAAGACTCGGATTCCATCTTTGGGGCTACGCCAACGGAAACAGGGACGTAGCCTTCCGCAAGAGCTGCGCATACTGATACGCCTAAAATATACCCCCTCATCTATCCCTCCCATTCACGCTGGAAGTAACACCAATACCGCAGTAGTACGGGCATAAGCGATAATGGCGCCTGCGAATACACTGTAGGTGGTCATGGATTTGCAATATAAGGAAGCATCGAACGAACCACCCCCTCGATTCATCCGTCTTGAGGCGACTTAGTAAAAGTTCGAGATTGGGTGGCATTTGCACTGGCACTGCAAGTCCACCATCTCCTGTTCCTGCGCCAAAACCAGCTTCTGATAATAACGACGCACAAAGACGAGAGTCGTATGTAGGCGGGAGAAGAGAGTGTATAAGGAGTATTGAGTGAAGATGACGTGAGATTGTGTAAGCCGAGGTACCATTCGTCGGTTGCTAGATTCGCACGCTCACTACTTTGCTGCTTCCCTGAAATCCTAGCTTTGAAAATATTGGAAGTTCCTGACAGTACTGAATCAACGCAAAGCCTGTCTAACTCGAGGCTTACACAGTTTGGATCTTAACCGCATCATGCAGATAAAAGCTACCTCGCTCAGCAACCCAACGTTTGACTCAGATATCAACGTTGAGTCTGGCGATACAGATCTGGCAGGTGAGATACCTAGTCGACAAACTCGGACGCTAGAACTGGCACATGGATGCGAAGTTCATTCACCATGTCTACTACCACTATTGTTGCATGTGTCGAACCCAGTGGGTAAAAGAGGAACGTTAACCTACTAGTCACGGTTTCAGTCCTTCGAAAGAGACGCGGCTAGTACGGCTACGCCGGAAGTATGATGGGGGATGCGAGTTTCCGAAGGTGACGCTCATTACAAGACAAGCTTAAAGCGCAGCATCCACATTCGTCGGTTCCCATGTGATTCGCACATTCAGTCCAAAAACCACTATGTTGGAACTAACGCTGAACATGTGATCTGATCCAAGACCTACAAAGAGTCTTCTGCTTGCGATGCCCGCAGTCCGGGTTACACACGGCTCAGAGAAAGCTACCTCGCTTAGCTCAGATATCAGCCTCAAGCATGTTTGCCCTGGCAGGTAAGATGCACAGTTGCCGACACTGATCCACATGGATGTGAATTCCTGTGTGCTAGTGCTACTGCATGTCAGCATGTCAGTCCGAGTGGGAAAAGAGGAGCCTAGTGACCCATGGTCTCGGAAGACGTGTGAGTATTAATAATCTCACCTGATTATCATTATCCTAACAATCACTGGGGAGCAGTGTTAGGGACTTCTGTCAGTGCCAATTGGATGAAGCACTCATCGTTACCCAATGAAGACTTCTAAAAGGGTAATAATAGCATGCGTTCAACTCGAACTATGCCATAGCCATTAGTTCGAAGAAGCCGGATGAAGCACTCCGTTTTCCGACTGATTTGTATATAACATGTGTTGCATCTCTTGTCAGTATGGCAAGTGCATTAGTCCATCTGTACTCTCTGCAACGTCATGATCTCATTCTATTCCACTGAGGTGCGATTTCACAAACTGGCAATCCTTTCCGTATGACTGAACCTGGCCTTTACAGCTTTATATGACTGACAAGAGCACTCGCCGAAGAACAGCCCCTCCCCGAGACCCTTCGTCGCATGTCCCTCTTAACAAGGATACTATGTTTTTTGGCACTTGGACGTCCAAATCTCGAAGATCACTGGAAGTCGCTGCAATCAGAGCAAGCCTTCGAAACCGTTAGGAGCAGGTCATGCTCTATCCTGGCCAGCACTATCACCACGGTAAGCTGTCCAACTCCGTGTGAGCTCAAGCTGACGCTGACTGTCTGACACACTCCAAAAAAGGCAAGTGTCCTCCTCGCTACAAGCGTTGTTTTCGTCAGTACGGGATCTCCCGTGCCATACCTGGACTATACATCACCCGCTCCTCATTGTCTACTCTTTATATCACTCATGCTCGCCATGATCACGGTATTGACATCCGGCTCGGGCATGGTACGCTGGCTACACACTGATCGGCAGTGGACTCGAGAAGTAAGATTTATTCTCACCATTCTGATTACACTGGCTGACCTGAATATGATCAGCAACTCAAACCGGGGGCTACTTCGTCTTGTCCTACTTGTTGTCAATAGTCACCCCCATATTCTTCGTCGCCTGGTCCCTACACTGTTTTATAGCCGGTGAGTTGTTTCATCATTTGACTCTCTCTCAGGTCTCTCATGTATCTCACCCCCAGCGATTTTAATAACAGGCTTTTGCTCCCAGAGCATGATCTGCCGTGTTGCCACTGCGCTCTGGCTTGTTATGTATGTCGTCAATATTGGAACGATACTGATGCAATCCGTGTGGAAGTATGCGACATCACGCTAGAGTAATTGGTATATGTATGCAATCTGTGGCTTTCAGTTATACCAATCTTTCGAGAGCACCTCACGCCGTATGAAATCATATCAGTGTGAAAGCTCATGGAAAATTTCTCTTACCCACGTTTTTCGCAAAGCAAGCGGCAATCAGAAACCACGACATAAATTATTGTGATTATTGCATGAAGCAAACCTGACCTTCACTGGTGACCACCACTTCCCTTAAATTTGAAAAGCTTTGACAAGTTCTGCTCGCAATCATTCGTGGATGAGGCTCTAAGCTTAGATCTTAAACGGACGGCCCGGTGGGCGCTAGTCATCGTTTGACTCATCCAAGCTTGAGCATATCTGCACTGGAAGAATTCATTAACAGCGAAACTCCGAGTCCAGGGGAGCCGTTCAAGTTGAGTCCTAGCCGTTAACATTAGCTATTTGACCCTAATTCTGGAGTCCGTGCCAACACAGGGCGCCGTTCTGCTCCTCGGAAGACTTTTGCTTCCTTAGCGCCTATCTCACCCAGTATAGCGCTCAGGTACAGAAATCATGCCGTAAATTTTAGATCTGAGTTGTAAGGTTCAGTCAAATAAAATAATTCAACGAAAGAGTCTCAAGAGGAATCACTGTGAGAACAGCAAAAACAGTTGATTGGTGGTAGCTACAGTAACACAACATGTGTCTAGTATTGAAATTGACTAGCTCAATGAATGTACGAGAACATATATTTACTTCGGTATTACAATGTCATAACCTAATTGAACGGTGCTGAAAGCTGGAGACGCGCTCGGCGATGGTTTACACCGTTCTGCCTGACGTCAGAACCAACGATTGCGATGGCATGGTGTGCCTGTGGTGCAGATGGTGTTTGGGTTTGGGAAGGTGACCCAGAGGATGTGCCTACAGTGTTGTAGGTGCGTGGAGGCTCAGTGAAGGGGGTGCGGTGCATACATTGTGTCGAGTGTTTCCGAATGATGATGACAGGCGGAGTGAGCGTGGTTAGGAAAGGCTGCAGAAAAGAATTGACTTGCTCACCAAATATTTTCGGTGCGCGTCGTGTCGTCATAAAAACTTCCTATTGGTAGGTGTGAGCCATATTATTGTATGCGGGAATCAGAAGCGGTTGTGGCAATGGTCATCAGACTGTTTGTGGGACGGGTTGCACTGAGAATTGAATAGGGGTTAGTAGAAGGTACTGAAAGCCAAAAAAAAAACATATGCAGCACATCTGAGGGTTGCACTGTTGGTGGCGAAGGGCATATTTTTCGAGTTTGGTTCAAGTTCAAGTGGATTGCAATGCATTGTCGACAGTGACATGTGAGAGTGCACGAAGATAGTACAATATTGCCGGCCCGGGACGTTTTGCTAAGTTAGGTTTTGAACTCTGTCAGGAGTACACCTGTAATATGGCTGGACCGCCGGTACTTATGTACCTGGGCGTATGTGAGCGTAAATAGCCAAATGAAATACGTCCCAGTCATTTGTAGAACGCTAGATACACAGCGGTATGTTAATTTCTAATATCTGATCAGATATGTGGTCAACTGTGCCTACCTATCGTGAAATTGTTGCAATTGAAACCTCGACACCAGTTACCATTGTGAAGTCTCCCGCAGTTGATCTTGCATCTCGGTGCGGAGAATATCTAGTTGTCGCTCGATACACGCCTCAAGGAACTGAGAAATCACATATAAGTAGTACTGGGAATAGGTAATAACTCACGGTTATCAAAGATGCGGGGTCAACCTGCACAAACAGTTGAACCAGCGTCCTCCTGATCATTTGCCAGTCTCCCGATATGTCTTCTGAATCTATCGTTGACAATGACCACTTAGTACTAATCCTAGTGCAATGGCGATTATTAATCGTTGGTTTCTTGATATATTTAGCAAGCTCATCTCAGGTAGAGTCGTTCCTTGGATATGTATAATATGTTCCATCCGAGTCGTAGATTGGGATTGTCCGTCAGAAGTGAGAATTTAAAAGATTGTCGTCCACGTTGTGAAACAGTTTTGGCCTAGTGTTCTGCAAATGGCTGATTATCAGCTCTGAGGGCCGTCTGTTCAAGGTCCAAACTTCTGCACCAACCTTTTCGTTCTGTTTAAATTCAGGATATGATACTACTGAGCCTATATACCTAGTGGGACTACAGGTTCTGTTGCACGACTGCAACCACGAAGCGAGACCGGCCAGCTGCATCCAGTAACCATGACCCACCGGCAGGGTAGTTTACGGTTGGGGGAAGGCTAGTGGGGGGTAGGAAGCTTCAAACCTCAAGTCTCGCAGCCTTCAGCGCTTCAAGACCCTAAACTCACTCACTGAGGAACTTGTTTTGGCTGTTTCCGAACCGAACATTCTTAGCCAGATGTGCCTGAATGCGGCCTTACTACGAACCAAACATCGTTAGCTGGATGTTCCTGAATGCTGCCATACTAAGGGTGGTACGTCGTCACTACAAGAGTGAAGCAATGCGAGCTGGAGTGGCCACAAAAATATTGAGTGCGGCTAAGAATGAACCATATCCAAGCCAGCAGCAAGCAGCAAAAAGCCCTCAAAGCAGAAGCGCCCTGTGGCAGGTGTTGGGCAGTGTTGGGCGCCGGCACAGTGGTGCTCATTACATGACAGCAAGAGTGATCAGGTTTCGCACCTGATTGGCATCACAGAGGAATATCATCGTGCAGTCTTAAGATTCAAACCAACAAGGTATGCTCGATGCTGGTCTGGACTCCAGAATTAAGGTCAAATGGCTAATGATAACGGCTCCCCTGGACTCGGAGTTTCGCATTCTTCCAGTGCAGATATGCTCAAGCTTGGGTGGGTCAAACGCCGGTGACTAAACACCGTGGGTAGTCCTGGGCGATCTGTTTAAGGTTCAAGCTTTGAGCCTCGTCCATGAATGATTGCGAGCAGAACTTGTCAAAGCTATGTTCAAATATTGTTTTCAAATTTCAGGGAAGTGGTGGTCACCAGTGAAGGTCAGATTTGCTTCATGCAATAATCACAATAATTTATGTCGCTTGCTTTGCGAAAAACGTGGGTAAGAGAACTTTTCCATGAGCTTTCACACTGATACACATGGATTGCATCAGCATCGTTCCAATATTGACGATATACGTAACAAGCCAGAGCGCAGTGGCTACACGGCAAATCGCGCTCTGGGAGCCGAAGCCTGTTATTAAAACCGCTGGAGGTGGAATACATTGAGGGGCCAGCAAGAGCATCAAATGATGGAACAACTCACCGAATATAAAACAATGTAGGGACCAGGCGACGAAGAATATGGGGGTGACTATTGACAACAAGTAGGACAAGACGAAGTAGCCCCCCGGTTTGAGTTGCTGATCATATTCAGGTCAGCCAGTGTAATCAGAATGGCAAGAATAAATCTTACCTCTTGAGTCCACTGCCGATCAGTGTGTAGCCAGCGTACCATGCTCGAGCCAGATGTCAATATCGTGATCATGGCAAACATGAGTGATATAAAGAGTAGACAATGAGGAGCGGGAGATGTATAGTCCAGGTATGGCACAGGAGATCCCGTACTGATGAAAACAACGCTTGTAGCGAGGAGGACACTTGCCTTTTTTGGAGTGTGTCAGACAGTCAGCGTCAGCTTGAGCTCACACGGAGTTGGACAGCTAACCGTGGTGATAGTGCTGGCCAGGATAGAGCATGACCTGCTCCTAACGGTTTCGAAGGCTTGCTCTGATTGCAGCGACTTCCAGTGATCTTCGAGATTTGGACGGCCAAGTGCCAAAAAACATAGTACCCTCGTTAAGAGGGACGTGCGACGAAGGGTCTCGGGGAGGGGCTGTTCTTCGGCGAGTGCTCTTTTCATATAAAGCTGTAAAGGCCAGGTTTAGTTATACGGAAAGGATTGCTAAGCTGTGAAAGTGCACCTCAGTGGAATAGAATGAGGTCATGGCGTTGCAGAGAGTACAAATGGGCTAATGCACTTCCCATACTGACAAGGAGATGGGACACATTTTATATACAATGGATCGGAAGGAAACACAGCACGCATCAGCGTCAGTACTAGTCTTAAGCGCCAGCCGAATATGGCGGTGACGGGTGACAATTACTCTTTGAGGAGCTACCTTGGTCTAATTGTCCTCACTCAAGTCTCGTGGTGACGCAGGCGTCGAGGATATAACCAGCAAATCGAGGACCCCGTTGTAAGGACAAGGGGCCTCCATGAATTCGAGTGCAAACAAGCACAAACTCGAGACCGTACCTAAAAATACAACGCTAAACTACAATGGGCGGGAAAGTATATGGGTGGGTGCGCAAAATAGCTAGCGAGACGAGAAATTCGAGTGAGAAGAGGTAAGGACCCCCCAACTCGATACGTCCCGCTAGTCATAGACCGTTGGCTCCACTAAAGGAGGTGGCAATAATGATTGCGCAAGATGAATTAGTCATATTGCGTGATGCACGGGGCATCAACTACAATTGACCAAGGGACAGGCCCTAGTAAAGATGGGCTTCGGGAAGATCAGAAGAACGAGGAGCACGCTCGTCCAATTACCCCGGTGTAAATAAAGATAAACTCGATTAATTGCAAGGTTCCTTTCACACGTTGACAGAATGTTGCCGGTGATGTGTTACCTGTTCCAACTCGGGGCTTTTTCGCTTAATAGCTCTCAGTTACCAGCAGCATACTGTAAGTTATCACCGGGAGACCCCAGAAACGTACGGAACCGGTCCGTGTATCTTAATTCTCGGTTAATTCTTATTAGAAACTGCGCTGCTTATGTACTCCTTGCCTTCCAACCACCATCATCATCCTCCACATCGTCCTCTCCATCATATGGTCCTCCACATTGACCTCCCTCTCGTTCTGTCCATCGGCAAAATCAACGAGTTGCGCACGCTGGTTATCTTTTTCACCACTCGCTTGTTTATCTTCCGTGCGCTCGATCCTTGGCCTCCCGTCAAGAAAAACAAATGAGTTAATTCCCCAATGCCCCGCTTAGGCTGCTGTATGTGCTAATACATGCCCATGTCTGCCTTGCAGGTTCTTGTTTTCTCGTTCTTTGATTTGTCGAGATGCAATAGTCAATGATACCAGCACCCAGTGTCAATGCGTGTGTCAGTGTGTTGTACATTGACAGTGGTATACTTTCATTTTCAGTGTTGGATCTCTGCATGAAGTGATCTTGGTTGACCTCGAAGGGGGGTAGGGGCAAAACGAAGGGTAACTGGAGGTTATTGTTTGCTGGACTATGAGGTGGATCTGTTGACTGGGAATATAATTTTATTCGTTGTTTCTGTGATCGAACTATTGGTTGTGTCAGTACACCATGTAAAACTTTTAATTCAAGCTTACTTTGTCAACTCACAGCACGCTTTGCCCGGTGTAGATGTGTTGATTCATTGTCGCGAGTGTTAATTCCGTGGATGATATGGAGATCAATGCTAGATGTGGCACGGACATCATACTCATATCCACGCATGATTCCTGCAAGCAATGTTAAATTGATTCCGTCTCGATTGATGTTACGATGGGCTTGCTCATTCCCATTTGTAGTCGTTGGTAATGCTTTCCATATTGCAATTGGTATGAAACTCATTGGGCGGTAGATTGCGGGCAATGCAAACTTCGAAGACTCCTTGTCTTTGAGCCATGCTACAACGGCAACATATTATAAGATGTTTGCTATGATGTTTAAGATAAACCTTACCTCATGCCTTTTTTCCGCCCTGACGAATAATAGATAGTGTTGTTCGAATATTGGGATGGGCTTCTGCAGATGCAAGGCTTAACATTGCATCATAGATGTTTTTCGAAACTTGACTGCGAAGTGCTAAAATGTTTCTCTTAAAATGTGTGATGCATAGACGGTAGAACCGGCGAAGATGGTCATAAGGATCCAAGTCACAAATACGCCGATGAGGCTCTCAGATACAGTACTGGGACTGTCCTTGAGAGACCTCGACACAATACATGCCTAAGCCTGATGGGAGGTAATTTAATTTGTTATTGTGAGCCGAAAAATAATTACACACCTTTTGCTTGCCCTCGGTGACCATCAGCAATGATGGATTCAATACTGAAGCCATGAATGTGATAGAAGGCCACTGGGATGCCAGTATCTTGTGTTGCAATCTCAAAAATTCGCCAAAAAAGAATCAAATGAGCCTCAGCTGTTTGCGAGTTGGTCATAGCACGAGCTGAGACTACAGCTATAAAATCTCAGTAAGAACGAAGACAAACAATGTTTGAGAAACTTACACCGCATATGATCATCATCCCAGGATTCAATCTCAAACTCTTGCCATCCTTGGACACGCTTGAATGATGTATCTATAGACAAGCACTTCGAAGAAAGGAGGTGTTGTGACATGCGACTTGTCATACAAATGACCAGACGAAGGCCTGAGTCTACATTAGGTATATCATGTGTCTCCACACAACGAATATATTGTTGTTTGAGTGGAAGCATTTTTTGCTTGTCAGCAAGTAACTTGGCACCTGGAGGGCTGATGTGAGAATCATTGAGCAACAACAACAAAAACTCACCATCAAATCCAGTCTCATTAGGGAAATGGTCCATGCGCATAACATTTATCAGCCGTCGTACATGATCGAGATTTCCGAGAGATGGATGCAAGTCTTCCAGATGTGGATCAAAATCTGCTGTAGGACTCCATCCTAGAACACAGCGCAGTTCTTGCATAAATCCAGAGTCGAGAACCAGCCGACGAGGAGTTGCATCAGCCAGTTTCCATTCTAGTCGCAAGAGAAGTGAACTGAAACACTTGACTATCGCAGGGGGTGTTTTGACAGGGAGTGGGGGTGCATGAGAATGGGGGTTTCTTGAGACAATGAGAACTTGCGGACAGTCAAAAAGGTCATTTGGGACATAGATATCATATGTTGTGGTGCACTTGTGGTTCCATTTTCGAAGAACACCTTGACGAAGCACCCCATCACTCTTCCGGTGCCAGTATGCTGAGAGAAACTTAACATTCGGAAACCAAAACTCGGGATCATAACACTCACGACACAATTGCTTTTGCTCAACAGGGGAGGCCATGAATGTGCAGGGTGCCAAAGGACCATAACCATGGGCACGTGCATGTTCCTCGAATTGAAAAATACTTGCTTGGTCATTTTCGAGCAGTGCGCGGAGGTATGGAATGTCAAATTCTTGCAAGTTCTGCAGAACAAGATGTGCACGTTGTGCCATTGAAAAATACTCGCACCTGTATGATATTTAGCACATATACTGTCCGCCAAACTCTGTCCATAGTACTCACTGAACAAAAGGTTGATTGAATTGACCAATAAGCATCACAAGGTTGCCCTTGCACGTTTTGCGCTTCTGTTCACGACGGCTCAATAGCGCATCAACATCAAATTCGGACTCAGAGTCCACATCAGTGCTTTCCGATTCATGATACAGTAATAACTCATTAGTAGAATCTTCTAGATTACTTTCAGATGATAGGGAGCAGCCCTTGTCTTTGATGGCGCAGAAGAAATTGAGTGTCTTCAAGAAAACCTCCTTCTGGGCCTCAGTTTGAGGCGAGTCTGAGTGTGAAAGCGGGGAAGTATGATTGAGTGAGTGACGGTCAACATAATCGTGAGTGAGACAGTCATCAGGCTGAGCTGAGCACAGTTTCAGTCCTTTGCCTGTTTACAGCCAATAAATAACAATAAAAATGAATAGAAAAATGTACTTACATGATGTTCGCAGCTTCGAGCAAAGAACAGACTTGCCAGAAGGGTCCTTGAGTAGAAAACACTGTGCATTTTGACGTCCGTTGTGAGAATCACCAAGAGAGTATTGTAAATTAAATTTTGGGTGGATAAATAAGTTCAGATTGGGGTCAATATGGAAGATGTGAGCAACTGCAAGACCTGGCGCAGAGCCAGTTTGAGGATACTCGACAATTGCACTAAGAGGATGCTCAATGATGGCGTCAACACTAGTTTCACAGTTGATTTTGTTGCAGCCTCGTGCAACTTCATCTGTGGTGAACAAACGAGCAGGAGGTGGACGGTAGCATGCAGCAATAACCTCTGGTGATGGATTTACTGGCTGTTGTACTGAGGTGAAAGGAGCAGCAGGCGAAGCATCGCGAGAAGGAGGTAAGTTAGTGTTGAGATCGAGAGGTGAAAGACCAGCATTATCGAGTATATCCTGCGCAGCCTTGAGAGCGGCAAGTTGCACATCAGACAGGTTTGACATGGGGAATGAGGTATGCCATTGTGATGAGTGTTGGGGCCTTAAGTACGAAACTACTACGAGGGCAACAGATTTTGCATGAAGTTAGTGTTGAAGAGAATCCCGATAAGTGTTGCCTGATTTGGACAATATTGAGGTGTTCAAGTGGCCGTAGGTGTTAGCGCCTCATGCCAGCGCCTTCTTCACTGTTCAATTGCCCAGCCAGTCCACCAAGGATGTGGCAACACATGGTACACGGCCAATTTCAAGACACGATGCAGCCTAGCACATTGACAACCACGGAACTAATGTTCAGGACTGTAAGTTTCATAAATCGATGTGAACATTGACACAGTGTCAGTCCAAGTCCAAGACACTCGCTAGTGGTCCAGTTGCACTAAGGCGCACCCACGAAAGCACCTGAGAATGCAGTCCGTTATGGAGACTAGCTTCATTGCAGCCCATGGTGGACAGGCAGAGTAATACAATACCCATTCTGTGAGTGATCCCTCTCAGTATTTTGACTTCAATATTGAATCATTGACGTCAATCCCGTCTCTTGTTTGCAGTTCGCTATTTTTACATGTGAGTTTGCTTCAGTTCCTTGTGCTTCTGTTGCTTCTTGCTGACGCCAAGTCTAACACGCTGCTGGGGTGTCACCCAAATGTCATCCACCCTCATATACCAGTACCGATGCCGTCGCTCATCCCAAGCCAATTTGTAAGTTTTTTCTTGGTCTTCTAGTTCATTCTGACATTGAGCACACTTAGCCGTCACTGCCGCCGCCTGTAAATCAATGCCACCACTGCTATATAAGCTGGTAAGTTGCAGGCATTGACTTTATTCAATTTTCATCTCAACTTGAACTGCTACATTCACAGTCACGCATCCCGTATCTACAACCATGGTTCCCTGCATCAACCCTGTATTTCACCCCTGCATCGCTGCGCAGTGCACTACCAATGAACTCATTGTGTATGCTCGAGAAGTTGGTCAGGTTGTGACTATTGCCTAGTAAGTTTTACTCTGTTGCTTGCTCATTCTTTTCCTTTGCTCACAAAATTGCATTAGCCCACAGACTGCCCAAGGGTACCGTGTTATGCCAGAGGGCTTTTTTTACTGGCTCAATCGGCGTGGACTCACGTTTGAGTGTTTCTGTGGCCTTGTTTCCAGCCAGTCCACTCCAGCATGCTTTGTCCACGAGTTCATCTCTGGACATGTCATTGTGCGCTGCAATGACATAGAAAATCACTGTGGTTTCTACTGTAGGTTTCTTTTTTTCCCCTTCATCTTCCAAATCCCTCACAGCCCAATCAGTAAACTTGACTAACATTCGAGCCACTGCATCATTGACTTCACACTATGAGAACATCCTCACATGCTGTAAGTTAAAAAATGTACTCAAGACAAATTTTCTCAGTACTCTTGCAGGGCGTGGTGGGATTCCAGATCTGCCCACACTCATTGCAACTTTCCGCAATACATTCGGGCAGCAACCTTACACATTGACCGAAGTAGCCCCAATATTTGCTGGCTACTGTGGTATCCATGAAAGCATTTTCCCTGGGTACCCTCAGCTTCGCAGTGGCATTGACCATTCCGCAAGACGTGCACACACCCCACAGACACCTCACAAAGTCATTCACCATCATCGTCATCAACCATGTGAGTATTCAGACCTAAATAATACACGTCACTAAATGATACTACAAGACACCATCACTCCATCCAAAGCCTCGTGGCCCTCACTCGCTCACCAATCTTCAGCCTTGGTTGGATCTCGTATGCATGCAGGACTGTCTTGTTCGAACAACCCGCAGCTATCTGCGCACGAGAGGGATGTGTTAGCTAGTCTTTCAATGGGGTTGGGAGTCAGTCGCAAAGATAGCTTTGGAATGATGGAGACATGTGATGGATGCAGCAAGGTACTTGTTCGGAGTGCACTGAATGCCCACATTCTACTAGGGGAATGTGGGCAATGTCGCTCATAGGTCTTACATATATATACTCCAGTGAATCATTTGTTTTATATGCTACGCGATGGTGTTTGGGGGATTTTGGGCTCCAGATGTTCGGATTTGAATGTTATCAAATGTCAGAACCGAATGAGGCTCCAAGTTGGAACAGGGCACCACATACTCGAATGTTGCCGACAAATTAGCAACTTCTCGTTCACATCAGATGATCACATTTACCGGTGATCAACTTAAGTTGTACTATCATTCCGGGTAATCTGCAACATTTTCATCAAATCTTTTGTAGCTCGTCAATCACTTCATATTATCTTCCACGAATTTAGAGTGTTGTAGATTCGTACCGCCTCTATATAGATCTTATTTTTGCTCATTTTTAGGATTTTGTGGTGTGGTGTCGGATGAAAGCCGAGAAAATTCAGGGTCTGACTGCTAATCTGCAAAATATGGTCACGTCGAGTCACACCTCGGCATAGCACCGGCACAGTCAACTTTGACTCTCCTCACTGCGCTCTCAATCTGTTGGTGTTGAGTCGTTGAACTGGAAGCTTGAGCTTGAAACTTAATGCTCTGATAAATAATGAATACAGCAATATATTATCATCAAGTATCGTGATTTATGTAATTATTATGAGTGTACTGGTGATATGGTCCTGAATAAGGTTCTTGGTCTTCTCCTCTCCGATAGCCTGAATAGCAGCAGTGAAGTTGGCTTCGTGAATCACATCTTCTTCAGCTTTCTTCTGACTGGTAGTATGCCTGCAGTTTGGTGCCATTGTAACAAGGATGTGAGAATGATGCAAGAGGAGACAACAATGCAAGACTTCGTGCACTTGCTGAGTGTGCCATAGAGGAGATTGAATTTGTTACACACTCTCCTATCTACTGTCACATTTTCATACATGTCATCAATTCTTCCTCTATAGCATCTTAAAATGACAGGATGAGCTTTATCGAAATTGTGTTCTGTAATCCTGATGAGGTGATTGTTGTGCTCCAGGTATAACTTTAGGAATATACCTGCAGGATCTATGGGATCTGGATAATTTATGTTCCTGCATGGTTACAAATTACCACTATTTCATCCCTCGCAGCTGCAACACGCAAGAAATTTTCATTCTACTTGGACAGTACATCATATATAAGTAGTCTACATATGCATGAATTTTTTTGAAGTGAGTTGAGCAGTGCGTTGAGGTGTTTTGAACATTTTGCATATTGCATGCATGTTGCAGATTACCCGGAATGATAGTACTACAACACCTCAATCATGCTTCCCATTCGACAGTATGTTCAGTTGGAAGGAACTAATACTAGGACCACTTCTGTTTATGGTCGGACTGAGCACAGCATGCACAGAGGTATAGATGTCCATCATCCTACAGCCTGTTGAAGATCAGTTAAATGGTTTCATGGATACATGTGTTGGATATCTATTTAATGCATGTATTCTTGGAACTTGCATTACACAACATTATGGCCTCCTAATTTGTGCCTTAAGAGCAGAAATTCTACATAGAAATTTCAGCAGCACTGCCTCACATGCTCACAACTAGTGTTGTTAGCAAAACTACCGAGTTTTGCCAACCAGTTTGGCAAAACTGGTTGTGCCTGGTCCTCGGCAGAACTCACGCAAAAGGGAAGTGGCAAAACTTGGTAGAACTCCAAGGTATCTAAGACTCGCGGAGATATAATTTAGATCTCTGATAACATATTTTGATTTGAAGAGAACATGCAAAATAATGTCCCTAAAGTAAGATGGTGCATGCTGGGGGGTGCCCCCTTGCATCACTGATCAACCACAATTTTGAGCACCTGGAACGAGTTGACAACAGCTCACATTGTTACTACTGGAAATGCAAACATTGCAGCGACGCTGATAACTCATCAGGTGCTTGAATCCAAGGTCGTGACAACAACCTACCAAACCATCTTATCAAGCTTTGTCAAAATGCAACTGCTCCTCTGCGCCAAGCAGCGCACGCATTTGTTATGGAAAAGACAGGCAACTGCAGTGCCACTGATTCAAATGCTATTCTTACTTTGTAATCTTTCAGTCAACACATTTGAAACACTTGGCAAAATTCACGCAAACCTTTGACACCACAATGCCGTAAAAGCTGCACAGGCTGGGAAGTCCACCTGCCGTCGACATGCTCGCATGCACACTCGGGAAGAGGTCGGCATTGCTGTCAAGACTGCACAGGATCTTGAAGCATCCTTTGCATGGGCGCCTCCGCTTTCGACTGAGCCTCGCAATGCAGATGACCTTCTTGCTGGTCCGGAGAGTATCTCACCTGGTGACATCGCTGCTGAATTTGAAGCTCTCGAAGAGCTGAAAATGACGGAAGAAGTTCAAAGCATTAACAAAGTCGAAGTGCTCGAGGGAAATGCTTTTGATTTCAACGAGTTGGATCGGGTTGAATAAGGAATAATACCGCAGACCGTTCTAGATGAGGTTGAGGTGGTTAATTACACTGGTGAGGGTGATGGCTGGGACGAGGAAACATTGATGTCATCATTAGGAATGTCATAGGCTACACATAGTCTACATAACCTAGCTGAGCGCCTAGAGTTTTGCCAAGTTTTGCCCCCCACACTACGAGTCAGGCTCAAGGTTTACACTGTATTTGGTAAGTAGTATACGCCATCAACTGATGCGCACGGCCGAAACCAAAACTTGCCGATGGTATGGTAGTAGTGGTGGATCTAATTGAGCATGGCGGTACTACAGAGATCATAATGCAGATCTGAGATTATCAATCTCACGTATTTACTAGTGCTCTTTAGCTAGACAGCAAAGGAAGATATCTAGTCATCCCTTCCAATCAAAGTGTGCACCATAGTCATTTAAGATGGGCATCACGTTAGCGAGCTTACATAGTCAAACGGCAACTCGTGCCGATGCCCCTTGTGTCCTGCTAAGTCTGCGTCCAACACAAACAACATGCAGAATTATCATGGCACTCTTACACCAATTCAGATAACCAACCGCTAGCCTCCCCACTACTCCCCAAGCGATTCCTTCTTGCAAACTACCTTCACATCACCATCCATCCATCGTCACCTTCGTCTGCCTTTCATGGGCATTATCCACGGTCACACCATATCAATGAGCCCCCAGCTCCTCCGCAGACACCTGGACAATGTATTCAAATGCAAGTCTGACGTCAAGCCAGGGAAACGCACGGGTACGAGTAACACCACGGCTCTTTGCTGACGGGTTTGGCGGGTACGGGGTAGGATAGTCATATCCTTGAGCATACCATGACCCTTTACCGTGGGTTGGTGGTATGACTTCCTGAATCCAGAAACTTGACAGAGCCATTGAACGCCGTACTATAACTCTGCGTGTCGCCTTAAGCTCTGAGTACTTGAGGAGCACAACTGAATGCTATACTGATGTCTTTCATGTCCTTCGCGCCCCTGTGAGTAATTCTAGCAATTTATCGAGCTGATACGTTGTTACGGAGAAGCTCGAGTTGCTACCATCAAGTCAAGGCAAAAACTCGAGACCAGTAAGTTCACCAAGTTGTTTCTTCATGAAAACCAAGCTCACAAAGAGGGCATCTGATGCCTCGTCTACTCAGTCGCGCTCATCATTTAAGACTATCTCGTCGTCCATTTTAGAGAAGGCCAAGTCACTCAAGAAGGTTGTCGCAAAGGGTGCTGAGGCTCTGGCCCGCCCTTTGAAGAAGGTCAAGCAGTCATTTGTGTCTCAGTCAGCTCAATTGAAACCCACAGATACCGCTGATCTCACACGATCAAGTATTGATTTGCTCACCAGTGACAACGACAAAGCAACGGCAGGTGCACCCAATGCTGATCCTGATCCTGCTGCAGATCTTGGTGTTTCTTTCCATCGATTCTTGCAAATATCTTATTAGGCGATGATACAGAGGCTCTCCAGAAGACTTGGCGGTCACCTATCTATAACTTTTGTTATTAGTACACTCTTCTTGGCAATGTACCCGCGGTGTTGACGGGTGGAGGTACTGTGTCAGCTTTCCGACCCGCGGTGCGGAATCCTAAGCCAGGCTCGAAAACGAATGCGGAGCCCAGATGAAAACTTACCCAGAGCATATGGTGAAAGTCCAGGGGGAACAAAGCATTCATGTCGTCGAACACCAACGGAGACTCCGAGAAGCTGAGCGTATTTTTGAGAGCTCTCCCGGCTCCCCCATTCTGGTCGATTTCGCGAGCTATCGGGGCAAAAATAATTCAAAATAGACTGGTTGCATGCGCCCAATACCCCAATGATGACCCCACTCAACCCCAGATATCGACCAGATCCCCATCGATGGGTTTGTCCCTGCCCACATTTTGCCAAGAGTCGGTTTCTCACCCGCAAGTACCTGGTACAAAATGTACCATGCTGCGCCTACCTTTCCCCTCAAAGTCTGACGAAACCGCACGATAATGTTCTGCGCGCATCAGTTTACATCATGGGGAACTGAAAATAACACTCGGGCACCGGGTGTCCCCGATCATACGCATGTCCTGGGGCGTCCCATGATGCATCGATGAAAGCTTATTCGACCCGCTAATAGGGTATAGCGCGGGTATACCCGCGGGTCGGAAGATCAACACCGTACCCATACTAACCCGCGGTATAGCAGCCTACCCCCGGTGTTGTATTTACCCGTGGACATACAAGAAATAGTAACACTATGTAGGTCCAATAACCTCACCCAACACTCTCGTCTTCTCGTTTTCTTTTCTTCGGAGACTTCATGATCTTAGTAAGGTCCTCGGGTGCTACCAGATCACAGCGGAGCCATGAGCCGAGACAAAGGAATGCACGAGTCGATGACGGAGACAAGCGGTTTCGAGTGAAGTGTAAAAGGTGCCGGCCTTGCGAAAATACACGTTCCACGGCAGTCGAGGTAGCTATGGTGTGCAACACATAAGCTGTGATGCTAGCGAAAGTGATGGTGCACGACCTACCAGGAATACTAAGGCAATCAAGTGCCATCCGGTGCAAATTCGGATACGTCTTTTGATTATGGACCCACCATTGCAGTGGGACTTTGCTGGTTGCCGCAAATAGTCGTCAAGCTCATCTACTAGAGATGCCGTCGTGACACTGGACAGTCACAGCATCAAGCTTAAAAAACGAATAGACTGCTGAACGCCAAGTTTTCTTGAGTGCGTCTGTGAGTGAAAATCAATCAAGGTCTATGCAAACGCGAACAATAAGTTCACATACCTAGATCAGCTTTGTCACCCTGTTCGGCGGCAGGAGGCGCATCATTTTCATCAACATCAACATCAATTACCTCTGGAGCAGCGGATTGCAACTTGGAGGGATTGCTTTGGCCCGTGGAAGGACAAGCTTAACACATTTTGCAACATTGTCCACTATGGGCTGCAGAGATAACGATACATCTGAACGCGTTGAGGTAGAATCAGCAAGTGAGGTCGTGTCATTGGCAGTAGACTGATTAACCATAATGATGGAATAGATGGGGTATTGAGAAATGTAGAGTCTGCATACCTCACTTTATACTGTTGAATCACCGAGTTGTAATCAGTAATAGTAATGTGTCTCCGAGACGGAAGAATATGAACTGGTAGGAATATTGAAGCAGCGAGAAATAGGATCGAAGCAGTGGGTCACTGTTGCAGTCAACGACCCTCCGAAAAATAAGGATCGTAGTGAGTGGCGAATCCTTGTCATGTCCAACATATAGCACCGCGGAGAACATTCGGAGATAGCGCAGCTACCCGTGAACATACCCGTACACCGTGCTGACGGGTACGGTATGGCCACGGGTAACACATCTCGACACCGTATCCGTACCCGCCATACCCGTGACCCCCATGCCCGTGCTATACCCTACCCGCTAAGAAGCAACAATACCAATACTTTGCCTGGTACCAAGATGGGATTGAAAAAACGTTGCAGTCACGTATCATACACGCTAGTGATGTAGCCAATCTACCCAGAATCACTGTATCAGCTGAATGAAAATACCACAGAAACAAGACTCACCGATAGCACAAACCACACGAACGCCTGTGCATCAAACGTGATCGCGACACTCAAGGACCCACAGGGGTAATAAACAACCCCTTCAAGGACTCTATCGCCATTCTCGCGCTCATCCTCAACTTCCCCTCCCCACCACCTTCAGCATCAGCAAACCCAAGCCCCATCTTCAGCGCCGCCCTCTGCACCGCCTCATCTTCTCTCCCGGCATCTCCCTCCCTCTTCTTCCTTGTCCACCACCTTACCGCGCGTTCGCGCAGTTCAGGGTCGCGCATAACAGCAGCACGTGTGTATTTTAACAAATGTGCTCGAGGGATAGAACGCTCGAGGTGTGCGAGAGCTGGGGCGAGGGACATGCTGGGTGGTCCTGGATTTTGTATCTCTGGGAGGAATTGGGTAAGGATTGGGAGAAGAAGGAAGAGCGCTTGGCGTGTAAATTGGATGTTGTCATGCCACTATTCATACTAAGTTAGCGTGTAATTGGAGCTTAGAAGTAGGAGACATGTACCATGAAGACTCGAGTTCCGTCTCTTGGGAGTGGAGCTGCGCTAACGGAAACTAGGAGGTAGCCTTCTGCGAGGGCTGCACATACTAAGACGCCTAAAACATACCCCCTCCATCTATCCCTTCCATTCGCGCTGGAAGTAAGCAACAACAACACCGCAGCAGTACGGACATAAGCGATAAGGGCACCTGCGAATACAAAGAGGGCATAATCACCCGCAGAGGTACATGGAGCGCATGTCTGTAGCGCCCTTTGACCAAACCTGTAGGTGGTCATGAATTCGCAATGCAAGGAGAATAGGGTAGGGACGCACCGAACGAACCACCCCCTCGATTCATCCGTCTTGAGGCGACTTAGTAAAAGTTCGAGATCAGGTGGCATTGGCATGGACACTGCAAGTCCACCATCTCCTGCTCCTGCTCCAAATCCAGCTTCTGATAGTAATAACGCACGAATACGGTCAACGGGGAGAGTAAGAGGGATACGTAGACGGGAGAAGAGGTTTGGTGAGCGTTGGATGAGAGCGTATAGGGAATATAACGAGTGAAGAAGTACGATGATAGGAAAAGACGTGCTTTTGCGTGTGTAGAACCATCCTAAAAGTATGATGAGGGACGTGAAGAAAACTGTTTCGATGACGCTCATTAGAAGACAAACATAGAGCACAGCCACATTCATCAGACTTCTTGCTGTGAGTATCCTAGTGTCCGGTCCAATTCAAGTTAGTCTCGCTTTGAAATCCTGTCAAGCACACTAGGTGATCGCCCCAATACAGAATTCAATTGGAATTCCTTTTGTAATAATACTAGTAGTGCAACCCGGTGAACTAGTGAGGAGCGACACGACAATTGATGTATTTCGGAAGTACTGCCGATCATAGGAGAGCCACATCTTTATCCAAGTGGACAACTAAGAGCTGAGCGCTGGAGCACTTCTTCGTCAGACAAACAATTGAATAGTAGAAATGATTGAATGCCAAGACCCTCGATGCACCATTATTTAAGTTCTACCGATCCGTATGTACCGTGTTTTTTGTGTAACCTATTACTGAGACTGTATGATCTTCGTTCGTTTGGGTCGACCATCAGTGAATCGGTGAGTTCAGGTGATCATTATCGTGATGCTGACAATATATTCTTCTCACCGGTTCTCTGATGTCAGGTATATAATATGTGTTGCATCTCCTTGTCAGTATGGGAAGTGCATTAATCCTTCTTCACTCTTTCATTTGACTTCATGGCCTCATTCTATTCCACTGAGGTGCAGTTTGAAGTTGAGAAACCTTGCTGTATGACTGAACCTGGCCTTTACAGCTTTATGTGATTGCTGACCCAAGAACGCTCCCCGAAGAACACCTCCCCGAAGCCCTTCGTCGCATGTCCCTCTTAACGAGGGTACTCTGTTTTTTGGCCCTTGGACGTCCAGATCTCGAAGATCATTGGAAGTCGCTGCAATCAGACCAAGCTTTCGAAATCGTTAGGAGCCGCTTATGCTCTATCCTAGACAGCACTATCACCACAGTAAGCCGCTATCTCACTCTGCGTGAGCTCAATCTGGCGCTGACATCCTTTTAAAAAGGCAGGCATCCTCCTCGCTATAAGTGGTGTTTTCGTCACTACCGGCCCTACTGTACCATACTTCGACTATACATCACCCGTTCCTCATTGTCTGTTCTTTATGTCGCTCATGCTCGCTATGATCGCGATGTTGACATCTGGCTCGAGCATGATACATTGGCTACACTCCGATCGGCACTGGACTCAAGAAGTAAGTTTTTTTTCTCGCTTTACCACCTACACCCGCTGACCTAGTATCAGCAACTTAAGCCAGGCGGCTACTTCGTCATGTCGTACCTGTTGTCAATAGTTACCCCTATATTTTTCGTTGCCTGGTCCCTACATTGTTTCATATTTGGTGAGTTGTTCCATCATTCGATGCTCTTTTGGGTTCCCTGATGAATTCCACCCCTTAGCAATGGTGATAGCAGGCTTTTGCTCCCAGAGCGCGATCTGTCGCGTAGTCACTGCATTCTTGCTTGTTTTGTATGTCATCAATATCGGAACGATGTTCATTCAATCTATGTGGAAGTATGCGACAACATCTTCATCGTCAGACTAGGGAACGCTACTCAAAGTGTGCTACGACAGCCAACTTAACTCGTACTACTTAGCGGCTGTGATGAAGTCTCAATTACGCTAGATACCGTCAGTAATTTCTAATTTCTAATTTCCATTTTTCTCTTTCTTGTTTTACTTGTGATTTATCTATGTGATATATAGCCTCCCTGATGTGCCGCACACACTGGTGCGCTACAACTACTTTCATGTATTATCGATAGGCCAGATTTCATTTTTTCCGTCTTACCGCTTCTATTTACTCGTGGAACTGGACAAACAGGGTCCCACCTTTTACGATACTGTTCGCATGGAATACCCCCAGAATGACAAGGGACTTGGTTCCAACAAGTATCACTACCCCTACTTCCCCAGCTGAAAATATTGGAACTGACAGTACTGAATTGTCGAACATGCGCAAAGTTTATTTGATTCGAGACCTACAAAGAGCATTCTGCTTGCAATGCCTGCCCACGGTGTAGATAAAGTCACGTCGCTTAATCACTAGGGGTCGGCGCTGCCCACATTGCTCTGCTTATTAGTGTTCGGCGTTTTGCGGAGTGACAATTATATCTGACTCCCTCACGTGCACGACCATTTTCGCATCACGTGAGACCAAAAATAATCCACCCCTTCACAACCCCTTCACATGACGATGTTGCCGTGGAAGGGATAGTACTCGACCTCACTGGACTTGGTTGCCGAGCCCTAGGGTGCGCCTGGGATCTTCACGCAAGGAACACCGGAAGCATCAAGAAATCTGGCAAGCTCCTGAACTCCTGGATTGCTTTGAAGGCTGGAACTAAAGCCAGGTCTGAGATGATTGCAGTCACTGATTGCTTTCAAGGTGCTCGAAAAATCTTCCGTTGTGATTCAGACAGACGCCGCAGGAATCAACTGCCATGCTTGACCATGGGGAGTCCACAGTCATTCTCTGCCACTCTGGGTTTGCGGCCACTCTCGCCCGCCGCTGGTCTCTAGCCACTCGTGTACACCGCTGGTCCGCAGCCACTTGTGCCCACTCTGGGTCGACAGCCCATCATAGTACCCGATTTGTGTCTTCAACCATTCTCGCAAGCTGCTGATCTGCAACAACAGTTGCCCTTGCCCGGTCTGCAGCAGCCACTTCCGACCATACTTGGTGAGCAGCCACTCTCGGCCTCCCTCGGTGCGCAGCCAGCCATATCTGTCCTACAGTAGCCACTCGTGCCCGTCCGAGGTCTGCAGCATTTGTCGTCTGTGGAAGGTACACATCCGCACTAGGCTGAGACACATTCTACATCCTCACGATTGGCCTTTGCTACGTCCGCCCTCGTCTCTGGTCTAAGGCACTCATTTCTTTGTGACGCCATTCACTCTGCCGCGCAGTCTTTTTCTCCGGATCTATTGATCGTAGTACCATCTTCGAGGCTCGCATCCCTTGTACCTCCGTCGTTTACGATCATAGCGACGCCATGTGCAGTCAACATTTATTCTAAACTCCGAATCAATTCCAAGCTTACGGCAGTTCTTTGCGTGCTGTTCTTCAGGCAACATCCAGATCAATGGGCGACCCCTCCCCCTCATTCGACTCTCCTGGGGCGCCACCTCTATCAGAGAATTTTGGAGCCGACGCGCCGGCACTAGTGGTACCGTCAGCTATTCATTGAGTAAGGTTTGGACCACGGCAGCGACTATCACCATGCTGAAAATAAGTCAGGCGGGGACCTGACATTAACCCCAAAACGGATACAAACCATCAATTCTAATCACCATAGTCTGGACTCTGGAAGGGAGCGGTAGGTGCAGAGTTTATGAGAGGGCCAAGACAACATTGTTTTGCAAATTCAACTCGGCATTGTGGCTCTACTTCCTTAACTGGTCTCTTCTATTCCGCAACATTTGAGCTTACGGATGGTCACCCGTTCATTTTATAAAGAAGATTCGCATTCCCTGGAAGGGGCGTCCAAACGGTGTTGGAACGGGTACACTACAGGTGCCTGCAAATGCCCTTGACAACTCCTGTGAAAGTCCTTAATTTCATATACCGTACTCTCCGGGAGCGCGGTAGCAAATGTTGTCACTTTACCATTGTTATTGGCCAGTGTAACATGAAATTGTGGTAAGCGTAACGCAACCTCAAGACTGGAGAATTGTACGTCCATGCTTTCCTGCTGGCAGACTAACTTGAAGGGAAACGGCCGTTTCATCTGCGAGGTTGCGAGCTAGACTGTATAGTAGTTCATGACCGTCAGTGCTCGTACTAAACCGTCGCAGCTTGCCATGAATGTACATCGTCCAGCTGATTCTAGCTGAATCCAACCTGTCACGAGATGCGTGCTTTCTCAGGGATGTACAAATTGTGGTCTCGTGCTGTCTGGTACATGGAAGGAAAGTGGTCTTTCTTCCATACCCAGGCATTTCAGTAACCAAGCCAATCAGCAGGTCCAAATACCGCAGCTCACGAGACACATTTTAACTTTCTCCTTCATGTGGCGATGTATCTTCTCTCCGACTCTAGCGGCGATGTCATGGACATGATCGCACACGACTGAAATGCGAACGGGGATCATGCTTTACGGTATCAATTGTGACGAGGTGCACGTCACTGGGTACTGAGGCCGGTCGAGCCGTGATTCCAAACTACGTGTTCTTTACTACTCAGTACTCATCAGTGCAATTCAATCGCCACATTTAGCCTCGTTTAACCAAATTTTGGTAGCTTTAACATTTGGATGATCTTGTGCGTAGTAAGTATCATCTTCTGCTTTCAAGTTATTCTGCTGGAATTGCAAATCCATGCTATCCCTGCAGCATTGGGCGCAAAGTCAGACCCTAGCGAAACGTGGCTACATTCGTCTGCGCAGTGTATGATTCAAGTAAGCAATACATTATCTATAACTAGAACAACGCTTCGTAAATGGCCGTACTTTGGAAACTCTAAAACCACCTTGAGGATATGATAATGGCCTCGTTGGTCCTTCGAGTCAAGCGATGATCCTAGTGATATACCGCGGGAGCACTGATTAGACCTGTTCCTTCTCTGGAAACTCCCGGTTGGGCAGTGTGTTAGCAAGGATTGGGTGCCGATGGTTAATCTTAAGCTTCAAGACCGACCTTACTTGGCTTTCTAGCCCAAATAGACTTAAATGCAGTTCATGATTTGCAATTTGCGGTACTTGATTAAGTTGATTTTGCGCCTTTGCCCTAGTCTCAGGCACGTGCTACCCCAGATCATCCGTTGGCCCCGTTAATCCCCACTGACTTACCTGTTTCCAGCTGTCACCAAGTTTAAATCCCCCAGATGCATCACTCTTCGCTCGGGTCAAAAATTTGGCAATGGCTAGGCCTTGTCTGGTTCCGTCCGGATCCCATTGTAACTCGGTTCGTATCGTGATGATCGCCTTTCTCCTGAGAGGGATGTAGGCGTTAGAAGATTCGCATGTTTCACCATGCTTCTTCCGCGGTCCCATGAACGGCAGGCCTGCCAGCTGATGCTGACAACCATGTCCATCTTGTCGACTGAATACGTTAGGCTTTCCTTATACCACTCCATTACGGATCGCCCATTGCGCCATTGCCTGGCGTCACGTTAAGTTCTGCTTGACTCTGTCTATGTGAATAGTGAAATTTCTGTCTTCCTTTAACCTGTTATCCCGTCGAGATGACACTAACCTCATTTAATTAACTGCTCTCATTCAGGATAAGCGTATCTCGTCATGTCACCACAAATACTGTCACATTGGCGACATATGCCAAACTCTCGGTTAGTGTCAAACTTCGGCGTTCCAACTGGACGAATACAGTTGAGACAAGACAGTAGGAAACGGTGTGAGAATGACGATCGGAGTATGGAACTCAGCAGTATGTTTCTGTTTCGCGGGAAGAATCGGAAGGTAAAATGTATCCCAGGTGTCTGTATTATTCTGGCCACCGATATATCCTGTCAACGTACTTCTTTGAGTCTATTATTCTATATATACTGTTATGCATGATTTTGCTTAGAATCGCACATAAAATGATTCGCCGAAAATGATTTAAGTGCTAGCCCTAGACACGCCCATTACAGGCAGGCTATGCAAAAAATGATGGTTCAACTGAGGGTCGAACTCAGGACCTTCTGTGTGTAAGACAGAAATCATAACCACTAGACCATTGAACCGACAAACATTGTGTGTTGCTCCGTATCATGTTCTTCGTGGTTTAGATGTAATGATATCTAGGCTCATTGATCGCTTCCTTCAGTCTTGATAGGAACGACGGTGTGCATATACAGCAGGAGCATCGTCATCCGTTAAACTCGTCGGAACGGAGGCACAGACCCCCTTGAGCAAACTGGGTTCCACACAAGATCCACTGCACTGGAATCCCGGTGACGGGTTCGCCGCCGTGGCATTTGTCCCGACTCCCAGGCAATTAATTGTTGTTCGGGCAGCGATTTTCACACTAACTCTCTTGCTCATTCGGCTACTCTCTCAAGAGCACCAGACCAGGGCTTCACTCACTGTTAAGAGTTTTTTCAGCTTGTCCTGTTGATTATCTTGTGCCAGCATCACTGGTGCATAAAGTCTGCGGATCATCAGCTCGTGAGTACTTCGGTCCGACCATCTCATATTCGGATGTTCTCACAAGAGTAAGAATGCTGTCAACTTTGGTGGTGCTCTGCTGGCTCTACTCTGGTGGAGGCCAGTGGGCAAGTGTTTTAGCTCAGCATGCTCAGCATGCCGAACGGCAAGTGGGCTATACCTCGTCACCTGGCACACCTCTGGATCCTGGTCCCATAGGCGGCGTTTTTATAAATTCCTCGCCTGCTTCACCACCTACAATCTCGTCTACCTTGTCCTCGTCTACCTCTTCGCATGTCATGACGTCAACGGCCAGCGCACCAACCCCTTCACCAACACCCAGCCAGTTCTCGATCAATGCCGTCAAGAATATGACGACATGCGCCCCAGGGGTCATCACCTGGACCTATAACGGTTCATCACCCAGCATTTTGCTCTCCATCTTGAATGTCAATGTTCTTGATCCCTATCCACAGCATGATCTCGCCCGCCGCCAAAATACTGCTGGACAGGTCTCCGTGACTTTAACGAACACTAGTACCAAGTTAAACTCCTGGACATGGCCTCAAGTGGATCAGCCACAGGGCTGGTATATGATAGAGGGCTCCATAGCTTCGCTCAACGCCTCTTCTGCTGCTTTTTTCATTAGTAACGGATCCGACACAGCTTGCTTGCTCCCGTCTTCATCTTCATCGCCAGGACCCACTAGCACTGCAACCACGGTAGAAGCCTCATCAATGACACTCAGCGTTGGTGAGATCGTGGGGATCGTGATTGGTAGTTTAGCAGGGCTGGTTTTCCTTGTCTTGGCTATCGCATATTACTTTTGCCGCCAAAGTCGCTCTCCAACTCGTGGCAGCAAGCCAAAGCAGAGCGTGGGAAGGAGGTGGAGTTCGTTAAAATCTAATGACTCAGCTGCCAGGTCACTGGCGAGAGGCAATGCTGGCTCTGCTCACTCTTGCGGTCATTCGGACGTAATGGGAGAAATACTCATGGTCGCAGATAGTGGCAAAACCTCAGAGACCACAACAACGCAGGATTCAGGCGAATATCCCGGAAATCATGGGGAGGAGAAGGAAGTGCACCCTTACTCGCCCGGGGGAACGATCCCTGTAGACACTATGGACAATCCCTTGTCGCGTTATAATCACCGCATGTCTGTTCGTTCCCTTCAAGATCCATGTCCACCACCTTGTGACGGCACTGCTCGCACCCGTGTCACCCCTGCGCGTTATTCGGAACAAAGTCTCGAGCTGCAAGCAGCTCGAATACGTTCATCCATGGAAAACTCCATGTACCTGCGTACCGAGCGCTTTTCATTCCCAGCCCTAGCTACCCCCACTCCCCATACACCCACATCTCCTAGCCGAGGGCGGGACGAGTACCCACCTTCCCCTGCAGCTGCAACCTCGGCCAGGCGCTCGCCCTCAACAAGTGCTATATCCGCTCGTCGCACTTCTCGCAAACCTGTACCGCACTATGATGCCTCAGAGTTTCGTGACGACTTGCGTAGCGCGGTAGACAACCAGTCAATGGTGACCGCCGGTGAATCGTCACATTCGCACGGCACGGAGTCACTATCCCCGCTGCATGCCATGTCAGGGCAGCCTCCCAACCGCATTCACTATCTGATCCCTGACATGCCCCCGCCAGGGAACGAGTAGGCTGTGCCTCTCCCCAATGGCTCTCATAGGCATGCGTTAGTCCTTCACGTTCCGTGTATGTAGAATTTTCATATGCACCGCGGATGCGTCCGCTATCTGTCACATGTTGCGCATGGTACTTCGTGGACTCATATAACTGGAGAATGCTGTAGCTGTGTTTTTACCACTTCGAGAACTAGGACATTGCGTCGTTATCTTTAATTTCAATTGCCCGATCCACAGGTTGTAGGGACGTACGGTGCTAATCTTACCTATGAACGTTTGACTGTATCGGGGAGGAAGGGGTGAGGGCATTTCGCTATCCTCGACGCGTGCAGAGCAGGTTGTTGCTATCAGCAGGGTTTCATATGAACTTGGCTGGGACTTGCCGATAAGATTTGCGGAATCAGGCAACAGAACTTGTAGGATCACCGGAATGGCTTGCATCGAGGCATCGGACTCACTTGGCAAGAAGATCGGTACCCTGAAATTTCCTTCATTCTATAATCTAATCACAAGACATGAACATATGATGTTGTCCGTGGCGCGAACATGCAGTTACGGAGATGGGCGACGTGATGTAGATCGATTGATATACGGTCTGATCCTTCAAATGTGGGTATCACAAACGGCTAAGGTTGATGCGTCTGTGGTCAAGTTGGGCGCGAAGCAGCGATAACATTCCATGGGTTTCGTTGATCATCATGACCATCCATTCGAGCTTCGCCGGCGCAAGGGTAGTGGTATTCGTGGACGCACTTCCAAATCTTGTCCTCGTTTGGGATTAGAGAGTCCGACTTTTCGTATCTGAGCGAGTCTGTGATGATAACGAAGGTCAAACATTACGGTCCGTAACAGCGATCGGATACGATACCTTCTTAGGCCAGCCCATGCTACGAAAAGTGCAACAGCTGATGAGAGGGTGGACATCGCCATGAAGGCATAGGGCATCTCCTCCATGTGGCTTTTCAACTGGATCAGAGAAGAGCGTAAACACGGGCATCAAAGATCTTGTGACGAGTGACTGACGTTCATGCCGAATAAACCTGCTATCAGAGCTCCCGTGCCAATTCCCATAGTTCCGATAGATACCTGACATATCTCAGCTTTACCTCACTCGAGTGGGACAAAAATGCTCACTTTAAGGTCCAATGCGAGTAGTGCGTTGCGGTTAGAGTCTAAGATGAGTTCGACAATCTCCTGAGTAGATTGAACGTTGGCCTGTTGAGGACAGTAAGGTTTTCCGGCAAAACGATATGCGCCAAAAAAAATAAATCCACCTCGATGTTTTCAGCTTCATTGGCAATTTCTTCTACTTGTTTGGAGAAAAACTCAAGAAGTACTTCAAGTTCCTCGTGTTCATGCATGTCGCGCAGAACGCCATTTTTCTTGTCAGTAAGATACATGGCGTCCAGATCATCATCTTGAACATAGCAAATTCGAACCTTCGAACTATTACAATACTTGCAATACTAACCTTGTTCGAGTACTTCTTCTAGAGCCTCTTGGACCTGGAATGGGAATGAAAAAAGATCCCATGGGAATGACAAAAAAGTCGTACGAGCTTGGCGCGATTTTTGAACGCTACCAGACGTCTTGAGTAGTGTAGCAAGCGTTTGAATTTGTCATGATTGATATCGTCCTCGAGCTCCGCCAAGAGACCACCTACGAGGTTGCGGATGAACACCATCTCAGCTTCTAGCGCGCTGAGAACGGAGAGAAGGATGGACTCGATTGCTCTATGAAATCCCGATGCAGCGCGGAAATGATCAAGTTGCGGGAAAACCTACCTGAATTCGTAAGGTGCGCCGCTACCCCGGGCCTTGAGGTTATGCTGAATGGGGTCAGTCAACACACGTAAAATATTTGATGGAAAAAAATGACCTCGAGGTGGTACAGGAACACAGAGTGAAGACGGGAATCGTTGGACCCATAAGAGTCAAATAAAACCACAGTATCGGCCTTGACTAGCGCCCGTATGTGAAGTATGTTAATCTAGACGTCAATGTTATAACCAGACCACAAATATTTACATACAGCAACGCACTAGAACAGCTCCTTTGCGAATAAGAATTGTAGGAACAAGGTTGGGTATTCGTGAATCAATCTTCCGTAAGTCACGAGGCTTCATTAGAGTTTCAGTAAGGGTCCAGCCCTAATACTGGAATGCAGACATAATCTTTCTTACGTTTAAGCGATGCTCGTTGCACAAGTCAGACCGTTTAAATTGGCCAGATATGCTCTTGATATTGCCTAAAGTGACAGGTGTGGTCATGCAACGATAGGATGGGCTGAGAAAATGACAAGGTACCCGCATGATCCAGAATAGTGCCTGTGCCTCCGTAAGCTGCAAGAAAGAGAAACGAAAAAGAGACAATTGAATGGAGAGAACGTACAGCGTAGCATGAGGTCTGTAAGTTGCCTGCCTTTCATGACTTTCTCGAGGATAGCAGCTTTAGCTATTTCCTCCTGAGTGTCAGACATTCCAGACGACTCATGATCTTTCGGCCGAAAGAAATTCTTCCATGAGGCTAGATGAAATTTTCTGACGGGTACATGTAAGGCATTGTGAGGAATTGACCGTTGCTGAGATGGAGAAGAAGTCGAGAGCGCGTGACTTTGATATCGTCTGCATTGAGGAATGAGTTGTGGAGCAGAAGATGTTCGGCTCAATCGCATCACATTGCTGGTATGCACGCGCCTGAGAGCTGTATGCATTCACAGACGCAATCGGAGGAGACAAGTGCAAATGTGTCAAAGGCGTCCAAATGGATTCGGACAAAACCGTTATAATTAATTCGTACGATAACCAAATAGATATTTACTTTTAATAATTTGAAATTCTACAACCTTATTCTGTCACACTTGGTGTGACAATAAGCTGTGCTCAGTAGTTAGGTCCGGGGCGCCTGGTCCCCCCAACTGACCCCAATATTTGACCCCGCATTCTTCCCCCCAGGTCGGTACATGTTCCGCGGATATTTCACCATGGTAGCGCCAGCAGCGTCGCATTAATCTGGCATGTGCAGACATATTCATTCCGAGTTTATCAGCCCTTTTTAAAAAAATTAGCCGATCCATCACGTCCGCTGGACGTCTCTAGGCTTTTACGTTTTCTGAGTCTACTTCAGGTGATTTTAGACCTAACCAGTGGCCTTCGAGTTTTCATCCAAACTCATTCTCGGCATGTGCTCTCGCCATTCTGAGCAGATCGGACAGACCCACAATCAGTAATACTGACCTTGAGATGAGGCAGCACAAATCAGATGAAGATCAGGCCGCCATCTGTCGAAGTTCTTTTTCAGGACCTCTCTTCGGTCACGGATCTATTACATTCCCAATCGGTTTACCTTGCCTCGCCTCTGTTTTCCGCTCTTTATTTTATACCATGATCTCCTTCTGATACCTCATTCCACCCACCCCTCCACATCCTACACCATTATGTCTGATTCTCGCAGACTGTTGGAAGCTGCAAACGCGCTTTCTCAACTTCTACGTCAACACTCCATTGCCCATGCCTTCTATGGAAGCCTTCTCACTGCCGTGCTCTCTGATAACCCACGTTGCGACGTGCGTGAACTGTCTTTAGTGCCCATACGCCCTCATATTGACATACTTCCAGGAAATATTCTGTATTGTTGAAGGCGGTTCCACACACCCCTTCCGTCGAGTCAGACAAGCTATTGTGGGGAGTGAGCACTTCACGACCACACACTCACCATGGAGCAATCGGTAGAGGACTCTCCTACTAGTATGGTCTTTCTTGTAACCGACTCTGTCTAGCTTGCATGCTACGTATCGTCAGGTCATCCCAGCCATCGAGGTGAGCATCTCCTTGAACGTGTTTTTGACGATGCCGTTAATGACAGTGACATTGAAGATTGAGATCCTGCCTGCCGGCGAGTACGGACCCCGACGACTGGATAGTTCCACTATCATGCAATTACAAGGCATCCCCTTTTTGACCTTGTCCGAGTTTGTTCGGGCAAAGCTAAAGACTTGGACAATGTAAGTAACTACTATCCAATAGTCTGGTAGATCAACTTATTCTCCATAGACGCGGTTCAGACCGTGATGCTCAAGACATCATTTACGCATTATGCCGCTACTGGAATCGATTGGATATCAATCGCGTTCCTGAGCAAGATATGAACCACTTCGTAACTGTCCATCGCACTGCGGCCTTATCTTGGGCTGCACTGAAAAGAAAATATGGTTTGTAAAAGCGCTGAAAGGTATGAGTCAGGGTGGGTGCCTGTCTGATTAATACCAAAAGGGTAGGGGCTTTCCACTCAGAAGCGTAGCATGTTGTAATGTATCTTTGGAATTGCAGTTGTGCAATTCCACGCGGTTATGCCGCTGAGTCCGTTCTGTTCTGGGCAACCATATCACGGCTACACAATTTCTCAGAGCCTCCGACTCTCGTAAGACTGCTTCGTACATGATATCATACCACGAGTCGTACATACGACATACACCTATGATTGTGGCACGGTGGCTCTCGGCAAGTAAGGGGAAGTTTCCGCTGGTGACAGCAGCGTGTAATGGCTAAACTAGTCATGAAATGGCGTTAATTCAGGGTAGGGAACACCTATGAATTCCTCGGGGAGCGGTGTAGATATTCAGGAGATAGAACTGTATAGGCTCTGCGCTTCCAAGGTTTGTCCAGTGGTTCTGCGCACGCTCCAACATTTGAATTTCTATCTGTCGGTGGTTGCTGAGGTTGGGGATCACAGCGAAGCAATTTATTACCCCGCCAGCCAAGGCTGTTGGCTTCTCACGTTGTCATAGACAATCTCCGGGATAGTGCGTATTGAGCTGGGCCGATAGACCAACATACCATCTGCCACGAAATCAATAGTGATGTAGCATATCGCGGAGATATGAGGGCCTTCGACACCATGGATCACCATGGAGGAGGTAACTGTAGGTAATCGGGTTTCACCGTTCAAGTCTATCCAAGCCGAAGAACGTCCAGTCTGGAACTTTGTGAGGATCGTCTGTCTCTCACGCAATCAGCCGATACCAATCGGCTGGCTTGTGTGGTGGAATCAATGTAATCAGTGCCAGTTTTTGTGAGCGGAAGAGAGATGAACCTGGATGAATCCGACCAGACCCGATCTTCATGTTCGATTATATGGTTCTATCAGAAAAGTTAAAGGGGATAATGATTGAAAGCTGGAGCATTGTTGACGTCTGTCAAGAAGGGGTGCGAAGCAAGGACTCCAGTCTAAAACTATTCATGGCTTTTGAGCGGTAATGACATATAGGAAACACTGCAGGGCCTACTTGCCTCCCATCATTATTCCTGATTGATATTGCCGGGACAAACATCCATGGAATATAGATTTTCTTACTATTAATAAGTTTGTCGATCGCGAAAGGAATGAATGGAAGAAAAACGTGAGAAACTCAGAGCGTGACTATATCACCGTGACGTGACTGCATCGCGCAAGACGCGTAATACGTTCGCTGGTAGTCGCTCTCCTTCACAATGCCTACCGCCGGTCAGAAAGCTAAGACCCCTGGAGGCATCCAATCGTATTACCAAGCCAAGATTGAGGCTGCTGAACTTTTGATTAATCAAAAAACACAGAACCTGCGTCGATTGGAGGCTCAACGGAATGCACTGAATGCTCGAGGTGCGTGGATTGCACTGATTCCAATGGAGGCGTCGTTTATAGGACGGAATAACAGTGCGCCTGCTACGTGAGGAGCTTCAGCTCTTACACGAACCTGGAAGTTACGTTGGAGAGATTGTGAAGGTTATGGGAAAGAAGAAAGTCCTCGTCAAGGTGCAACCTGAAGGCAAATACAGTATGTGCTGGGTCTTGAACGACGCTTTATTCTGTATTCGCTCACACACTGTGCAGTTGTTGACTTCGACCCGTCAATCGAGCTGTCTCAGCTTTCCGCTTCATTGCGTGTGGCTCTCCGTTCTGACTCTTATACCATCCACAAGATACTGCCGAACAAAGTCGACCCACTTGTCTCCCTCATGATGGTGGAGAAAGTCCCTGATAGCACGTACGAAATGGTGGGAGGTCTGGATAAGCAAATCAAGGAAATCAAAGAAGTTATCGAGTTGCCCGTCAAACACCCAGAGCTCTTCGAGTCTCTTGGTATTGCACAGCCCAAGGGTGTTCTTCTCTATGGCCCTCCTGGGACGGGAAAGACCCTTCTCGCTCGTGCTGTTGCACACCACACCGACTGCAAATTCATCCGTGTTTCGGGCTCTGAGCTTGTTCAGAAATACATAGGTGAAGGAAGCAGAATGGTCCGGGAGCTATTCGTCATGGCCAGGGAACATGCACCTAGTATCATATTTATGGACGAGATCGATTCTATCGGCAGTTCGCGAGGAGACAGTGGTTCGGGAGGTGGCGATTCGGAAGTACAACGCACGATGCTGGAACTTCTCAATCAGCTGGATGGTTTCGAGGCCACAAAGAACATCAAGGTTATCATGGCTACGAACCGTATAGGTCTGTGGACCCTTATAATATATTAAGGGCTTTCTGAGGGCGTTGCCGTAGATATATTGGATTCTGCACTTCTTCGTCCGGGACGTATTGACCGAAAGATCGAATTCCCTCCCCCTGGCCCAGAAGCTCGCGTCAGCATTCTCAAAATCCACTCTCGCAAGGTGAGTTGTCTGCATCCTGCATCTCGCGGGCGTGCTTAGAACATGGTTGTTCTTAGATGTCTCTGCAACGCGGTATCGACCTCAAAGCACTTGCCGAGAAAATGGGTCAGTGCTCAGGTGCCGAAGTGCGCGGAATATGTACTGAAGCAGGTATGTCCGTTGATGATTTTTGTATTCGCGTTTATTGATAAGGGGAACAGGTATGTATGCGCTGCGGGAGCGGCGGCAGCATGTTACGCAGGAAGACTTTGAGTTCGCTATTGCGAAGGTGCTCAAAAAGAACCAGGAGGGTAATACGTCGGTCAACAAGTTGTTCTCATGAATGTATTGCGCTTGGTATTTGCATGATTCTTTTTTCCACCTGTGCTACTTGTCGGACTTTTGAGACTCGGGAACGGCACGCCGTTGGAGTCGATTAGCGATCGACGATGCGTGCCATCAGCCGGTCATCCAGCCATCGTGTCGTCTCGGTATAGCTATATTTGCTAATGGATCGTTAGTTCTTGCCACGACAAGATCAATTCATGGCCTCATCGGTCAGCGGCTCGATCATGAATTGTATGTTATGAAGACGAAGCGCTGATAATTGGAGCACATTCAACCGGTCATAGGGACGAGACGCCGAGTTCACCACGTGCATGTGACAGTGTGTGTGACCGGTTTTGAATAGGGGCATATACCTCAACCTCCATACACCCAAGTCTTACCTTGCACCCAATCTCGAGTGTCGGTCCACCCAGATTTGTTGATAGTGTTGCTGGCCAGTATATGTGTAAGTCTGCTCTCTTCCACAGGTGTGAGCGAAATAATTATGCTTAGCAGCGAAAATAAGACCACATTCTAACAAGCAGTACAACAATGCCGGGATGTTTGTCACAGCTCTCTACATTGCTCTCCCATCAATCGTTCGAGAATGTTAGCCCTAGCACTTGTGCTCCCCACCGCCAAACGGAGCTTGCCGTGACCCATTCCAAGCTGAACGAGTTCAATCCCACCTCCTTCCCAGTAGAAGTTGTTACGCACATCTTCTGTATCCTGAAACCCCCACCAGACTTACATGATCCACGTGACACTATTCACAGCCAAGTATGCTACCAGTGGCGTGTCATTGCACTCGGTTGCCCTGCCTTGTGGACCTATATTGCCCCCTTGCTGCTCGGCTATGAATAGACAAGGGAAATGTTGACCAGATCCAAGGGGGCTCCCTTGACACTCGACATACGTGGTTACACCAAGTTTTCACGTTATGCTATCCATCTGGCAATGACGCCACTTCGTGCTATCCGTTTGACAGTGAAGCATCTAGTTCACACCCGTACACTCAGAAAATTACAGGATCTCCTTCGCTGTGCATTTGGTCCCGCTCCTCTTCTGGTTTCCATTACAGTCATCCCTACATCATGCAAGCCCGCCTATCCTATCACATATCATACTTTAGTTGAGTTCAAAACCCCTGCGCTACGGAAACTCATCCTGGATGATAATATCGTGTTCAACGGTGGTGCCAGTTTGACCGTGCTTGAAGATATCACGCACCTAGTAGACATCAGAAGTATCGCGATCTGGCCTACGCTTCGTGCATTCGTTAATATTCACCAGAGAATGTCGTCCCTGCAAATTCTTGCACCGGAGCTTATTCATCTATATTTTTTCCCGATGTCCATCATCAACCTGCCTCGTTTGTCGAGTATCAAGCTAAGGGGGTTCGTACGTGACTGCTCTGACCTGCTTCGACACATAAGAGCCCCTGCATAAAGGCACGCACTCATGTACGACTCGGAGAAGAATGTCAACCTTCCTGAACTCCTCGCGGCTGTCTCTGCACTGCTCGCGCAAAATGCAACAGAGATGAAATGCAGCTGAAAAAACCACATCGATTCTTTATCAGCTTTCAAGAGGCTAAGTGTTTGCATACCACCACTCGACACCACTGCCGTCACTACTCATACGACTGGCTACGACGGAGACATCGATACATTTCATGATGTATCTGACAACCTCTGCTGGAACCCGAACTGGCGATGGTCTTCCATTGTACACTACCGCAACACAACGGGACAACGCCCGAAGACGCAGCGCCAGTCATCTGCTACAAACTTTGTCTCAACAGCGTAACAGATGGAATCATACGTGGGATATCCAAAGATTCACCACCCTGCAAACAGCTCCTCAGGCAGATGCCCGCGTTGCATTTCTCGGTGAGCCGCGTAGCATGTCAGTGTTCCAATTGTTGTCCAATTTGACGGAGATGACTCTAACTTGATAAGGCTGTTCGAAAAGTGGACGAATTGGGCTTAAATCTACTGCCTTTGACACTGGGGAGGGGTGTTGGAGCACACAAGTGATTTTTAGACAATTCGCATGAGACTGAGTACGTATTTTGATGGGCGTAATTCACCGACATTCATAATTCTACATTGGACTAGCTGCGCTTGTATACTCAGCTATTCGATCAATACCTGCAAATTTTTACCACTGTGACTTTCTGCTAACATGCATGCAGATACTCATCAAACGTCCTCACCAGCCGCTCAATCGGTTGTCTTACAGGCGTCGCACTATCCAAAATGCTCGAACCCCCAAGCATCCCAGCTCTTGCCCACCCGTCCACTATCATGTTCCCCCACAACACCAGCCAGCACATTGTCCAGATCCATCCCATCCAGCCACCTGTCTTATTCCCCGCGACAGCACGCTCGATAATCACGCCAGCACCCATCATTACAAATGGCAGCAGCATGCGCCACATCTCCGAGGACGGGTCAATGGCAAATAGTGCGAGGTGATGAAAAAACCCAGAGACGAGGAACGCGCCTATGACGCCCCCGACGCGTCCAAAGAGCATAGAAAGTGGGTGTCCACCGAGGAAAATGAATAACCGACGGAACCACTGGTGCCAACGTCGGCTCCAGAATTCTCTGAGAGAGGTGGAGCGCCAAGGAGAGTCGAATGAGGGGGGCCATTGGTCTGGATGTTGCCTGAATAACAGTACGCCAAGAACTACGGTGAGTTCGTAGCCGGCTTGGAGTGCTGAATAGATGCCGAATGCGCATAACGTTGCTATGGTGCTCGACTGTAGATAGCGGAGATGCGGGGGAAGTGACTCGTCGAAGATGGTACCACCATCGACAGAGCCAAATGTATCTGGTGAAAAAGACTGTACGGCAGAGTGAATGGCGCCGCAAAGAAATGAGTGCTTTAGATCGGAGACGAGGGCGGACATAGCAAAGACCAATGGTGAGGATGTAGAATGTGTCTCAAACGGAACATACAGTCCCTGCGACCAGTCCCAGCCACAACCTCGAAGGTTGCATGCCAAATCAAGTGCGTCGAGCACGGAATTTCGCTTTGACGATCGCCGAGCCACGCGAATAAAAGGTTTTGTCTGCACCGTCCATTCAAGGGTGCGTGCAGCAATACAAAACATTGATAACTGAAAGACAAGTTCAATGCTGTGGCAGTTAATGCGGGCATGACGGGAACTCACTTGCAGGTCGATATTCAAAAAGTTGAGTTTCGGTTGCCCCATGGACATATCTAGCGACGTCGCAGCGCGAAATGTGAGGATCGCCGTGATGGGCCATAAGGCAATGCGGACTGGCTGCGTTCGGGGCAGCAAGACAAGACAAGCTGTGGTGAAGTAACATACGACTGGTGGAAGGACACCAGAAGCGAAGGTCTCAGTTGTGAGTGGTACCCTAGCTATGGGGAGGCACAGGCCATCTGGGAAGGGTAACATTGTAGCCTTTGATCAATGGCGTATGAGGCGGATGGCTAAGGCTAGGAACGTGTCTGGAGCCAACGTTTAAACATTCATAAGTAAGGTTATATATCAGCGATGGAACCAAAAAAAAACCTGCCTCAATTGAACCAGATTATCATATGCGGGAGTACATGTACTAATGCATCATAGATCATATCAGTTTAAACGTGTCACGACGGTGTAAAGAGAGAATAGCAAACATTCGAACTTAGTTTGAAATTACGAAATCGTAATGGCGCCAGCGCCAGCCGGGTCCTTTGAACTCACCATATGTGTTGTGTCCATCGAATTACAGCTATTTGCAAAACGCTAGGCCAAAACGCAAAAACTACATACAACAGCGATATTTGAATTCCAATGTCCCATACTACGGGTATGTACTTAGAGCTCTACTGGGCTAGCGTTCTGCAAATGGCTGCTACTTCTGTGATTCTACAGAGTGTTGTAGGCAGAGCTCTGCCATTCTGCCACGTGGCAGGGCCGGGCGAAATATGGCAGAACTCCAAGACTGCTGGACAGGAATATATTCGGAATGTGAAACAAATGATGGACACAGAGTTTCAAGTTGCCTCGGGCTAGGATGCGGATGGGAAGGACATCTCGAAAGGGGCCAGGAGAAGATTCGACTTTGCGGGAACTGCAGCGCGTTGGCGAGGGGCATCAGTGAACTGATGAAGCTTTGATAAGAGCATGTATAACTATATATAGTCAGAATAACAACAATCAATATAATCCTGCTATGGGGGATCACATTGTTATCTTTGGCCTTATAGAGGAAAGAATACTTGAAGATTGTCCTGCAGAGGTTTATGATGCGCAAAACGCCACAATTTCACTTACACTTGGACTTGGAGGGGAGATGGGGCACGAGTTGGTGATCAGCCTAGATGAATCAGCACTGCCACCTCAGAAGTAAGGTCAGCACTTTGAAAATACAAGCTGAGATCTAGACTCCTACCCATCGGCGGGTGTGTAAGAGAGCCCCCGACATCCGACAGCCACAGACCAAATACAACCAAATGCTATTTCTCCGACGATTTACCGAAACTTTTGGGGCTACTTACACACCCAGCTGACTGGCAAAACTTGCAGGTGGCACGATGTTTGCCTCTGTTGATTTCGCCTGTTATCACTCAATTCGGACTGACTTGTGCGAGTGACACGCTCAGTGTGATGATACCGAGTTTATGTAGGGTTATTTAATTTTTGTCAATGCCATTTTCATTTGCCACAATACACATCAGTGATGGCTTTGCCCCCCCTAAACTACGATATACCATCTATAGCTACCATATGCACTGTGGTCCATGAATGGTTCAGTGTGACGATCATATTCCCACTAGGCTTGCAATGGCCATCTTTGATATAGGTGATGGAAAGCTACAAAACCATTGACCACTTTTCCTGCACTCAACCCGCTCTGGATGCGTATTCCCACGCTCTGTGGACCTGCGCATTCACTCCCGTGCTGTGTGCATACCTGCGGTTGATTTCCCACGCCTTCGGACTACCTTACAAATGTCCCGCATCAGTCCATTGTCCATCCTACCTCATTGGTACATATTTTGTCTTGCCTCATGTGTTGTAACAAGTGTTGCAGTCTTATTACATGTCTTTACATATTCCTACTGCCTGTCTGTCTTGTCCCTTCCATCTCCGAGAGGGTTTAGCTAGTATAAAGTGCCTAGAGTGACTACTTTGTATTTACTCCCCTTCTACAGTATTTCCTTCCCTTAGGTTTTACTTAGGAGCAGTCACCATTAGTGTGCGCTTTTAGCCCCTATTGGTTACCTTATACCTGGACACCTTGTCTTGACTTTCCTTACCTGTGCAATCAATACCCTTGCCCTCACTTGTTACCCATGCCATTCCTTAAGACTTCCCTACCCCTTACCTTAGCATCTTGCACTCCTGCATTGACCACTCATTGACTGCTCATTGACTGCACTTCCGCATTCCCACGCTCTACATACCCACACACTTGTTCCTGCACTCTGCACACTTTCAGGTCTTTAGTATCATCGGCTGTTCTCAGTAGCAATTCCCTTTAGGGTTGAATGTTCTTGCTTGCAAGTGTAGCAGCTAGGCAGAGCATCAACCTACAACAATATTTTTGGTTAGGCACATTAACAAGTGTCTAGCCATTGTTGTGTTTGCACATCAGCTTCATACCTTGTAATTGGCAAGTGCAGTCTGCCCAAGCACAACTGAAGAAGAGAGATGTTGTCACTTTGTCACCTACAGGCTCTGGCAAGACACTCACATTCTGGATTCCTTTGTTATTCAATGATGGTGGCATCACCATCTTGATCACTCCGCTGACGATCCTTGGAGACAAAAACGTCATTGAGCTACAAGAAGTCAATATACCTGTTGTGGATCTGTCCACTGCAACAGCCACAGACACAATATTTGAGGTGAGATATAATTTAAAGCTCGAATCTTATGACTTACCTTGTACATCAAACAGGAAATTGCCACCTGAAAGTTTCAGGTCATAATTGTTAGCCCCAAGAGAATTCTGTCAGACCGTTGCTTTGATACCTTGTGGAAGACACCCCAATTCATCAACAAACTCTTCAGCATCACCTTTGACAAGGCACATTGCATTAGTCAATGGGGTGGTGACTTTTGCCCACAAAGATATTGATGTGCGAGTGTCAGGATACTGATAAAGGTGAGTGCAAATCTCCGAGCCTTGTTGCACTAAATTATTCTTTGCTGACTCATGAATCTCATCTATGTTTTGGAGAAGATGTTTGATGAAGTCTGAAATGGTCACCCTGTTGTCCTCCAGGCACTGTAGTACATTGTTGAGCTTTTTGGATATTTGAGTGTCCATCAGTCAAGGATTTAGATGTTAGTATGTAGTATTATATTCCACAGCATGAGTATGTAGACGAGTACTTGTCAATTAACATGCCGTTTGAGCATGTTGAACATTGACAATGAATTCTCACAAGCATTGACATAAATTAAATAACCCTACATAAACTCAGTATTGTCACACTGAGCGTGTCACTTGCACAAGTCAGTCTGAATTGAGTGATAACAGGTGAAATCAACAGAGGCAAACATCACGCCACCTGCAAGTTTTGCCAGTCGGCTGGGTGTGTAAGTAGCCCCAAAAGTTTTGGTAAATCGTCGGAGAAATAGCATTTGGTTGTATTTGGTCTGTGGCTGTTGGATGTCAGGGGCTCTCTTACACACCCGCCAATGGGTAGGAGTCTGGTTGAGGTCCATGTCTTCCAGAAGGTCAGAGTGTGTCTGCCAAGCCAGAAAGCCAGGGTCAACTGGTCCCAATGACTTCCGCTGCCTACAGCAGAGGATGGGAACATGCATCAGCAAACTAGGATTTTCGCCACAAGCCTCACAGGCCTTACAAGCACTCACAGGGTTTCACAAGCATCACAAGGTTTCACATATTCCTCTTGTTTGAGTAAGCTTGTACATACTGTACAGAGACTTAAATTTTTGACCAAAATGATAGTTGTAGCCCTTATTAAGTGGAGCCTATCCATGGTCTCATGACATTTTTCAGTTAAGATCCCAATAAGTTATAAGCAAAATACTAGAAAGTGGTGGGTTCAAGAAAGTTAAGGCACAACTTATTTACATAAGCAAGAATGCGAAAATTCACTAAGTCTCTGCCAGCCACATCATGCGGCTTTGTTTGGCACTGCTTATATAAGCAAAAATGCGGTCAACCAAAGTCTTTCTCACTCACTGTCTTTCTCTAATAATTTTCAAGTGTTTGCCTCTCTTCTCTTCTTCTTTGATGTTGATGTTGATGTTGGAGGTGGGTGGTGCTGGTACTGGTACTGGTGTTTTGAACTCTGGTGAGTCTTTTTCTCTTTCTTTGTGTTCAACTCTCTGACATTGTCCTTCCTCCTCTGTCTGGTGAGTTCCCTCTTTATAGCTTATCTCCCTTCCTCTTCCTCCTCTAAGTTTCGCATTTTTGCCTCTTTGGTAAGTCTCTCTCTCTCTCTCTCTCTTCTTCTCCTTCTCTCTCTGACCCCTCCTTCTAGCTCTCTTCCTTCCTCCTCCCTTTAATTTTCGCACTTGTGCCTCTTTGGTGAGTCTCTCTCTTCTTCTCCTTCCCTCTCTGACCACTCCTTCTAGCTCTCTTCCCTCCTCCTCCTCCTCCTCCTCCTCCTCCTCCCTTTAATTTTCGCACTTGTGCCTCTTTGGTAAGTCTTCCTCTATCTCTTCTTCTCCTTCCCTCTCTGATCCTCTCCTTCTAGCTCTCTTATCTTCTCCTTCTCCCCAACAATTTTCGCATGTTTGACTATTTGGTGAATCTTCTTAGTGAGTCTCTCCTCCCTCTCCTTTCTCCTTTGATTCTTCTTTTGACCTTAGATTTTCGCATTTTTGTCCAGTTTAGTAAGTTTAATCTTTAGTTAGTAGTGTATATGTCTATGTAGTAGTTACTTTGAATTTGACTTCAATTTTTACATTTTCGCATTTTGGGTGTTTTGAGTATCATAATTGAACAAATATGGCTGCTCTGAAATGTACAGATTGTACAAGCCTGTACAGACTGTACTACCTTGTGACACTCTTGTACAGGACTGTAAAGAGGGGACTTCCTTGTGTCCCTGTGAAGCTTGTACAGACTTGTACAAGTCTGTACAGGTCTGTACAGGTACCCCCTGGTTTGCTGATGCTGGTCACAGATTGTGATGTAAATGATGATTGTTATGAACTCAGATAGAGCATCGTTCCAATAAAGGAATCAAGGGTCAAGTTGATCAAGGACAAAGCCTTATCAAGTAATGCCTCCCTCAGGAGCAATCATCTAGACTCCTGCAGGATCTAGAGTTCAAATGGGACAGATGGCTAGCCTCCTTCCCAAGGAGCCAGAGTTCGAGTATGAAAGAGAACCGAGTAGATTCAAGTTAGAGAAAATACAAGCAGTAACTAGGGTTTATATATGTAAGAGAGTTGTGCACAGACCAGGCTGGGCTAAGGGTAATGGATACTAGGAAAGGAAGGTTCATGGGAAAATGGAGTATGAGTCAGAGATAAGAGAGACCATGATGAAACAGCACAGTGAAAAGGAAGTGTCAGAAGTACAGCCATAAGGTGTCCACAGTGATGATGGGAAAAAGAGTGGGGCACTGTAACACATAGTGTAGAGTTGCGTATTTATAGGAAATAGCTAGGAAGGGTTTAGGGCAGGTGCAAGTAAGCAAGGATACAAGCATAGGCCTAATACGGATGAAGTGATGAGGTCAGAGATACAAGAAAGGAAATGTACATATAGGTAGGACACATAGATGGTGTCTAATGGCAGTAATAGCAGCACATGATGTAATACAGTAAACATAATATGAGTCAGACAGAGACAATAGATGACAAGAAAGAGAAAAAGTGAGGCAGGGCAGGGCATATTGTAACACATTTGGCTTTATTATAAGTTGTGCAGTGCATCATTTTTAGACAATCTACATGAATCTCAAGGAGGGGAGAGATGAGTGTAGTATTTATTCAACCATGTTGCACATAATACATATAAGGGACCATGTACTGTAGTGTGGACACATTGTCTTCTGTGAACTGGATATCTAACTTATACTCCTTAAACAACAGCATACCTTTGTGGGGACTTGCATCCTCCCAGTTGAACCCAGTATTTTCTGTTCACCCTTCCCTGACCATAATCTGACTGAACAGCTGTCTCATCAATGTGTAGTTGGGCTTTTCATTGAATTTCAAACCATGACAGTGATCAAAATAGGTAGTGAACTCCACAGGTGAGTATGCAAGCAGGTCATAGAATGGTGAACCAGCTTTCTGCTCCCCTATTCAAAGGAGTTTAGCCTTGATGCTGAATGCATAGATGCCTTGCCAAGGCAGGCATCCATGCAAGAGATATAACAAAACATTGCCCACTGCTTCAAGATCATCTTGCCATCCCTGTTCTGCTCCTTGCTTGTTAGCCCTAGGCAGAAAATAAATTGGTCTCTATGAACCTTGTCCAAAATGCATGTTATAGCTTGCATATTATGGAGCTCCAAGTCCAATGTAGCCTTCATGAATGGTATATGTATTCCTGTGGATGGGTTGATGTAAAGTTTTGCCAAACCAAAGTTGAACAGATAGACTATATTAGATTTCTCCCCAATGCCCATTGTGAAGTTTTCAGGCTTTATGTCCTATAGGACAAGTCCTTGTGAATGCACAAATTCAATTCTATCCAGCTGGTAAAATGCACACAAATCAGTACTGACTCATAGCACAAGTGATCAGCATGCCTACCATTTTGACAGCAAGCATAACTACTGACCTCAAAGAGAGTTTACCCCTGCATACTCTTCAGAGCTGTTCAAGATTTGCACTCACTTGGTTGAGAACCAAGAAATGTGCTCCTCCTTTTATACCATTTCATTTGCATGATGGTATCCCTAGGTATCCACACAGCAGGCTGTACACCAGAGCTTCATAAGGCAGTACAACAGGCACAGTCAGTGCATTGGCTAGGATCTCCATTTTGACTGCAACCTCCAAGCTGGTGAGGACATGAAAAGTGCTTGACACATTTCCTGACATGATAAAGCATATCAGCCAGTTTGATACAGCAAACAGGATGTATGTGAACTTACCAAAGCTTCCCATTCCAAGTGAGTTTGTTACCTGATACATACTGCAAATGTGGAATTCTTTGACATGACTTGGAGTGCACTGCACTGGTGAGGAATGAAGAGCAGACAATGTTTGTAGTTGCATTTGTAAAGCTTGTAGTCTGTTGATGGCTAGGGTTGGGTTGCTTGTGCTGAGCTTCACTTCTGATTCTAGACATCCTGAATGTTGAAGCAAAGCAGTTGGGAAACCTGCCACACTTGCTGGTTCCATCACTTAATAATGGCTGGACATCACTATAAGAATCTGGGTCCTTTGATGGTGCTGCATGCCAAGCAACAGCATTCCAAGAGGTCTGAAAACATAGAGGGGTTTTGAGAAAAAATATCTGAAAGGTATGTAGGTTTATTGTCACAGTGAGACCAGATGGAAGTTGAGGAAGTAAAAATGACCAAGCATCTGGGATTGGAAGGCTAAACACTGTATAACCCTGATCCAGGAGTGTCCTCATAGCTGCTTCTGCTTCTGCATATGAACCAGGTTGCAGGATAGTCTGGATCACTTCATGGAGTAAAACTTCACTTAGTAGCACTCCTAGAAATATGCAGACATCCTTCAATACATGCTGCACAAAATCAGTGTAGGGTGCATCAGGGTTGTCTCTGTGTCTCATAAGTTTGCATTCAAGATACACTGCAGACAGTTGGCATCTGTTAGGATGAGTTGGTGATAACAAACACATAGCTTCATTCACAGCACCATCACAGTCCTGGTTGTGGGTGAGCAACTCAAGTATTATGATGGATGAGTGTGAAACTTACAAGGATGGTACCAAAGAGATCAAAGATAATAACACCAGTGGATGGGGCAGAGATAGGAGGCACATAGTCTGGAATGAAATTGAGGTTAACACAAGGCTCATCATCCCAATTGAATACTTCCTCTGTTTGCAAAGTACTGTCAACAACAGGGGGGTCACTGTCAAAGGGGATCCTCATTGACAAGAGGGTTAATGCATGTGCCTTGAGACATTTATTAAATGCTGGTAAATTTCCAACAAACAAAGAACCTGGCACAAAATAGCCATTTTGTTGAACCCCATGCATAAGAAAAGACTGACATACAACTTTCTGTTGGAAGTCATAACCACTACATACTTCTGTGACCTCACCTATTTATAGTAAATAGCTAGGAAAGTTTAGGGCAGGCACAAGTAAGTAAGGATATGAGCAAATGCCCAATAAGGATGAATGCAATGGAATGAACCCAAAAGTGGTAAGTAAGACAATGAGATCATCTAATAACAGCAAGTAGCAATTGTGATGTAATACAATGTAAAGTCAAAAAAGGAAACAAAAGAACAGGGGTGTACATTGATTGTAACATTACTCTGTTTTTATTGTGAAAGTCACCAACTATCACAAATGCTGGTTATCTCAGTAGCAAGGGTCAGCATCATAGTTAGAGTTCAAAAGATCATCCTGCTCCTCAGTAACCTGCTGATCAGCAGCATCTCTATCATCTTCCTATTGTTCCATAGCATCATAAAACCCATCATCCTTGTAAGTTAGTGAGATGATCGCCACTCCTTTCAACAATTTACAGTGAACTGAAAAGTGTCCTGGTGTGTGGGTGTGACATACATAGCAATGGTATTTAGGACAGTTCTTGTGATGGTGTCCAGTGATATGGCAGTTATGACAGATGAAATTCTCAAATGGTTTGGCTTTAATGATGGTAATAGTAGGGGGTGGAGATGGTGTCCTTGATCTTAAGGCTTATTTCTTGGAGGTGGGGGATATGGATGGTTCTCATCTAACACGAGTGGATTGACATCTGATGGTGGCTCTTCAGAGAGTAGAAACAGGTTCATTAGGAGTTGGTATGACAATAGTGGCAAGAGGGCAATCAGGAGTAGTCTCAACCAGAGGAGGAATTGGGATTGTGATATGAGGTGATGGTGGTCTAGCAATAGGATAGGTGGCAAGTTATTTAATGACAATGTGAATAGCTTCATGTATAACTTCTTTAGTGCCATCAGGCATAAGACACATTGCAGTGTTACAAATGCATGCCAAGGTGTGATTAAGGATAAGCTTCTGGTGCTCATCATGAATGAGTCTTGCAACATGATCAATGATGTCAGTGCCACAAATAATGTTAAGGAGGAGTCCTCCAGCAATAAGCTCATGTTCAGTAAGGATGTGATCAATCTCAACAGTGTATTGAGGAGACAGGATAGCTGATTCAAAGAGTGAGTGGGATTCTACTTCATTGAGGGTTCTAGAGTAATCTGAGCTGGTAGTCAAGGTGGAGGTGGAAGACAAGGAGGGAGATTCTATGGGGTTGTCATTGGCTATAGCATTCATCTGTTCAACATTCATTTCATGGTTAATAGAGTCAAGGGTGGCAGTGATCTCAGCAAGTGTGGTTTCAATGGAAGACATAGCTGTTTTTTCTTATCTAGAGCCAATGCAACTTCTTATAGGCAGAGAGTATTTTGGGAGCATTTCAGAGATTAGATTCAGGGAACTATTTATTGCTAGCTGCAGAGTATCTGCTCCAGGATATGAGATAGTGTTTTTGTTTATCTATACCCTTATGTGCAAGGATAGCTTCTATTTTATATTCATTTTCTCCTTCTATGATGTCAGGGGGAGGGTTATGGAAGTTTGGACAAGCAGAGAAGTAATTTATTACCCTTTGGCCACCCATGAACAACACATTATCAACTGAGAAGTGGAAAATCCATTGACTGTGAACTTGAGGAGCTGGTACCTTAGTCTTATTGAAGTACAATTGTGATAGTCATTGTATTTCACCTCAGCTTATATAAGACCCTCAAGTAAGAAGACACTGGGTACATGGTGTAATTAAATATTGAACATGGATAATACAAGTTGCCAACATGCTTGGTAGTAAGTGAGGTGCTGAGCAGTGAGGAAGTATAGGAGGTTGTTGTGATCAGTGAATACAATAACCAGATAAGGATTTTCTTCAAGATAGTGGTGCCATTCAGTGAGAGCTCTGATAACAGCAAGGAGTTTGCAATTGAAGATCTGATAGTTTCTTTCTGTGGGGTTCAAAGATTGGGAAAGGTATCCACATGGATGGTATAATCTGTTTTCATCAGTCTGGAGCAAGACTGTTCCTGTAGCAACAAGAGATGCATCAGTAGCAACTGTAAATTGTTGAGTGGGATCAGGGTTTTGAAGGACAGGTTGTTTCAAGAAGCAGTCCTTCAATGATAAGAAGGCTGCATTACAGTTGGGAGACCAGGTGAATATGGGATCTTTCTTCATCAGATCAATCAGAAGGCAGACAAGGTCAGAATAATGGGAGATGATATTTTGGTAGAAATTGCAGAACCCAAGGAATGATTAGGTTTCTTTGACCAAAGTGGGAGTTGGCCAATTTTTAATACTGTCTAACTTTGCAGGATTCATGGTTATGCATCCAGGTTTGATAATCATGCAAAGATATTCAACTTCTTCAGCATCAAAGGTGCATTTTTCTGGTTTCAAGAATAGTTTCTCCTGTTGTATCTTCATTAAGATCTTTCATGTTCTTTCTTGATGTTCATCAAGTGTCTTCAAGAAAATCAAGATATTGTCCATATAAATCACTAGCCATCCTTCATTAATCTCCTGTTGGAACATATGGTTCATGCAGGCCTGAAATGTGACTGGGGAATTGCAAAGGCCAAAGAACATAATGTTGGGTTCAAAAAGTCCAAATTTCATGGTAAACACTGCCTTCCATCAATCTTTAGGGTGAATATGGATGTTGTTATATCTGGATTGGACATCTATTTTCATAAAGTATGTGGCATCATGAAGTTGGGTGATGAGTGTGAGCAGAAGGGGTAGTGGGTAAGAATTCTTAATCATCTAATCATTGATATACCAGTAATCTTGACAAGGGTGTAGTTCTCTGCTCTTCTTTCCAACAAAGAAGGAGCCACTGGCTTGCAGCAACTTTGATTCAGAAATAAAGCCTTTCTGTATGTTTTCATCAATCAAAGCCTTGACCATGGTGAAGGTTCCACAACTCTGCTGGCCTGCAGAGCAAAAGAAAGAAAGATGGCTCTACCTCTGGGGTGAGAGGAAAGTCACTGACTCTCTGAGTGTTGGTTGAAGTGTGCTGAGTGATGTGTTTGACCCTTAAGGGAAGCAAAGAAAGCAAATATCCATGAAGTGACACTAGGTCAACTCTGGTGGAGCACATAGGAGCGTGAAGTGTGGGAATAAGGTGCAAGGAGTGTGTGAATATATAGAAACTGGTAGAAGTCAGTGATGTCATGGACTGAGGCTGCTGAGTGGACTCATGATGATAATAGACTGCTACTGAGGACTAGGGTGACAACTAATGGATGCTAACTCATGATAGATTCTAACTACTAGACACTGAGTGACATGATGGTGGTTGGTGTATGAAAACTTTTTAGGCAACAGGTAAGCTGTGCCTAGGCACACTCCCAGGGCTTGGAAGCGAATAGGGAGCACTCTATGTATGTAAGTGAGGTAATGTAAGGGTCCATAATGGAATAAAATATTGTACAATATCAGAAATGGTCAGATAATGTGAATAAATGAAAAGGGACACACCAGGGAACTGGTTGGACGATGGATGGAGGCTCCTGGATGCTGTGTGACATAAGGTGACCAAGCACATGCACAGGAATGCGTCATGTAGTGCGGGAAAGCATCGTGTCTCTGGCGCGTTTTGTGGGACAGTCATTGGGAGTGAGTTGTGTGCTATACCAATTGTCATGAGTTGAAATATGGGTGATCTATGCCTGGGGGAATCTCATTCTCTACAGTGGATCATTCTTTCTCAGATAAAGGGTAGATTTTCAATGTTTTGGGGATAAAACTGGGTTTCATTTCAATACAGTGGTCTATACCAAGTCATTTGGGAGGGAGTTTGTTCAGGCCATCTTTTGCAAAGATATCAGTGAAATCGTGGAGATAGGATGAGATGAGTTCTTTGAATGATTTCTTCTTCTTTGCAGCTTCTCCATCTGTTCCTGCAACAGAGAACTTCTGAGCAAGGTTACTAATCTTAGGCAATGTTGGTTTTTGTTCCACTTTGGAGGTTCCATCTCTCATCAGTGGGGTGTCAAGAGAAATGTTCTCAATGACCCACATTTTGGTCCCATCAATGGAGTATTCAATCAAGGTGTCATTATCACTTAAAGGATAAGTGATTACATTTTTGATGGAGGGTTCATAGTTATCCCACACATCTTCCATGGTATCATAGGTTTTGTGGATGGAGGGAGGTGCTGTATAAGCTTCTTCATCAGGGACTTCTTAGATGGATGTGGTAGGTGGTGTGATTTTCCAGGATTCAGGGACAGATTCTTTCTTCAGTGTTGAGTTCTTCCAGGTTTGTACAGTGTGCGAAGAAGGTTTTCGATGCCTTGGGTAACCCTGACGTACAATGACTACTACAAGACGAAAACTAACACAGTTCAAGTGAAAGTAGTGTATATCTATGTAATTTTATGTGTAGTTTAATGCTAGCTGGCCAGAATTTCAAAAAAATGAAGTTCAAAATTTTCATCACAAGAATTTGAAACATTATGAGAAAAACAGTGTTGGGAGTCCAAGGAGGCATGCCCAGTGACTAGAAATGATACTACAGAACTACAGGAAGTTTTTCTGCACCGCTGCAGCATTGCTAACACATGCAAGGACTTCTGCCATCATACCAATGCATCAATGAGACTTATACTTTCTCACAGTGAATGCAGCTTGTCGCCCATCAAGTCCTTTTCTAATTTAAAAATTCAACAAATGTATTATTTGATAAGAAAGCAGCAGTGTACCTGTAAGCATCCATATAGTGCCAAGATTTGTGGAAAAATTGCCGGATAGTCAAGGTATCACAAAGATCAAGACATCAAGGAACAAGAATTTTTGCAGTCAGGAATTTACCATCCGATGCATTATGAAAACCTAAGCTTTCATTAATAGCTGACTCACAATACTTTCTGTACCCCCACACCATCTCCGAAGGATTGAGTTTGCAGTGAAACTTTGGTAAGAAAAGGCAAACATGCCCTTGACTCTCAATGAGGTGTTGAAGCATTGGTTTTTCAGTTGCGAAGTCCTCTTGTAGAGAGAGCACCTTGAAAATACAACACCAATTGTCAGCCTCAGATTCAACCTCATCTGGTTCACCTTCAGCCTCAGCTGCTGTGATTCATCACTCTGCATCTTTCTTCAGCTCCGACTTTCAGCATGATTGACACTCACCAACAACCCTTCGCCCCTGGAGCCTCTCAATATACTCATCCCAAACCGACTCTCTCTCTTCCAACACTGCTCTCATGCCCTTTGGTTTTCCAGCAAGTTTTTCATTGGGATGCAAAGAAGGGTAAATGAGTGTCTGAGGCACTCCACATGTATCGAGATGGCCAGGCTTTGGTGGTGGGTTTGATAATGGAATGATGGTGTCATGGAGAGATTTCTGCTTGCCTCCAGGACCAATGTTTATGTTGTTTATGTTGAGAGCATCAGGGGCAAGGCCTTCATGAGCTAATGAACAGTCAAGAACAAAGATGGCGACCATTCTGGGATTGGTATGTTCAAAAACATCAATAGCATCTTTGACATTTTCTACCAGCTGCTTCAGATCCCACCAAGCATTGTGATTTTTCCCTGGATAAATTATGTGACATGCAGTGAATGAGCAGAGGTGAGATTCCAGAGGTAATTTCATCTGCTCTTCTATCTGAGTCATCGAGAGTGTGAGAAACCCAATTGTTTCACAGATGAAATCCAAGACATGTATTGAATGACCATTACCCTTCTTCTTGATGGGCTGTTCATGTTCCAATAGCCATGCTCATCTTCGAGACTCATTGACATGGAAGATGCACTCATCCTGTGTGATGAGCACATGCTCCTTCTTGCCTGGGCCTAATTTAGGAGGTACGCAAGTGAGAGTTTTGTTGTCATATGTAGACATAAAGCTGCAGTGACAGAATAAGCAACTACATATCAAGACAATGGATTATCTCACTGCTTGTAATGTTCCATTTTTCATAAGAATTCTTCATGTGCCTTTATTACATCAGGTCATTCATGTCCATCAATGTACATTCCCTTCTGAACATTTTTACAAAGGTACTTGAGCTTCTTCAACCAGTTGAGTGATGTGCGTTCACTGATACTTGATGTGTCTGCCATTAGACCCAATGCAGGGATGATGACCTTGTTGATGTGATTGCAGAGATTGTGGGGAGCAATGGTTCCAAGATTCTGGCTAGTGAGGTATTGATGAACAGACTGAACAACAGTTTCATTATCCAACAGGGTTGCATGTCCTCAATAGGCACCACCTTTTCATGGTGGAAGGGAGTGATAATGAGAAAGGTATCTTTCATTGTTACGGATTTGCTGAGCAAAGTATGGTCCCTTTCCCATTCTCCTTGCAATTGCAAGGCTGGCACTGAGGCAAGGATACTTCGTCCAAGCATGCTGCAAATATCAATCTTGCAGCTTCACATACTGTGCAATAGCACTGAGCTGGGTGATAACCTTGATCAACCGTGGGGTTCGTAACTTCTTGGCCTCTTTCAAACACACATCCACCAGCAAGAGAGTATTGTGAGGTTCAACATTTTCTTCATCATTGACATCAAGCCATTCACAAGCTGACTCGATCTCAGCTGACTCAGGTGGGTATTCCAAGTCTTCGTGCAGCTCAGGGTCATGTTATGTCATGGCCTCACTAGCAGTGAGCTGTGGGAGAGGTATGTGTGTCATTCATTCATTAATTAAACCAGTTTCATAAAAATTCTCGCACCTCAAGTTCATCCTCTTCATCAAGTACCATATTATGTCCCTGCTTGTCCAGCCATGTTTCAAGGTATGTTGCACATAAATCGGCCATATCAAATCCAGTACTAAGTGTGAAATCCAGTGCAGGGTCTTGTTCCAAGTCAGACAGTAGCTCCTGCTCAGACTCGACCAGCAATGGTCCATTGTTTGGAGTTTTTGGCTGTTGACTGAAGAATGAATCAAGAGTCCCACAACCTTGCGCAGCCTTAATCCATTGCCTTTTTTGTTGCCACTGTGTTGTCTGTGAGTCTCCTTTATAGATTGCAGGACAGTCTGAAAGCTTGCACTTATTTCCCTGTAAGTCTGTCATCATCATTTTGCTTGGCATTGATGCCAGCATGTCATATATATAACTCACCTTTTGACTTGGAGCCCCTTTAGACTGCATGTGACGAGGAAGAAATGCTGAGTACAGGGTCTGGAGAGCTGATATATCTTCGGCTAGGCTGCCAGTCTCAGGTTCATCCTCGATACTATCCAAGTCTGTCCATACTTCTTCTTCACCACTTGAGTGATATACATAGGTTGAATCTTGTTCTTCTTCATCAGCCTCAACAAAGGAACACTGCTGCACAAAGCGAGCGCCACTGCAACGCTGAGATTTTGCCTGGCTCATTTTCTTGCTCAGTTGAGGCATGCCAGTGATAAGTTTAATTTTGTTTGAAAAATTTGAAACAACTTTGCAAAGAACCTGAAATTAGTAAAAACAGTGTATTTTGGGTATATTCCTTCCCAAAATTGACTACAAAGTTAACTGTATGTATCTATGGTGCTGTACAGAGGTGCTGCATTTGTGCTTCACACACTGTAGTACTGGAGTGGAAAAGATGGGGGGAAGATCCTTCTTAATATGATCTTTATCAACTTCTTTTTCAAGCTGGAGGGATCATTCAGTACTGGGTAGTGATAGGGTAGCTGCTTTCCAGCAAATGATAGGATCCATGGTGCAGAGCCAGGGAATCCCAAGGAGTGTCTGATCCCTTCTCCCTAATCTGGTGACATTAAATTTACCAGTCATGGTACAGTCATCAATTTTGATAGTTAATGTGTGATTGGTCCACTCTTGGACAGACTTCCATCAGTGGTTGTAACTTTGAAAGTTTTCATAAGCTGATGAGTCTTGATTTTGTGAAGTTTCACAAAGTCTTTGGAAATAAAGGTCCCTGCTGCTCCAGAATCAACAACAGTGGTGGTTTTGACAGTTTTCAGGCAAGTGCAAGAAATTAAAGTCATAGGAATGTAAAGTTCCTTTCTTTCTCCAATTGCATGAATAAGCCTAATAGGTACATGGGAAGATACTGACATTGAACCAGTCTTCCATTCTAAAAATCCTCCATGAGACAGCAAATTTCATCTTCATCTTCTTCTTCAATCTTTTCTTGGTGGATGGGGACCTTCCCATTCTTCTTTGGATGATAAGTCCAATCATTTGCATGGTGCCCAGCTTTGTGGCATGTGAAACACAACCCTTTCTTAAAGTGCTCTGTGCATTCTTTTTCAAAGAGGCAATTAACCTCCATGGCATCAAGGTCACAGTGAGGGGCAGAGGGTCTTGGAATGTATCTCCTGCCAGATGGTTTCATTCTTTGGTTCTGGGAGGTGCACATAGCTAGCCCCCACTGGTAGTTGCCATTCAGCCTGAGAGCGGCTTCAACATACTTATCAAAGGAGTTAGGAATGATTTCCATCTGGTAGATTGGATTAAGCAATCCATGGTTTAATCCATCATTGAAGAAGGTGATCAAAGATATGGACTCTTTGACACTTGCTTGAGCTGCAAACATCTTCAAGTCAGCGATGTAAGAAGTAAGATTGTTGCCTTATTTCAGGGTTTGGAGTTTCATCATGGCAACTGCCTTTCCAGCTGGGAAAAAGGCAGTTTTAAAACTTGTTTCAAAAGAAGCGAAGGTTCCAAAGAAAGGGGTAGTCATGTTGTAGACTTCTGCATAGAATGTGGCTGCCCAGGCTCTGGCACTGCCTTCTGTCATCTGTGCTAATGTGGCTACCACTCTCTTGGTCTCAGTATCATAGGAGTCACTGTTGATAGCAAAGTAGGCTTTGACTAAGTATAGCCAATGCTGCACCTGAAGAGAATCTCCATTGTAAACAAAGGGCACTCCTACTTTCAATTCAGTGGGTTTCATTATGACAGTAGACATTCTGAATGATGGGTTCACACGAAGGTTTCATGGTGGTTGTTCTTCTGGGAATTCATCAGATGATGTGGAGTTAGAACTCAAACTATCATTATCAGTGGGAACTAGGGAAGACTCACCTTGTCTTTCTCCTGTGTCTATATCTGGGTTTTGTGCCTCATAATATTCTTCTTCTTCTTCTTCTTCTTCTTCATCATCTAGGTCTGGCTCATTGGGGTCGCACTCCCAACTAAACTTTCTTATCCAAGGGATCATTGTGGGTGGGCCTCATGGATGATGAGGTATCAAAGTACATAACTTGAATCTTTTGTTATGAACTATAATGGTTCTAAACAGTCAAAGTTCAAAAGAGAACATTCAGAGACTGAATTCACATTCTCAAAAGAGAGAAGGTCTTTACACTAACAATGAGAGGTGCTCACTATTAGAGTCAAGGGTTCAGATGATTAAGGATTGGAGGTCCTTAGCGAGAGATCAGGTAAAACCTAGTGAGATTCAAGTAAAGAACTATAATGTATAGAGTCACCTATTTATAGTGAGTGGCTAGGAGAGTTTAGGGCAGGTGCGAGTAAGTAAGGATACCTCCTGATGGTGCTGCTGTTCAACATCAACCAATCACCCTCACTCATAACTCCTCCATTATGAGACCATCATCTTTGTCTGTCTTTAAGCCATGTTACATGTGTGATGGAGATGCTGGAGGATATGTATCAAAATATGTGGCACAGTATTTAGTTCTGGTGAATAATTACCTGAGCATTGATGCTTAGCAGCTTGCAGAGCTGGTAAAGTAGTGGAATTATTGTGTGTTGTTCCACCTTTTTAGTTGATATGGCAGCTAGCTGAAGTATGATTGTTTTAGGGTTTGTCTACAATCATCCTCCTTCATAACAGCCTTCATATATATGATCAATATTTGCTGGAAAGAGTGCTGAGTTTTAGGGGGAGAGTGTAATGCTAAGTGGGTGTCCTCACTGGCAGAGTCTCTCAATGTTCCATATGATATTCATTTTATCCATGTATCAATAAGTTGCATAGTTTACACTTGCTCATTCTATCTTGTGGATATAACTTTTCCTCTGACTAGTGAAAAGTTCAGGCTTGGCTCTGCCTCACAAAAGCATTGATCAACACACCATTTTGGGGGGATACTTTCAGAGTGAGTGACTGCAATCTGAAATGATCATCTTGGACACTGGTGAGCACTCTTTTCCAGCCACTGAAGAGTGCACAAGTCATTATTGTTGACATAAGCTCTTGTTTCCCTATATGTTACTGCTCTTGCCTCTTGCTATGTACTATACAGCACCTTCTTCATACCAGCCACAGATCCTCCATTGCCTTTATGTACTCACCTCGTGCTTTTCTCCCACTTCAGTGTTGTTCTATTAACATCTGCTGAGGTGAGTATCTTGCTTCATGTACTTGACACTCCCACTGATGTAACATTACCTAGTCTTCATTTAGGTACTTGTTAACACAGTGTTGTTCTATTAACATCCACTGAGTCTTTGTTTAGACTTTGAACAGGTTATGAGCCCTGCACTCTAACCAAGCACAGAATTCTCAAAGTCAAACTTTAAGCTCATGAAAATAAAAAATGTTCAAATCTCATTCTCCATTTGAATACTTGCATTCCATAACTATCATAAATCAACAGATCATTCTCTAAAATGGGAAAGTACAATCACATCATTGAATTGATGAGCGCAGATGAATATCCTAGTTGGCATCGAGGGGTAGTCCTTGCACTGCAAGGTGAAGGGCTATGGAACCATTGTAGCACTGGTACAGACCCCAACATCTTCACAGAATATGCATCTGTAATGCCCACAGCCGCTAACCCTGGAAGTCCTGCTGCTGCTGAGAAGCAAGCCATGATGGACTGGGTCAATGAAGATGCACAGACCAAGGGGATCATCTGTAGGAAGCTCATGGCTGTTGTCCAAGGACTTCTAGATGAGTCTTCCACTGCCTGACAGCAATGGGATGTCCTTGCCATGCACTTCAGACAGTTGGACATCAGTTCCCAGTTTGAGCTACATGTGCAGCTCTTCACTGAGAAGCTCAAAGATGTGGATGATGTCTCCCACTATATTAACATCTTCAAACATGCCAGATGGCATTTTGCCAAAATGGCAATAATATTTACTGATGGAGAAGCTGTGTTCCTTCTCCTGCAGGACTGCTGCAGACACCTGAATGAATCATCTTCAAATGCATGACCATGACATCTTACAGTAACTCATCCTCTTCTCTCCTCATCTCAGCTTCTTCCTCCACTGCCATCATTGCAGCCCCACAAATGACATTCCTGTCCATTGCAGCTTCTCTCTCAGAAGAGGCCAACAGAATCTGCACCAAATGGAAACTGTCTGGACCCAGTGTAGGGATTTCATATTCTGTGGGCTTGTATAGGCAGATATTACTTAGTGTTATGTTCGCACTTTTGGTGCTTATGTAATCATCATAGTTTTCACCTCTTACCAGTACCAGTCTGAGACTGAGCAGTTATTAGCATGATTTCCTATCCTCTCTGAGCACTGAGCTTAGTCCAGAAACCCTTTAGGGTTGAATAGCAGCTAGGCATAGCACATTTAGCCCAACACTAGAAGTCTACTTTCCAGTTCTCTTCTTGTTGTGTTTCCCACACCGGATCCAAATACAGCAACATTGTCTCTGATCCAAAGGCAAATCAGAAAACAGGGGTCCACATGCACAAAGCAAACCCTAAGGGGATCACTTGTGACAATCCAGCTTGCACAGGCTTGCCACACTTGCTCATGCATGATCATGATCACTGCTTTCAGCCTAGTGGAGGAATGGAGGGTAAGGGTAATAACCCTCCTCAAATGAAGAAGCCATTCAAGAAGGACATTGCTGCTGTGGCTATGTCAGATGCTGCAAAATCTAAGACACCTTCCTCACCTACTCAGTCTGACTCAGACCTAGCATGTGCCATCATCGAGGAGATTCTTGATGATTTGGATTTGTCACCAAGTGTGGAAGATATTGCCTGCATCATGCATCAGATCATGTCCACTATTCTTGACTCTGGCACCACATCCACCTTAATCACTGACCAAGAGTTCTTTTGGACCTTCTCCACTGATTCCCATGTGACCATCAAAACTGCAAATCACAGTTGTCTTCCAACTTCAGGATGTGGAGATTGTATTGCGGACTTGAGCATTGGTGGTAGGACTTGACATCTTTGTCTCACCAATTTCCTTCACACTCCGGGTGCCATGGTTAATCTTCTTTCAGTCAGTTATATGGTGGAGAAAGGATGGGCAGTCAACTTCCTACCTGGACCCACTTGCTGTCAGCTCATCTTTCAGGAGAAGTGCATTGGGGAAATCCCCATGACTGGGAAGTTGGTATTCTTGGATCTGCAGTTTGTTCATCCAACAGCTGCATCTTCATCCTTACCGTGTGAACTCTCAGCATTTGCACATGTCCCTCTCATGTGAGACCTCTCACATGCACACATGGGTCATCCAGGTGGCAATGCCATCACATGACTTCCTCTTGTGGCCAAAGGTATCACTGTCACTGATACCATGCCTTTGCAGCACTGCGAGTCTTGCATTATTGCTAAACACCCTTGTCGTCCTTACCCATCCTCCACTGAACCTCGGGCAAAGGCAATGCTCAACCTGGTGCATTCTGACCTGTGCGGTCCATTCCTGGTTGTCACACCTCATGGCAAACTCCATTTCATCATCTTTCTTGACAACCACACCAACCTTCTTAACATGCAGCTTCTCACTAGCAAAGACCAGGCATTGGAGGCATGGCTTATCATTCATGCTCAATGGGAGAATCACACTGGACACACCATGAAAGTCTTTCATTCTGACAATGGTGGTAAGTTCATCAGTTGTGACTTCACACATGCCCTGCAGGATGCTGGCATAGAGAGGCAGCTTTCAGCACCCTATGCACACCAGCAGAATGGAAAGGCTGAGAGAGCCATTCACATGTTAGAAGGATGGATGTTCACAATGCTGGAGACTGCAAACCTTCCAGCTGATATGTGGGGTGAGGCCGTCTTAACTGGCTGTTATCTGTGGAACAGGTCAGAGTCTAGTGCACTCCCAGTTGCTGGTACCACTCCCTTCAAACTCATCAATGACCATCAACCTAACCTTTCCCATCTCTGAGTCTTTGGGGCACATTGCTTTGCTTGCATCCCCATTGAACTCCAGGCCAAACTTGGTCCTCACTTGTGCCATGCAATCTTCATGGGTTATCCAGAGGGTACAAAGGGCTACCATCTTCATGATAGCAATGGTACATTCTTCATCACTCACGATGTCATCTTCAACAAGAACATGCCCAGTGTCTCTCATTTGTCTGACTCAGATGATGACTCTGATGCATCTGAATCATCCATTCCCACTCCTGCTCCCTCTTCTAGAACTGTTGCAACTCTGCCTTCCACTCTTCCTTCCCCACCTCCTGCTATTTGTCAATCAGCATGCTCTCATGTCCTCACTCAAGCTGGTCATGCTTTCCAAGACAATCTTGCAGCATCCCATACTCATCTTCAGACTCTTCTAGACATCCATTAGCATCACATGGGAGTGGTTCCCTTGAGCGAGGGGGTGCATGATCCTGCAACAGATTCCACATCAGCCATTCCTATCCCAGAAAATCTGGAAGAAATTGAGCCCAATATAGACATACCTGAAGTATTTGCTAACATCATCATCAAGGAGCAGGTGAATATCACAATTCACAGTGATCACAAGCACAACCCTATGAGTGCAGACTACAACATGAAGATCCCTCCAGCTACCTATGAGGAAGTGATGTTGCATTCAGATCATCTAGATTGGCTCACAGTGATGAAGAAGGAGCTTGGGATTATGTCCAAGATGAAAGTTTACAAGCTCACCTCACTGCCTGAGGGGCTCTGTGCGATAGGGAACCAGTGGGTGTTAGAGTTCAAGGAGGACGACAAAGGTGGCCCTGTCTTCAAAGCACATCTTGTTGCCCAGGGGTTTTCTCAAATCCCTGGCATTGACTATGGCACCACCTTCACTCCAGTCATCAAGACTGCCTTGTTGCGCCTCATTGCAGTGCTTGCTTGCAAGAACAGATGGGATCTTGACTCATTTGATGCAAAGAGGGCATTCTTATGGGGGGTGCTCAAAGAGGAGCTATATATGAGGCAGCCAAAAAGTTTTGAGGATGGAGACTGGTGTATTTGTGTCTGGTGAATGCTTTGTACCATCTATGGGCTTAAGCAGTCCACAATAGAATGGTACAAGGAGGTACGTGCAGTCATGACAGAGTTGGGTTTCTCTTGCTGTGCTGTCAATCACACCATATTTCTCTTTGACAAGGTCATCTCTGGCACACACACCATCTGCATCATCGGAGTCCATGTTGATAATGGCCTCGGGACCTCTAACTCCTCTGCATTCCTCACCTTCATCAAATGCAAAATTGATGGGCATTTTGTGATCAAGGACATGGGTCCTGTCAAGAAGCTTCTTGGTATTCAGTTTGAGTGCAACCTTGCAACTCATCAGCTGTGGATGCATCAAGGCAAGTATATCACCTACCTGCTTGAAGAGTATGGGCTCCTGGATTGCAATCCCATCTGCCTCCCACTCGACTCTCATTATCCCTTTGGCAAACCACACGACTCCCATGACAATATCAAGAACCTCACTCATAAATTCCAAAAGCTCATTGGGGAGCTTTTGTACCTTGCAGTATGCACTTGCCCTGATATCTCATATGCAGTCAATTCCCTCACACAGCACAACTCCAACCCATCACTTGCACACTACACCTCTGCGAAATGCCTTCTCTGTTACCTCTCTGGCACTCAAAATCTTTGCCTCCATTATGGGGGTGCTCATGTTAATGAGGGCCTCCATGCATACTGTGATGCAGATTGGGCAAGTTCCCCAGAGGATCATCTCTCAATTTCGGGGTATGTTTGGTTCTTCGCAGGGGGTGTCATCATGCACATATCCAAGAAGCAGACCATGCATGCACTCTCCTCCACAGAGGCAGAGTACATGGCTGTCACCCACGTCATTTAGGAAGGTCTTTGGCTCAAATCCCTCCTCATCCAGCTTCATGTTCTGCTCACATTCCCCATTATGATTTATATGGACAACACCGGCACTATCTCACTCTCTACTGAGGCAAGGAATCACATCTGGTCAAAGCACATCGATGTTTGCTATCTCTTCATTTGCGAACACATTGAAGAGGGGACCTTCTTGCTCAAATGGGTGCCTTCACACATGAACACTGTGGACATCTTCACCAAGGCTCTTGCTTGGCCTCTCTTCAAGAAACACTTACCTGGCTTGCAGCCGGTGTCTCAGTGAGGGGGTGTGTTGACATAAGCTCTTGTTTCCCTATATGTTACTGTTCTTGCCTCTTGCTATGTACTGTACAGCACCTTCTTCATACCAGCCACAGATCCTCCATTGCCTTTATGTACTCACCTCACACTTTTCTCCCACCTCAGCATTGTTCTATTAACATCTGCTGAGGTGAGTATCTTGCTTCATGTACTTGACACTCCCACTGATGTAACATTACCTAGTCTTCGTTTAGGTACTTATTAATACAGTGTTGTTCTATTAACATCTGCTGAGTCTTCATTTAGACTTTGAACAATTATGGAACAAAGGTCCTACTATCTCCAAGATCTCCATATGATACAAGTCAAACCACTCCTCCCCCCACATGGTCAGAACTGAGAAATCAATCAGCTTTGTTTGGATAGGACACTACTTTAGTGTTAGCTAATCAAAATGCAGTCCCTCTCATCTGAAGGCACTTGCCATTGTAAGCTAACAACATATCATCAGGCTCAACAGAAGGGAAATGTGAAAGTGAACACACCTGATGTGTCAATTGAGATATGACCTTGCAAAACACACATGAAAGCTTGTTTCTTCCCACTGGCCAAATTAATCTGAAAAAGTTATGTTCATAGTGTGATATCATGAAGAACAGTAGGAGAAAGCTAAGTACCAGTAGTAGGAGGCAGCTTGGATGGGATCATCAATGATTATCCACCACTACTTATAATTACCAGTGACCACACATCCTTGACTCAAGTCCTCAGGCCTCAGTGACAGTACCATACCGTGACACGAGTGGCAGCGAAGCTAGGCTATGCAAATGCAACGCCTGACATAAGAGATTGTCTCGAAGTTTATTTGCGCCTCAGCTGCACCACTGCCATAATACATCAAAGGTATCTTCAAGGTTGATCAAGCCCTGACTATAGAATGTGGCTACAGTTTGATTTCTCAGCTGCCTTCTTCGGAACCGACGGCGTGATCACTCCTTTGATTGTTCACAATTATCTTTTACATATCACACACGTTACCGTCTCCACAAGTTCAATTACAAGGTCGCCTCTGTGACAGTCTTGGTTGCGACGCCTTTATCCTCTCGATTCTTTGTTGTTACGCCTCTCCTTCAAGGGTCCGGGAGTGTTTAAAAGAGTAGTTTCAACGCATTCTTTACCTAGTTCTAAACCGTCATCGCATTCCTATTGGACTCGATATCATTCCGACCTATTCCGACTCGTGAAACTTTGCTATACTCTGTTCTAAACCCCTACTCAGACAACCCTTGTTCTCTCAGTGTCTCTGTTGTCTACTTAAGCTCCGAGTTGTTTGGAGTCAGTCGTAATCTAATCTGGAGGTTCGAAGAATCGAAGCATCCTAAATTTGCATTACTTGGCCTCGTGTTAGACACGTTGCTCCGATACGAGAGGATACAAGAGAGCTATCCAGCGGACGAGGAATAAGTACTTTGGAGTGCCCTCTCTTCTTGTCCTGGGACCTATCGCTCATTTGCTATGGTCATAATTTGCCCGCAGTTGGAAGCCCACGGAGCTTGCACCGATCCCCTGTGCACAGGGTACCATGACGTCCACCTCTGCGAGTTATGTGGTGTTTTCTGTGCGTCCACTAAGTGGTACGAAGCGCATCTAGCCAGTAAGAAACATCGTCGTAAATTGGCTGGCCGTGATGGAGGCCAATACCGCTGCCCAATTTGTGGCACTTCCGTTTCCGGTCACAAGTCTTGGGTTCAACATGTTCAAGGAAAACGACACCGCAGAAACGCAAAGAATGAAGGTGTATTGCCTGAGGTAGCTCCCGCTATTCCTGAGGCGCTCCCCGGCAAGGTGTTCTGTGGTGTCTGTGACAAACAGATTCCAGAAGGCTTGTGGCCTTCTCATCCTCGATCCTTCGAACATCGCAGGAAGGAGGGTTACACTGCGTTCAAAACTGCCCTCGAGGAAGCTGAGAAGGACAAACATGGCATCGTTCTCTCGGAAGCGCTAGATTTTGGAATTATGGAAAATGCTGATGCTGCGCAGGGAGCATTACGAACTTTGACAATAGAGTCCACGGTGCCCTCATCGCGAGTTGCCATCAAGAAAGTATCTTTGTCCTCTTCGTTCGTGAGCGGGCAATCTCCGTGAGCTCTTTTCCTCTTTTGTTGGTTTGACCACCCAAACCAATGGCTTTGTTGGTAGGTTTGCTATTACGACCACAGTAGAGGGGGCAGTATTGGGATGTCGTCGTCCGACTGCAATTGGTGTGCGATTTTCAACACCTCACTCTGGGCGCATGGATGATCGTCTTGAAATCCTCTTCGAAGACACAGCGCTGCATGTAACCTTCGTTATCGCTAGACCGCTGAAGGCCATTGTGGGCAGCCAAGCCGATTATGAGTTACTGAAACCAATTGCTCCCTTCCAACCTCGCCGGCGAACTCGTGCGCAGCCCGAGACGCAGGTAGTGTCAGGTGTCCCTCCACCTTCCAAAAACATCATCCCGTACACTATCAATTTGCCTAGGGCGCAGCCTTCGGACTCACTCTTAGCTGCATTGTCAGAAACATCATCTGGAAAGGCGCTAGATCACGTCAGGAGAGTCTTCCTCCCAAAGGTCATCGATTCTTCAACGTATTCGCGCTACTTTAAGACACTGCTTTGGACGGAGGAGCAACGCATGGAGTGAGTAATATTGTATATTGACACATCTCTATTCTTACGAGTTTTCAAGGCATGATTTGGAACTCTATGACATTCCTGACGCTCAGCTAGATCGTCATGGACTGTATTATCAGTGAGCACACTGATATTTCGCAAAGGTTTGAGCTCATCGTGTTATAGTTTGCTCGTTCCTGGATTAGCGGAAAAACGCCCAAGTGTTTTGATTGGTTTGGGCGTCTCCTTATTTTGTTCTTGCTATCATTCATCGTGTTCTCAGGGGATCGGTTTCTTGTCCAAAAACATGGGGCTGTCGAAGGCCATTGGTACGAAGGCCATGTCCATTTTGTTCGACAGGCGTCTGTCGGGTTACGATTCAACGGGTCATTTCGTGGCTGGTCTCAGCAACAGCGGTATACCGTACGATTCAAGCTCAACCGCATTCCTATGCGCCGCCAACACCAGGCGCTGGACACTGCATTTGCATCTGATAAGTTTTTGTTCCCTCAGAAGGCGCACATTTTACCGCTTGCCTCTCGTCCTGGCATAGGCCCTATTGTGCCATTTAATCCGTTGATTGCCACGAACCCACCTCAGCTTCAAGCTGTCACATCTATCCTTCTTCAGCAACCGGGTTCAGCACCGTTTGCCGTTTTCGGTCCCCCGGGCACTGGCAAGACTATAACGATAGTGGAAGCCATGAAACAACTACTCAAGCATAAACCAAATACACGTATTCTTGCTACCGCACCCAGTAACTCTGCCGCCGACATCATTGCATCCCGACTGGCGTCCACCCTCGGACCCGACGAATTTTTCAGACTTTACGCGCCCTCAAGACACCTCGACGACGTCCCAGATGAGTTGCGGCGCTACACATACCAAAGGAGACTAGAAGGGGAAGACAAGAGCTGTTTCTCTGTCCCGCCCGTCCCCATCCTCAAGCGCTTCAAAGTTATTGTGTGCACATGTGTCTCCGCATCTATCCCGTACGGTATTGGAATCCCACGCGGACATTTCACGCATATTTTCGTTGACGAAGCCGGTCAAGCGACTGAACCTGAAGTGATGATCGGTATCAAAACGATGGCTGACAATGCGACGAACATCGTCTTGGCGGGAGATCCGAAGCAATTAGGACCTATCATCCGTTCTAGCATCGCAAGGGAGCTTGGGCTGGAGCGGAGCTACCTCGAACGTTTGATGTCGATGGATGCATACGAAGCTCAAAGTGGCCATGGCCTGAGGTGATCATAGCTCACGTATTTCCTTTCAATTCGTTCAGGTTACTTAATCTATGAACAGCGTCGTCAAGCTTGTGAAAAACTTCCGGTCCCATCCCGCAATTCTCAAGTTTCCCAATGAGCGATTCTACGCAAATGATCTCGAGTCCTGTGGCAACAAGAACATCATACGCGCTTTTGAAGGCTGGAAGAAACTGCCTTCAAAGAAATTCCCGATTATCTTCCACTCGATATCTGGGAAGGATGATCGCGAGGCTTCGTCACCCTCGTTTTTCAACATTGACGAGGTTACTCAAGTTCGCAAATACATTCAACTCCTCCGAGATGATCGACAGATCAGAGTGTGTAAGTGAATACACGCCCTCATTGTCGTTCACAATTTACAAACGATACAACAGCTCACAATGAGATTGGCGTGATCGCTCCCTATCACGCTCAATGTGTCAAAATTCGCAAGGTGCTCAGTGGCGTGGCTGACGAGGTCAAAGTTGGCAGTGTAGAAGAATTCCAGGGTCAGGTGAGAAATTTTGAAGTTTGCGTCGTTCTATGACCAATTCTATTTACTAGGAGCGACGAGTCATCATTATATCGACGGTCAGAAGCAGCCGAAATTTCGTTGAGTTTGATCTCAAACACACCCTTGGCTTCGTTGCGAATCCGAGGCGTTTCAATGGTGAGTGAATAATCGTTTTTGGTAAAAATAATACTCACATCGCTCTCAGTTGCTGTGACTCGAGCACAGGCTTTGCTGATTGTGGTCGGAGACCCAAATGTCTTGTCCCTAGATCCCCTCTGGAGATCGTTCCTGAATTATGTACACTTGAACGGCGGGTGGGCTGGTCCTGGACCGACATGGGACACGACAGAAACAGTGGATGAGAGTGGCGAATACGACCAACATATTCGAGCTGCTGCAATGACGGATATGAATCTTCTTGCTCGGAGGATTGAGGAGGTCGTGGCAGAGAATGTGCAGACCGATACAGACAACGATGATGATAATAATGACGACGATGCAAACTTTGATAGGCCGTGGAGGGAGCTAGAGTAGGCTTTCTTACTGTAATTGTTATGTTCAATATTCCTTGTAACTTTCTATGTAGTACTTTGTTTTTTCGCATGCTTAGATTCTGCTACTGTCTCACGCCGACGCCGGGCGGTGTTTGCATTTGTCCAAATTGGGGATACGAGTAAGTCGTCGTGGACTTGCTTGGAATTCCTCAACTCTTCAATTTTCGTGCACCTATCGGTAGGACTGTGTCTCCTCGCTTTTGCTTTCGCGTTCACGTTCTTCTGTCATATTATGGTCGAGGACAAGTACATCGGATTGGCTCTGGCAGTCTCCAGCTCACTAGCCATCGGGACAAGCTTCATCATTACAAAGAAGGTTCTACATGTTGAGCTTTGTTGAATCCCCCGGAAACTGAGTGGTCTTGGATGCAGGGACTTACTGATGCAGGAACACGAAATACATCTGGCTCCGAGGAGTATGCTTACCTCCGGAATCCGATATGGTGGGCTGGGATTTCAACTTGTGAGTCTCACCAATTGAGCCGTCGAAATATCATTTCATTTCAACAATTGTATAGTGGTGCTTGGAGAAAGTGATAATCATCTCTTGCCCCTTTGTTCAGCTGATAATGAAGTTCGTAGTCGCAAACTTCGCTGCTTACACTTTTGCTCCCCCAATATTGGTGACACCATTAGGCGCACTTAGCGTGTTGATCGGGTAAGCGTGCTATAGGTGTTATAGCTCCATCAGCTGATGTTATGCAGTGCTATACTGGCGTCCTTCCTGCTCAACGAGGAGCTCGGGCATCTAGGGCGGACGGGATGTGCCCTGTGCCTTATTGGTTCTTTGATCATTGTTCTCCATGCACCACCAGACAAAGAGGTTCAGACCGTGGACGAGATTTTGCAATACGCTATACAGCCCGGTTAGGTCATAATCTTCTCTTATTGCTGTAACACTGACCGGGTTGCAGGATTCATACTGTATTGTTTCACGGTTTTCGTATTCTCGATCGTCATGATATTCGGTGTTGCCCCACGCTACGGGCGCTCCAATCCTCTTGTTTACATATCTATATGCTCCTTAGTTGGTTCCGTGTCTATCATGGCCATCAAGGGTTTTGGTGTAGCCGTCAAACTCACATTTGGTGGGAACAACCAGTTCACCCATCCAAGTACTTATGCGTTCGGCATAGTCGTCATTGGGTGCATTTTGGTGCAGATGAATTTCTTCAATAAAGCATTGGACACATTCTCTACCAATGTGTACGTCCGTCCGTACACGTTTTCAATGGAATGTTCACCATTTTACAGTGTAAATCCCATGTATTACGTTGGATTTTCTACGGCAACGATAGTGGCGTCCCTCATCCTGTTCCAAGGATTTAATACGACGGACGGCACAAATACCGTTACGCTCCTCGCTGGGTTCATTGTCACTTTCCTTGGCGTTCACCTCTTAAATCTTTCACGGAAACCTGATCCCCAAAACATGCCCAACGGTCACTCCACCCTAGAAAGCGGTCTCATGAATCCTCGCATGAGTCTCCAGGGTCGTATGTCTCTAGATGGGTGGAGTGGTTTATCTGAAGTACAGCCAGATGGTGCCCTGCAGTCCTCTGGCCACGGCCGCCGTTCTTCACTCTACCGCGCACAGAGTACCACATTGTTCAACGCCTTTGAGGAGGAGGAGACAACTGATAACATGCCGCTATCTCGATTGCGGGAGAGTGAAGAAGAGTACGAGTATGATAGTGATGTAGATGAACGGACTCGATTGCATTCAGAGCATCGGATACGACCGAGTGTCTCTCGAAGTCATAGCAATTCCCCAGCACTGCAGGGCAGTGCACGAAATTCTCCTCGACCCTCATAGTCATACCCTTTTAACGGACTACTATAATAGATATCAATTTCTTGTCTAACATATTTAAAGGTTGTGGAGGACTAAGTACTTGAGTGAACCGAACAGTCCGCAGCTCGGATGTGAGAACAAGTTCCTGGTTCAGGTGCCTTTATCTTCTAGAACACATGTGGTCTCAATGTAGTTTCGGGGCCTTGCGTGCACACAGGCATCGATTTCTCCTGACCCCTGCATTTGCTCAGACTATCCGATTCTCCTCTGGTATAACAACGACCATGGGCGCAATTGGGACTCGCACTGTCGACACTACCGAGCGGCTAGCAAAGCTACGAGAGCTATTGAAGAAACCAGAGAACAACGTCAAGGTTTTCGTTGTTCCCAGCGAGGACCAGCGTAGGCACACACAACATATCCAGCAGAAGTATTGACCTTCCTTGTTCTGAAGATTTCAGCGAGTATCCTGCACACTCGGATGAGCGTAGAGCATTCATTTCAGGTTTCAATGGTTCAGCTGGTGAGAAGATCCCATGATCTCGGTTTGATGATATCTGATATGAGATTCATGTAGGGTGCGCTATCATCACCCTCAGGGATGCTTTCCTCTTCACAGATGGGAGATACTTCTTGCAAGCTTCCCAGCAACTTGACAGGTACTGTTTAGATCATTTGGTTATATTCTTCCTCACAAGAGATGTCCTCAGCAATTGGAAGCTTATGAAACAGGGTTTGCCAGGTATAGTGCTCCGTTCATCATGTTCGTGCTTTTGACTTACTTGAGAGAGGAAGACGTGCCCACATGGCAGGAATTTCTCTCCAAAGTCAATCCTTCCTATCCTTTTTGGACCTTACACTGATCAAATACTATGACAGCACCTCGAGCAAGGGACCCGAATTGGCATCGATCCTACGCTTATTTCAGCTGGTACGGGTGTTACCACTTCTTCTCCCTATTTAGCTAACCGATAGTAGTGGATGCTGAAAGTCTTAAGAAATCTCTTGAACCTAGGGGGTCTGAGCTTGTATCTCTCCAGAAAAACCCTGTCGACATTGTCTGGGGCAAGGACCGACCCCCGTGTCCTCACAACAGCGTTTTCCCTTTGGACGTCAAATACGCTGGTCAGCATAAGATGACCGTGCATAGTTTAAGACTGACGTTTGAACAGGAGAGACATTTCAAGACAAACTCCAGCGTTTACGGGAAGAGATGACGAAGAAAAAAGCTGTTGCCTCCGTCGTTACGCTTCTTGACGAAGTCGCGTGGCTTTTCAACCTCCGTGGCACAGATATTGACTTCAACCCTGGTAATTGCAGACCACTGTCACGCTGATTTAGTATCTCAAGGAACATTTTCTAGTCTTCTTCGCGTATGCTGTTGTGACTCCAACAAAGGCAATACTTTTTATGAACGACGCTCAGGTCCAGCACAGTATCAAGACGTTCCTGGGCTCTGATGTTGAGATCCGACCATATGAGTCTTTCATCCCTTCTTTGAGGCAGCTCGCTGCGACCCTTGGAGCTAATAAAGACAAAGTGAGACATTTAATGCATGTTTAAAATCAATTCTGATTTTTGTCCGCTTTAGCCTATGCTACTGGGTGATAAAACTAGTCTAGCTGTCGTTGAAGCAATCGGACAAGTACGTACTTCGTGACAGTCCGTGAAAATCACTAACCGTGTTCCGACTAAATACAGGAGAATGCCGTTCTTATCCCGTCACCAGTGGCTGCTATGAAGGCAATAAAGAATGAGACGGAGATCGAGGGCTTCCGCAAATGTCATATCCGCGATGGCGCTGCCCTAACCCGTTACTTTGCCTGGTTGGAGGAACAACTTAACGGAGGTGCTGAGCTGAACGAAAGTCAGGCTGCGGCTAAGCTCGAAGAATTTAGATCGTCAGTGTGGACGATATTTTATATTGCTGCAGCTCACCTCCTAATAGTGAGCTGGACTTGTTCCGTGGACTGTCGTTCACAACAATCTCATCTACTGGACCTAATGCTGGTGCGCGAACTCGGGTGAGACGAGACACACACTGATTATTGCACAGCCGTGATACATTACTCACCGGACCCGGATGACTGCGCGGTCATCAAAAAGGATCAGGTATGTTGTCCAGATCGATGTGAACCATGCTTACACAGAGAATATTAGATATATTTATGTGATTCTGGAGGTGAGGTCCTTTCTATTCACAATGATACATCTTTTACGAGAGCACCATCAGGACAATACCTTGATGGAACGACTGATGTGACCCGGACGTTGGTAGGAAAATTTGGTGACGAGAAGGGTTTATCTCAAGACATTCTCGCAGCATTTTGGCACCCCTACCGATGAGGAGAAACGAGCCTTCACGCGTGTTTTGCAAGGCCATATTTCAATCGACACTGCCATTTTCCCAACTGGCACGTCAGGTGCGTCCGCTTTCCCATTTCCCTTTACTTCAGCCTGACGATATGTCGTTTAGGTTACATCATGTGAATGATTTGCTTCTGACATCGTCAGACCAAGTTGCTCAAGTTGATTTCACCTCAGTGACTCGTTTGCAAGACGAGCTCTATGGCAAGAGGGATGGGGTAAGCTATTCGTTCTTGAGCCTTATTGCAATATCCTAATCGAATTTACAGATTACAGGTAGCTCCTCATCGCTCAAAGTCATTGAACTTTCATAACGCCCGAATATAGACATGGGACTGGCCATGGCGTTGGTCACTTCCTGAATGTTCATGAAGGTAAGCTAGGCTCCTTGTACATAGCGTAGGATGTTGACATGCTGCAAAGGCCCGCATGGCATCGGCACCCGCATAGGTTTACTTCATACTACACCCCCTAGTCTTCCTGCTTACCCGCACCTCCAGCGTACAACAGCACCTCTTTGAAAGCGGGCATGACTGTTTCGAATGGTGAGTGGACTGAGTAATGCAAAGAACGAGCCAACATTCGCGCCAGAACCGGGCTACTACGCCGACGGACGCTACGGGATCCGCACTGAAAGCGTTGTTATAGTTCGGGAGGCTGAGACACCAAATAACTTTGGGAATGGGTACCTTTGTTTTGAACATGTAACAATGGTGAGCGCCTTCAGATGAGAGAGATCGTGTCCCGATAAGCTAACGCTGAAGTAGTGTCCTATCCAAACGAAGCTGATCGATTTCTCGGTTCTGACCGCGCAGGAAAAGGAGTGGCTCAACTCTTATCATGCGGAGACGCTGGAGAAGGTAGGCCCTTTGCTCCGTAACGACCTGCGCGCTCTTCAGTGGCTAGAAAGAGAGTGCTCTCCTGTGTAGAGGATGATCTTATCAGATGCAGTTGTTTAATCGAGAGCACCCCAAAAAACAATTTTGTACATCAGCACGAACATCAAGCCCAGCCGGGACTTATCACTCGTTGGAACATCATGAGATGGGACGAACAAGTGCAAATCATCTATCTTGTTAATACACAAATCATAGAACACTTGGGAGTCCGAGGGTGCTACATCTAGACTCAGAATTTTTCCAGCAATCAAAGGTCTGAAGCATTAACTATAGTCTACCATGGCTGACTTTTGAGCCTATTACTTACTAGTACTCAGGTCTCAAGTTACTAATCAGTAAACAACAACTTTTCCTACAGATTCTTACAATATAACAGACATCACAGAATCCCAAGATCCTAGAGCTACAGTCACAAGGCCACAGATGCTCACAGATTCTCAGTGTGTCATAGACTCACAGAATCCCCAGGATCCCAGACCCACAGACCCACAGAACTCACAAAATAAATCATTAAGTCTTTTCTTTAGTTCAACATCACCATTAAGCCTTAGTATGAACCAAAGCTTATTCAAATTCATTGTTAGGACAAAAAGAGCTAAGCCTATTGACTAAATCTTGTTAAAATTCACAATTTTCATAATTTGCACTAAACTTCCAAGTTTGTATAGTCAAAAATATATCACAATAAGGTCTAATTTTCAATAATGGGAAGTCATAATGAGGTATAACTATAGATTTCAACTTGGAGACAATATGAAGGCTTGATTCATATGTTGAACCTCTGACTGAACACTGGCAGCACTATTTGACATTAGTTTGAGGAAGATTGTGAAGTGACATTCTTCAGTTATGAAGCCAGGAGCCCTGCAAGTAAGGTACAATAAAAGGAATTGTCATTATCCCAGTCTGACACATGATGAGACATTTATGTATAGATGCTTTCAAAATACTGGTTCAGATGGGAGTGCATGAATCAAAGCACAGTGCAAAGCTTCTGCAGATGATCCATCAGATGCCATAGCCTGTATTTCTTCCATATCCCCAAAAGTCTTCTCAATATAGTCTTTTGCTCCAGAAAGCCAAGCAACTTTGCAACATGCTGCATGGATACCAAGGTAGTGTGGACTAGGTAGAGGTAAGTGAAGAGGATCATCAGTTGTGAATGTTACAGTAGGAGGAAGTGCTCGTATAGTTTGAGGGTCTCCACACACTTGATATGTGTGTTGCATATCATGGTGTGTGTCCTTGTAATGGTGTCAATCAGTCATCAATTCTCCATTATACTTTAATGACATGACCCACCATTTCTTCAAACCACAAGTCAAGCCTATTAAACATTGCATGCACATGCACAGCCAAAGTCAAGATATTTTCAAGATGATGGATCTTAATATCATCAAGTTCTTGCTTGATGTCATAGCCTGAAAGATGGTTTACTATGGTCTGTGCATTCACTACATCCTCAGGCTTGGTTGTTTGCAGAATGGATTGAGCAGAGTATGTTTGCATAGAAAAAAGGCATACCTTAAGGTTGTCCTCACCAGAAATGCCTTTGCTGATGGAAGCTGGAAAAATATAAGCAGCTTTTGTGGAAAAGACAGACAAATTTTTATCTAAAGCCTCTGCCACAAGCTGTCTTTGATTGTGGTAGGCAGTGGAATCAATAGCACTAGTAACAACACAGCGAAATTTATCCCGAATGAGGGCCTGACTGAAATTATAAACAGACCAGGTGAATGAGATGTGGAGCACTTACATGCACTTTTGCTGTTCTTTGATCCATGGGGCTCTCCTCTGCCTTGAGGGTGTCAAATGATAGGTCAGAAGTGAGGAAAGAGGATTCAGGGGTCTGACTTGGAGCAAACTCAACTATGAGTTCTAAATATCAATTCAAGCACAATATAGCAGGTAGCAAGTACTCACACAAATGAATGAAATGATCATAGATGAGTTGGGCAAGGTGAATAAGCTTTTTATCATCAGTACATTTGCCAATGTCCTTTGTGATGTTGCAACTGACCAGCATCACTTGGTGCATATATTAGCATGTATCCAAGGATACGAGCACACATGAGAGTTGATGGGTGTGGTGGTGGGTCCAGCTGCATGATATGGGCCTGATCCTGGAGGGCCACACAACGGTTATATGCAGCATTAAACTCAGAGTCAGAGGAGATTGTGTTGGGGAGATTGGAGGGAAGAGGCACAGAATTATCCATGGTGTGCTTGTTGATTAATTTCGTTATGGTGCAGCTTTTTACTGTGCTATTAGAGCAAGGTTGCTGTGGAAGAGCAACTTTGCATCATACAAAACTTAGGGGTCAACTTCTGGAGAAAGGGGTGTCCACCCCGGCGGATGCCACCTTCTTTCTTTGGAAAAGCACGGGCGCAAAAAGTTTTATTTAGATCCATTTGACCACCGTTTGACCTAAAAAGTCAGGATTCACTTTACCTTACTATATAGTACTTATCTTGGGATGGCCCTCCATCTGCTTCAACACAACTGTCTTCAAGTTCCAGAGACGAAATACCCTGTTGTTCGACTCGGAGCTGGTGATCATTCATCGTTTATCGGAGAAAACTGCGACTGTCCTTACGCGTCCTTCATGGGCTTGACTCAACTCTTGCAGTGTAGCTTCGACATTTTACTGGAGGTTAATTGCGTTGGGCGCAGTCGAGATGGACCTTGAAGGAATTGTGGGCGTCTTCTTGCGGGACGTCCAGCCTGAAAAAATCGCGATGGGCGTTTGGGAGAACTCTCACATCGTCTACTACTTTATGGACTTTGGTTTGGCGAAGCTTTACGCTGACCCATCCACAGGAACACACGGCGTTGTGAAGGCCACGTTGGCCTTGGAACTCCGCGATATGCAAGCTATAACGTGCATTATGGACGAGGTTCGTGGAGACCAATTTAATTCCTACCCAGGCTAACAAGCGAGGAGTAGAACAAGGACGACGAGACGATCTTGAAGCATTGGGCATCATCCTACTATTTCTTTTGCATGGACGTCCGCCTTAGCAAGGCGCCCACCCACCAAGCCTCGAGGCCAAACTACTTCGAATGGGGGAGATGAAAGCTGGTTCGGTATTTCGCGACCTGCTCGCGCGCTCACCTGTGGAGCTTACTGCGTACTTCGATCATTGCCGTGGTTTAAAGTTCGAAGATAAACCATCATATCTTTTGCTAAGACAACTGTTTAACTAGGTATTGGTCACGGAAGGGTGGACGGAAACACCAAGTTTGATTGGGAGGATGGAAGTTCACGCAAAGGTGTGCCGTTGCCAGTTAGATATTCGATTCACAAAAGACGATGTGTCCACGCTACAGTACGTGAGCCCATACATTCACTACGCGCAATCTAATTAAATGCGTCTCACATCATCTATTTATTCGACTTTCATTTCACAAAGCTTCACGTCGACTCGTACATAGGGGCACACATACCATTCCACGAATAGACCCAGCAATATTCGAATATTTTGGACGAGGTTCACTACGACCAACTCAATTCCTGAACAAGGACGGCGAGACGACCTTGAAACATTGGGCAATGCCCTCCTATACCTCTTGCATAGCTTTCTGCCTTGACAAGACATACAGGCACCAAGCATCGAGACCAAACTGCCTCGAATGGCCCGGGGGGAGGTGAAAGCTGGCTCAGCAGCATTTCGTGACCATCTCGTCCGTTCCTGTAGAATCTACGACGTACTTCGATCACTGCCGTGGTTTGAAGTTCAAAGAAAAGCCCAACTACGCATTGTTGAGGCAGCTGTTCAGCAAGATTATGGAGGGAGGGGTAGACGGGAGACACGAGGATTGACCTGCTGGATAGAAGTTCTGACAAAGGTACACTGGTGCCCGAGGAGTATCAGTTAGATGTCCGATTCACAGGGAGTGCTTTGACCACGCCACACGCCATGCTCCCTTGCTCTATTTGGCAGAAGGGCATACTCTTGACAGAGAGACTTGAATCGTGAGACACTTGACTTGTCTACACAGTTCATTCCTACCTCATGATATCTGTGATGTACGAACGCTTTGAATCTTGTACAAGTAGTAGTGGCGGTCCCGGGCCTTTGGTGGGGTTTGCAGTCCAGTACCAATAGGTGGCGAACAGATGTCTCTTAACTGTTTTCATTACGTGTCTACTCCATGTCTCTAATAGTGGTCGGAATGAGCAGGAGAAACTACCAGAAAAGTCGCAGTGAGGCGAGCACGTTCCCGCGAAGCTGAGGGCAGTAAAATCTCGTACGTATACCGCTCTGTATGAAGATATACTCTACGAAGTTGAGGTTGGTGTTGAACCGAACCATGCAGGACTCTATCCCGTGCTAGAAAAGCCATGGGCCGACTATCACATTACGTCAGCCTTAAAACAAACATCAAAAGTCGATAAACCAACCTCGCCCTCTAGGCCCCTCAGGCTTTATTTGTAAACAACTTTGATGTATGAGATTGAGCGCCTTAACAGCGTCACGGCCCTCGATAACACACGATATGTTGATCTCACTGGCGCCTTGGCTAATCATCTCGATATTCACATTACCCTGGCCAAGGGAAGTAAACATGCGTCCCGATATGCCAACCAGGTTGCGCATCTGTTGACCAACAAGGGAGAGAATGGCCATTTCACGGTGGACGGAAACCTGGGACTCGTGTTAATTAAGGGGCCAGCGTGATCAAGGGTGCTCACAGTTCCACTCTTCTTTAGTTCCTCCACTAGCCGATCCATAGTTGTCCTGGATAGATTGTCCTCAATAGCCATGCTGACATGTACTTCGCTGGTGCTAATGAGGTCCACAACAACGCCAAACCGATCAAGGGTTCCAAATATCCCAGCCAGGAAGCCGTGAGACACACTCTTTCGATTCGAATTGACGTTGAGTACGACAATGCGTTCTTTTATTGTCACGGCGGTTGGCAGTCGCTTATTCCTACGCAATTCGTCGTTGGACGGAGAGAGGTCTTGTGACATCGCAACTGGCACTTCGCAGAGACCATCGTCTGGCGATACCTCAATATCTGGGTCGGGGTGGATAACTGTACCACCGCCTAGGGGGTTCTCCACGTTTTTTATTCTTATTGGGATTTTTTGGCGAATGACCTGCAATTTGAAGGATGAGCAAATTTTGAGGTTCAATGATGATCCTTCTGACCTGCTCCATTGTGAACGGATGCACGACTTCACTCCCATAATAAGTCAGCTCAGCGGCTTCATCGGGCGATATGATAGGTATCAATCGTGCCGTAGGCACTTTTCGAGGATCCGCTGTAAATATCCCGTCAACTTCCTTCCATATTTGTAGTTCTGATGCTTCGAGGCCAACCGCCAGAAGAGCAGAGAGTAAATCTGTGTATCCTCGGCCGACTTGCCGGAGAAGCGAACCCGGTACGTGGCCAAAGAAGCCGGTGACAACGGGTACGCGAGGTGTGCATCCCTGATGCGTTCCCCGACAGCAGCGGCCACACCATCATAAAAGGCCTGATTAAGGGAGCCTTCTGGGGCGGTGTCGTTATCCTCGGATACAGGGATGATATCTTCCAGCGATACGTATTCTGCGTCAATGCCCTGCAGGCTGCAGATCAGTCTAATTGAGGAATTGTTGATACCAAAAACGTACTTGGTCGCGTAGAACGGCTGTCATCAGTTTACAAGCCAATCGCTCGCCGAAACCTATGATGTTGTCCCGCGAACGTGGTGATATTTCATTGATTACCTGGTAACCACAGACACATTCACGTTAGGTTAGACGACGAATGGCAGTGCAATCACATGGACTGAATGCACCTGAGCAGCAAACAAGAAACTACGAAGCCAGTCGCAGTCTCGATCTATCTCATCCTCAAGTTCTTGGAGAATCTCTGGATTTTTGACAGATGCTTTTGCAGCATTCATGTGCTCTGACCGTATAAGGTCGACGGTAACATTAAATTCCGGTTGAGACTGGCCAGTCTGGGGTGTTATCAGTGGTGTCAGTGCACCCGTGGACGGAGACGATGGCGATGGCGAAGATCTGCGTATCGGGGAGTTGGGGGAAGTTTCTGATGACCTCCTGAAGATACCATTTATCGACGGAGTCATGGTACCGGAACCATTGAATAACTTGTGTCGTTGCCGTGCCTCAGAGGCAGCTTTAAGCAGCAGATTGGTAGTTCCCAGAGCCTTCGCGGACCCAGACCGTGCAGAGCAAACGACAGTAATTTTGTGCTGGCCAATATAGTTCCTAAAAGGCGAAATCAAGACACCCAAAAGCACATCATAACTAAAACTTACGATACGATATCACGAGCAATATTGACTGGAAATTTGCCTACACTAGTACCTCCATACTTCTGGACTATCCATTTTGCTTCTGGGTCTGTGTTGTTCTGACGCAACGTTGTCGTCGAATTCGTAGGTGGAGAGGAGGAAGGCAGAGTGATCAGATCTAATTTTGATCCCAACATCAGACGTCAACGTCGAGTCCAAAGATAGTCTACGGCCACGCAGTGCTAGCACGAGAGCCCGAGACTGATAGAAACAAGCTAAAGATGTCAGAAAAAGAAATGGCAGACCCTGGTTATATGGACGATTGCTAGCGTCGTGTGCATGGAAAAACAAATTTGACGCGCTAACTTGATCATTGACTCACTGCCAGCTGTGAGAGACCCCTGTCACCCGAGGTCGCCGGTACAACTTCAACTTGCAGTACATAGTAATACTGTATACATTGCCATAGCACCCTTATTGAATAGGTTTGAATAGATCGTTGATATTGAAATCACTACTTCAATCTAACATGCCAATCCTCTTTCACCATGTCATTCTCAGGTCGTGAGTACATCATGACAGGATGCGTCTTTCAAGATCGATTTGATCAGGTCTCTGACCCTAGGGAAGAAGCCAGTCATTCCATATTCCCAGTGCCCGAATGTGAAGCCTCACATATAACCTATAAGCTGAGACAGCGTCGGCTTTTTGCTGTGCGGCAAGCACGGCGGAGTAGTCGATTCACATAATAATCCGAGGCGGCAGGAACCATACGTTTACGTATGTAGATAATGAAATGGACGGTTAGCGATAAGCTTGGAGGGAACGACTCGATTGGTGTTTCATGGTACCTACATTTCCGATCTAGATGGGTCGACACTGCTTCAGTCTCTCGCTACGCGTGAAGACCTGTGGAGTCTGCCCACACGAAACGCCAATTTTTGATCAATCATTTCTGGAACGTCGGAATTTTTGCCAAGATGGGAGAAGACCCCCGGCAACATGTTCAAGAGCGACACAGGAGAGGCGCTCAATCTGAGTTGGGTCGTAGGGTCACCATTAGAGTACCTGAAAATGACGCTACAGCGCAGCGATCCAATTGTAGGACTCACAGAAATATATGTCTGGCCCGGGATGCCATATTCGTACAACATCCAAAGGTGCGAGGGTTTTGCGACGACGATTCGAAAGCCAGAGCGCACAATCGGACTGATCAATGACGCAGCGATGGATCGCCACTGAGCAGTGTGACAATCAGGACTTGCGCCCTGAGAACGTGGAGATCCCCTTGGGGCTCGAGCACAAGGTTGTCTCGATTTGGAGTTTTTCGGTCCGGAACGTGTGGAGAAATATACTTAACTGATCGTGGCTTCGCACTTGTACTGGCTGGGCCGGCGGAGATGAAGGGCGTATAGGATGTAACTTAGAGTTGCGGGACAAAAAGCATCTGATATGCCTTATAAGCGACACGGAATGGTTCTTCACCATCCATATCTCGTGTCCTTACTTTTCAGTGGTAATCCGACCAAAAAGGGAGTCTTCAAAGTTCTTACGACATGCGGCAGCTTTCAGGGGTGACTGCTATCGAAAGAGTGAGAAGGATCCAGTTAGCTTTGCCAGACTTTACCCACGTCCAGGAACCGGAGAAATGGAGGAGCCTCACTTATCGAGTAAAGTTCTTACAGAGGGGGACAATGTGAAATTGCCGTTCAGCTTTCACCCTTTGACGTCGTGGCACCCATATATATACGACAAGGCCCCCTTAGCGTGATGTGTTCGAAGTAGGTGCCCATAGCAGTATGCCAGGGTATACCAGTTTAGGGCCCAAGAGAGCACGGGTTGCCTTGTGCAGCACATGTGCCTTAAGTATCTGTCTCGCGTTGAGAGACAAGCCTATTCCTGGAGGATAATCAGGTACAGCAAAACCCAAGCAAAGGTCTGCAAAGCTGCGCACCGGTCAGAAAGTACTCACGATATTGCGTATTCGGTTAAGCCGTATTACAAGGATTTGCAAGTTGCTCTGGAAAGGTGTGCCACGCAGTTAGATGGCATATCTTTAAGAGGTGCTTGCCCAGCATGATGCTGATAACGCTAGTGGCAAGTGACTAGTCAGACTCGGATATGAAAAAGCAGGAAAAGGCATGGCCGTGATGCGTTGATGGCAATGCCGCGATTAGTGAAGATGAGGGAACCTGTTACTAACCTGAAAGTTGTTCACGTGTAACGCCCAGCTGAGAAACAGGCACCAGGTTCTACCAAGTTGGTGCTTGCCTGGTCCGGTGATTTCTCGATTGGTAGACTATAATAACAAACCAAGAACCCACAGAAGGCACCCATTGCTAGCAAAAGGAGCATGCTCGGCGTCAACCTTCGCCAAGGACTATAATTTGCAGTACGTCTTGTGCCTGGCAAATTACTGCATTGCTGCCGGACCCAGCTTTGCCCAGGGACCCTCTGTTACTATCTTCCATCACTTGTTTTCTGTGATTTTTGCAGCCTGGCATCCCCCACAGTTCGCTATGTCTGGGGCAGTTACAAAATCTGCGCATGACTTCGACCCTTTAGACGAGGCTCTCAGGCCACCAATAAACGAAACTGAGGAAGATCGTGTTATCAGGCAAGCTCAGGAAGCAGAGGCACGCAGAGTGAGCCAAGCAATAGATGATTCAATACGAGCGGAGAAGCAGGCGCAGAAGAAGAAGGGTATTGTCAGATTGTTATTGTTGGGTCAAAGTGAATCAGGTATGTCCGACGTGGTCAATAGCATTTACGTTCACTTTGACAATTGAACGGTAGGTAAATCAACGACACTAAGACGTACGTATAAACAACTGCATCAGGCTGGGTGAAATTGAGTCATTCTGCTTAGACTTCCAAAAACTGTACACCCCCACTGCTTTCCATGAAGAGCGGATACTCTGGCGCAGCGTCATACAGCTCAACATTGTGCGGTCTGTCCGTACAATCCTCGACGCCTTATCCGACGTTCGGCTTCCTACTCTTGATAGTGGAGGTGAAGACAGCGATGACGGTGGAGATAATATACCCCAGGAGCTCGAAATGTTGCAGATGCGCCTCACTCCACTGCGTCATATTGAGGCATTACTCATTGCAAAACTAATACCCCCGACCGAAGATGAAGCAGCTTCTATCATAGGAAGCAGTGCTATTAGCGCATACCACTCTCATCGCAGCCGAAGTAGCGAGCGTTCATGGAGAGCTCAAGAAGTTTTCGTACGCCCTGGAGCCACATGGAAGGGAGCGCTCGCGAAGAGTACTCGTGCTCGACCAGTTTCATTAGGCAATACGGGAATGCAAACCCGGGATGAAGCGCAAGAAGTTATTCATTCATGCAGTTATGATATCATGGCTCTCTGGAATGACAGGCTTGTTCGGGAGGTTTTACGGCGGAGAAAAATTCGCCTGGAAGAATCTTCTGGCTTGTAAGCTCTCGGTCTCATTTTACGTCTAGTTCTACTTGAAACATTGTCGTTTTATAGCTTCCTCAACGACTTGGATCGAGTCACGGCCCTAAATTACACCCCAAACGATGGTGAAATACTCTTATGTTCTGGCAACGAAGGGAACTGGGTTAACCGCTGATATAGATGATGTACTTCGAGCGCGGCTGAAGACGGTTGGCGTTTCGGAATATCGGTGTGAAATGGAGGCTGTGGCTGGACGTGAAAGTGGTACTGAGTGGAGGATAGTTGACGTTGGAGGTTCCCGGTCGCAGGTACGTATTAATTGCTTCTCTCATCCCACGCTCACCCTTTTCCAACACCTTATCTTTGCAGAGAGGTGAGAAGCTCATTCGTATTCAGTGTTAGCAGACGCTGAATCCCACCTTTTAGCAACATGGGTACCCTTCTTTGATGATGGTCCGTCCTCAGTGTATTTCATGTACAGTCTGCTTATATGACTCCTAGTCGATGCAATTATCTTCCTCGCGCCAATATCCAGCTTTGATCAAGTTCTCGCTGAGGATCGTAGCGTGAACCGTCTTGTCAGTCACCTGTCATGCTATCATGCTATCGTTCTTTTTTGGGTTTACTATTTCCGTGCAGGAGGACAGCGTGCTATTATGGAAAGCTGTGTGCTCAAACAAACTGCTTGCAAACGTTGATCTTGTTCTGTTCCTGAACAAGTGCGACATACTCGATGCGAAACTCACGTCGGGGATAAGGTTGTCGAAATATGTCCGCAGCTACGGAGACCGTCCTAACGATATGGAGACGGCTTCAAAATGTCAGCAGACTGTCTTTACTTGGCTCAGCCACTGATATCTGTCGCAGACTTCCGAAGCAAGTTTAGCGCGATACACCGAGAATACTCACCGCTCCCACGGAAGTTTTATGGTTTTTGCACGACTGTTACAGTATGTTCATTCATCTCAATTCTATTTACGGCCCCTGAATTTGGTTCTGTCACGCAGGACACGACTACGACTGCTGGTATTCTCGCCAGTGGTGAGTCCGATATGGTGTTTCCAATCCTGTATGCTAACACTACGGTAGTGCGAGATATGGTCGTACGCAGACACCTCAAGCAATCCAGGCTGCTATAGTAGCTCCCATAAGCTCGAGTTTAACGACTGAGCCTCTGGAAAATTGCCTGAAGGAATCGTTTCTGCGCCCTTCATCTACGACCTGCCTCCATGCTCAACATGACACCACACACATTCCATCCATGGTCATCCCCATTTGCTAACGAAATAGTACTGGCATTTACGCCCGTCGATGGCTCATGACTTCACATCATCTCCTCGCTCCATTTATCATTCTGCCTGCTCTGGAAGGAGCAGCATCTATTTTTCTCAGCAGCTGTAGCACATAGTTCAGGAAATCGTCCTATCTACTCATCTCGCGCCATTTCTGTTCCGCGATTTATGTGTTTATCCATCCCTTGTTAACTACTGCACTCATGTTCTCTGGATTTTCAAGGCTCCTACGGAGCTACCCCATAGTTACCATGCATTCGACATACCTGTTTACTCTGTGGGGACGGGCGTGTACATGCTCATTCTCTACTGTACAATTGTACAACTGATGTGCTACCACTCATATAACTGTTAAACCCGACCAAACCCCTGTGATTCGGACACCTCGATAGTTGGTGTGCAAAATTCAAGCAGATCGCAAGCAGATCAACCATATAATCTCTGTCGTGGTGTTGCAACATTGTATGTTCGTACATCCTCTCATAGACTGATTTTTGCTGGGTTTGTTTTATCGGAGGAAAATATGGACTGCATGCCTGCTCAACTCGAAGGCCCCCTAAGATTATATTTGTCGCCTACATAGCACAACACACGAGGATAACTTCTGATCTTCCCGCAAGGAGCTTGCTATGTTTCAGGTACTTAATTTCGGGTGATCTATAGTCGGATTCGGATTCTAGACTGTGTTCGCGCAAAGTGCCCTTAATGTTGCGTCTCGCATACTTGCGACATCAAAGAACGGGTGCTACTATAAGATACATCATTATTAACGTTGCTAGGTACTACGTAGTCTGCATATGAGCGAATCCAAGTCTGTTTCTAGCAACTCGGATTCAGAAGACAACAAGGGTGTGATAGGGTATGTATGTTCTGTAACGTGGTCAAATCTCCCTTCATGAATTGGTCATCTACTCCTGAGCTCAGGCACCAGTGTACCTTTGCCGGAACTTCCATTTACCCAATCAGACATGGAATCTTTCGTCCACCCTTCCCTATCTGGATGAATGTATTAACAATGTATAGTCCGGCTTTTCTTTAAACTCCAAGCCATGACAATGATCGAAGTACGTCGTGAATTCCACGGGAGAGCGCGCGAGCAGGTCACGGAGTGCTGAACCGGCTTTCGTCTTCAGCATTCGGAGTAGTTTGGCTCCTTTGCTCGGTGCGTATCTGCCTTGCCACGGCAGACAGCCATGCAGGAGATATAACAGGACGTTTCCCAATGATTCATCACGGTACGGTATGTGTGATGGGTCGGCGTATAGCTTCGCCAAACCGAAATCGAATAGGTACACGATGTGAGACTTCTGCCCGACGCCCATCGCAAAATTTTCAGGCTTGATGTCTGGCAGAACAACTCGGGAATAGGCAAATTTGATTCAATTTTATCGAACTGACAAAACGTGCACTGATCAATATCAAAGTCGCGGATGATCAGCACACTTACCATTTACAACCTGAGCACAACTACCGTCTTCAAAGAGAGCTCGCCTCTGCAGTCTTCTCGAGATTCGCACTTCGTTGTTCGACAATCAAGAGATGCAATCACCACAGTAGGCTATGCGGCAGAGCTTCGTAAGGCAAGACGCAAGGTGTGTCCGATGTGTCCGATGCAGTCTCTGATTTGATCGCCGCTTCTGAGCCTGAGAGAGCATGGAAAGCACTCCACACCTCTCGTGTGAAAAAACGCATCAGAGATTGTACACTATCAATGTACGCGAACTTACCGAAGCCTCCCACTCCAAGCAATCTCGTCGTCTGATAAATACCACGGATGCGCCGTGGCATGATAGAAATCACAGGTCGCTTTGAAGGACATGACGGGGATGACATGTTGTGTAGCTTCGTGGGTAGAGTTTGTAATCCGTCGGCCGCTAGAGTGGGGTCACATATCTCCTAATTTCAGCCCTCCAGGACGTCGAATAAAAACATTTGGGAAGCCTATCATGCATGCCGGTTGCATCACTTGGTAACGACTGGACGTCACAACAAGAATTCGACCGTACCGCATGCTAATTGACAGCGCTCCAAGAGGTCTGAAAAAATGGAGGGATTTTGGCTGAAGAGATCCGAAAGGGGCGCAGATTGATCGTCCACAGTAAGACCAGACAGAAGTTGGAAAGACTGTGTCCCGAATGGGAAGACCGAGCAGCGCATAATCCTGATCAAGGAGCGTCCCCACAGCTGCTTCTGCATCGGCACATAAACCAAGTTGCGCGATAATCTGGACAGCTTCCCGGAAGACCGCTTCACTTAGCAGCACTTTAAAAACAGTGCAGACATCCTCCAAAGTGTGCTATACAATATCGGTATAGGGTACGTCAGCATTGTCTCTGTGTCTCATAAGTTCGCGCTTGAGATAGACTCCAGACAGTCGACCTTTGTCGGGATGTATCGGCGACAGCAAATTCATAGCGTCATTTACGGCACCATCACAGTCCTGATTGCGAGTGAACTTCAGTGTGTGTGAGATTCGAATATGAAAACCCACAAGGATGATACCAAATTTATATATCGAAGGTAAAAACTGCAATGGACATAGCGGACACAGGGCGTACGCAGAACGGGGCGAACGCCGCCACAGTCCGATGCTAGTTCCAGGATTTGCGAACTGTTGCCAAGAACAGGGGAGTCTCCGTCAAAGGGAATCTTCGTCGACCAGAGTGTTAGACCATCTGACTTGAGATTTCGTCAAAGGTCGGTCCATCACCAACAAGCGAATAATCCGGCAGAAAGGGGCTCATGCTTCGCCGAGCAAGCGCACAATAAAGCTACGAAAGCCAATTTTCCGTTCCATCAGAAGTCAACATTGCATCATACTTTGCGACCTATGTCTTTCGACTTCAAAGTCCAGTTTACAGCAGCAGTGACACCCATCCATGAATAGCCCGCAGCAAGTCTGAAACGTCAGCTCAAATGCGCACATAAAAGAACATAAGAAGCCGTCAAATAAATATATGTCTTATACTGCCACATACAAGACTCCGAGACTAGAAGGAAAGATTGGCGCTGGACGCAAGATCGATCTGGAAAGGACCAAAATCGAAGCTGCATCAACCTCAAGATACACGCGCAACACCAAAACTCTCACCAATATCCCAAATAATCTATACCACATTACTATCTCTGTACGAAATCAGCGTCGGCCTTTGCTCGACAAGCCTCGGAAATGCATAGAGTACTTCCTTATGGATGCAAGGGCGGTTCAACGTGCAACAATTCATACCTTCATTCAGTGACCATCATGGCCAGAGCAAAATAGCACCCTCTTGACGGCGAAGTCCAATATCAGTCCGCGGAACACGCAGTGCTAGAAAGGGCGAGTTGTCCAGGAAGTGGCTTTTTTGAGGCCATAGTATGATGTCCAAGAAGCGGAGCGCTCGGGCATGAATTTTGTGACGACGAAATATACAACTGCCAGTTGGTCAAACTTCGGATGTCAGGGAGGCTCTAAGCTGACTCATCACGTCAATTACTTTGTCTCGACAAATTGGTAGTACTAGTGTTGTGCTTGGGAGCTTTGCCAACTAGATTGGCAAAACTGGTTGTGCCTGGTCCACGGCGAAGGGGTGGCATCGTGGCAGAACTCCTGGGTATCCGAGACTCGCGGAGATGAAATTTATAGGGCAATTCATTATGAATCTACTCTCTCACCCAACTTATATTGATCACTGCCGGAGGAACTTGAACCAGCTTCACAACACAACCAAGTACTCTTGAAGCCAACGAAAGAGCTCCAGGTTTCTCTCGGCGGCCCGCTGGCTTGCAAACAGTGCCTCATCCTTCAACGTCCAAACCTTAGAAATGTCAACTTCGACGCCCCTTCCAGAGGCCTCATTAGATGTGTTCGTCCGCTCGTTCATGATGATCATATTCTCCGAGATAGGCGACAAAACCTTTTTAATCGCTGCCATCCTCTCAATGCGTCATCCACGTCTCGCCGTCTTCGCAGGCGCCTTTGGGTCTCTTTTGCTCATGTCCATGCTGTCCGCAGCATTGGGTCACCTCCTTCCAACTCTTATACCAAGAAAATGGACGCAGATTTCAGCCGGGATACTCTTTCTGGTATTCGGCGGCAAGATGTTGATAGAAGCACGGGAAATGCAGGGAGGGAACGAGAAGATACAAGAAGAGATGAAGGAAGCGCAAGAAGAGATTGAAGGTGATGAAGATTCGGGGGATGTGATTCCACTTGAACGCCTCGAGGAGGGAGAGGGTGATACAGATTTTCCACCAACGAACTCAAGAAATCGGAGCAAACATCTGGGTATCGCAGAAGGTGTCCGAAATTTCTGCAGTCTCATATTAGGTCCGGTTTTCGTTCAAGCCTTCGTCCTTACTTTTGTTGGGGAGTGGGGAGATAGAAGCCAGATTGCTACAATTGCTTTAGGTGCTGCTCATGTGAGTCTCTATTTCCATTCAGACAGCCTGTTGGTGACGCCCTTCCAGAATGTCTACCTTGTGACGTTAGGGACAGTCATCGGGCACACGTGTTGTACTGCGCTGGCTGTAATAGGTGGGCGTTATGTATCGACCAAAATTTCCGTCAAGCATGGTAAGATTTCCCCTCGACCACTATCCTTTTATGTCAAAAATTTCCCCTCTGCCTTACGCTTCTTTCAATGTCATGTCATCTATTTCCCCTGAGGTTAGCGCATGCAACGTTCCTGGATTCTTTGCTGCGTTCCCACTCCAGATGCTACCTGTTGTAGTTCTATGTGTTTCCTTCTTGTTCATCATTCTTGTCCTTTGCTTGCTTCGAGACTAACCACTGGTATTTGCAGTGACCCTAGGAGGCGCAGTTCTTTTCCTCATATTTGGCGTCATCTATCTCTATGATTCGTTTGCCACTTCTGCAGAAGAAATCTCGATACCTATCAGCCCCGCTGGCCAGTAATGTCCATGTCTGTGGCTCATTACCATTAATCTTATTAGACTTCAGTGGAGGCTACCCGGCAATCTAGCGTGGCGACATTATATCCCCGGCAGTACCTATTAAGAACCTTCCACTCGATTATTTAACTACCTAGCATATAATTATGATACACAGCCTGATATTCTGTCTCACATGCCGCTGACAGTCCAGATTCCATAGGATAAGCTCCGCCATGTTGCAACTATTCATTACATCAAATCATCAATGACATCCCCATAAGCCCTAGGCCTGCAGTGAGGGACCAGTTGCATAGCCTCGCATGTTACACGTCTCGTACTACCGTGCCGATCATACAAGAGAGAATCTTTTTGCGCAAACAACTGCTAACGCCGCGGTGAGTGCTTCTGCTCTTCTGCAACATCCTTACACGCAAACTTAATTTCAACCTCAGATTTAGTCCTTACCAGCACCATGTCGGGAGGTGCTCGGAGTAGTTCATTTTATTTCATCTGCTATCGAAGTACAACATGCTGGTTTAAATTCCGTTTGATTATTGCTCCGTGACTGATTTGAAACACAGGAGATACTGAGACAGACCTTAGACTATAAATTTCTTTGTTGGGGTCGGGTCGGTCTCTCTTGGATGATTAACTGCCGGAATGTTCACGCTATTTCTGACGCCTATCCACCCATAGTACTGATGCGATTTAGGGCTATGAAGAACTGCGACGGCTCGCGAGAGGCCTGGTATGCGTGTTTTCATAGTATTGAATTGAAAAATGAACAGTATACATCCTATCTTGCTTGGCTAATACCCGCATGGTCCTCCTAACATTATTTATATAAGGATCCACCCAGCTTCGGGGAAGATAATGAACACTCATCTGGTAGAATGGCCAATCAAGCTTTCAAGGCAGCAGAGTCCTCCGATAATGAGCAAGTGGCCTGGATACTCTCGAATCATTAACTGATTGGCTTTCTTAGGCCGCCCGGGTTTCCAGACTGCCGGAAGGTTCCAAAGAATCGAAACATCCGAATGGTCCCAGCTGTCTCCTGATGTGTATATGGCATTACAGTCTGGCTTGGTAATGTTCTCAGTAATCGAAATATGACGAAATATGACACTACCGATATCGCAGGTCCTCGCTGTTTCTGCAGTCTTTCTTTCAACGCAACCACCCTTACATCTTTTCTTCCATACACGAAACGTGGGTGCTACATTCTAACCCTGGCGTCATTTGCGCATGCCCTCGGTGGTTTGATGTGTGGCTTAGCCACGGCGAACGTATACCAGGAATGTGAGCAAGAATGGATTAAAAGAGTATGTGACAAAATCGGAATTGCAACTATGGCTTTCCACAAAATTACAGGTTTTGACATGCACACACTTTCGACTGTGCCATTCACTGTTATTAATCAGTTGGCCCAGTGTACCTCTCATCGCTTCTATTCTCCTTTTGATGACAGTAGAGCTCTTGTCCTGGGTGTGGCTGCCGACTTTCTTTGTCTGGTTTGCACTTGGGCCGCCATTATGAAAGAGGACGAATCAATCTAATCAGACATGAAGCACGCGGCACCTTGTCATCGTGATAAGCCTCCGGTCGCATTTGAGCACATATGTAGCCATCGTGTCGATCGCGATTTGTATAGTAGTATCAGATGTAGAACTCACATGTACCTCGACTTTCTATGGAAATTTGCATCCAAAGAAGGTCATATATAAAAGCGCATCCCATTGCCTGTCCGGGCTAGCACTAACCAGATTCTCGTTTGCAGTTCTTGAGTTTCTTCCACACAAACTCAGATGCAAAACATCAGACTACCAGCTGCTGCGCTGCATGAGGATTTAAACCCATAACAGAGTCGATCACGCCTGATCATAGCATTGCATGCCTTGATGCCTGTTAGGACGAAAGGAGACGCTGTTAGAAAATCAATTATTACGACGGATTGAATTATACCCAAGTTACATGACAGCTGAAGTACTTACGCGCAGGGTGGAGCTTGAAAGCTTGACGCACGAGGCGTAGGTTTGACGTAGCACTGACGCGGCATGTGCTATGCTTGATGAGGCATAGCTAAGTGTGGAGATTGACATCAGTACGGAGGCTGTGAAGATGTTGGAGAGAACTTGGCATGGTATGAGTGGTGCTTAACCCAGCCTGAATGAGGCTCGGAGTGGCAGTAGAGCACTGAGAGGCTGCATCGGACTTGACAAGGTGGGTTCGAGGCCTGAAAGCTTCTTGACACAGTACCAGTGAGACAATACTTCGTACCAGTGCGTCTGAAAACTAACATTAGATCAATGATTAGAGGCAATACAAGATAAATACAAGATGCATACTGCATTCCCCAAGTACTGCGAACCTGTGAATATAGTGAGAAGTGAATGCAGCACTCTGGGCCTGAACGCAAATGGACATTTATATAATATATTGATCAATTAACGAGGATTAAAAGTGTTTGGAATTGATTTCGAGCAACATAAGATGGTATTAGAAATTTGAAGTTTTCTAGGATTGTGACGGTGCCGCGTCGTCACATGCGCCGCACCTGGCCCGATCTGGATATGTCAGGCTAAAAACGGTATTCCTCGGTATTTCTCTCAAACCATCTCCATATGCCAGACCAAAGTGAGTAGTGTCTGTATTTATTTTTCTAAACGGCTGATGTTTTATTTGAAGCAGCTGAACCGCAATACGCAGCAGCAGCGCATGTTCCGCTCATAAAGTCACCAGGTCTTCGAGTTCCTCCACTTGTACGAAGCACGTCCTCCTCGTCGACTACACTGACTTGCTCGCAGGTATATCTACCACCAGATATCCACCCTCTCCCTGATAGTGTCACTCCATATGTATGTACCTCCGGCTTTCAAACTATCCCACTCACTGACAAGCTCGCAGTTCGTCTATTCATACACACTGGAACCGCACATACTCACAGTCGAGTCTTCTCGGCGCACGACACTAGCGGCGCATATGGCCAGGAGAGAGGCATATCTTCGTGCGAGAGAGGATGAGCATGAATGGCGGAGAAAGGAGGCACTCAGGCGTGTTGCACCGGGTTTTGATCCTGCAGCGACGCTTGTGCCTATTCGCGCTGAAGTTGACGAGGTTAAGATGGATGTGATGGATCAGCTCGTGGACCAGCTTGATAAGTTGGAGAATGGAAATTGAGTTGCTGGGAGTATCAGGTCTTTCATCGGAAAGGATACTTTGACTCAGGTCACCGTACTTCAAGTTTGTCATTCTAACACTCTTAGTCTCGTAATCTAATCTCTCGTCTAGTTAAGACAGTATTTCATTCCAGTGTTAGATATGATCATTCGGCCTCTCAAACTCACGGATCAGCACAACATTCATTTATCTCCAGCATCGATCATAGTGGTCGAAAGGTACGTGCTGGTCTCCCGGCCTTTATAATTTCTAGTTCCGCACTTGCACTTCCCCATTCCTTCCCCAGGACACTAGCACAAACACCGTGATATGCGAGGGCAAATAATTATTGGCCAAAACTCTCAAGGTCTCGCCTCTCCAGTCTTTCGAGAACATGATTCAAATTTCTGACGAGCTGCTTGAGACCAGATTTCGAAGCAATCTGCATATACTTCTTTCCGCCTTCCGCGAGGATGGGGAGGAGCTCGATATCGTCAGTTATGTGACAAACATTGACCGATGCGCTTCTCGTCATCTTCGACCCCGTTTATCTGTGATAGAAACGGACGATGTGACCGACATCTGTTTAGGTGTGATTTGGAGGAGTTCTCAGTTACAATGAGCTCAATTTTACGGCTTGTCACAATCTTTGCCGTGAGTTTATTTTTCCTTTTGAGCTGTTTCAATTATGGAATGTAGATAAGCCTGAAGATAATTGCTCCAATTTGCCAACAGTTCTTGCGTGGCAGTCTGCTGGTAGATATTTTTTGCTCGTTAAGACACAATCATGCAAGAAGAATTTAATATTTGTTTGATGCGGGCTATTAAAAGGATTCTGGTAGATCAGCGCTTCAGCGATGGATAAGTCCTTAAAATGCATACTCATAACAATGAAGAATGTTGTTCAGCATGTATACAAAGCAAGGTGTCTTGCTACTCACTTCGAGCGACATAAGGATTTGTGGCAGTGCTGCATTACATACGCCACGTCAATGCCGCGTGAGCTTATTTAATCCTGAGGTTGGACGCGTTACTAATGTTATTGTAGTCATCAGGGGATACACGCGTCCTAGCTTCACCCTAGGCCTGCTTCATCGCGTGAAACGGACAAAGGCCTATACGAAATCAACCTATATGCCGTCCTACCTGCGGGGTAGCGCATGCTTTGTAAACGGACCAGACCGGACCAAGCTTATCATGGCTGCCAAATCGAGTCACGACTGAGTCCAGTTTGTTCATTGCCCACAGTTGCGATCCGTGCAGGGTATTATTTTATAATGCATATCCGTTCAGCGGCCGATCAGGTGCGCGAAATGGGAAATCATCCTTTATACCAAACCAGTCGAGACGCTCTGTATCGGTGGCTTCAAATAACGGGTGCAAGAGCTAATTATCGTCTCTGTCGTTTTATCATTCTTACTCCTCCGAGCAGACAATGTCTCTTCCTCAGAACACTACCGTGCTTATTGTCGGCGCAGGCCCCGCAGGTCTCACAGCTGCTCTTTCTCTCGCCCACCACAGGTGCCATGACTTCGTTATCGTAGATGCCGTAGTCCAAGGACAGAATGCATCGAGGGCAATCACCATACACTCTGCGACTATCGAAGTAAGCCACCTGTGCGTTCATAAGAAGGCCCGCTGATATTCTTATGATCTTAGGCTTTAGCTGGTATCGATGCAGCAGATGGCTTAATGTCCCGAGCCATCAAGGGGAAGAGCGTCAAAGTCTCCTCCCGTGGTTCGCAGTTCTTTGAGGCTAAATTCGACCCTCTAAAGAAACATTCCGCCCACCCTTACGTGCTGTTCATCCCTCAAAATGTGACGGAGCTTGTACTTGGCAGAAGCTGGAGAGCCTTGGTGTTCAAGTGCAGCGTCCACACAGGGTAGTAGGAATGAAACAGAACGAGAAGGACTCTCGCATCACTGACGTGTTCTTTGAGGACGGTCAAGTTATCAGAGCTAGATATATTATTGGGGCAGATGGTGCCCGCTCAACTGTGAGACCTCAGTGCCCGCTAACTTAGCTTGGTGGAATGTCTGATGATCATTTCCAGATCCGTACCATCGCTGGTATAGGGTTCTCTGACCCCAAAGGCCCAAACCCAGAAGGTTCAAACCTAGCCAATAACGTAATGGCTCGAATGGTCTTTGCAGACGTCACATTCGAGCCTGAACCTGTCGGTCCACTAACCCTCGAGGGTCACCTTATCTGCACAGTTTTTTCAGGAAAATTCTTTGTGCTTGCACCGTTCAGCAACCGCTTCAATGCAGAGTTGACACGAGATGGAAAGCCCACTACGAAATCCATCTTCCGTATAGGCTGTTCCGTACCTTTAAATAGCGGAGATCTCCCCCATGCTCCACCGAAAGAGTACATCCAAGAATTGATCGACGCATACGGGCCAGCGTGTATAACATCAGATCCATCTCTTAACCCGACGCCTGTCAAAGTCGACCAGCTGGTCTGGTCGACACGTTTCAGAACCCATTCCGCCATCGCCGACCGCACCTTCATGCGTCTTGGAGCTGCTATTTTTCTAGTGGGCGACGCCGCCCATATACATCCACCTGCAGGCGGCCAGGGCATGAACCTAGCTATGAGGGACGCGGTCTTCCTTGCAGAGGCTATCACAAAGCACATTCAAGCGTCTGTAGAGAATCCCGATGTGGATGATACCATGTTGCAGGAAATTGCGGACGCGCGTCATGCACGAGCGCTGGAAATCATTGGTTATAGCAAGACGCTTTTGAAACTTGCAAACCTTACGTACGATTCATATGCTTGGTGGATGCCGTGTAGTCGGGCCTCCATCCGCGATCTGATACTGAGGATCTTGGGCAGGTTTGATTACGTGCAGTCGAAGATTGCATGGGGCCTGAGTGGGCTTGGAAGACGATAATCGCATATTTTTGGATGGCTTGTTCACCGCATTTTGTGTATCGTAATTTGCATTTCTATTTTCAAATATTCCAAAGTGGTACACTGGCTTCTGATCGAGATCATGTGGAGGGAGGTGTCAGATAGGCTGATTATCATGAAGACAGTGAGCGCGACTGATTTCAAGTACACATCGTAAATTATTCTTACAGGATGAAGCAGCATATATATAATAATGCGATGTGGCCCTCCAATCATCTTCGTACGCTTAGTAGTTAACATCTTGTTCAATGAACGCAACGGCTTTCGCAGAGCGAGGCTTAATAGAACAGTTCAGGAGCTTCAGATAGCTGGAATTGTGTCCATCTAGACTGGCGCGGGACGCGATAAGATGTGACATACCTGATCGTGCCTGGTGAGGGATCGTCAATCATCAATCAACGTCAACCTCAGGTGATCTCAATATCGTTCTCGATGACCAATACGGTCAGTGACATCGCGGTGGCAATCCAGACGGAGGCTTCAGTGGGGTGAAGACCTGCAAGAGACGCCAGAATGACCACAAGCGCTTCCATGATCCAAGTATAGTACCTGGACAGATACTGCAGAGCAGAAAGTTAGCATTCCACAAGTAACCAACTCCATGCTTACGGCCACGAGGTGCTGCCCCAACTTTTATCTCTCCCATTCGACGCAGTTTGGAAATGTTTGATAGTGAGCGCTTGAGCACCGAGAATTCAGCTTCGTTGGATGGAACACTACTGCAGCACTAGCTTATCGAGACTTGCGATTTATCTCATCCTAAGGCGCTCTGGGTCGTCACATAAGCGTCCATTCTGAAAGTAATTTGGTATTTGAGCTTCCTGAACTATAATGACACTCTCACTCAGTGCGGATCCAGTAGCGTCCGTGTATAGTATGACAGAGGTTTGCAATAAAGGCGAGGTTGAGATTTGGGTTACCGGTGAATGTGTTAGGTACTTGCAACAGCCGATGTCTTCGGTGTTTTGGAGAACTTGTCTGCACGTTGCCCGACGTCTTTGGATTGGCGGGGGAGCGTTCGTCGTTGTAAAGGTTCGAGCTAGTCGGAGTCTGAATCAGGACGCGAGACACGTCACGGCTGCTTAACGCTTAACTCTAGCAGATCACTCTGATTCACTCACGCGCGAGTACGGCCCTGTTTCCACTTCTTACTACCTTCAGACAGAAATTGGCTTCTGGTATGTCACTACTTACCTATGCATCAAAATCCTGATGCGTTGGCAAGGGGAGTTCCTTGACCTTACTGACTCCATGCACAGGATCATGATGTACTGGCCGCGGTACCGCAGTGGTTGGTCTGGGTCAACGATGATATTACCATGACGGCTTCGATCTCCGCTGTTCTTTGAATGCCGGTGTTTTTGCATCTCCAATCAGGCCTCATACTAGTACAGTAAAAGAAGGAATGTCCATCTTTGTCTAACTTGAAGGTCTGCCTAGTCGTATTCAGATAATGAGACTACGCCTTACGGAGGTTCAGGGATTGTTCCTGAAATTTGGGATATCATATCACTCAGACAGGGTAAGTCTTCTTGATGATCAAAAGATAAACCATGCGCTTGGGCTCAGCGTTACTCAGTGGCTGTGTTTTAAATCTCAATCAAGGCTGAGCAGCATGGTTGTAAGGTGAAGGTTCTGATTTGAAGTGGCGGTGAGCCGGTGATGCCAAGTTCGACCCTCGGAGCAGTGTCCTTACTAAGTTATACGCCTAGGTGCTACTACTATTATGTACATCCATCCATGCGTTTTCGCCGCCCAATATGCGTGGTTAGTCCATTCTCTGGTACGTAATCAAATTCCGTAGCTATAAAAGCCCTGGATGGTGGCATATCTGCACGAATGCCTTTGTTGTACGTTTACCGAGTTCGCTAATTCCAATATGACATACGTCTCAAATGATCCCGATAACACTTACGTCAATGATCCTGCTTGGTGGCCGTTTATCATTTGGACTCATGCTTACAGCAATTTTGCAGGTTCGTGGAGAGCAACTCAGATGTAAAACATTGGTGACATCTCACTAACTTTAACTGTGGTTTTACAGTTGCATCCTCTGTCGTAGTGGTATACGATTGGGGTGAGCGAAATAATACTTCAGAGGGATCACTAATATTTATATGGTTTCAAAGTATTAACATTTGGACAAGAGGTAAGTTGATCATGCCATGCTCGGCCCAGCCATCTCACTAATAATGCTCTTACAGGTCGAGCTGGTCTGGGTGAGAAAGTTCTATATCAGAAGCTTAAACGCGATAATTCAATCGATTCTGAATAGAAGCAACGCTGGTCTCTCATCAATCTGTTATATATCGGTGTGAGTAGCTCGTGTTAATAGTTCGTGTTATGAGTGCAGTTGACAAGTTGTGCTGACTTTGACATATGATAGGTGCGCTATGTTGGAATACTATATTCTGTGTATGTTTTGGAGGCGGACTAAATGACTCCGCGCTGCGCTAATAATGCTATCTCTCACAATCAGCATCAACTTCCTAGGTATGTATCGTCAAATAAGCTCATTCGGTTTGACTGACAGCATGAAGGGAATGTTCCATTCTCGAATACAGATATAGTAGGCATTCTGCACCGATGCCTGCTCGACTAAGTACTAACTACCCATCTCCATAGGGGTGAGTGACATTCTCAGTCGCCTTGTTTCTTCAACATAACGACTGTAACAGCTGTAAGTTCATTGATGTATCGAGTGTATTAGTGCACATCAGTAACTGAAATTTTCAGGCAATTTTTTTTACTTCCTGCAAACATGGACGCCTGTCGTCGTCAATGCTATGCTAGGGGGTGAGCTCAGTTACAATATTTTACTGTTGCTGTCTCAACTGAAATATCATGCAAGTCATCATGATGATTCGGATATATGCCATGTATCAGCAATCCAAACCGATACTCATCTTTCTCGTTGTAGCCTTACTGGCTTCCACCATCGCCTCCGCGGTTATTCTAGGGCATGGGAAACATCGGTGTTTCGGGAGGTAAGCTTTGATTATTGATAAAAGCCTTAAGCACACGAGACTTACGGATGGATACTAGAGGAATTCGTCATTTCTGGCTACCATATCTGTCTTGTTCAGATCGGCACAGCCAAGATGAATCTAAATCACGAGATGGTGATACCCACCGCTATATGGGAGATCCTCGCCCTCTTTCTTGCAGTCCGGATTGTTATACAACGCTTCCATGAATTGCGACGATCGCCGACAGGATCCTCCATTGGAGAGTGTTTTACGATATTAATAAAAAGTCACGTGCTGTACTTTCTAGGGTGTGTTTAGTTATTTAATGGTCAGTATCTCACTGATGCTCTGCATGTGCTAGCTTTGCCGCTGTGGCTTGCTTTAACCTCGGCGATCTGTCTCCGAATTTCCTAGTGCGTCGATTCATTATTGACATCTGCATCTGACCACTCCCCTTCATTTCTATTACAGCACTCAACAGCCATAGGAGCTGATATTTTTGGTGGCGCTCTCCGAGTTGCACGGGTGTTGCAGATGTTTGTGCTGGGACCACGTCTGATCCTTAGCGTTCGAGAATATCACACCAAGCTGATGGCTAGGTCTGACGGGGGATCCTGTATGAGTACGATTGATTTCCAGGCTCTCGAACGTGTATCGACTGGTAGTGAAGTGTAACTGTTCAAGCCATCATCGTTAACCCTATGTAATGTAATTTATTATCATTGCATTAATAGTCGTAACGGGATTGATGTCGCGATATCTACATAGGTGTACGGGATACGAGTCAAACCTCATATCTCCCGTCCACCCTTCCCTCTCCATTATCTGGCTGAATAACTGTCTCAACAACACTTAGTTCAGCTTTTCTTCGAACTTCAAACTACGGCAGTGATCAAAGTGCGTCGTGAACTCGGCAGGAGATCGCGCGAGCAGGTCACGAAATGCTGCCGACTCAGCTTTCATCTCCCCCATTCGACGCAAATAGGTCTCTTTGCTTGGTGCATAGATTTTTTGCCAGGGAAGACAGCTATGCAAGAGATATAATAGGAAGTTTCCAAGTGCTTCAAGATCGTCTCGCCGTCCTTGTTCTGCTCCTCGTTCGTTAGCCATGAGCAGGAATTAGAATGATGTTCACGAACCTCATCCGAAGTGCACATTGTAGCTCGAATACACCCAATGCAACGTGACATTCACGGTATGGTATATGTTCTCCTGTGGATGGGTCGACGTAAAGCTTCGCCAAACCAAAGTCGAATAGATAGACGATGTGAGACATGTCCCTGACGCCCATCGCGGAATTTTCAGGCTTGATGTCCCGCAGGATGACTCCTCGCGAATGGGCGAACTCGACTCTGTTGAACTGACAAAAACCAATATCAAACCAACGCGAGTGTTCGACACGCTCTGGACTCCGAACACGACTACGGTCTTCCAAGGAAGCTCGCCCCTGGAAGTCTGTGAAGCTCTTCGAGAATCAAGACGTGCGATCCTCGATCCAGACCACCCCATTTGCAGGACGGTATACCTGGGTGACCGCGCAGGAGGCTGTGCACCAGAGGTTCGTAACGTGTTGAGTCCCAGGGTTGGAAACGAATCAAGGTACAGGGAAAAACTATTGCTCGACGACAAGCTTGCTTCATACTCGTTCTGCTGGAGCTTGAAAATGATACATTGAACGCCTCAGACATGTGCATAAGACCAGCGTGAGCAAAAGAATCGACTACGAGCTCTAGTCCACATTCCTCCATGGATTCGAGTTGCTACATCCCTCAACTTCAGCTGGGTGAATTTTTGGCAGCGTTACAAGATAGAAGCATGGGTATGCCAAATCCATACGGCCCTATGCCTCTGGACTTCGGTGGTATGTCAGGCTTGCCGGAGGTTGTTGAGGGCTCGAGGGACACCGGCAAGTTGTCGAAAGATGCGGTGATATCAGCACACAAAGCGGTAAAGCAACGCATTGCTGAGCTTGAAAGAAAGACCATTGTATATGAGCAGCAGAACATGGATGTCATTGCTCATCAGCTAAACCTCGCTATACAAAACGCACAACAATTCTATGACAGACGGATGACAGACATGAAGGGATATTTCGAGGCAAAGTTGGCAGAAGCTTGAAGACAGATGACGAAGACGACAAGGACGACTCCGAAGATGACAATGAAGAGGATGGTGACGAAGCGCAAATGGAGGCAAGCCTTGAAACAAAAAGTGATACTGGGTTGCTGGCGAGTAATGCGAACGCTGACACCATTATCATCATTTACCGTTTCAACTGTAGTCAATCATACAACATGGGTTTTCGCACCTTCTCAGCACCATAAAGCTGACTCCAAAAATGCTGTCCTGGATCCTATCACAAGCGCCCTTCCCCATTATGAGTCTTTATTTTGGGTCAATTTAACGATACTACCATGATATCGGTCTGCAAGTTAAACAGTCTCAACACTACAACTCACCACTGTAGGGGCAATCGGATAACAATATGCAGGTGTTCCGCCTGGGGAGGAACATCAAAAACATTAGACAATAAAAAGGGAGGCAAGAGCGGCCGCCAGTCAGGATTAAAATTGTTGAGTTCATCCTCGAGCCTGTTGTCCAGAGGCAGGGAAACTTCCCAGAGATACGAAGAGCAGGCCTCTGCCTTACTGACCGCATAACTAAGCTTATTCTGAATGATGTTTCTGAGGATGCCGACAGACTCTGTGCTCGATATTCTGGCCAAGAAAATGGTGTGATGGGGATCCCAAGAATCGACCAGTTAATGTCGAAGTATGTGGCGGGGAAACGTGAAATGCAGGCTGACGAGAGGGTGAGCATGGGTATTAATAACCAGCAGGCGCGCACCTTCCGGAGGGTGCAGGGCTGGGATATGGGTATTTGTGTCGGCAGGTGCAACATCAAATAATTTGTACAGTGGAGTCAATGGCCAGAGCTCGAAACCGTCTTCAGGATCAGGTACGCTAGTCAGGTCCTTCGGCATGATATCAACCTTTCGAAATATCAATTCATCAAAGTGCTAGACCCCTAATCCTTCACTTGCCTTCCGTAGGTCAAGCATATCTGCGGACAAAAAATTGAACATAGGGGTCTTGGCCTTCTTGATGGCCTTCTTCAAATAGCTGACATTGACCGTCCTTGAAATTTCGACAGAGAAGACACAGTTTGAATCTTCCAAAGGGGACCAACAATTAAGATGGAGCATGTCGGACATCATGAGTTTTGTTCGTGGCTGAAGTAGATAGCAGTCAGGAATGGACCGATCAGCCTATTAGCTAAGCTGTATATATCCGCGCCAGTCCGACAACCTTATTTGGACTACGGAGGTTTGTCAGCGTGAAATTCTTATTGTGCCTTGTGAAAGTCAGGGATTTGGCTGATTCCAGAGCTATTCTGCCCCGTGTGCTCATCACCATATACTAATCGTCGTGGAATGCAGCTCGAATCCTAATATAACAATGTACACCGCCGATAGCGAGGTCCGAAGAACCGCACACACAATGAACGTTGAGCTGTCGTACCTCGGTGCTAAAATTGATCTCGGGCCCTCCGAGTATCATGGTTAAGCTTTAAGCTGGTTGCATCCGAGGCGGTAAAGGACAATGGACACGAGGTGTTTTGCAGCTTTACCGGTAGAGCTTGCAATCTGTCTATCAACAGGGTGGGCTAACCTGTCCTGAGGTTGACTCCCGATCCCAGGTCTCTAGGACGTCGAACAAGAACCGCTGGGAAGCCCGCCATGCTTGCCGGTTCCATCACTTGGTAACAACTGGATGTCACTACAAGAACTTGGTTTTTTTCGGCGGTACTGCATGCTAAGTGACAGCGCTCCAAGAAGCCCGAAAACATGAAATGGTTTTGGCTAAAGAGATTCGAAAGAGGCGCGGGTTCATCGTTAACATTGAGACCAGATGGAAGTTGGGGAAGTGAAAACGACTTTGCATGCGGGATCGGAAGACCGAGCAGCGCATGACCCTGATCCAGGAGCGTCCCTACAGCTGCGTCTGCATAAGCATATAAACCAGGTTACAGTATAGTCTGGACAGCTTCGCGGAGTACGAGTTTGCTTAGCGGCACTTCCACAAAAATGCAGACATCCTCCAGAGCTTGCCGCACGATGGCGGTATAGGGTGTGTCAGAGTTGTCTGTGTTTCATAAGTTCGCATTCGAGATACAATTCAGACAAGTCGGTGTCTGTCGGGATGCGTTGGCGATAGCAGACGCATAGCATCATTTATGGCACCGTCACGATCCTGATTGTGTGAGCAACTCACACGCACAGTGTTTACATATGAAAACACACTAAGATGGTACCAAAGGGATCAAAAGCGATAACTCTAGTGGACGGAGCAGATACAGGAGACATGTAGTCTGGGACGAGGTCGAGTTCGACATAGGGCTCATCATCGAAGTCCCAAATATTTGACGATTGTGAGCTCATCGGGGGGTCACCGCTAAATGGAATCTTCATCGACCCGAGTATTAGAGCAGATTCCTTAATATTTTCGTCGAAGGTCGGTATATTCCCATCAGACGAAGAATCCGGCAGGAGGAGGCTGCTCCGTCGAGCCTCATGCGCACAATCCAACTACGAAAGCCTTCCGTTAGAAGTCGCGGGCGATGTCTTAGTGACCTGCCTCTCTCGACTTCAAAGTCCAGTTCACAGCGAAAGCTATACCCATACATGAGTAGTCTGCAGTCAGTCTGGAACGAGTGAGTGCAACATACTGGTTATACAGAAGTAAATGGACGGTAGTTCGACAGCAGACAAGTCGAAACTTTGCGGTTCCAAATATTCGGAAACATATCCGTTGTGTTCGCGCCTCGTCCGTCTGTTGATAGGTATTCCACGTGTGTCATTCGTCCCCTACCGGTTCGCTACCACCAGACAAGCGCTCATCATTTGAGTATTTGTCTTGCAGGATTTTGCCATAGTCGTCCAAGAACGAACGACAAAAGGTGAGATACTAAAATTTTCAAGTTGGTGCGGGAGGTGAGCCACAGAGCCTGGCGGTTTGAATTTAATATGCTCGAGTAGCTTCGGAAATGTATGGATATAGGGCACCCGTCTGAATGTAAGGGGGGCTCGATGTACAACATCTTGCGGCGTTCATCCAGTGATGATCCAAGAGCAAAGTAGCACGCCTCGTTCGCTCCACTGGGCTTCTGAGGTGATATAGAAAATAGAAGATCTCCTTCGCACCAATTGTCATCATACCCAATGTATATCTGCAGCGCTAGAAAAGGGCGAGTTGCTAGGGAATCAGTAATTAAGATCCCATAGCCAGATGTCCAATAAGCCGAACGCTGGGGTATAAGTTCTGTGACAACGAAAGCGTGAGGCATCTTACAAAATGTACGGCTGTGTTGCACTCGGAATTCGTTGAGCATCCTATTGAATCGCCTAAGCTTACATAATCGTAACGGCATGAGCTTCCTTCAGTCAAAGCAGATCCAATCATTGAGAAAGGCAGCGACAACACTGGCCACCATATTCGCACCACCGTGAAATAGCTGCAACGAACGCTACCGTAGCGCATTTGCAAGCCCATTGCATGACTTTCGGTGTGATTATCAGAGAACGGAGACTCTGAGGTTGCTGACGAACGCGTCAGTCTGGCTCAGACTGCAAAGCACACGGGTCAAATCGTCCAGAGGGGACCATGGTATACCAAAAGAAGCAGAAGATTAAGAAACGAGGCTGTCTCCTGCGAGGCAAGCGATGAGAAGGGGAGGAGCACGTACAGCAGTGGCGACCTGATTCCCTAGGCTTCACAAAAATGGGCCGCGATGACAGCGCCTCGCGACCTGATACAGCGGACAGGCAAGGAGACATCAGATAACTCCGAGAATAAGAGGTCATCTGTCATCAGAGAAAGCTCAGTGCGTCGTTTGAAGAAATAAGACATGATGACCCCAATGGCGTTGTTCTTAGTGTGGGCATCGTCTCTTCTGCGAACAAACGGTCAGGCGCTAGAGGTAAAAAGAGAAGTAGGCAAACGTTGCAAACTGTCATGATGACAAGCTTCGATTGATGAAATCACGACGGATCCTCCTGTTGCATCATCCCTGTTAAGGTTGCAAATGTGGGAACCAGGTCTCAATGGTCAACGGTAAACCGACGATATAATGAGTAATGAGTGTAGGTTTCTGATTCAAAGTGGGCCCGTCCAAAAGTCTCACGCTGGCCATCAACGCCAACGCACAAAGGGATGCCATCAAAGATGACAGTAACAGTGAGAGAGGCGCACCACAGGAAGCTTAGCGTCGCAATAAATCATCAGAGTTCTGCAACTAACGGTAAAAATTAGACACAGAAGCATACAATCGAGGGAAATATAAGGCACCATAATACGCAGGATACGTTTCGACATTATGAACAGTGTTGAATGGGGTGGACAATCGATATCAAGTACGCGTGCCACAACGGACGGCTTTTTCGACAGGAACACAGACATTTCACCCTGCAGGGGAGAAGGCCAGAAATCAGCAAGACACGCAGAGAGAACAGGTACTAACAAAAACAACACAGGATTGACGGAGGGGATCAATTTCAAGAGAAGAGCAGACAACAAACAAGGGTCTGCTTCCATTTTGAGAGACTCGTTCGTCGTAGGGTTAGGGCTGGTTGCTTATTTTCCGGCCAGGGCTGACTACGTGCTGGCTTCATGTGTCTGGTTGGACCAATCGTCACAAGGCCAGTTCGCCCGCATGTCTTCAAGCTATCTAAAAGTCGCTATTTCTCTACTTGCCGTGTTTCCCTATCTTTGAAGAACACTAGCACAGACCCCAAAGTCTATTCAAAGACTCTTCTCTTGCCAAAGACTTCCTTTCCGCTCTGGGTAGACTCAGCAAAGTCCGAGTCGTTATTTAAAAGGAAGACTTGCGAAGAGTTGTATCAATGGCAGGTGCGTTGTTCAAACTTATTCACGCTCCTTGTTAAATGCAGCAGTATATAGGCTCAGAATGTGCACCGACCACTCTTCGTTCTCCTCGACGGCCCTCCTTATGCGAACGGTCACCTTCACATGGGTACGCACGGAGCAATGTACGAACATCTGCAATATCAACATTTTATTTTTTCCAGGACATGCTTTAAATAAGATTATAAAGGATATCATCAACAGGTACCAAGTCTTGACAGGTCATCAAGTGCAGTGAGCTCTCCCTTCCTACGATTGATTAGTACCGCTCATCTGTCGAAGCTACCACCCCGGTTGGGACTGTCATGGTTTGCCTATCGAAAATAAGGCTCTACAGGAGTTAAAGGCGCGTAGTTCTTTCCTCCTAGCGATGTCTTGTCGAATAAATATGAAATCTAGAAGGATGCCCTTTCGTTACCCCCAATATCATACGCACAGCAGCCAAAGCAACGGCAGAGCGCGAAATGAAGACGCAACAGGAGGAATTCGAGCAGTTCTGCATAATGGCCGATTGGAGCCCCAAAACAACCTTCCGCACGCTTGGTACGACCTGAGACAGATCTATGGCTGCATATTGACTCACAGACCTCTTCCTGAAGACCACGACTATGAAATTCGTCAGCTTCAGGTATTTCAACGAATGGTCGAGGAAGGTACGTGATTTCTTGTCTCCCGTCACTCAACTTTATTATTTATTTCGTATGTCACGTAGGTCTTATTTACCGGCACTATCGACCAGTACATTACTCTCCCTCGTCGCATTCCGCTCTCGCGGAAGCTGAGCTCGTCTATAACGATGAACATGTCTCGCATTCAGCCTATGTGACCTTTCCGTTGGACTCGCAGACTGCAATCGCGAGCACTGCTCTCCGAGCAGTCTTAGCCAAGGAGCCTTCGGCAAGTTTGCTAGTATGGACCACTACGCCTTGGACTCTAACAGCAAACATGGTATGGATGAGTTCTCTCAACTTTAACATCCTCACAGATATCCTTCGTCAGGGCATCGCCGTTCACCCCGAATTGACCTACAGCTTCGTGCGCTCATCTGTCAATGCGGACACTCTCGTTGTTGCCAAAGATCGTCTTGTCGCGCTGGAGCCCATCATCGGACCCCACGAAGTTATTGCTGAAATGAAGGGCGCAGATCTGGTGGGCGCGCAATTTCGCTCCGTCTTCGCTCCGCTCCACCTGTCTGGCTCGGTGAACGCAAAGATCATAGCGGCATCTCATGTCACATCGGAGTCTGGATCTGGTCTGGTGCACTGTGCCCCTGCACATGGCGCAGAAGATTACTTGGCATTTCGAGCGCTAGGTCTTCTGCAAGGCCCCACGGACATTGTTTGTCACGTCGACGATGCTGGCAAGTTTTCTCCTGATGTTGCTCATGTTGTAGGCGAAGAAGCTGCGCAAACACTAGTGGGACAAGAGGTACTCAAGGGTGGGAACAAGGCTATTGTCAAACTACTGGAGTCCACCGGGTCCCTTGTGAAGGTGCAAAGGATCAAGCATCGCTACCCGTATGATTGGAAGACTGGTGAACCTATTATTGTAACGTAATTTGCGTCCCGCAAGAGATGCCCATCTCGGTGCTTACATAGTTTAACAGGGCCACCTCGCAATGGTTTGCCAACCTAGACGGCATCAAGGATGATGCACTTCACGCGCTGAAGGATGTACAGTTCTATCCACCTTCATGTATGTCCCCCTTCCGTCCTTGAAATTATATCCTGAGTTTGTTTGATCACAGCTCGCAATCGACTAGAGTCATTCGTTCGCTCGCGTTCCGAGTGGTGCATTTCTCGCCAGCGAGTGTGGGGTGTCCCGATCCCGGCTCTATACCACATTCCGACGGATACCGCCGTCCTCTCATCCGAATCCATCACTCACATCTTGCGTGTTGTGTCTGAGCGAGGCGTGGCTCATTGGTGGGAAGGTCCAGTCAAAGACTTCCTTACCCCCGAGCTACTCGCCCAATTCGAAGGTGGTCCTGAGGCCTGGCGCAAAGGCACGGACACGATGGACGTCTGGTTTGATAGCGGGTCAAATTGGAGTACGCTGAGCGTCCCTACAGGCGGGAGAAAACATCGGGCGGACGTATGTCTTGAAGGCACAGACCAGCATCGCGGGTGGTTCCAGAGCCAGTTGTTAACTTCAGTGGGCGTTAACTCCGGATCAAACGCTGCAAGGCCGGTAAGCCCATACGGAACGCTGATTACGCACGGTATGGTACTTGATGAAGCGGGCAAGAAGATGAGTAAATCACTCGGAAATATCGTCAGCCCGATGACCATCATCCACGGTGGCAAGGTCGGTCGTTGTCTATCTTGTCCATACAGTTCGCTGAAGTTTTGCGGTTGGCAGGATAAGAAGAAAGAACCTGCGTACGGTACTGATGTCCTCCGCTTATGGGTGGCAACTGTCGAGTACTGGCGAGATATGTCCATTGGACCCACAGTTCTTGCACAGTGTGCGGAATCTATGAGGAAGATCCGTAATTCTGCTCGGTTTATCCTTGGAAATATTGGTACAACTGCTCAACGAAAGCACTTTGTTCCGGTTGAACGCAGCGAACTGGGCTTGGTCAGTTCATGTATTCAATTGATGTCTAATGCCAAATTTGATTGTTGTGACAGGCGGAGCGCTTTGTGATGAACGAGCTTTACAAGCTTGATCAAACTGCTGCAGAAGGATATGCAGACTACAATTTCCCGAAAGGTGAGAGCTCATCGTGTTCATGGAATTTACAAGCTTATACTCTCCGTGCTAGTCATGAATTCCTTGACCAACTTTGCAAACATCACATTGTCATCGCTCTACTTTGACATCACGAAGGACTGCCTCTATGCCAATGACATTCAAAGTGTCGAGAGACGGGCGGTTGTGACTGTCCTTGCCAAAGTGAGCGCTATCCAGTAAGAATATACAGCTAGCTAATGTTCCTACCAGGTCCTCGACTCCATGACATCCGTAATGGCCCCAGTGCTCCCTTACCTGGCAGAGGAAATCCACAGTACTCTCCATGAAGGTGATGAGGCTGTATCCCAGTTATCCATCTTTGCGAAGAAGTGGACTCCTGTCGTCAGTATTGATGTCGTGACTGCTTGTACTTTCCCTGATATTCTCTTGAACCACGTAGAGCGCTGAGTGGAATGATCCGCGTGCCGAACAAGACATGGCTAGTCTACTGAGGATGCGCAGCGTCGTGCTATCTCTTTTGGAAAAGGCTCGAGGGGACAAGTGAGTGCCTAATTCTTTTTGCGTTCGCAGTCTGAGCATGTTTCGGTGTAGGTATCTAAAGAGCTCTCTCGAAGCTGAGGTCGATATTATCTTGCCCAACGATATATCCGTGCAACCGTATATGCTACAGTTGATTGAACGCGAAGGTGAGCAGTTTGATCTTCCCGTTTTTTCATAACTGAACAGTATTTGCGCGCAGAGACGTTCCTGAAGACGCTTTTCATCGTTTCTGATGCCAACATCACGGACGAAGGCTCTCTCGGCACTAGTTCATTCGCGTGGTCCTATGTCTCTTCAATGGATATACCCGGTACGCCTATGTTTTCGAAAGCTGTTTTTGGTATTAATTCGCCTATTCCTTCTGCGTAGACTCGGACTTGGAGCTGGCGATTCGCGTTAGACCTGCATCCTCGAGTAAGTGCCCACGGTGCTGGACGTATACTCGTGAAGAGGATCATGATTTATGTCCTCGCTGTGAAGACGTCGTTCGACGTGCGGATTAGATTGTTGGCGAAAATGGTGCACACGCGGTATTTAGACTACATACGATCTTAGATAATACTCTATCAGTCCCACCTCCCGCACTTGTTTGAGCTTGACTGGCGTACGTTTTGTAAGAACAACACCACGGTGTTAGGCATATGCGGCAGCATCTTATATGCCAAATCAAGGCTCGGCGCTCAGCGTTCAAAAAGGTTTGTCAAACATCGTCATTTGCTCACGCCATAAAGCGGCCCAGCAATAGGAACTATCCACTGCGACATCTGTCTCAAGAATTTCAACCAACCATGGTCAAGGCTTTGATCCTCATTGCAGACGGAACGGAAGAAATGGAGTTGTAAGTTACATCTGCATCATCCCCTGATCAATGCGCTAATGATCGCTCGGGTGCATATATAGCACGATAACATACGATACGCTCGTCCGCGCAGGAATAGAATGCACATCTGCCTTTGTCCCCAGGGGTCTCTCACCATATGGATCTTCTGATACAAGTCCTCCGCTTGCAGTTTGCTCGAGGCGAGTGAAGATCCTTCCTGATGTCACCCTCGACCCCCTTGCTGCCGGTCCGGTGGGCATTTTTCATCCGTTTTGAAGCGTGTCCGAGGTTAAGCTCATGGTATCTTACTTCTTCAGGAGAAGTACGATGCCCTCGTCATCCCCGGTGGCATGGGGGGTGCCGTGACGATGGCAGGATCAACAGAGGTGCAAAACCTTGTTCGTTCTTACTATAACCACCCAGAGAAGCGGATTATTGGCATGATATGCGCAGGTGTGATCTTATTTGATCGTATTCGTGATTTATGAAGCGTATGCATGCTTTGCAAGGTTCCAAGGTCGCGATCACAGCAAAACTTCCTGGTCAACCGATCACGTCGCACCCATCTGTCCAGAGCGAGTTCCCAGACCGTGAGTCTCGGTGAAATTAACGAGAAATATCGGTGTAGCTTCTCTGTTGCGATAGATTTTGACTACAGGGAGCAAGATGTGGTGGTGTCGGATGCCGTCCCAGGCAAGGCAACGCTCGTCACAAGGTGAGTCAACATCGTGATTTGTTGGCCAGCGACTCTGCTGACCTCGATCTTCAGCCGCGGACCAGGTAAGTTGCATTACACTTTGTGTAATTCGTTGTCTCTTTACTGTCGCTGAATAGGAACTGCGTTTCCTTTCGTATTCACGCTGATCGAGCTCTTGTGCGGGAAGGAAAAACGCGACGAAATCGTAGGACCTATGATCTTCCCTTCCGGCACAGTGACTGGGTATCCGCTCTGAGTGGACTCCCGAATCCAACGAGCCAAGCACGGTAGCGTAGCTTTCTATTCTGGAGTTAACAGGTACCTCTACGAAGTCATCCTATGAGTTGGCATATAAGGATTGGGTCCTAATTCGACTACCATCAGAGTTTGTTAGGTTTATGAGTTGTCGAAGGTTGTCGAAGACTTTGAAGTTTGTAGTACCGACGCGTAAGTTACGTAGTCGCTTGAGAGCGTTGAAGAGGCGATTAAGGCGCATTTCTTACTTCTCATCCTCCGCGATTTTTCTGCTTGTCGCATGCGAGCTCTCTTGCACGCTGTGCGGCGAATTCATGGACTTTCCTGTGGAATAAAAGTTGTCCAGGGTGACTTGCATCTGACTCGGATAACGTATGGGCCCAATTTTATCGAGTCATACCGAAACCGCGTTTTGGTCAAAAGGCCCTTAACCACCATTTCTCGATATACCACATCTACAACTATGAACACTCTAGAATCTGTAGCCCAGTCCCTTGCTGGGCTGTCAATCACCCCATCTGCCAGCGTCACGCATGCTGAAACAAATTCCCCGGCATCTTGGCGAGAAACGCTACTTGCGACCTCATCTGCGCCTAAATCATTCGAGCTGATCAAAACGCTCGTCTACAAGCCGAAGACTGCAAAAACTGCGATTCCGGTCCCTGTTGTCGTCATTGCCCGTGAAGAGACCGAGACGAGCTCATCGGCGCTCGGCAAGAAGCTTAACCTGAGGAGCTGAGGTTGGCGTCAGAGGATCTGCTTGCCGAATTTTTCGCGCTCGATAAGAACTCTTGTACGTTATTCCTTATGACGCGGTGTAACTAATCTGATTTACATGGACGATCAGTGTCGCTACTTTCATTGACTAGCGAGACGTTCCCAAAAGTTGTTACTGTGATTGATGCATCGATCACGTCCTCCTCATCAACATTTGCGTTGCACGCACTGTCCTCGAGTGCAACTGTCTTCCTTTCTGGACAGGATATCCTGTCTTACCTCCGAAAACTTGAGACTGAGGACTTAAAAGTCCAAGAAATCGACTTTACTTCCCTCAAGTCTGATGTCGCCGCGGCTCCTTCAAAACCTGCTGCAAAAGAGAAAGAGGTCGCGAAAATCGATGGCGCCGTTCAGATCGCCATCGGTGTCAAGAAGGAAGTCGATTTCTCTGCGTGGTATCAGAGCGTGGGTTCCTTTGTCTGATTGCCCCGATCTAGGACTTATTTGTGTGTTTTAGGTCTTAATAAAAGCAGAAATGCTCGAGTACTACAGTGTTAGTGGGTGCTATATCTTGAGGCCGTGGTCGTACAGTATCTGGGAGGAGATCCAAGGTATGAGATCTAGTTCTCGATTGATTCCGAATACTAAGGCGCGTTATAGACTGGTTCAACAAGAAAATCAAGGCAATGGGCGTTCAGAATGTATACTTCCCTATGCTTGTGTCACAAAAGGTGCTCGAACGCGAGAAGGACCACATTGAGGGTTTCTCTCCGGAAGTTGCATGGGTTACAAGAGCGTAAGTGCATAAAGGAGCGAATGAACTCTAGTAATTTAATAATGTGACAGTGGGAGCTCTGACCTTGAGGAGCCGGTAGCCATTCGTCCGACATCTGAGACTGTCATGTATCCTTGTAAGGCAATTTCCATCATCATAGAGAGGGCTACTTATTCATTGCTCGCAGACTATGCCAAATGGATCAAGAGTCATCGAGATTTGCCACTGAAATTGAACCAATGGAACAACGTCGTCCGATGGGAGTTTAAACATCCGCGTTAGTCCCTGTGCTCTACCACTATCCGTTGATCGTTTATCATTTCATTCAGAACCGTTCCTCCGTACTCGGGAGTTCCTGTGGCAAGAGGGCCATACTGCTCACCTTACCAAGGCCGAGGCTGATAAGGAAGTTCGGGAGATCCTCGACTTGTACCGCCGCGTGTACGAGGAACTCCTTGCTGTTCCTGTCATTCCTGGTATCAAATCCGAGAAGGAGAAGTTCGCTGGTGCCCTCTATACCACCACGATTGAAGGCTTTGTACCTTCCTCGGGCCGTGGTATTCAGGCTGCTACCTCGCACTGCTTGGGCCAGAACTTTTCGCGCCCAGAAATGTTTAACATCATGGTCGAGGACCCGAATGATCCCTCTGGCCAAGGCAAGACCTTTGCATGGCAAAACTCGTGGGGATTGTCGACCCGGACAATTGGTGTGATGACTATGGTGCACGGTGATAACCAAGGCTTGGTCCTTCCTCCGCGAGTTGCATCTATCCAGGCTGTCGTAGTTCCGTGTGGTGTCACAGCAAAGACGAGCGATGAAGACAGAGCTAAGATTAACAATGCCTGCGATGACCTCGCAAAATCTCTGATAGATGGGGGTGTCCGGGCGAGGGCAGATCTTAGGGAGGGTTACACCCCCGGATACAAATTCAACGACTGGGAACAAAAGGCATGTTCTCTACCATCGGCTGCCGTCGCTCGCCTCTGATGTTGTCTGTTCCATGAATAGGGTGTTCCCCTTCGTTTGGAGATAGGGCCGAATGACCTTGCGAAGCAGCAGACGTTGTCCGTGCGCCGTGATACCGGTGCAAAGACCCCCGTTGCTCTCGCTGACCTTGCCACCACAATCCCGAAGATGCTCGAAACTATCCAGAGCGATATGTTCCAGCGTGCTCTCGCTGAGTACAACGCGCATGTAAAAGAAGTTACACGATGGGAAGACTTTGTCCCCACACTAGACAGCAAGTGCATAGCTGTCATTCCGTGGTGCGAGCGTGAAGCATGTGAAGATGACATCAAGGAGCGAAGCGGTAGAGCGTGAGTGTTTTATGCCGTCTCTGATCCGGACAACTATGTTTTTGATCCTCGGGAACTCCGGAGATTTAAACGGCATCTAACATCATATTTCTGAACAGTGCAGAACCGCAGGACGAGCGTGCCCCGTCCGCCGGTGCCAAATCCCTTGCTATTCCGTTCGAGCAGAAGCGTTGGTCTCCTATCAAATTGGGAGAAACGAAGTGTGTTGGCTGTGGACAAGACGCAAAGCGTTGGACCATGTTTGGGAGATCCTATTAGAAGGCCTTGCATACATTTGAAAATGGAATTGCGTGAAGGGATTTCCTTGTTCTTTGATTTCTTGTATACATGACCTATCGAGTCAGTGAGGCGGTCGGCGGTTATACATGGTTGGACGTGGCAAAATTTGACTCGTTCAGTCTCAAGATGGCGCATTCAGAATATGTACTTAACAAGTGACTAGACATGCCAAGACTTTGGAAGCCGGAATCTGGACCGATTTCCGAAACTCTGCATAGTATTAGTGCACGATGTGACCCGACTGTCTTGCCCTGAGCCCTCGTGATGCAGCGCGGGGCAAGTAGCCAGGACCACTGACTCAGTCACCGTGTGCAACAACCAAAGCGACAGACTGGCAATCGCCTGAGATCTTCCTCATCGTGCCTTTCTTGCTATCTTTTCCCGCTCTTCGGATATCTCAGAGCTTCTGAATCGATGCAGCTACAACGACGCCATGATAAGAGCAAGAAAGAGATGAAGGTTTCGTAACTTTTGACGGTATCTGTAAGTCATAGCCTCCTGCCATGGGCGGCGAAGAAGTACTAATTTCCGCGACAGCTGGCACGCACTGACGGACACAACTAGCTCTGTGAGCAATCTACAAGCAAGCCTTTTCATCCTTACAATCAAGAGTTCACCAAGTACGCATGCTAGGAACTTCGAGACAGCCGGTCTAATGACTCTAATCCACGCCAATATCCCAGATGTTATGTAAAATATGAAATTCTTATTGTACATGGGAAGCCAGCACTCCAGCCAAGGGGTAATTTTTCAACCACAAGATTTGAGTTCCGAAGTGACACACGGCATAAGGTGAGTACCAAAAGCCAGCGCGTCTTCTCCTGTCTCAACCGTATGGAAGGCTAAATTTGTTCCATTCCATAGGTCTGGCCCAATCACTAGGGCATTAAATTCCATTCCATCAATTCATCAAAACTCGCTAGCTGTTACAATGTCTGGCTGCCCCGCATTCTCCGCATCTCATTGCGTACGGGTAAACCCTCGGGCAGACTCGACTTGTTTACTTACGTGATTACATATGTACAGGGAGTTTCTATCATGCCATATGGTATTTCGTTGTTCACTTGGACGGATCGGTACATCGAGCGCCAGTTATTGAGTTCACGCTTGATGCCAGGTTACCCACTTAACAAGTAACTGCATGTTTGATGGCGTCACCATTATGATGATTATTACGGTCTCATGACCCACTTCAAATACGCGCGTTCCAATTTTGTCGTTGAAATTGAGTTCCACAAGATCCATGCGGTCGGTGCCTGACACTGAATATAATCCAGCGTCCCGACGACATATTGTTCCATCCTTCACCTGCTCCCCCCCTCCCGTCAACATGGGCAAAGGTGTAAGTTGCACTTTGCTTTGAACCCTTGGCTATCGTGCTTAATGTGTTCAACAGTACAATGCGCGTATCGCCTCGAATCCAGTGAGTGATCACAAGCTCCAGTACAAGTGTTATACTTGGACGGGATTCTGATATTCATATGATAGTATATCGTTGGCACATTCGCATGTATCGGTGGAGGCCTCTTCGGTCTGGACATATCTTCCATGTCCGCGGCGTTGAACGTGAGCCCACCATCATCCATGCCTGATGTTATTTCGACGATGTTGATGTATTGTATGTTGACCATGGACAGAACCCCGCGTACACGAATACTTTCAACAACGTGCGTTTGATTTCTTGATAACCTTTCGTGTATGATTCACAAGATTTTCGTGTAGCCCACTGCCAATGCACAGGGTGCCATCGTTGCTTCTATGCCCGCTGGCTCCCTGATTGGAGCCCTTTCTGTTACCTACCTTGGTGACAAGCTTGGGCGCAAAAAGACGATCATCCTTGCTGCTCTTTTCTGGGTCATTGGTTCTATCCTCCAGTGCGCGTCAGTCGTATGTGTATCATCCTGTCATGTCATCATTTCTCTGTTGAGATGCTGCTCCAGAACCGTGGCATGCTCGTCGTTGGCCGTATCATCTCCGGCTTATCCGTCGGTATCTCTTCTGCCGTTGTTCCTGTCTATCAGTCCGAGATCGCTGCACCTGAAATTCGTGGCCGCCTGGTTGCCTTCCAACAATGGTCCATCACTTGGGGTATCTTGCTTCAGTACTTTGTTCAGTTCGGTTGTTCGTACATAAATGGTACTGCCTCATTCCGTATCCCATGGGGTCTCCAGATGATCCCCGCCATCATTCTTGCCTTCGGTATGATAGCGTTCCCCGAGTCCCCCCGTTGGCTCGTCGATCATAACCGGTACGCGTCCATTTTATATAGACCAAACACCTATCTCATATTCTTAACAGCGAGGCAGAGGCTTTGGAGATCCTTGCTGACCTCCACGGTGGAGGCAACCAGCAGGATGACCTCGTCGTTCTAGAGTTCGAGGAAATTAAGTCACAGGTTTACTTCGAACGGACTGAAGGTGCCAAGTCCTGGTCAGACCTCCTCAAGCCCGGTGTGTCGCGCCGTGTCGTCCTTGGCTCATCTCTCCAGATGTGGTCTCAGCTTACTGGTATGAATGTTATGATGTAAGTTCCCTCTCCAGCCTTTGGTCACTCGATTCATTTTTACACCCAAACAGGTACTATGTCGTCTACGTCTTTGAGGGTGCTGGTCTTACTGGTCGTCGCGCGAATCTTATTGCAGACTCTGTGCAATATGTCCTTAACGTCTCCTTCACTGGTAAGATTGATTTGCTTACATCGGGCGATGATTATGATGCGCTTGAATTTTAGTCCCTGCAATCATTTACATCGACAAATGGGGACGCCGCCCGATGTTTATTTACGGTTGTCTTATCATGGGCTTCTGGCTCTACCTCGTCGGTGGTCTCCAGGCCCGCTTCGGCCAATGGGGAACTGTCGACGGTGCTAGTAAGTTTAGCATTTAAACTCCTTAACTTTCTGTGATACTGACTTCTTTTATTAATCAGCTACATGGGTGGTAATCAACAATCCCGCCGCCACAAAAGCCATAATCGTGTGTTCCTACTTTTTCGTATCTTCCTTCGCCATTACGATGGGTCCCGCCTCCTGGACCTACCCTGCCGAGATCTTCCCCATGCGTGTGCGCGCCAAGGCTGTCTCTCTCTCCACGGCCACGAACTGGTTGTTTAACTTCGCCTTGGCATGGGCTGCACCTCCAATGTTGGCCCATATCCAATGGAAGACGTATTTCGTGTTCGGGACGTTCAACTTCGCAGCCTGCATCCACTTCTTCTTCTGCTTCCCCGAGACAGCACAGCGCTCGTTGGAGGAGATCGAGGATGTGTTCGCACAGGGCCACGAGTACAACGCCTGGGCTGTGTCGAGGTCCGTGGGCAAGAGGGACTTGGCGGATGTACTTACAAACAAGGGGGATGAGAAGGAGTCAGTCGACGCTTAAGAGGTTAACGGCATGTTTTAAGCATGCTCATTTTCTGATTCTTGGTAACGTTTAATAGTTTACTGTACTTGTTAAGCACTGCTATTAACATAAGCATTTAGCATCATAACCAATCCACGACGATACAGCACGTTTTATGAACCTCGATTTGTGTCCACGGCCGCAATGATTTATTGCAAACATACTACGTAGGTCTGCACAAGTGCATTTCAGAATCGCATGTACATGGTTCCAGTACTAATACCTTATCTGGATTGTTGATAACTCCGTCAGATCTGATACAATCTGGGCCATTCGTAGATCGCCACCTGAGCTATTTATAGATGCATTCTCGCATGGTAACCATCACAGCATATCATCATAGGGCTTGTTTCATGATTTGTGTCACTAGCTCCACAATGCATGGATTCGGACGGTAACTTCAAGGCTCACAATCGTCAGTCGGTACACTTGAAATGGTTATCATCATGCGGAGCGTTCGCGCACAGTCGCCGTCTCAACATCTGGACACCTGAACATCCGTCTGGCTCGCAGGCTGCAGCCGCTGGTTGCTTTCATTAGGAAAATGCAAAATTCCTGTAGGCAGCTGTTTCCAAAGAGATACGAGCTATGTATGAAAATGTGATTGCAAGGAACCAGAATGTCGAAGAGTCGGGGATACGATTGTCGGTCGCACATTTACAACCGGGTAAAAGCTGCTGGTGCCGTGATCAATTGTTCTGCAGATGAGTTTCTCCAATTACAGTACATACAGCAAAACCTCTCATCCGACCTCCAACCTCTTAGACTCGGAATGCGTTTACCGTTTTACATTCAACTTCCCTTTCTTACCTTGCAGATTTTCCTTTTCCTTGACCCATCACCTCCATGGAACTTATTTGGTGCCGTCGCTATCGCCTTGATCTGCTGGCTCATCATTAGCCCGAGCGTGTTTGTGAGCTGGAATATTGACACTGGCGTCGGCTACGTAGACTACATGTTAGGATCCACTATCGCGAGCTATGCTGTGCACAGTTTTTATTTGCTCTCATTGGGGAGGCCATTGAAGTCTATAAAGAATGGGGACAAATTGAAAGTGCACGAACATTGGTGGAAAAGGATCCTCCACGTTGCGCATGTCATGCAGTCCCCGAGGGGGGTTGGATGGAACTATCAGGTGCGTTTTTACAATCCTTGCGGTCACAACTCGGACTGACTCCCCATTCTTGATTTCCAGGTTAACAACGTCCCTGCTGCCCCACGACAACCCAGACGCTCGTTCATCCTCACTTCCTCCCTGCGTGCCGCCTGCCATGCAGTCCTCTTTGAAGTCGCGCGGCTGTATGTTTGGTACAACCCTGCGTGTTCATCGGTTACGGTCGAGACGCGAAGCTATGTTGCACGGTGTGCTGACACCATTGCATTCATCGGGCTAACATACTGGGGCTTGAACGCTGGCTACTTCGCAATGGCAGCGGGGAGTGTTGCGCTCGGACTGCACGAGCCGAGAATGTGGCTTGACTTATTTGGGTCTTGGCGAGATGCGTATACCGTTCGACGAGCTTGGGGGTAAGTGAATGTGTGTCAAGTAGCTTGATTTTTTCGGCATTCCTGATATTCCATGCAGGAGGACGTGGCATCAGACCTTGAAATGGGTGAGTGCGCTTGCCCAAAATTGCGCATATATTAGCTGAAAACGTGTATTCATACCAGTTCCTCGCCCCTCTTGGTAAAGCGACATCATCTGTCCTTGGGTTCAAGCGTGGTACATCAAGATCATTGTATGCACAGGTTTATGTCGCGTTCTTATTATCGGGCCTCGTACACACAGGAGGGGATATCGTGCTCTCTGGATCCACCACCACTGCTGCATCACGGCCGTTGTTCTCGATGCCATTCTTTTTCTCGCAAGCAGTCGTTATTACCTTTGAAGACGGGTTGATCCGGATTGCCAGACGACTGGGAGTCAAGGATAGCGCGTGGACGAGAGCCTTGGGGTTTGTCTGGGTCGCGGTATGGTTCGGATGGTGTGTGCCCGGATTTGTCGAGAATATGATCAGGGCGGGTGGGGGGATAAGGAAGTCTGCCAGCAGAGATATGGGCCCCAATTTGGTGCAAGCTGCGATGATTAGATTGTTTGGATTTGATATCGGGGAGTTTGCTGAATCATGGTTTGGGGCATGAATAACAGGGTTCGTAACATAACCTTGTTTATCGCTTGCCTTTCCGAGTCTGAACGATGAACACCTGAACGTCCGTAATGGTCTTACTGGCACTCAGAAGGGCGGATGTATGACTGGATAAAACAGTACTGACTCCGGCTCACAGCAGATACTTATTGTGGCCGGGCCTCATAACAAGTTACTGGCTCAATTATACTTAGGTTGTGATCCATCACTAGATCACGTGCCAAACACCCGCAACAATGTGAGTTTGTTTAATACTATATATGTCATACAAAGCTATTAAGATTGCCACAAGTACGTACGTGCCCCACAGATACAACCGCAGTCCGTGACAAGACGTATTGTCATGTCAGAACATGCCAGAAGTTAGAGTCGGGGACATTGTGATCAATCACGAAGATCCGTTATAGTGGGCATCAATGACTGGACTCGGACGCTGTCTTCGTCACCCGTGTTAACTTGAGGCCACCCACCGAGATTTCCTTATCAACAGACTTTGGCACCATACACCATACGAGCAGCAATGATTGTCACACGCTACAGCAAGCATTCGATTCTGGGGGTAAGTGGATATGCTGGTCACCTGTTCCAATTTTTTATGTTGGAGGACAGCGGGACACGTGAATTCACACCATGGCTGAAACGTCTCAAATGCGCCGCAGTTTCTCACCCTCCACAGCGATCTGATCATTATACTCCATTTCTCGCTTTCTGTCGCGGCAGGCTCTTACTTACAGGACAGAACCGGATCTTCTACCTCCACTGGATCACAGCTGTTTTGAGGGTATTTCTGGGTCGCAGTATAGTTTGGGTGGTGTCCAACGTGCGTGAAGATACGTCGAGTGCAGGCGGGCGAGAAAACGAGGCCGTCTATGGCTTAGACTCACGGATTGGGATTTGAAATCGAGCAGTTTGCTGAATCCTATCGGCTTGGACCGCCGTGAGAAGGGTTATGGCATCAATTAATTGATACATGCCATATGCATATGGTTGTCTGAATGTTATCTCATCAGAACGCAGCAGAAGATGAAAGGCTGTGGGGCTGATAATGAATTCGACGGGGATTGATGCATGATGGATAAGTGAGTGGGAGTCAATTCATAATAAAGATACGGAAGGTGAGGACATCTATATCTAAGCGAGTGGCTTATCAAAGCGGTACAACTTGAAATTTGAAAGGGAATTCCATAGTGGCACTCCTTACAAGGCGGTGTTTCCATCCTCGCGGATCTGCTGCGTGTCATGGAACGCGGGTTTTCTCTGGTACGGCATTCTGACGCGGGAGGAGCATGGGTGAGGCAGTGTATTCCATACCAGTCCATGTACATGCTGGCAATTGTTGAGCGGCATATCCAAATCCATTTTCATTTAGTGTCGGGGGTAATTGAACATGCTCGTACACGTAGTTCCGAGGTGTCACTGACACCTACTTACATTCTCCGGACGCCAATAGAATCATGGGGGACGTGATAAGGCGTGGTTCAAGGATCAGGTCAGGGACTTCGTGTGAGACCACAAGATGCAAGGTGGTAGTTCAATATGCGTACCAGTGCTGATAAGATACAACATGTACTGGACCAAGGCGCATATTTATTCAGTATGAATTCATAATCGGTGCTTCGCGTTTCGATAGGTATACCTTGAATTTATTTTGCAACTGGCAGCGCCGCATCGACTATTTCTGTCATTCTTATGACCGCCTCTTCTTCCAAAGTCCGACCGATAAGTTGTAAACAAACAGGGGCGTTCTTGAATTTCTCTGGATCGTCTAAATCAATGATCAGGCATCAGAAAACCACGTGCTGAGAGATTGTTAAGTGCTGGTACACTATACTCACACATTTCGTAAATGTCTTCATCGAAGTCGTTGTAAAAAGCATGAGGAGGTGCCTTTTCATCGAGAGTGGAGTCGACAGTGGTCACGGGGAAAATGGCGGCAGGATAGTCGAGCGCATTCCAAACAGTCGTGTAGTCAACGTATCTGCCCATTGCTCCTCATTGACCTGAGTGCATCATTCCGCAATCACAGGCACAGACCTATTCTTCCCATGGGGAGTTGCCGCAAACGGTGCAGCTGGACAGATGATAGCGTCGACAGGCCGTCCTGTCCCAGTCTCTGACGTAGTTGCTTCCCAGTGGTCTAAATATTCTTTCCGGATATTTTGACGCAGCTTCTGCACTTGCCAGAGCTGGTAGGCGGTGATACCGCTATTCTGCGGACGGAAGGATGCAACCGCGGCATCTGCGCTGTCCAATTCCATTGTCGCAATTATTGGTTCACCTGTGACAGAGGTCGTGATCATGTATTCCTCAGCGGAAGCGGCGTTCCAGATGTCCCGCTGCACGGTGCTACAAGGTCAGTAGATAGGCATAGTAAAAGACACGACTGCTTACCGTGATATCTCCAAGTAATCTGTGCTTAATAGGTTTCCAGTCAACAACTACCACTAAATGAGCACAATATTAATCCAGCAGAGGACTTAGACGACAAAAACCTTTGTGGCCCGCCTTCTGAAGAGCCGCTTTAGCGATTTCCAGAGACCTCCTAATAGGTGGGTGGGGAACAACGACACCATCATCCCACATGATGGCAAAGCACAAATGCTCGCCAGACCCATGGTCCACAAGATTGTACTCGTCTTCGTCCCACTTCTTCCGAACCACAAGAGGGTCATTGAGCCATGGTTTAGCGTTAATTACAGCTTTCATGAAGACTTTGATACCGACGACGCTGCTTGTCATGGGACCGAGCACGGGGAGAACCGAGTCTTGGCCCTCAAGTGTGCCACGGGCACCATAGTGCGGCACACGCCCGTACGATGGTCTAAGGCCATATAAGCCGCAGAACGCAGAGGGAATACGAATAGATCTATCATGAAGCCATTAGAAGGCTACCACTGATATCTCCAAATCCTTTTCATACCCTCCGAGATCAGAACCGACTCCCAAAGGGCTTCCTTTGAGAGCAATTAATGCACCCTCTCCTCCCGATGACCCACCGCAGGTCAGAGAGCGGTTGTATGGGTTTGTCGTCCGGCCGAAGACATTGTTGAAGGATTCTGGCCACTGAAGATACCTCTAGCCTATGAGTAGCATCCACGTTGAAGGTGCGCTCACCGCAAGTGTCTGTGGAACGTTGGTGCGGACAAATGGCACGGCTCCGCACTCAATCAAAACATCGACCAGCACTGCATTTCTATCCGCGTACTGCCCAATCCACGAAACATACCCTAGAACACGGTGAATCACAGTGTATCAGGTCTATGCCGGGATTATTACTTACCCATGGTGGTTTCCAGTCCCTTGATACATAGTTGGTCCTTCAGGGAGATTGGCAGCCCATGAAGGGGGCCAGCGACCTTCCCTGTGTTCTTCAAGTAATCATCGAGTTCAGCCGCTCGGGCTAATGCACGATCAACAAAAATTTCCGTCAAGCAATTGACCTCGTTGGCCAGTTAATACAATTTGAATGCCGTCAAACAAAGCCGCCTTGCAATTTGGCTTACAAGTTGATGAGCAACAATGGCCCTCTTGTAGAATGCGGTGGTCACGTCTACAGCTGTCCATGCAGCACAGTGCAAGTTTCTCCAACAAAACATTCACCGGAGTATTGGTGATCTCAATTTCTCTCGCGTTCAGAAGGCCGCACGTCTCTGGAAAAGCAGACACATCCAGTGTAGAGTCCGAAGGTGGAGTCACAATCCACTCCTGTGGAATGGATTCTAGCTGCCTTTGCTTTTTCTCTGCAACTAGAGCAGTCCAGTGCGGTATGTCTGTGGGGATAGAATTGGCCATAGTTCAACTAGAGGGAAAAGAGTCGTTCCTTATTTGATATGGACAAGTAAAACAATATATAAGGACTCAGACGATCGGACGACCCCGGACAACAAATTCCGAACTGCTAGCTCTGTTTGGGTAGCTTGAGTTGAGCTTGAGCAAGACTAATTAGCGTCACTGCGATGCACTGGCATGTCGCCTGCAGCGTGCTGAATCCATGTATCGGCATCAGAATTTCAAGCTCAAGTTTCAAATCGGCAGTGTTGAAGCTTGCAACAATGAAGACATCGGACACCCACGATGGAACATGCTAAAACCATGTGTCCGACCAGTCCTCGTTAAATCTGGCGCCTGGACTTCGCCCTAACTTACAACAAATCGGGGGTTACACGAAGACAAGTGACGCACCTTCGCTGGTTCTCGAGTTGATTCATCGTCAAGTTTGCAGTGATGTGGTCAGGATCATCTATTGTAAGTCGCATCTGATATTCAACATAAAGTCTTCACACCCACAACCAGGGTGCTACTGGTTCCAGTTATGTCGAGGAAGCTTCACCAGACACATGCAATATCGTCATTTTCGGAGAAACAGGAGCTGGCAAAAGCTCATTGGTCAATTTAATCGTCGGGCCAGAAACAGCACCAGTATCCTGCGACGCTGAAGGATGCACAGCTCAAACCAAAGAGTACTTATATAACCTTGCAATTCACAGCAAGACCTGGAAGGTGAAGCTTTTTGATACAGCCGGTCAGTGCAGGGCGCCGCTCTTCTTGGGCGTTACTGAACTAGATTGCAGGTCTTGGTGAGGGCTCTGAGGGCAAAGTCCCTGACAAGAAAGCTCAGAGACTTTTGAAGGACCTCCTTCGAAGGCTTATGGAGCAGGACAGCATCCATCTCCTCATGCACTGTGTTGATGGCAAAAAACAGGGCACAGAAACCATTAAAGCACTCTGCCGCAACTACAAACTATGCACCTTCGAAGTTAAGAAAAGAATCCCAGTCGTCCTCGTCATCACGCATTTGGAAAACATAGAACCAGAAATGGAAAAATGGTGGAAGAACAACGAGCGGTTCATCTCAGAGCATAGCATGGCCTTTGCTGGCCACGCATGTATCACCACGCTGACTGATGATGCGACACTCAAGGAGCGCCACGACCAGTCATACAGGGCCGTCCGAAAACTTATTGAGGAGTGTTGTACAAGGTGCGGTGTTTCCAGATGCTCATTTTGCTATATTTTTATTCTGTTAAGTAGGAACGGACCTAGGAGGAACAGGCCTGAAAAGAACTTGTTAAAAAAAATCAGAAGGACCGCGCCCCAAAGAATCGGGCCCGAAAGAAACAAGCCTAAGAATATCGTACTCTTTGGGGAGACGGGGGCAGATAATAGTTCTCTCGTCAACCTTATGGCGGGAAAGGAAGTGTCAGTCGCATCTCCTGACCTGCAACGTTGTACGATGCACTGGGAAGACTACATCATCGACCTCGGAGACGAGACTTACAAGGTGTTCGATACTATTGGACTTGAGGAGCCGCAGCTGGGGATCAGAGAATACCTCGAATCTGTCGACAACGCCTATAGGCTCATCAAGGAATTGGACCGACAAGGCGGCGTTGATCTGCTTTTGTTCTGCATTCGCCCTTGCCGAATAAATGCTACGCTTTACAGCAATTATAAGCTGTTTCACGATTACCTCTGCGAGGGGAATGTTCCTATCGTTCTTGTGATCACGCACCTAGAAAGAGAGATGGAGGACTGGTGGGAGAGAGTACAGAATAAATTCGAATGTTACGGGATCCGGGTCGCTGATCACGCATGCATCCTCGCCGCTGATGGATTGGATGGCCCATACGAAACCCATGATGATGAAGTCATGATCCGCAATCTCGTGGAGAGGTTTACTGCCAACGGGCAGAAGCCAGCATGGATAGGAGGGGACAATCTGTTTGTGTCGTTGATGCGTAAGCTGAAGGAGCTACCTGGTGGGAATTTGCGTGTGAAGGGGGTGAGTATTGTCTCTCGCCTGATGAAGCGTTGCGATACGTCTCGACGGGTCGCAAGAAAGTTGGCTTATATGATCAAGCAAGATGCGGCTACAAGTTGAGCCTTTTTCAATAACTTACACAGTAGGCTTTGTTGACATCGATACTTAATGCTCACTACTTGAGACCAACTACAGTCGGGAGCCTATTTGTTCTTGTTTGTTCCTATATCAGTACCTTTCAAGAAGGAAGGTCTGAGGTGACTCGGATCTTCTTGAAAGGCACTGACATATGCGTACATTTGCCCAGTACTGCAAGAAGCTGAGAGCCGCGCATGAATGGAACATCCTATACACATGCATGCAACATGCTGAATTCATGCCTCGGGTTCCATATTTCAAGCTTGAAATGAAGACACCAGTACCACAAATATCCATGGAACAACATGCTGAATACATGTCTCCAACTGGCAACCGATCTTCAAATCTGGCGCCTGGACAGGCCTGGACCCATCCACGTTGTTTTAAGAATTAGAGGATATTACATGAAGAAAAGTCTGAGGACACTATTGAACACGCAAGTCAAGAGACCGTGACGACTTCGCTGTTCTCTCTCGAGTTGAGGTTTGCAATAATGCCGCAGTCAGGATCGTTTACTGTAAGTCATGTCTACCTCTTCCTCGGCATCAAGTTACTAACTTGAGGTCTGAATGCCCAAAATCAGGGTGCCGCCAGTGCTGGCTCTAACGATGCCGAAGAAGTTTCTTTTGGCACCGACAGCTGCAGTGTTGTCATTTTTGGAGAAACAGGAGCTGGCAAAAGCTCCTTGATCAATTTGATCGCTAGGACAGAAGCGGCACCGACATCCCCAGACGCCATGGGATGTACAGCTGGAACCAAGGAGTACGTGCACGACATCTCGATTCAAAACAAGACCTTGAAGGTGAAGCTTTTAGATACAGCCGGTCAGTGCAAGTCGCCGCTACCGGTGGGTGTTACTGAACTAGATTGTAGGTCTTAATGAGGGCTCTGAGGGCACAGTCCCCGCCGAGGAAGGTCATAAAGTTTTGAAGAAGCTCCTTCGAAAGCGCACGGGGCAGGATGCCATTAATCTCATCATGTACTGTGTTCAGGGTAAGAAACAGGGTCCTCGAGGAATCAAGGCACTCTGCCGCAACTACGAAATATGCAAGTCTGAAGTTCAGGGACGGATTCCAATCGTCCTTGTCGTTACAGGTTTGGAAAACATGAAAACAGAAATGGAAGAATGGTGGAAGAATAATGAGCGGTTCATCTCAGAGCATAGCATGACTTTTGCTGGCCACGCATGTATCACCACGTTGACTGATGATGCAACGCTCAGGGGGCGCATCGACCAGTCGTACCACGCCGTCTGCAAACTTATTGAGGAGTGTCGTACAAGGTGCGGATCTTCTGACGCTTTTTGTGCTGTACGTTTTGCTAATATTCACATTTACATTGTCAAGTAGGAACGGGCATCAAAGGGACGGACCTAAAAGGATCGTACTCTTTGGGGAGGCAGGGGCAGGCAAAAGTTCGGTCGTTAACCTCATGGCAGGGAAAGAAGTAGCAGCCACATCTAATGACACGCAACGCTGTACGCTGCATTGGCAAGACCATGCCATCGACTTTGGTGGCGAGTCTTATACGGTGTTCGATACCATTGGACTCGAGAAGCCGCAATTGGGAATCAATGGGTACCTCGAATCTGTCGAGAACGTCTATAGGCTCATCAAGAAATTAGACCAACAAGGCGGCATTGATCTGCTTCTGTTTTGCATTCGTGCTGGCAGATTCAGTCCCGCAATCCAGAGCAATTACCGGCTCTTTCACGAATTCCTCTGCGAGAAGAGGTTCCTATCGTCCTTGTGTTTACGCACCTTGAAAGGGAGCTGAAGATGGAGGATTGGTGGGAGAGACATCAAAGTACCTTCGAAAAAACATATGGGATCCAGGTCGCTGATCACGCATGCATCACTGCCGCTAACAGATTGGATGGCCGACACAAAGTCCTTTATGAAGAATCACGCGTCACGGTCCGCACCCTTGTAGAGAAGTTTACTGCTGAGAAGTCATCATGGATAGGAGGAAATGGCCGGTTCGTGTCATTCATGCGTAAGCTGAAGGAGCTACTTCCAGAGCCTCTGGATCTGAAGAAGAAGGATATTGTCTCTCGCCTCATACAGCGATGCAGTTTGTCTCCAGACGTCGCAAGACAGTTAGCTGAGATGATTAAGCAAGGCTAGTAGAAGTAGTTATTCTCTTTGCGATACCCATACTCAGATTTGCTTGTAGATTTTGTGCTCGTTGATAGGTTACACTAGGACTTCCCATTTACTGATGCCACTTGCGAACCTATTTGCATTTCAGTATGACGGCTTGAGTTATGCTCCGTGTACACTGAGACTGTATGTGAGGTTCAATTCGCCGCGGGAAAGGTCAACTGAGATAGGGCGTCCCTCCCCACAATGACTAATTGAGATTTAGAAATAATCATTCCTTCATATGGTCGGGTGTGTCGAGTTTCAAGCACTCAAAAACACTATGAATCACCCATCGCGTCTGTATTGAAGAATGTGTGCAGTGAGCTGTCCAACCAACTATTAAAAGTCTACGTGATCTACTTCACCTATAACATCTGAGAGAACGAATTGGGCCGTGTGCGTATGTGGGCTAGAGAACAAAGAAAGGATACGAAAGCGCAGATCGACAAAGCACAATAGATGCGTGCGATAAACATAAACAGGGGGCTATGAATATGGTAGGCCTCCCCCGCCAGTCCCGTTTCCCCCTCCGGTCCGCCGTGGCGCACGACCACCAAATGATGGTGGACCAGAGCCCATAGGAGCCACAGGTCGTGGCGGTAGATGAGCAGGATGGTCCATGGTACGAGGAGCTTGACGTGGCGGGTGCATCCCACGGGAAGGATATCCAGCGCCGTGGGCTGGTGGACGTCCGAAAGGGGGGTGCTGACCGCCGGGATGTTGGCTACTAGGATGCCCAGGATGCTGACCACTGGGATGCTGACCACCGCCTTGATGCTGCAACAAAGCAGACACGATGACAGGTGGAGGGGGAGGACCTGGTCTGAACGCATCACGATGCGGAGGTCCACGAGGATAGAACCCGGGGGGCTGGTTCGGCAAGGGGTGGGGCCTAAAGTAGCCATCAGGAGGCATAATACCCGGAGGCGGCTGGTTGCGTCGCCCGCGCTTATCAAATTCGTGAGAAGCTTCGTATGACGGCAGACTGGGTGGATAAAGGGTGAAATGGAACAAGCACGAACAAATCAGCAGTACTCACGTTTTGGGGTCAGCAGGAAGTGGGTCTGTCCAAAAATAATCGTGGTCAAGGGCTTGTGAGGCAGTGATACGATTCCTTGGGTTACATGTGAGGAGCTTATCCAAGAGGTCGCAGGTCTCAGGGCCGATGCTTGCAAAACAGTTAAGCGTAAACTAAAAGCGTTGCGAAAATGAGAGCTTACCTTTCATACGCAGCTCTCAGCTTCTTGGAATACGTCTGATTGAACCGCTTTACGCCTTCGCATCCTGGTAGTGCATCGTAATTTGGCCAGGTGTGCTGATTCGGAGTACCGCACAGCTGCCAAATCTTCTCCAGTTGGTCAATGTCCGACGATCCAGGAAGAATCGGCCTGCGCATAAACATCTCTCCCAGAACGCATCTGCGAAGGATAAATTCAAAAACAGCCCCAAAGATGTCGACAAACACGAACCCTATGCCCCAGATGTCTACTTCTCCACCATACTGACGGGCGCCGAGCAGTAGTTCTGGAGGACGGTACCACCTCGTCACGACACAGTTGGTGTACTTCTTTTCTCTCCCACGCTGATCCATGACTCCATGGATAACGCTCGGATCATACGCACGCGCTAGACCGAAATCTGCTATCCGGAGCGAGCCGTTGTTATCGATGAGAAGATTGGCAGCTTTCATATCTCGGTGTAGGATGTGATTCTGTGAACGGTCATAAGACAAAACCGAGGGTGAGAAAATGAGGACGAACACGATGCATGTATTCCGTTCCTTCCAAAAGTTGTTTCATGTACAATTTGATATGGCTGGGTTGGAGCTTTACACGCTCGTTCTCCAATAGGCCAGCAAGGTCGTGGTCCATGTATGGAAATACCATGTAAACAGAGAGGGGCGAGTTCTTGCCATTACCTGGTGCGCATTGTCGGTGATCATGTATGACATACAACACACGAGCACTCACTACGGACGACGAACATATCCAAGATTTCGATGATGCATGGGTGGTTCATTGCCTTGAGAATTTTGATCTCACGCAAGGCAGTTACAGGCATGCCCTCTTTCTCATTATGCATAAGAATACGTTTGAGAGCGACCAGACGCCCGGTGAGATGATGCACTGCTTTGTGGACCTCTCTGGGCAAGGTGAGCAGTGTGTTCAGTAGTAGTGCAACAGGCGTAATACATACCCAAAAGTACCTTCGCCGAGTTTCGCAGTGGCGTCGTAGTCGATTTGTTGGCCACAACCTAAAAAGATGTGACCGTATGCCTCTTGCTCTTGCTTTCTCGTACGCTGCACAGGGACACGTTTCCGCTTATGCTCCGCAAGTGGTAATCTTTGCGTCGCATCAATTGCGGTGTCCTTCTTCTCCTTCACGGGTTCTTCGTGAGCCGACGGAAGCGGAAGTGGCGACGGAGAGTGAGTGTCTCTAGGCGCTGGAGGCCGTTTCAAGGGAATTGCAATCGAGATAGCTGCATGAGGAGGTAGGGTATCATCTTTGGGTCGTTCAGGGGTAGGGACGGGAGGTGGAGAAGAAGGTGGTGGTGGTGGTGTGTGACGGACGTGTATGTGATTTGCAGCCGAAGGTGATGGAGGAGAAGGGTGACGAGATACACCCGGGGAAACAGGGCGATACTGATCGTCACGGTCGTCATCGTGAGCACGAGGTGCCACAGAACGATGACTCTCCGTACGATAGGTATCGCGATCGGCATCACGCCCTGCTTCAATGTGATTTGGGTGGTCCCTATCATAAGAGTCCCATGAACATTCGCGTTCGCGACGCGGCGAGTGGCGCACAGGACGACGGTAGCGGTCGTCCATCCGTGAGTAGTTGTCATTGTCCGATGGTACCCCCCAGCGATTATGGTCATTATGACGGGCGCGTTCCCAGCCCCCATCACGCATCCTTTGGTCATGTAGTCTGTCCACACCATAGTCACGACGAGGCGGACTATAATTAACCACTGGAGAGCGACGTGAGGGCAATCTATGCTTTCCTCGGTGTGAAGAAGAAGAAGAGGACCGGGAACGGGAGCGGTCAGGTGAATGAGATGACAACGAAGAAATATCACGTTCCCTTCCGTAGCCACGACCGTCATATCTATCTCGTGCTGGAATATAGGTGTCATGAACAGGCCTATAAGGGTCCCGTGGAAGATCCCAGGCAGGGGGACGACGGTCGCCTTCTCTACTATAGGAAGGCGGCCAATGATTAGGTATTTGAGCACCGCCCCTCTTGCGAGATTGGTCATAGTGAGGCCTGGGCCTGCCATTGCGCTGGTCATCCTCCCGAATGCGCCTCTCGTCGTCTTCGGATCTCTCATAAACTGAAGGATGCCTTCTGTCCATCATAGGACTAATTCTCTGAGTAGAGGGACCAGGCGCATCTGGACCATTTGTTTTCTTCTTGAAAGGAAACTTGACCTTGGTCTCGAACTTGGAAGGAGCTGGTTTGGGTGGTAGGGGAATTACTGTTGGGCGCGGAGAAGGTGGCAAAGAGTCATCGACCTCGCCTTCTTCTGGCGACGATGTGGTAAATCTCTTTGCTGGACGTTCATTGTGAGGTTCATCTGGGGCTGCCCGTTTGTTTGAAGTCTGAAGCATTACACGGTGATGAAGAATGAAGTGTGACTACAGGAATTAAAAGCAACTCTCGGAGAAAAAGGTCGGCTGACGTAATATTAATACATTTCCATAGTCTTTGTAAGTCAAGTCCTTTACATGAACATGGCGCTATCTAATGATGACCAGATCAAGGAGATTGTCGTTATTGGTGCAGGCGTCGTCGGCCTCACCACAGCATTAAAAATTCAGGAGCAGGGCGCCTATCGTGTCACTATCGTTGCCGAGACCCTCCCCACAGATCCCAAATCAAGCAGGTACACCAGTCACTGGGCGGTGAGCAGTTATCTTACCTGGTAGACATGTTCAAGTTTGCAGCTGATGATCCATAGGGTGCGCACCATGTCAGCCATGCTTATGATGATCAAAGACAGCGAAGTATGCTGCTTTTTGACTGCATGAACAAATATGTCACACCCTAGTCATGCAGAGCTTGATCAAGATACCTTCCATGCGTTATGGCAACTATCAGAACCAGGTGGTGCAGCCGAGGGTTGTTTCTTGCGGCACACCCAAACTGAATATCACGGAGATGATCTCACCGATGCTGAATGGCTTCATTATATGCCAGATGTATGAGCACAGACTCGCATTCATGGCCACCATTCTAACTCGTATCAGTTCAAATATCTAGATGCGACTGAACTTCGTGGTCCAGCAAAGATGGGCTTCTCATTCAGCACAGTCACCATGAATACCCCAGTCTACCTTAACTGGCTCATGTCCTCTTTCCTTGCGAAAAACGGGACTATTCTGCGCGTGTCCCTGCAGCACATCAGTCAACTTCTTGAGCGAGGAACCAGTCTGTACACAGGTGCCCATTCGTACCGTGACATCGACGCTATTGTTGTCTGCGCTGGTATTGGCGCCCGCAGCTTAGGAGGCGTTGAAGATAAGGACGTATATCCAATTCGCGGGCAAACCGTGCTACTCAGAGCTCCTTGGATCAAGTTCGGGAGGACTATGACTGAGGCTGACGGGACGTACACTTATACGATGCCAAGAAGCAATGGCGATGTGCGCTTTCTGAGAACCATACAAGATATGTTCTCTGATTGTTTTATATAGGTGCTGTGCGGCGGCACGAGAGTACCGAATGACTGGTAGTTCTCTCAAATTATCTTTTCATTGAATTCTCAGCTATTGCAGGTACCCAATTCCGCGTCCTGAAATAACCGAGGACATTCTTGTGCGGGCCCTGCAGCTCACCCCAGAGCTTGCACCCCCACAGACACGTGTCGACCGTGAGCCCACCGTCGAGGATCTCCGTCCAATCGTTATTGAGCCAGGTTGTGGTCTGCGCCCTGGGAGAAAGGGTGGCATCAGACTCGAAGTCGAGTGGGTTGATGCGCCTGCGCGAGGTAAAGTGCCTGTGGTGTATAACTACGGGTGAGTAGCGTTACACTAGTCCATGTTGCCCTAATTACGTGCGCATGTCTAGACACTCCGGTTATGGCTTCTTATCGTCATGGGGCTCAGCGAGTATGGCCTTGGACTTGCTGGAGGGTGCTCTCGCGACGGGCGCTCCAACAAATGCAGACATATGCGTCGACCATCCATCTGGGAATCCAGGAAATTGAGGTACTGTGAAAGGCCGCCTATTGCACTAGCAACGTGTGGAAAGGCGAATGTATAGATGTAGGAATAAGTGTATGATGACACAAGCAACCAATATCTGAAGTATACATATGTACATTCTTGATCAAATGCGTTTCATATGTCTGAATCTGAAATAAATTTTTCATGGACGACTTAAAACCTTGGGCCAGACCAAAATCTTCTGTCGTGCGTGGATCAGAAACTGGTGATGATCAATTCAATAATATGCCTTGCCATCATCGTCACTCTCTGCCACCGTAGAATCCTTGAAAACTCTGCGCTCTTACCCTTGTGTGCTCAGGAGAGTGGACGTAAGCAAAGATAGCGAACTCTACCTTAACCTCTTCATGTACCAACATAGCCTTCGTAAGAAATACCAGAAGGTTAGAGAACGCAGCTAGTCCAGGGAGAATTGTTGTAATGTATAATGAAAGACAAACTAAAATCTTTGAAGTTCTTCAGGAAAGATTTTCCCCTTCTGCTTCAAGTCAATTCAAGCATTGAATAGGGACCGGTCGATGTGGGCCTTTCCCTTGACGTGGTGGTGCTACGACGATTGTCACTGGTATCGGTCCAGACCGACTGTGACTCGGCTCCACGTAGATGCCAGGAGGATGCGGTGACGATAAATTCTGTCATCTGGAGGGCATCGATGGTTTTATCAGTCCGGTTTTCTGAAAGTGAGTTGATAGCGTACTAGTACTTCCGAAAAACACCAGGGCATTAGAGGATATTGTGTTGTGTCTCGGACAGTAATTCGAGGAAAGCTTCGTGGCCAGGAGTGGGTGGGAGTATCAGGACGATAGTGGACAGTGAATGTTTGGATGGTGGGTATTGTGTCATGGTGGTTGGTGCCGGTGGAAGATGTCTGTACAGTGTGATGATAGCAATAACTTGAGCCTAGAGCAGTTAAGCTAACATGCATCGGACAAATGCTATTCTATTTGTCCAGTTGTCAAGCTGATAATGATCAGTCGCATCAGGGAGTGGTGGGCTAGGGCATAAACACGTAGAGCTGGATGCTAATACAGAAAATGAGACAACTGCGGTGAGGTGGGTAGATGCAAGATGTGAGATGCAAGAAGCTCTACACTATCTCGCTGATTTCCGCGTAGAATAGCCTCTGTGCTAGCCTCAAACCTCTGCTAGCCCGGAAAATCAACTTTCACGAGTATGCAGGCCATCCAACGCAGAATTGCAGAACTGACTCGAGAGCGCGTATTAAACAGACGTAATCATCGTTGTAACGGCGGCGGCGCCAGCCTCCGACCGAACATCATAGGGAGCTTCCGGATCCGGGGGCCTGTTTCCGTACTAATTACGTCAATAGCTCCTTGTGGCACTACATCTGCTTGTATTAAGCCGCACTCACATCCGCGCAACTGGACAAGTGTAAGGCCCACGCGGAACGGTTGCAGAGCACAGGGCTGTGGACGAGTTATTTCCCCTGCAAATTATTACCCCTGCCCACCGATTCCCGATTTCGTATCAGTTTTGCACATACTATGTGATCCGCGCGAGTCCTTTGAGCAGCTCGGGAAACTTCGTATTCAAGTAGGAAATGTCAGACCTGACCCGCTGGCGCCCGATCTCATCACATTCCACCCATGGTAGAAAGCCAGAGTACGAACTTGTCACCTATAGAGGTCCGGAGTGTGGAATTTCATACTGATACCCAGATGCACTCACCCACTGGTTCTGCATTGTCAAATGAGCCCATTAAGCTTGACATAGAGCATACAGTGGTTGAAGATGATCCTCGAATATGGTCGAACACGAAAAAAGTGAGTTTTTCTATCTTAATATGTAAGTAGGAATTTATTAAACACAATCACAGACCGCTATATTGTTCATTATATCTGGAGCCTCGATGTTTTCGGGTTTGGCAGGGAACATACAAAACTGTAGGTTGCGTCCGTGAACATATTGTATCCGATATCTGTTGAACAGCCAGGGAACAGCTGCCAATGCTCAAATCGAGCAACAGCTACACGCCAGCAGCGGAGGAATCAGCCTGACTTTGTCTCTGTTCGTTCTCGTTCAAGGCAATCTTCCTTTCATTTGGAGTGCGATTAGCGAGATAAAAGGTCGCAAGGTTTGTACTTATAGCAACCTTCAGAGCAACGTTTTTCATATGACCGATCCCAGTTCGCGTACCTTCTGTCCATCACACTTTTTATATTGGGGTCTGCAATCGTGGCCGTGTCGAGAACTATTGGTTTGGTGATTGGCATGCGAATTGTGCAAGCTGTGGGGTAGGACAGTTCCTTAATCCCTCGTATTCGTGCTCACTTGAAGTAGGTCAAGCGCAGTTTTTGCTATCGGAGCTGCAACTCTGGCCGATATATACGAGCCGCATCAACGAGGTACAATGATGGGTGTCTACTATTCTGCACCTCTACTCGGTCCTTCATTAGGACCAATTTTTGGTGGTGCACTTACACAGGCCCTCAGCTGGCGGGCAGTTTTCTGGTTCTTGGTCGTCTGGGGAGGCATGATCTTTTTGGCGTTCATTTTCTTGTTCAAGGACACCTTCAGGAAGGAGAGGAGTGCGACTTACCAGAACGCATTGAATTCCAGACTCCAAAAGCAGCAGTCGTCGAAAGCAAAGGACGAGTCGCGAATTATTTCGAAGTCAGAAGTAAGTGGAGAAAATCAGACGACTTCGAAAGATATCGAAGCACAGCAGACGATTTTACCAGCACCAGCCATTAAAGACGTAAAATTGTCCATGGCTGATGTCAACCCTTTCCCTGCATACTTCTCGATTGTCAGCCGCAAGAACAACCTTTTTATCTTGATAGTATCAGGTGCGTGCCCTCATTTCTTGCTTAAAACTATTTTCATGCCCTCTTGCGTCAGGCTTAACCTTTGCGTTTAGCTTTAGTATTATGTATACATGCGCAAGAACATTGTCGATGTATTATAATTATGATGCATTGAAGACCGGCCTTGTTTTGCTTGCCTATGGTGTTGGTGAGTGAACTACAAGCAAATTTGGAACGCCTGCCTGATGCATCTACTTGTCCCAGGCTGTGTAGTCGGCAGTATGTTAGGTGGTCGTTGGTCCGATCTGACACTTGCTCAGCTAAAGGCCGCAAACGGAGGGGTCAGCTTTCCAGAGGTGAGCCTTGAACCACTAACTCTAGCTCAGCATGTGGCTGACGCACATTCATGCAGATGCGTCTCGAGAGCACAAAAATCGCGATGTTGTGGTCACCTTTATCTGTGATTGGATACGCCTGGGTGTGCCAAGAGCGAGCCAATATCGCTGCCGTGTGTGTGATGCTGTTCCTCACAGGATTTCTACCCATGTACGTTCACTCTGTTTTATATTGTATTTTGCTCTCATCCACGATAGATGGATCTACACAAGCGCGCTGGCATACCTTGTCGACGCAAACACGTGGTCACTCATCAATGGCAGTAGCGACGAATAGTTCCTTTCGTGGTCTGTTTGCTTTTATCGCTGCCGAGGTTGCGGTTCCTTTACAAGTGAGTCAAGGTCATAACAGCTCGCAGAAGGCCCGATCTGAGGTTAGGGTAGGACACAATCGGCGACGGTGGTCTGTATACTCTCTGGGCAGGTCTGATGGTGGTCGTTGAGTGCATGATTCTGCTGGTGTTGTACAAAGGCAGGAGCTGGAGAGAAGCCAGTGTTGAGCGGGAGAAGCAGAAACTGGATGGTAAGTAAGGAGTAAACGATCATCTATGAGGTCCGACTGACGCTGATTCGATATTGAGAGGCAGTAAGTGACGTGGCCATGGAAAGGCTAGAACGTGACCGTAAATATCAGTAGGGCCCAGTATTCTGATATAAAGAATCAATTAAAGGTGTATTTGGCGCCGATCATCGATGTGCATTAATTAATCTACAGTAACTGGAGATACCGTTTTATGGCCGGGGTTGCGATGGAGCGTCGTTCGGAAGGTCGTCATCCCTCCCTTAGATATGCTAGATACCTTGCACGCCTGGCTTGGTCCGAGGATGGGTTCGTCACCGTGCAGACTGCGAATCTGTTATCGGTTGTCCGAGTCCAACATCGGTGCCTTGTCATCCGTGAAGGTCGCGCCTTCTTGCCCATTGTACTACAGCCTTCAAGCTTCCGTTTGAATGTAAAAGGAAAAAAGATTGTTGAACAGGTTAGAGCGAGGCGGGTTCTTGTGCATTCAACATTCAGGACTTGCAGGCCCTACTTGAATACCTTTATGGACTTTGATTCCACTATGGTCACTTAGCGTATTCTACTTTTACAGCAAACTGGGCTGAGCATGTCTTCTTCTCCCTCCGAATCCTGTGCATCTTCCTCTGTCGTGCATGGGTCAGAGACTGTGATCATGACCAATTACTATGCCTTACCGTCGTCGTCATCATCGCTCTCCGCCGCTGTAGAATCCTCGAACACTTCGCACCGCTTCGGAAACTCGCCTGCGGGCGGGGTCTGGGGAAAAGAAGGGAATTCCTCCCACTTTCCTGCTGCAAGATCGGCAAGCACCGTGACATTCTCCTCTGTAACTATTTATCAGACCTGACTCACAACAATGCAAACTGCTTACGCGTGATATAGCGCCTAGACTGGTCTTGAGCAAGGAGCACCAGATGGCTCATGCGCTGATAGTTATAGAGGCAACCTATACCGGCTTCGAATACGGCCCAAATTTCTCCTTGATCACCAGTGAGGGCGACTTCTGCAGCCATACCCTTGATGTATTTGGAAGTTGGGCCGTCTGCAAAGATGGCAGTCACCACCTTGGCTTCTTCATGCAACAGCGAAGTTTTCATAAGAAATGTCAGAAGGCTAATTGAAAGCAAAGTTGCAGTTAGTTCTAAGAGGGATGTTATGATGACGGATATACTGGAGTCTGGGAAGGTTGTCGGTGGTCATTGTCCCTCCAGCATGCTCGTTCTTCAATGCGATCCAAGCAATGAACAGCGAACGGTCGATGTAGGCCTTCCCCTTGACATCTCATTTTGCGGTGGTGCCAAGACAAGCGTCAATGGTATCCGGCCAACCCAACTCCACATAAAGTGAAACCACGTGGATGTCGGGAGGATACTGTGTAAGGTAATGACGAATTTCTGTCACCCGAGCCTCTATAGCTTCATCAGTCGGGTTGTCTGGAAGTGAGTTGATAGCGTAGTTCCGGAGAATGCGAGAGCATGCGAGGATGTTGTTATGCGTCTCTGAAAGAAATTCCAGAAAGACTTCCTGATCGGTAATGGGCGTAGCATAATGATGGTCAACAGTGAATGGTGGCGGGGAAGACGGGTTCGAGATCATGATGATGGTGATCGGGTGTCTAACTTTCTCAGCATTGATAAAAGACATGATGATGTCATTTCGCCCCTATCTTTGGCATCGCTGGTGCCGGTGCTGCGACGCTGAACGTTATGTAAACTAGCACCACACGACAAGCCTTTCTCCTCTAGGCGGGTTCCTTCATCACGGATCCGCTACACAATGTTCTCGCTCGCCCGCATACTCTTTTTCGTCTCAACATTTGGTTCACTTACAGCCATGTCCAAATTGATAAGCCTAGTTGGTGACTTCCAGTAAGCTGTGTTGAAACTTAAAAGTATCAGATAGACACATACCTTGATGCAAAAACGACTCTAATGAAGTATCAAGTCAGAGACACTGTCTGCCCTACGAATTCCTTCGACTGTGAAGCATCAAACTAGAGACGACTGGGCTCCTTCTACTATTCTCACTGCCACATGCCAAATTATTGTCAGATTGATCTCAGCTCGATATCCACATTGGCCCACCAGTGCTTCTCCGAGTCCCTCACTGATGAATTCTCCCTCGTTGGCGCTACCCTTATGAATATTGCCATATTCAGTCAACACGTGTTATGAACAGAGCAGAAACCCACTAAGACATCAACCGAGACATTGTGGGCAACGAGGGCTGAAAAAGAGCCGCCGCGATATCACATCTTCTGTAATCAGTTCTGCATAGCCCTACAAAAAGCAGCCACGTCAGCATTCACTGACGTGCGTTGGTGGCTGTTGGAATCGAGTGAGGGAAGTAGATGGTGTCCTGGATGGTGCTGGTGGCGTTGTTGGTACTTGGTATGGCAAGGGTGATGACGGTGTTGGGACGAATGACTGGGAGGGTGCCAAAACGTACGCTGGGAACATGTTTGTTGTTGTTGTTGTTCAACGTTGCTATTGGGTTCGTCATCCTTCGCGTTGGTGTGGTGCGTTCTTCGTCCTTCTCAAAGTTCTTCTTTCTCTTCTCAATGTATGATTAGACCTTGGAGCATAAAATATCTAGTTCTCTGACATGTGCAAGTGATTCTTCAAGGTTTCTCATGACGCATAAGGTGTTTGAGTTGGGATGTACTGGCTACTCCCCTTTCTAGCATACGCTTCCAGAGTCCATACTTCCCCCGCAGCTTCTCTTCGAATTCTTGGTTTCTCCAGGACCTCTCAGAGCTTCGAAACGAACGACAGAAGCCCGAATGGAATACATCCGTTCCACTCAGAGGACAAGGAATTCGAAAGGTACGCCTCTCGATTGTCGTGCTTTGAAATTGGTTTTACCTGGTCACCTAGTCTGCCTCCCATCATCTGATTTTTCTGTATTCGAACGCCCAACCACGCAGTACAGATTCATTTGGATTAGACACAGCTGGACAGTTGATACTGTTCGACGCACATATGCAGGCCACACTCGATTTACTAAATACCCAACAGGCAAGACTGTCTCTGACATGACCAATGGGATGGAGAACTTCCACTTCGTTCTGGACTGGTGTCCAGTTGGCCATCGTGACCGTGTCGTCGCCCTCATCAACTTAGCGTGGGCCCGTTTTCAATATCACATTTACAAGGATGCTCACGATTTTACTCTATTACATGTCTGCACTGCAATGCCCTTGCATTGCATTGGAACTTCGCAGGGTTACCCCGATCCCCGAGTATCCCGCATCCCTCTATCATCTTGCCGAAGCGCTGACTTGGCATCACAATAAGAATGCACCGCCGCTGACACCGTGCATTTACGAATGTGGAACGAACTTCACAGACAAACACCGCACTGCCAGCGTGTAAGCATATTTGGCAAAAATTGCTCAGTGGTTTGTAAGTACACGTTCATGCCGGCGACGAGCGAGTAGGTATGTGCGACTCCTTTGACTTCAAGACTTCGAGCAAATTTTGACCAGCGTTGCCCCTGCCGTGAACAAGTTGTATTTTCATATCGTTTTTTTGATGTGGGAGTCCGCTCACCCAGTTCGGTCCAACCTATTTCTCAGCGAGTTAGCTGCCCCTGTGATGGTATCAACCTACCTACTGTACGAATGTAAGTCCTAGAAATACCATAATGATGTCAGTGGTCTTTAGATACTTGGTCTTACTCACCTCAATCGTACATTATCCCGACAAAGGCGGCAACTGCGAAATGGCAGCGAAGGTCAGTCACTGTCATCATGCGGCTGACTCTCCACGAACCTACCCAAACTGGTGGAACCACCTCTGTTTGAACCTAGTAGCTACAAACCTATCTGGTTACTTTTTAAAATTTGATTGTTTGATGGTCCTTTACCTTTTTTCGACATGAGGTTTAGGACGTGCTTGTAGATAATTTGCTATAGCAAGTGTTGGCGCAGGTCCCGTTTAGGACACGTTTGGCGACGCTTGGCGGTGCTCGGTTCCTAGGTGAACTCGAACTTTTAGAATTGGGCAGCCCTCAAAGACTTAAAATACTCATCACGTCAATATTTGGTGTATTTGAATCACCCTAGGACCTATATCATAGATACTGTGCTCTGATCACGCACGCACTGCTGCAACCATCGTAATTCATGCATCATGGTATCATGATCAAGGCACCCTGAGCGCTCTACATCACCGCGCACTCACAGTCCTTGATACTTACCGTTAACGGCCACAGCCGTGTTACAACAGCAACACTGTCACGGTTGTAAGTGCACACCATAGTACTTATTGACAACCGCTTGCTGCAGACTTCCATTTACCTGTTGTGCCACTCAAAAATGTCAGTCTCAGACACCTTCGGTTTGCAGTTAGCCAAGGTAATCCAATTGTGCTTTTTGTCCAGCCTTTCTCTAATGTCTCTAATTATTGAAGTACACTAACGGTGAGGTCGAGCTGGTGATAATCTTATCGTTATTCACGACTCTCCAAAGTCGCTGCATCAGCAATCCTAGTAAGTCGTGTCTCTTCAATCTCATTATAGCTCTGATGTATGACCAGATCTATGACTACTTTGTCACCTTACACTCTGAAGTCAGACAAATCAGCCACCCATACCTCGGTGCTGATATTCCTTGTAGGTCCAGTGGGCCTGGGGACGGAAGTGGGGGATCATTCGGATTGCCTTCACGATTTCACGATATGTACCTTTTGCTGGTGCACTTATGACCTCGTACTGTAAGATACGCCAGTACGCGCTACCCCGCAAAAGCTGATTCCTAGCCAGCCGCTGTCAAGACATGGGGCACGCAAGATGTGAGCACACCTTTGACCTGTACAGCACCATTTTCAACTCACATCAATATATAGTGCGCACCTTTTAACGATGCTGTAAATGGTTGGTCTACATAGCTCATGACCTGACTCCCCAATAACACTTTGCAGGCTTACATTTCTTGGGCATCATTGCCTCGGAAGGTTGGCTTTCGCATACCACGTTACAGCATGCATTTACACTCGCACGACAGGTTTATTGATTTCCAGGGTCTACGCCTTCTCTGGCAAAAAAAAAGCTTATCTTATCATTCTTCTTTCCTTTGGTTTGGTACAATGATATCTCTATTTCCCTGTGCACCACTAACCCATATGGCGCAGGTGATCCTGGTGACGTGTGTGATTCTAAGTGCCGCTCTCATCAATTGGAACATCCCAGAACCAGGTGAGGTCTCAAGGCTCACTTTTATTCTTAGTATTCATCTCCTTTCAGTCACCCCACCTTGTGTGTTGGAGGGGGCTCGTAGTAGTGCCTTCCCATATGTACTCTTGATGTTCTTCGAAATAGGTGAGGCAGCTATTCATCCCAAATTCCTTACTTGACAGTTCACTTCTAGTTCTCATGTCCACTACTGCGATTCTGAGATATCGACACTATCTGGGTTCTCATAGTGTGTTGGTGAAAAATATTTATCGTGATGGACTACTCTACATGTTCGGCATCACGAGTATGAACGCCGGTGTCACTATCAATGATTTCGTGCTGACACCTCTGTAGTGATATCTACAGCCAATGTGATCGTTATCCTTGTGTTACCTGTGAGTTCTTTATTTATTTCGTGAACCTCAAAGAACTGAGTGGATCCCCTAGCTCTCGTACAGCGAGATGTTAAACACGTTTGTCTGGTCAAGCATATAGGTAGTCGAAAGCTCACATTCCTCATTTAGACCTCAGATTGTTGCGCACAGTGTTCTTGCTTCTCGAATACTATTCAATCTTCAAGTAAGCAGGGAGCAACCGCTCTTGCTCACCCACCGATCGACTAATGCAATGGACTTGCTATCCCGTCCACATGAATTCCAAGCGCGGCCTAGAGATAGTGAGACAGCTTGTGAGTCAGATGAAGCTTAGACCTGCTGACAGTTCTGTGAGTCGCACATATAACGCTTGTTATTTGAGCTTGCTGACAATACTCGCTTCTTTCAGCTTGCATTTTCCGCGTCCTTCGTATTTTAGTGATGAGCTACTCTACCCAGGCGTATGCGTTCTTTGTGCTAACAAACACATCGATGCACAAGTCTTTTGACAATACAAATATCCTGATTTATTGATATTTATGGCGTTTACGACGTCAGATGCAGTTTGCGACTTGATCTTTTTTTAAATTCACTTCACATTTCGTCCAGCCTTGCGAGAATTGACCCACGCCTTGGACCAACATGTTAACACTCAAATAAGCCACTTACAGTAATATAGCGTCATTTGCGTTTGTCTCGCACAACACTCCACTGCGACACTTTTTCATCAAACTTTTTGGTGGTTTACATAGGTTTCATACGGGACCATGTGTTGGCAGCATTAATAGGTACAAATGAGTGTAGATTCTTGTGCGATGTTATGTTTTGTTCTTAAATTTTCACAATTATAGGTCCCAATGTGTGACATGTTGACATCTGACTCCGAAACTGATGCAATACATGTATATAGCCTCTATATACAATACAATTGTATTCCGCAGGTGATCAAACGAGCGAGTGCATTGCCAGAGCAATGCCGGTCGAGGATGTCTCGAGAGTCTCTAATCAACTGATAAGCGAGTGATAGACTTCGCGATCGTCGATCATTGCTAAGGTTGTGCTTCAATATGTAATCGCACACTTCGTGCGACTCGGACTTGTAAGTCTGTTGACTGGCACAATGAATAAGATTACCTTTCAATCAACTTCACTCACATCTCACCATGGCCAAGCATGCACAGTCCATCTCCAGGAAAAAAAAGCTCGCACGTGAGGAGCAAGAACGAGCCATTGCTCATGCCATGCAGGCTTACAGAATCGAGCTGGTAAAACCAGACGCGGAACGGAAACCACTGAAGACACTCTGTCGGGAGGTGGCTGAAGAATGGAGGGAGAATGGAAAACCTGACGTTGACGAGGAGGCAGCTGAGGAATCCGAGTCTGATGATGGCGAAGATGGCGAGGACAACTGTTAGGCATTGAGGGTCTGTCATCGATTAGTAATTTCGTAATGCGAACTGATCGCAGAAGTTCGTTTGCCATTTTCGAGTCGACGCAAATGACGGTGTGCAGGTGATAAGGGCTCAAATTTAGTGAACATTCATCGTGCAACAACGACTTATCTGATGTGCTTCAAAATTTGAAACTACGAAGTTTATGTATAATTAAGTTCATCGCCCAAGGCGATTTTCGAAATGTTGCGTTGTTGTGTTGCAGGTGAGTGCATGAAATTTGCAAACGCAAATGCCGCTGTATTACTGTATTGCAAAGAGTCTCCTACTTTCCCGACAGAGATTCGAGTTCGATGCAGATAAGATGCAGAGGCCAAACAGTTTCCTGCAGACTGCATACCAGTGCTCTTCCTGTCCTCGACTCACCATCCCCACCGGAGATGTTCCAAGGAGGACGGGCCTATTATCACACTAGCTTCATCTGGTATGTCTGTGCCCAATATTATACTCCTTAATGAAGGATCGTCTTTCGTATTGCGGTTGCGCTCGTCCATTTCCTCATTTCCACTTGTTCAATTTTCGCATGTTCTTCTACGCCTCACGCGTCGCATATCCTTACACTCATTGCACTCTTGTTGTTACTCTACACATGCTGTAATGTATGCAACGAACCACGTTCCTTCCCATTGACTCAGTTCTCACCATTTAAACCCGTGTGTTGTGTGCAACCGAAGCCAAACGACCCAGCAATATCCAAATACGGTCCCGCTGTTGCTGCAATCTTCTGTTTGTTCCATCCACTCTGGGAAGAACACACTTCTCTCCATTGGTTTCGCTCCACCGCATCTCTGATCACATCATTCGTTGCCCTATGATCGCTCCATGCTCTCAAAAACCTGTTACCCAGTCACCTTTCTAACATGTTGTTCGCTCAAACTATCCCGCAATGCCACGTATACATACGACAGACCATGGTTAACTGTTCACTTGATATCGTACTCCACGAAGTGTCCCTGGCATCTCCGCAACTGGAACAAGATCATTGTAATGAAGAGCTACAATGACCGAATTTATTAACTGCGAGGAACGGAAAAGGCAGGAGACTCACTCGTAGCAGTGCTACCAGCATCTCCCATGTCCCATGCGACTCAAATCAAGCTCTGGACCTCCACTAGGTAACACTAATGCAGTCCGAGGATTTTAAAATGGTTTTCGAGAAGCGGGTGGTATCCAGAAAAAGAGCCGACGGTTTGGTCTCATCATCCGTCCATCTTGTTCCGGAAGAGCGAACGTCCACCTGTGGTCATCATGGGCGGTGCCTGCGAGTAGCTCAGCAGTGTCGTGCAGTGCGTGAGTTGAGTTTGATGAGTTCTCGCAGCCCGAGATCTTCAGATATGATGACTTTAGATCACAGATATTGAAGGAAACTCCACGTTCCATCGTTCGAAGTGATGCGAAAGCAAGGTCGTGTTGTACTTTTAACACGTCAATAAAAAGGTCTCCGCTATGTGATTGGTCCGTCAGGAAATCACGGAACGATGTATGAAGGGGCCGGATGGGGGTAGATGAATTTGTCGTGCCGCTGAGGAGGGATCCCATATGTTCGACCATGACTTACACTTCATAATGCTCGACTTTGTCTGGAAAATAGCGCCACTTGGCGTTCAAGGACTCCAACTTGGGGAGGAGTTCAGATGTGCCAAGGATTTAACCCATCACGGAATGAAATCTCATTGGCTGTTTGTGCTGAGACGCGGAATGTGTAGATTTGTCCACTCGCATGATCTCTGTCAAAATGGACTAATACATATCATACAACAAGTTACCCTGCTCAGCGGGATTGCGGGACACCACAGTATCGAAGGGCTCGATTGGTGATAAGCCAGGAGGGGGTGCTTTGATGAGTTTACAAGCAAGACGTGCCCACTCGAAAAGGCAATCGGCTTTCTCAGTGAGCGCTGCGTGCTCTCTACCCCCAAAATCAGAAAGCCCTTCCAGCTCGTTCGATATGTAAGCGTGGATGTCACCTTCCACGGTGGCTCGTGGAATGTCGTCCATGGATATCTGTTCAATATGTCGAGTACCTGTAAGTTCTGCTTCTATATCGTGGAGCGGGCGAGAGGAAATGATGATCCGGAAGTTGTTCGGGAGGTTTGTGATGTGGGTGATAATTGGGTCTTGAATTTTACCCACAAGAATGGGTAGAAGGTCGCTACGTATCTCCGCTACTTTGCCACTTTCGACCGGTGCGTCGATGACGACCACGACAGGCCCCACGGGTGACTCAGAAAGCTTCCCTAGCGGTTCCATAATAATCTTCTGCCACTGCTGTACGACATCCGCTGTAGTCTTGAGCGCATTTGCATTGTGGACTGCATCAGCTGACGCTCGTCTCATCTCCGGACGACGGGCGGCCAGGTCGCGCACGATAGTGGAGAAAACTATTTTATGGCAATGGTCCATGTTTCAGTCGAAGCAGTGACAAGAACTAAGCCCACCCGCCCTGATGAACGAGCTAGCGATTGTGTGAACAGTGGCTGATTTACCCATCCCAGCAGAGCCAGATAGCCATAGCACGCGTGGAACATCATCTTTGCTATTGTTGATCCATCCCATGATCTTGGAGAGTGTCCGTGCGTGTCCTCGGTAGGTCTCGCTTCCTAGTATCTAGTCCTGCACCCTGTGCATAAGCCATACCGCTGAGGTCCAGTATTTCGCCTGAAGAAGTATTAATAGATCTTGAGTCAGGAGCACGTCCGAATTCTTACTTGTACGATGGACATAGATGGCTACGTCGCGAGCAACTTGGTCCCAGAAGAGTTTGCATGAGCGCATCAAACATATTATTATACTGTCGTATGGTATCGTCTGTTTCCGAAATGACATTCTCTTCCCTGTGATAAGACTGAAAAACTGCGAAGTGTAACGGCTTGTTGGAGACTGACTAAATTTTTTTTCTCCAAATAATCCCTGATGAAATGGACACATTCAAGAGTATGCAGAGAGATCTATCCAAAAATAGTGCTCATCGACGAGATCTGGTGAAGCGTGTCATCTTGTATTACGAAGTCGTACACTTGACCCAACTTCTTGAGAAGGCTGAGTATCGCTTCATCGTGATCCGCTTGAGCGAGAATAATCTGCACACAGAATAACTGAGCAGTAAATATAAATAAGAGCGAAATCAAACGTACTTTAGATGCACACCCAATGCCATCTTTGCATGCTGATGTACCTGTGGAACGGTATTAGTTCAGTTCTGATGAGGAAAAGAGGTCGTACCCCCGCGACCTTCCCGATGACAGTGTCGAATATCCTGAGGGGTTGAAGATATGTAGTCTCCATATTGTCCATATGATCGAGAGCTGCTGGTGCATTTTGACCTGCGGACGCTACTGATCTCGCAGGTTCAAAAAGTGGATTCATCTTATCCGTCATACCATCACGGGCATCCTGAGGTACCATGTCCACTGATTGGGGGTCGGCACCTTGTGTCATACCAACAGATTCCTGAACCTGTGCAGGGAGCAGGAGTTATGGTGCGCGTCACTTAGCCACCACTACCTTTGAACAGTGGCCAAATCGGTCTGAGAAAAATTTAAACCCTAACCCTACGTAGTTCTGCGCGTGCAACTCCAACGGATGCTTCGATATTAGTTTGAAACATGTAGCGCTACAGTAGACAACGACAATTTATCGGTGCAGATGTTGTTTTTACCAGTCTCTGATGCCCAAGAACCACAGAAAGGTAGCAGCCGCTCACGCTAGGGTCGCGCGATGGTCAGCTCCAACTGCCGAGCACAGTAACTCCACTCTTCAAGCCACCCCCACACAAACCTATTCCGAGTTGCAGGAACAAACATCGGAGCCGTCCAAACTCAGTGGCAGGGAGCTTAACCCAATAGAGCTGATATCGGACGGGTCTGAGCACAAAGGATGCCCAGTTTCAGGTTAAGCAATTCAGCTCTACAAAGTACAAGTCTCACAGACGTATTCCGGAGACATTGGCTCGCATTTTCGATTGATGGGGAGTCATAGTACTTTAGGTGGCCAAATCATCCCTTTTGTTTTTAAAAAACTCGCTCAGATTTGATTCAATCAAAAATTCCTCTTGTAGCTTTACTCTACTCATTGAAAGGATCATTTTTACAAGAGGAAATAAAAATCAGATTTTTTTTCAAGGGGGTGAGAACGTTGTTCAAAAGTAGTGGTGGCTAAGTGACGCGCACCATAGACAGAATGGGCAAAAACTGAAATTGTGACCCGCCTCAGTCGGTATTCGGAACCGGTCTCGGCCAAGCAAACCAGCCCTTCCCACACAAAACTCCAAATCCTCTATAGCTTATCGATTGAACCCACGAAGATTTGTTTATCCTCCTTAGAATTATCTTTCACCGCGATTCCAGACATTTACTATCACTACCCTCAGCAAATGACACTCCCTCCTGTATCTCCTACTCAAAGATTAAATTGGTCTCTTTCCCCTGACACATTTAATTTTCTTCTTCGCTTCATCTCCAAAGGCCGCCACTAGTACTGCGACTAGTGCTGAGGTGGCTCGGCTATGGCTGGTTCGGCTTCGGCTTTTATTGGTTATGCGGCAGTTTGGTTAGTAATAGACGGGCTCACATAATTTTTTGGTTCGGTTCACGTCAGCCAGCCATGTGAACCAACCTTAAGCCCATTATGTGTGAAAGGCAGCTTGAGCCGGCTTGAGCTGGATGAAACTTGCTTCAGCCAACTTGATCCCAATGTGCATGCGACCTCATCTGTCAGAATCTGTCATTTTCCTGTCTAACAATTCTAATATCTTACTGTACTATGAACAAGGTCCCTGCCTGAGTTGATGGCAGATTTAGGGTAGGAGACATGCTAGGATCTGGCTCATATGGTAAATAATACGTTGTTGTACATGGTTTTTTTTTGAAATTGGGTGCACAATGCACATACTAGGTGTTGTGTACCATGCACAAAACATCATCAATGATGATGATCTTGCCATCAAACTCAAGCCTCTTGTCAACAACTCATCTTCTTTGGAGCATGAATATTGCATTTTGAAGCAACTTGAAGGTGGAGCTGGGATCCCACATGTTGAGTGGTTTGGTAGAGAGGCAACATTTGACGCCCTTGTCCTCGACCTCCTCGGACCATCTTTACATGATCTCTTCCTTGTGCAAAATCGAAAATTCACCCTTCATACCATCCTGAATATTGGAGACCAATTGGTAAGTTGGTTTATGGTGGGTCCTGGCATTGGCAGATGCTAATTTATTTCCCAGCTCTTGTCTCTGGAGCATATCCATTCGCACAACTACATTCATGGCAATATCAAACCACAAAATACCCTTGTTGGTCGAGGTGATTTGCAGCAAACTGTTTTTATTGTTGATTTTGGTATTGCCAAGGAGTACTGGAATACTGCCGCCCAAGCCCACATGCCATTTCACCATGGTGTTACAGTAACGGTTGCCCCCTATCATTTTCTCTCGCATCTTCCTCTGTATTACGTCATGACCGCACCTAACCGTGCCATCACTAGATTATTCCTTTCTTTTACTTACCTGTGTATCACAGTGCGACCGCCTCGTGCCATCGTTAGCTGACGTCATTTCCTTATCTCTGACTCGTCTCGATGACGTATACGTACCATTGACGTCATTTCCTTATCTCTGACTCGTCTCGATGACGTATACGTACCGGCCCTAAAGCAGGCCTTACCTATATAAGCGGGGTCTTGTACTTAGTTAGACTTCACTTTAATCTACTAGGTTTTACCCAGAACATCCTTCGCTTAAGACCCCCAATCTTAAGCGTCTGCATCGATATTCAAGACAGAGACACTCTCTCTGACTTGTCTTAAAGAAGCCTTACATTTGTGAGGTTACGACCCGACTCTAGACGTCACTCTTATCGAGTGTCTATTGTCGCGCTTATCCTAGTCGACCTACGGTTTACCGTAACACATGGTGGACATCTTACCAGCACTCCTGCATTTGTGTCAATCAATAATCACCTGGGGGTTGTGCCTGGTCATCGTGATGATCTGGAGTCACTCATATACATGTTGATTTATTTCTTATGTGGTTCCCTTCCATGGTTCAGTACTGAACATGAGAACCTCCCCAGCTCTTCCATACTGGCATGCAAGGTAGACACTACCATTGAAGTTTTATGCCTTGGCATTCCTTCTGAGATCACAACTATGCTCATTTACTTGTGCAATCTCGCATTCTCAGAAGATCCTGATTATGAGTATCTTCAATCATTGCTCCACCAAGCTCGTGCCACAGTACCTGCACCAGTCATGTGCCCGCTGGATTTTGGTCAGCCTGATCCTCTCGTCACACATCCCCCTACATCCCCCAAAGATCACTCAGTGGGCCAGGAGGACACTCCATGTCGACTGAAGACAACACCTCTCTGCAGATCAACTTGTCATATGTGAGTACTTTGCATTGATTCTTTGCACACTTGCTAACTCAAGCCTTCAAGTCTGTGCCCACACAATGGTCGCCCCATGCCTGTAACTGCTGCCAAGACACCACATTGTAAAAAGATTTAGTTTTGCACTATACCATTCAATCTTTCACTCTTTTGGTACCCATGACTTGAGCAAATGTTGTATGTAGATCTGAGTTTGTGTATGTATGTCATTTATCATCATGTTGCATAGGGATTGGGGTGAGAACGACAAAAACGTGGCTCTACAGAGGCTGTATGCTATACTACAGCCTGCAGCCCACAGGTACTGAGTTTATTAAAAGTCACATGATCACTTTTTTTTGTTTGCCCTGATGATATAAGCTGTCATTTTTGTATCTCACCACAGGCAGTACAGAAAAGCTTTCCAAATTGCAGATGCACAAAGCGACCCCATGTCAATGTTGGGCTTTGTAACTTGTAAGCATGTCCCTTCAACTCTCATGATCACATGATGCTCAATGATTGGAAATCTCCATCTTCTATTGCATGCAGGCTGCAGCATGATGCAGGTATGGTCTTTCTCATATAGTGGGCTCCTAGTGGCTAATTCATACAATCAAAACTGCACAACATTTTAGGGTTGAAAAATCTCCTCAAGGTTCTAGCCACATATTATGTTGCTAACTGGTGGCTGCTGGCAGGAGATGCAATTATGTGTAGGCAGCCTTATTGTTCATGCCTGCAGGCTGCTGCATTACCATCAGGTGAGTCAGTGCTGTGTGCATTCACATGTTCTGGGGCTCACAGAACAACAATATATATAGAACAGTAAATCCCTCACTAGACTCCCAACACAACAATGCCACTTCATCAATGTCCTCAAAATGCACCCAAGGCTTCATCCCTTGCTGCCATAGTTTCCCCCATAAATGCACCCCAGACTTTATCTCCTGCTGCTGTAGCTCCCCCAGTAAACGCACCCCAGACTTCATCCCCTGCTGCTGTGGCTCCCCCCATTGCAACCTCCCTCGCTGCTGCTCCTCATGTTGCAGTGACTGCAACTCTCCAGAACCCTTGCAGAACTTGATGGCCTACTACAAGGCATCAAGAGAGTACAGCTCCTAGGGCTGGTTGTAGCAATGTGGCAGATGATGGTGAGTTCATCAATCTGGACATTGTTGTTGATGTCAATGAAGAGGAGGATGGAGGCCTACTAACCCTGGTAAAAGCAGCCTGCACAGGCCCCAGCCCACTTCAAATGCACACAGGTGCTGATACAACACAATCCAATCCCTTGGCAATGGGGCATTGAGTAAAACAGCTAGGATTGGAGGTGCACCATTTTTTCATGAAAGACATAACATTGGGGCAGCACATATGTACACCCTGTGTGTGAGTACTATCTCTAAGTCTTTTATGTTGCTCTTTCTCATGTCCTTTGCTAGGGACATACAGCAAGAAGATCCATCATACAATGTTGCTAAATATGGCTTGTCAACCACCACAGGCACTCTTCGCAGTCATCTGCTCAAATTTCACCTGCAGGCTTATATAACCACCCTTGAGCAACACAAACTGAAAGTTGGGGTGAAGGAAATTCGCGACCTTCTTGATATAGGGTGGACTCTCGCACTGATAGGCCAAGAGCTTGATCAGAACCCAGATAAGTCTCTCAAGTCATTTGGCTCCCCCCCAGCAGTGGTCTTGCTTCACAAACTAGGACAGGAAGGTCGGCACCAGCAGATGAGATACCAGACTTCACCATTGAGGAGATGCACAGGCAACTTGTCAAGTTCATTGTAGCCGACGACCAAGTGAGTACTTATTTATTCTCTACAATTGTTATTAATAATTGTCTCTAGGCAATGAATTTAATGGAGTGCCCTGAGTTCTGATGCTTACTTCGACTCCTATGGAAAGACCTATGGGAGTGCAACATTCCTCATCACACAAAACTATGCGAGTTAATAGTCAAAGCATGGTATCAATATTTCGACATTTTAAAACAAGATCTGGCTGTAAGTGTATCACTGTTTGATCTTGCCAATTATCATTTGTTCATTTGTTCTGTCAGAATGCAGAAGGAAAGATATCATGCACCACTGACCTCTGGTCAGACCCAAACCACTGTCCATTCATTGCATTGACGGCTCACTGGATCGTCCTACAAGCATCAAAGCTTGTTTTGAAGGCCAGCCTTATAGCCTTTAGCTATATTCCTGGTTCTCATGACAGGGTGTCACTTGCCACAGTCATATTAGGGCTTCTGGATCACGTGGTGGTGACAGACAAGGTCAGTCATTATGTGCACCATGTAACATTTTCTGATTTGGTATAGATTGGTCATTTTATTTTAGATAATGCAGGAAATAATTGGACTTGCATGGCCAAACTTTCTTGTCTGCTATTGGAGTGTGGTATTGAGTTTGATCCCGTTGATCGCCACATCCCATGTTTCCCACACATCATGGACAGCTACCATTCTGTGGATCTTGCAATAGTGCCTGCCGAGTGGCAAGCTTGCAGTACTTCCATCAAAAGGGAGGAGTATTTGCAAGCTCTGCAACTTCAACCTGTCAAGCAGGGTAAGAAAATTGTGCGTGTGATTTGTGCATTGGGGCAACGACACGAAGCCTTTCAGAATGCTATCTCGGTTGGCAACCAAGAAAATTTGTTCCCAGGAGGAAAGCTTCCAGTTGTCGAGCTTCTATGTGACAAGCCTACTTGATGGGATTCAACATATGTCATGCTCAACCATCTCCGAACACTTCACCCAGTAATATTTTGTCTCACATGTCATTCATTGCAAACTCACAGTGTCCCAGGCTATTGATTGCCACCTTGCAACTCAAACTAGCTTATTTGAATTCAGGTTGGGTCCAATGGAGTGGATGGTCTTGCAAGACCTTGAAGTGATTTTAGAGGTTTGCATTGATATCACTGAAGCCCATGATGTGCTCTAATCTATATCAGGTGCCCCATGCTTTCCAGCAATCAATGTCTAGTGAAAGTACCCTGATGCTGAGTGGTGCAGTCACTGCTTTAGAATGTTTGATGGAGTGGTGAGGAGGGATGGCCCAGATCATTACACACTGTGCACCTATGATTGCAGTAGGCTTAAGCTGGGCAGAGAAGTATGGTCACAAGATGAGCCAGACGAACATGTACACAATTGCAATGTGTGAGTTCAGTCTCAACTCTTGATACAATTTGATATCTCATGATGTTTTGTATAGTTGTTGACCCTAGCTTGCATTTATTGTGGATTGATGGTCACTGGAGTGAAGAGCGTGCTCATACTGCCAGGGACTCTATCATGCGGCTGGTATGTCTACCTTGACTCAAACAGTGTGTCTTCCTGCTAATGTATCCTACAGCTGTGGGAGAACAGAGCTCGCTCTACTCAATGTCCACCAGCAGAATTACCTGCTCACCAACCACACACTGCAACCTTGGGTGCACAAATTTATGGTATTCCCAATATCAACTTGCTGCCACATCACAACCTCAGTGTTCAAATGATCAAGGAGGAATTCAATGCATACAGTACATCCCATATCAGCCCTCAAGGAACTGACCCACTCACATTTTGGAATGTATGTTTTTTTATATTTAGTCACCTACTTCTAATCATTATTGATCACACATTGACCAGAGCTTGAGAACTCTTTCTCCCACTACCTACAGCCTTGCAATGGATTATCTGCCAATACAGGCCTCTGCCATTCCCTGCGAATGTATTTTGTCATCAAGCAGTGAGACATGTACAACAAAATGCAATCACCTCAGCCCTGCTATGATGGAGATTTTACAGATGCTCAAGTTTATGCTGAAGAAAGAGCAACTCAACTTCATGAAGGGCTAGGCAGCATTGGAACAGGAAATGGAGTATCATACTCAAATACAGTGCTCACTGGAGTCAGATGATGTGCACCAGGACGAATCTTTGTCATCTGCTAGAAGTACCACCAACAGCAGCCATGATTCCATGTATGATGACCTTCTCAAAGCCATCACAGGAGATGAGTGTGATGGTATTCCTGATGTTCCTGCTCTCTTTGGCTGACATTTTTTCAACCTCCTTCATTACTATCACAATTGTGTACCACTACATAGTTTCCACTTACCTTTATCATTTTGCCCTCTTGCTGCTGTGTTGTTGCTCCTCTATGTCTTTTGCTCCTATTTGTAACTCGAACTCTGCATCATGCTGCCTCCACATCTTCAAATCTGTTCTTGAGGTTGCGAAACTGTATGCACGAGGGCAGCTCATTGGATCCCTGGATGAGTGCTTACAAAATGTCTTCCAGAACATACTCTCCCTCACTCATATTAATTCAAGCTAGTTGAACAAAGGAGCAGCATATTTTATTTGAAGTGCAGAGCTGGCTTGAAGCTCTTAACCAGCCATAAACCACGGCTACTTTGGCTAGGCTGAGCTGTATATTACATAAGCCAAAGTCATGTGTCCAGCTCAGTTAAACACAGCTGTCGCCATGGCTGTAACCAATAATAAACTGGAGCCACAGTAACACTAACTGTGACTCAGATGTTTGGCTCTGTTAGGAATGGAAGCCTGTACCAAGTGGGGCAAGTAGGTACCATGCATATATAGTACTGGGGGTTTGCATTGTGAACTTCTGACCTTGCTCTGATGTGCAGGCAATTGGCTGTGGCTGATAGGCTTTGGAATTCTGTAATTGCTACAGTTTTGAGTTTCTAGATTTTAGATCTAGGTTACTGTTAAGGTTGTACTCAAGGGTTAATGGATCCTAAGGGCTTCGGCCTCAGCTTGTGCGCTGTGCCCCTTACTCAAGTATTGCCCCTTATTTCAGGAAGGCAAGACTAACACATCCGGAGGGTCAGATGGGTAGCATAGTGAATCCAGATGACTTCCTGATGAGGGATAAGTATCATAAGACTAATCCGGACAAGTCCAGACTAGAAACTAGCGGTAATGGCTGTTGTAGACAGAGGCGGATGTGGATAGACTATAGGAATCAATCCTAAGTCTCAGAGGGTGACAAGAGTAGCGGTACTCAGGTCTGGAGGACAGGAATGAGCAGAACTAAGTTGATATTCGAACTGAGGTACTACAGAGAGTTACAGGAGGTTATATACTATAGGTATCTAATGGAATGATCAATCAGCAGAGTCCGAGGCTATGTATGAAGCATATGGATGGTCTATTGGTAAGTAGAAACAGATCACAAATAATGAAACAGAAATGAAGCATAGGTAACAGATCAGGGAGCAGGATGGATATACAGATAACTGAAATGCCAGAGTTAGGGGATTACCGAAAAGAGACAAGCACTGGTTGTGGATTTGGATGAATTGTGGACCAGACTGGATGAGTGGACAGAATGGATGATGAGATGTTGGAGGGAGATAAGATGTGGATTGGATCTGAGATGAGATAAGGATTGGATCTGAGATCCAGATATGCAGATATGACAGTTACTTGTTTTTTTATGATGAATATTTTATCTCATGTGATTACACAGGATGTTCATCAGGTGACTGACAGATAATCATCCATCCAACATGACCTTGCTCTGCACACAAGGTGGTGTAGTTCTACTACTATAGTGCTGAAGCTGAAATGCAGTGTTTTGAATTATACATACATATGACTGATAAGACTTTGATGTAGGAGTTGAGATGGAATTCAAACACAGACAAGGCTATTGCAATTTACAGGCTTTTATTTACAAGGAGTTAACTTCACAGCAACCTCATGGGTGGCCTTCTGCAACCAGATGAGTGCCCGACACCCAGCACTTGTCCTTGAACTGTATCACCCATCATCATCAAGCAAGCTTTCCATCCCATCTCCATCGCCCTTCAGGACTATTGACAACTTACATCGACTCCAACAAATCCACACTTTGATTCAAATCTTTGTATGTCGTCCCTCAAGATAAATATTGTCCAAATGATTCCTAATCACACCCAGCTAGTACTCTAAAATTGTCCATCTCATCATGCATATCACAACCTTCATGAATGAGTGAGGAACAATGTCAGTTTTTCTCACTCTTGTTCCTCTCTCACTTTTTGACCTTTTTGACAGTTCTTCAAGGAACTTGGGGGAGGCTGTCCCAGGTTGCTGTCAGTGGTGCTGAATACAACTCCTGAGAGCGTCAGCCCCATCTGAAATGTTTGGGAGGGACCCAGGTGGACCTCCTCACCTACATATACAAATTGCTAGATAACCCAGAGAAGAATTGACTCATTTGGCTGCATGGCACAGCAGGCATTGGAAAGTCTGCTGTTGCATTCACTATAGCTGAGAGAATGAGAGGTCTAAAAGTGACAGAGGAGACTAATGTTGAAAAGCAGCTTGGAGGAACATTCTTTTTCTTGCGCAAGCACATGAAATGTTGCACAGCTGGGTATTTTTTCATGACTCTTGTCTATCAACTTGCTGCCAATTTTCCCAGCATCTGGAAGGATGTTAACAGAGTTATCTGTGACAATCCCACTCTATTAGATCCAGACAAGTCTCTCTCCGATCAAATGGAGGCTCTCTTTCTCCAACCTCTTCACAATCTTCAACTTAGATTGCGCAGGTGTCCACCTCTGACATTTGTTGTCAATGCTCTTGATGAATGCACATCCAAACCTGAGCTTACTGATCTGATCCTTTCCCTTGCATGGGCTCTTTGTGAGCCTAATCTACCTGTGACACACATTCTACTCACAAGTTGCTTGGAATCGCATATCTGCAAAGCCTTTCAGAACAGGGAGGTGCAGCTGTTGTTGTGTGAAATACCCATGAAAACTTCTGGGGAGAGTGTTACTACCATCATCTCGCTCGATGGCACTGATGTTGACAAAGACATCTACATTTTCTTGCAGCATTCCTTCACAGAGCTGGCAAATTGCCATACTGATTTCCCTCAGCCATTGAAAGATGATCTTGTGAAGCTGGTGAGTCAAGTGGGCAGGCATTTCATCGTGGCATCTATGATGATAAAGTTTATTATTGATGATGAAGACAATGATCCCCATGGTTGGCTGTAGCTGATGCTCAAGCTAACGAGTGAACTGCTGCCAGGAACAGAGGTGTACAAGTTATATGATTGTATCCTCTCCACATGTGCCAACCCCAAGTGGGCTTACATTCACTTGTCCATTGTTGCTGCCCTCACAGACCCTCTTCCCATCGCACAAATCTTGTCACTTTTTAGCCCTGGTTTAGGCAGAGATGTGCAAACAATGCTGATACAACTATGGTCTGTCATGGATATCCCTACAGACAGCACTCTCCCTGTGAATATCTATCACTCATCCATTTGTGACTATGTTTCTGACCCCTCAAACTGCAGCCTCCCTCAAATATGTGAACATGATATGCCATCACCCCACTCCCTACTCGCTGATTCCTCTTTTTGCTTGATGACAAAAAATATTCCAGAAAGCATGGACCTTTTGAATGTGCTCTCAGAACTGAAGAAACAAAGCCAAGCTATGCAACCTGAGGACCCTCATTGATTAAAATTTTCATTATCCTTCCTTGTTTGGCCACCAGAGCCACTGTCAGTTCTCATTTGTATGCTATGGCTTCGGAGAGATTGCACTTCAGATTTACAACATTGGTTAGGAACTGTGGATGGGTGTGCCTGGGTGCAGACTATGAATGGGTGAGACTGGCTGCAGACCAAGGGAGGACAAGACTGGCTGCAGACCAAGGCAGGAAGAGAGTGGCTGCAGACTGAGGGTGGATGAGACTGGCTGCAAACCAAGGGAGCACTACAATGGCAGAGGCAGTACAAGGCAGGACAAGTGTGGCCGCAAACTGGGATAGGACAAGAGTGGCTGCAGGCCAAAGGAGGACAAGAGTTGTGGCTGCAGACTGAGGAAGGGCAAACGTGGCTGCAGACCAAGGCAGGATGAGAGTGGTGGCTGCAGACTGAGGAAGGACAAATGTGGCTGCAGACTGAGGCAGGACGAGAGTGGCTGCAGACCAAGGAAGGATGAACATGGCTGCAGACCAAGAAAGGATGAGTGTGGCTGCAGACCAAGGAAGGACAAGAGTGGCTGCAGACAGAGGAAGGACAAAAGTGGCTGCAGACCAAGGCAGGACAAGAGTGGCTGCAGACTGAGGGAGGACGAGCATGGTTTCTGCAGACTGAGGTGGGATGACACTGGCTCCAGACCCAGATAGGGCTAGACTGGCTTCAGACCCAGGGCAGGCAAAACTGGCTCCAGACACCCCATGGCCAAGCATGGCAATCCACTCCTGTGGGGTCTATATGGGTGACTATGGAAGAATTCTTGAGTATGTTGGAAACAATCAGCAACTATGTCATTTTTCCAGAGTTGGCTTTACTGCCAACCTTCAAAGTGGTCCAGGAGCTCAAAAGTTTACCAGATTTCTTGATGTTTCTGATGTTCCTGGCATTGATACCCCAAGATCACCTCACTTCTGTATTGCCAGAAGTTCCTGACAGGGAGATCATCCATGCTATAAATCTCTTTACAGCTTTTGCAAATGAGGCACAGGAATGAAGTCAGTCATCTTCTGACACTGTAGAGAATGAGATTCCTCTAGGCATATATCACCCATATTACGACTCATGATGATTGGTACAGCACATCACTCACTGTCTATAACTGTCCCATAAAACAAGCCAGAGGTGCAACACTTTCCCACATTATGCGACACATTCCTGCGCATGCACTTAGTGTGCTCTTCCCATGCTTTGTCGCACTTTGTCGTGCAGCATCCAGGAGCCTCCATCCATCATCCAACCAGTTCCCTGGTGTGTCCCTTTTTGTTCATTTTCATTATCAGACCATTTCTGGGATTGTACAATACTTTATTTTATTATGGACCCTGTCCTTACATCATTTACATACTTAGAGTGCTCCCTATTCGCTTCCAAGCCCTGGGAGCGCACCTAGGCACAGCTTACCTGTGGCCTAGGAAGTTTTCAGACATCTACCTACTGCCACCACAGAATATAGGAACCACCATCATGTCTAGTAGCATCTAGCAGTCAGAATTGATCACCATGAGTTAGCATCTATCAGAGTCATCACCCTAGTCTTAAGCAGCAGCCTATCATCATCTTTTACATGTTCACACACTGTGTGCACCTTATTCCCATGCTTTGCACTCTTACATGCTCAACATTCCCGCACATGCGCTTTCAGCACGCTTCACCAGAGTTGATCTGGTATCACCCAGTGGATCTTGCTTTCCTTGCTTCCCCTAAGGGTCAAACATATCACTCAGCACATTTCAACCAACACCTAGAGAGTCAGTAGGTGTCATATCCTGTATGCCAGACATAGATCCCATCATATTCCCACGCTTTCCGGACCTGTTTCCAAACCCCATATCTGACTCATTCCTGGATCCCCTATCCTGTCCACCCTATGCACATTCCATCCAGCAAGACATCTGGACTTTACCTCCTCTCAGATTCCAGACTACATCCTGTTATGGCGAACTAGGATAGGCGCAACAATGGATACTCAATAAGAGTAATGTCCGTAGTTGGATCAAGACCTCACGAATGTAAGGCTTCTTAAGACAAGTCAAAGAGAGTGTCTTTGACTTGAATATCGATATCGGATGACTTAAGATTGGGGGTCTTAAGCAAAGGATGTTTCAGGTTAAAACCTAGTAGATTAAAGTGAAGTTCTGCTAAGTACATGTCTGAATTTATATAGATGTAGCTAGCTTTAGGGCTGGTACAACGATGTCATCAAGATGAGTCAGAGATAAGGATGAGTCACCTAGCGATGACAGCGGCGATCATGGTGTAATACAATGGATATAGTAAGAGACCGGTCTAGTGATGGCGCAATGAGGCGTGGTCATGACGTAATACACAAAGAAGAAAGAAAATGAGACAGGGGTAGGTGTGATTGTAACATTACCCCTCGTTTAGGAGTGAAGTCACCGACTTCAGTCATCTTGATTGGCCCAGTAAATAGGGTCTGCGTCAAAGTTTGAATGTAACAAGTCATCCTGCTCCTCACTAATAGGGCATGACTTATCGTTCATCTCGGCGGCATGGTAGATGGTGTCTTGCTCTATCTCCCAGCGAGTGAGGGCGTCATAAAAGCCGACGTCAGTCCAAACCAATGGAATGACTGCTTCACCTCCTAGGTCTTTGCAAAAGACCAACAGGTGTCCGGGTGCATACTCTCTGCAAACCCGACAGAAATATGCAGGGCAGTTCTTATGATGATGTCCAGTAGTACGGCAGTTTTGACATACAATGTTATTGACTGGTGCCGTTTTTACGACAGTGATGGAGGTGGTGGCAATGCATTGTTCAGGGGGTGAAGGGGATCTGGATTGTTTAGTTGGTTTGTGGGGGGAAGCTGTTGCAGCTCGTTTAGCAGCAAGGTGGGATGATCTCCGTTTGAGTGGATATCTTCAAGTAGAACGCATGATGGGGGCAGGCGATGGAGAAACTGGTACATTGAGTACAGCAATAGGAGGGATATTATCATCCTGATGCTCGGTGGTAATTGCTTCAGGAGTCGGCGGAGGGATAGGGATGGCAACATGTGGGGATGGGGGTCGTGCAACTGGGTCGAGTGCAATATGTTCTGTGACGATATGGATGGCTTCTCTGATAGCTTCTCTGGTATCGTCAGGCAGTAAACGGATCGCAGTATTGCGAATGCATATGTGTAGATGACGGAAGATAGTTTTATGACACTCATCGTCTAGAAGATTGGCGGTGCGCTCGATGAGACTGGCATCTCTGATAATCCTTATTATTAGCCCACTAGATATCACCCCTCTTTCTCCTAGAAGGCGATCTATTTCTATGGCGTATTGCTGGGATGTGATAGTGGATTCAAATAGAGCACTGGTTTCGACTTGGTCAATGACCAAAAAATAATCAGTAAGAGTTGAGTCGTTGGTAAGGGTAAGGGTTGAGTCAGAGGCTGGCGGGGATATTACGGGGGATTGTTCGTCACAAGTGAAGTTAGTGGTGGTGGCAGTCTGGTAGTCAAGGAGGGATAATGGGTGGGCGTTTCCTTCTGCAACAGCATCCATGGCAGCAGTGAGTTCTTGGATACGTAGTATGCAAAGACGTAGTCGTTTGAGGGAGGTCATTGATGTGAAGTCTACAGCTTATGGGCCCTTTTATAGGCAGCAAGGATATCGGAAGCATTGCTAAGGTTTTCTTCAGGGACCCATTTGTTGCTGGCAGAGGAGTATCCTTTCCAGGATAAGAGATAGCATCTTCGTTTACCCGTTCCTTTGTGCGATAAGATTGCATCAATTTCATATTCTTCTTCGTTATCGATGACATCAGGGGGTGGATTGTGGAAATTTGGGCTGTGAACTTCTGTTTCATGATAGGACGATAGTTCAGAAGCATGGAATGTGGGGTGAACTTTCCATTGAGGAGGTAATTGGAGAGTGAATGTGATGGGGGAAAGAACAGCAATGATCAGGAAGGGGCCGTATCGCTTTGGTGCTAGTTTCCATGATGGTAACTGTGTGATTAAGTTCTTTCCGGATAACCAAACCTTATCTCCTATCTTCCATGGGTGATACTTTTGTCCGTGAGTTTGTTCTGCCATTCGCTGCATAGCAAGATTGTGGCAAGAGAGTGCCTCTTCTCTCGACTTCTGAAGGGAACAAAGTCTCTCTTCCGCTGCAGGAACTGTAGAATCGGGAAGCATATGGGGAAGGGCTTGTGGTTCGTATCCCATCATTAGAAAGAATGGGGATGCGTTGCGAGAATCATGTCTTCGGTGGTTATGCACAAATTCTGCCATAGGAAGATGCTCCACCCAATCTTCAGGGTGATTCCGACAATAGATCTGGAGGTACATTTCAAGTTCTTGGTTAAGTCATTCGGTCTGGCCATCAGTCTGGGGGTGATAAGCGGTGGATGCGGCTATATCGTATTTTAAGAGTTTGGCAAGGGCTTGTGAGAACTTAGATACAAATTGTGGTCTGCAATCAGAGATGACTTTCTCGTGTAAGCCAAACCGTCGATAGACGTATTTGAAAAACTTCTTGGCGACTCCTTCTGAAGTGATGGTTTTAGTGCAAGGGATAAGAATTACCCCCTTCATAAGCCCATGGTCTACCACGACCATGACAGAATCAAAACCGGCACAGGGAGGGAGGTCGGTGATAAGATCAACAGAGATCTGGGTGAAGGGAGCAGCAGCAACGGACAGGATGGGGACCAGTGGCAGGGTCGTCAGGTGAGTATCAGATTTCATTTGCTGACAAAGAGCGCAGCCTTCCACGTATTTGCGGATATAGGTACCCATAGAGGGCCACCAAAAGTCCTGCTTGACTAGTTCTTCTGTCTTAAAATGTCCAGGATGACCGGCGATGGGGTGATCATGA